CCTTGAGATCTTTCGCGAGCTTGTTGGCGTCTGCCTTGAGATCTTTCGCGAGCTTGTTGGCGTCTGCCTTGAGATCTTTCGCGAGCTTGTTGGCGTCTGCCTTGATCTCTTTGAATTCCTTTGCGCTGTCCTTTGCGTTGGCCTTTGCGTCGGCCTTGAGTTCCGCAAGGTCCGTAGTAATTTGCTGAAAAACTTGCATGAGGTTTGGTAGTTTGCCAAATTCTTCCTCGAGAGTTTTGACGGCGACATGAACACGACCAAGATCGGGCAATGGGGCAGGGGTCGCCATGGTGCTGAAGTAGTATCAGATGACAACGAGAATTGCTGCACTGGGAAGACGATGAGAGAAGATAAGTTGTCGTACTGGAAAGACGATGAGAAGACAAGTTGTCGTACTGGGAAGATAATGAGAAGAGAAGTTGTCGCGGTAGAGTTCTTGTTTACATACCAGGTAGGGGCGAACTTCTATATCTCCAATGAAGCAACCTTGGCAGACCATGCATGACGGTTTGTTGATTTAGTGACAGGAAACGCCTGCAGACAGTAACAGCTTGTGCAGCAGTCCGTTCAGTGACGTCGCTGGCCTTGAATTGCCTTACCTTGCCTGATAGGTGCCTATGCAGAATAAAGAACATTTGGCGATTCTGTCTGGTGGGCCACTTGAGAGTCCTCAACAAGGCCTGTGATTCGATTCATCTGTCCAAGAACCAGCAGCGTTGATGCTGTCAGCTTGTGGCGAAGACATGTCGCCGCCCGATGTGCTGCTGGAGGTTCTGGGTTGTTGGCCTGGATCGTAGGAGATCGTAGGAGATCATAGGAGGTGAGCGGCTGATTGCCGCGCCCTGGCAAACCTTTGGAGGCATGGCTTTCAGCCGCAGGCTGCGTTGACCTGGTCCTGGGTGGCAATCATTCATCCAGCCTATCACCATCGCATGCAGGCGCTATCATTTCCGTCCAAGGCCCTCCTTTGAGTGGTGCAACATCTTATGTTGGGTATCATGGCAGCTTCCTTCCCGCGATGCCACTCACACGGCTGCAAGTGACCGCGCACTAGCAGAAGGCATCAGGAACAGCCCTCAAGGAGGCCGGAAACAAACATGATATCTGCACAGACTCCAGAGTGGGTTGGACAGCAAGTTCGGTCTTGAACAGCTCAGAAGACAGCAAAGAAGAAAAAAAGGGTGAGTCATGTCCTTGTCCTTGCTGGTCAATCTACCAAGGTAGGTAGGTACGAGTAGGTAGGTACATGTAGGCCCCAGTGATGGCCTGCACAAGGACGTGACGTGGATGTGAGTGCACCGAGTGCAAGGCTCAAGCTGAGCCAATTAGAACAGAGATGGAGAAATAGAGCAACTTCGTAGGGGGAACGCTTCTGCTACAATATGTACGTACTACTAGCCGTATCGATGCAGCCAATAAAGTCCTGCGTGATTCTGCCAAGGCACTCTAATACTACCCCACTAGCTATCACCAGCTATTAGGAGAGGTACCTTAGGTAAGTAGCTTGTACCGAGGAGTACTTCGCCTTCAACGGCGAATGATATCGCCGCCTCTCTCTCTCTCTCAAAACGTCGACGACCTTGAAGTCTCTGCAGTTGTAGATACAGATAGGCTCTCTCAACGGGCGCTATCAGCATAGCAAAGCGCATATTTGTAGTATGGACTAGTACATAGAGCGAGGTCTCGCCGTAAGGTTGAGATGCGCTAGACCAATATACTGGTTTTACATCAATGGAATGGATAGTACGGTGGTACCTACGTGTAGGTATTATTAGGTCGGCTCTCATGCCATGAACGATGCCGCCGTACCTACACCAAAGATGGTACACACTTAGTACTCCGTGCAGTAGCTGTCTCTCCGTACAATTACATCTTCTAGCCCCCTATCGAACGCCCCGTGAGCTCCCTCGCGATACCAACCAATGGTTGTACCTCCCTTTGCCTTACTCGATCTAGTTGGCTGTCTGGACAAACGAAACACCAGATGCGGCCCCTATCAGTTGCACCACAGTTGCATTTTTGTATATTGGCAACCGTGACAGCCCCTTTCGTTTCAGCATCTGCTCTAGCAGCTTCAGGTCCATAACTTCCCGAAGTGGTTGCTTCAAATCCTCTCCCGATCTTTTGGGCACCTCCATCTAAATTCATAACAACCTGTGTCATCGTATTGGAATTTATTCTGACAAGTTTGTTGATCATGTTACCCGTGGTTGGATCGACGAGGTGGTGGATATAGTAACCTGGCAGAGTTAGGCTTTCCCCCGGGTGACACTGTTGTTGAGTTTGCTGCCGAGATCATCAAGAACCTTCTTGATTTCACCGAGTTCATTGAAGCCCTGCTCGATTTTGACCAATAAGTAGTCAAACTTCTAGTCTAGGTTCGTAATCTAAACTTTTATTTAGCCAATATCATTTGTAAGGTCCGTAATCTAAACTTTCATTTCACTAATATCATAGTCTAGGGTCGCAACCTGAACTTTCATTTCGCCAGTATTATTTATGATATTCGTGAATACTTCCTTAACGACATGGACAGTATCGGTTATCGAGTCTGGGGAGGACATAATGCTCAAGTGGATGATGAAGTGGTATTAGAAGATGACGAGAAGTTGCCGCACTGGAAAGACGATAGAGGTTTGTATGTTTAGGAAGGATGGTGATTTGGAAGGGTGCGTACCTATATATATCTATAAGACCGCGTGAACAAGACGTCACAACAATCCAGGTAGTGTGGCATTCACAACAGTTCGTTTAGTAACGGAAAGCCTTAGAGTCGTTTGGCGTGGGTTAGTGACTTACGGCACGCAGTAACATCAAGCAGTCCAGTCAGTGATATCGCTGCTGCAGAGGTAAAGAACACATGGAAGTAGCTGTTAACTTCCATCTCCCGGCAGACCGTGGAGGCCCTGTGTGGACCTGATCTTGTGTGGCAAGCATTCACTCCAGCCTGTCACCATCCATGCGGACGTTATCGTTTCCATCAAACGCCGTTGGAAGTGTTATGCAGGAATCTTTCTCGTGGATCTCTGACCCATGGAAAATCAAAGAGGACACAACCATCAAAGAACAGAAATAAACATTGTAATTGTACAGGGTATTGGTGTAAAGCAAGTAAGCTCGCATTGTCTCGGATTGAACAGCTCAGAAGACAAACAAAGAACAACTGGTGAGTCGTTTCTTTGCTGATCGACCCAGGCCCATCCAGCCGCCGTACTGGCACCAACTGGACACAAGACGAGCCCATCAGAACGAAGATCAGGAAATTGATATTTCGCGTCCAGTGGCTCCAAAGTGAGACATGGGAGAGATCAGTCCGATCGCACATGTTATGCATGCTGATGTGCATGATCATGACCACGATCACGTCGTTCTTGAAATGCAAGGCGCAATCATCACAACCAAACCGGCAACAATCTGAAAAATGCAGCATGCAGCATGCTCGTAGCTTACCAGTCGGCATCCGATTGCTTACTCCGAATTGTTTCCCGGGAGGAGCAGTAGCTCAAGCAGGCTCTCAATCAATGGTTGACAATATCAAACAGCGTCCAGGTATGTTTCGCAACCGACCGTCAAACCCAACCTCAGCCTGAGGTATTGTATCATATGGCCCAACTCAGCTTGTAACCCTCTTAATCCACAGCCCGGTAGGTTCTTCATAGAAATCATCCTTATCCCTCCGTTTCTGCACCCGATGTAGCCTCAGTGCAGTCTCGTGCTCTTCACTGGCAATGTCTTGCAATTCGAGGTTAAGGTTGATGATCATCTTGTCGACTTCCTTGCGTTTCCTGGCGTCATAGATGATAGCGTTCTTCTTCAACGACTCTCGGAGTTCGAAGATGATCTTGTTCAAGTTTCGTTTCCTCCGTGAGAGATCTTCCAGTCTAGCTTGAAGAGATGCCGCTTTATCGGCCGCTTCAAGTTCGACCGGGGTAGGAGGGAGAGATTTGCCGGCCGATAGACTCGACATCAGACTCACCGCACGTGGTTTGTCGTTGCTGCCGACCGCTTTGCGGAGGATGGTAGAAGTGGATTTCCGAGCGGAGATGCCAGAGAAGGGTGATCTGCCACCGTAGCTGTCGGAACTCCTATACCCACTGTTGTTGGCCGCCACTCGTTTACGGAGCACAATGGGCTCTGGTACGGCTGCGGGTGGCCCGGCAAACGAATCAGGACTGCTCGTGAGTTGAGCTCTAGGGATCGGACTTCGAGGGGCAGGACTATACACTTCGACTGTGCTTGTTGCGTATGTATCCCAGCTGGAGGACGTGTCCGGTTCGCGCTGGAATGGTGGCTGTCTCACCGTGGTTTCGGCAGACTCCTGGCTTGAACTTCTTTCTAGTCTGACGAAACTCGAAGCTGAGCCAAGTGTAGGACTGTCCGCACCCATCTCCTGGAAGCTGCCTGGAGTATGACTGGAGGCTATTTCACCAAGGGGCGGAACTGGGCCAGGACTCTGGAATGGACTCTCCAGAGATGGCGCTTTTTGTGTCAAAGACAGGACCCGTGGGGTGTTTCTTCCCTTGAGGGGTGCCAGAGGCTTGATGCTTTCTTCTGAGGGTGTCGACTTGATAGTCGGGAGTCTTGAAGCAGCAACAGAGACGGCGTCGATGGGAGATTTCGGTGTTGGTTCTGCTTGTTCCAGAGCCTTGCCTCTGGCTGTCACTTGGTCTTCTACTTCACCTCCATCGGCCTTGTTTTTGCGCTCCAGCAGAACCAACGGTCGAGTTCGAGCCGCCGGAGTATTCTTGACCGGTTCCACAATGGCATGCTTCCCACTGGCGCCTTTCCACGGGGGTCGTTGCACCGGGTTGTCGAGAGAGTCTGATTCGGCCGACGGAGGGACTGCTCCCCATGTGGCTTTCTTAACCGCCTCCCGCTCTTTGAGACCGGCCAGGATTTGTCGCGTCCTCTCTTTGAGCTGAGGATATTGATGTTCCTGGGGCGGTGCTGCGCCTGGCCTGGCCGAAGGCGGTTTTCCTGCCTGATTTGGTTCACCCGAATACTCATCCCAACGGGTCTCTCCATTGGTGTTCGGCCGAAGGGACCATTTCTTGGGGATATCATCTGGCGACTTTTGCAGAGTAGGCAGGGGTAGCTTCCGAGGAATTTGACTCCTTGTTGGTTTCTCCGACTGCAAGGGGTGGGTAGAAGTGGGAAACGAAGCGTCGATGGGAGACACAAGGGATGCGTCTGAGCCATTGGCAGTGAATGACTCTTGAGTACTGATGGGCGAGACATTAGCCTTCTGGCCAGATTCTGAGCCGGACCGACCATGTGTCGGTGTCGGTTCTGAATAGGGCTGTGTAGAGTAGAAGGTGGTCTTCGCCGGGAAGACAGCATGGCTAGAATAGGCCGACCCTTGTTCGGTCATGGGAGGGACTGCACGACTGCGACAGTGGTCAGTCGGGTCGAAGGGAGTACAGGACAGACGGACACATACAAAGGCAATTCTGGCAGATTGGCCGCAACACTACTACGGCGACTGTACAAAGACTCGACCTCTGGGATTGTCTCCAAATAGCGCTCGTCCATTGTCGGCTCTGGGTATGCATGGTAGCCCATCTGGGGCTCCAGGTTGTCACTGTTGTTTCTCCGCCACATATTTTGTCTGCCTGGTATCCCCTCAGGAATGGTCTGTGGATACAGCTGGAAGGTGGCCACGTCGAGCAGAGGGGGACTTCATTACGAAGACAGAATTACCGCCGTAGTGAACTCGAGGGTGACGGCTGCTCGGGGTGAGGCTCAGGCCCTCCGGCCGGTGTGAGGTGGTGAACTAGGGCTTCGCAGGCGGTGACAAGGAGGAGTGACGACGATGCTCGTCCGCCCGGTACCAGGTACGTCGATCAGCAGGATCCGGAAAGATACAGAAACAGAATAGTGAGAACGGTCCTTGACCCGAATATTGGGTACAGCAGCTCGTTGTCCTTGTCTGTTGTCCCGTTGTCCGTGGTCCAGGGGCGCTGGGCCGTCTTGTTTCGTTGTTCTGGCGACTCAGAAAGGGAATTGTTGCTGGCGCCGATTGGCTGTGGTGGTGGTGGTGGTGCCGCGACAGCGCGAAGGTGAAACAAAACTGGCCATGTTCAGGGTCGACCGACAAGGATCTCGACCGACATAGCAGATCATGGCGGCCACCCTGAGAACATCGAGTTAGACAAGCACTGTGTGGCTGCAGATGAGGAGATTGCCTAGGACCTATAGTAGCCATGGGCAGTTGTAGTTGTCCTTGTCCCACGCCCATCCTTGCCCATTGTTTCCTCTGCCCGTCCACATTTAGATTGTATCTGTATCCCTCCTCTTGACTCCCTACAGACCACTCCTGGCTGGTACAGTAGCATCTCTGCAGGTCTTGTCTACACACAGACGAAAACAAGCCTAAGCCTAAGCCTCGACTCGGGGGGAAGCTGCTGACGGCTTACTAGTATGGGGCAGATACGGTCCGGGCGCAGTCTGGCTCGCTTCGAGATGCGAGATACGAGACGCGAGTCCAACTTCAACTTCTCCTTTACAGCGGATTCCTTCAACACGCAGTACGGATACGGATACGCTCAGCCTCTATAGATACCTCTATAGATGCCTCGTATGTCTGGCCTTCGATGTTCGCCCTCCGCACCAACCGTCAGGACCACCCCAACCTAGCGCCCCCTCTGAGTGACGGTGTACGCAGGACAAGAGTGAGCTATCTATCGAGCACAGAAGAAGTATGCGTGAAAAATAAGACCACCACCGACCATGAACCTGGAATGCATAAATTCAATCCTGATGTCGCTGCAACCTATTCAACGTCTCTTTGCGGCCTCCCTGCCGGCCTATGGTGATGAAAGGCACCAGAAACAGCGCCACAACCGATCCGACCAACGACACCCAAAAGGTGGCTTGATAGGGTCGGTACAACACCGCCCCTCGGCCCTGCACCGCTCCCCCGGCACTGTTGAATACACTTGTCTGGATCCCCAACCCGACCGTCGCACTCAGCCTGGTGACGGTGTTAAACAGACCGCCCGCCACTGACTGTTGATCTCGAGGAAGGCTCGACATGACATACATGTTTGTGACGGTGAATTCCAGGTCCTGCGACAAGACACTGAACAACAAGGCTGGAAAAGCGAGCGCCCAGTAGGAAATGGACGTGAATATGGCACTGAACAGCGCGCATGCCACCGCCGCACTGACTGCCCCTACAATCATGATCACCCTGTTGCTGACGCGATGCATGACGACGGCGGCCATAAAGTTCACCAAGATCCCCCCGATCCCGGCCGGGAGAAGATGGACCGCATTCATCAGTGGTGACAGTCTGTCGATTCGCTGCCACATCAAGGTAAGCCAGAACAAGTTTCCCGCAAACCCGTAAAACCCCAAGCACAGGACCACCACGACCAGAGTAAAGTTCCGATCCTTCCAGACCTTCAAGGGCATCAAGGGGTATCGGAAGACATTCTGCCAGTAGATAAAGCCGGCAATCAGAACCAGGCCCACCACCAACAAGGCAATCACATACGGCGTCCTCCAGCCATCAGGGGCGTCTCCGGCCAAAGTCATGGAAGCGGTGAACATGGCAACCCCGGCAACGGCGAGGAGGGCCCCAAGCATATCAAACTTGACAAATGTTTCCATGTTCAGTCCTCCAAGGCTCTGTTCGATATCATGCGGCGTGGTCCACCAGGCGGCAAGGGCGAAGAAAGCATAGATGACCGACATGACCCAGAAGGCCGCCCGCCAGGTCGAAATCTGCATCACAACGCCTGCGATGAAGGCGCCTAGCACAAACCCTACGGGGTTTCCGGCACTAAAGCAGGCGAAGGCTCGATTCTTCCGCCGGGACGGTTTGTCGTACACAGCCCCGAGTTTGCCAATGGCTGGTGGGACTGAGGCGGCAGAGCTGAGCCCAAGAAGACCGCAGAAGACGTCCAGGTAGATGGCATTCGTGGCGAATCCCGCGATGAGGAGACACACACTGAAGAAGGCGAGGCTGAGCAGGAACAGCGCCCGGCGCCCAAACAGATCAGCAACGCGGCCAAAAAAGAGCAAAAATGTCCCTGCGGCCAGAGTCTGAGCAGCATTGATCCAAGAGACTTCGGCCGCGGTCATGTCCAGGTCGTCGGCGATGTAATTGGTCATGCAGATGATGGCTCCCGTGAAGATGGAACTCTGGCCCACGGCCACAGTCGTGGTGAGGACGAACAAGCATTCCTGCAGCAGACTGTTGAAACAGGCCGGTCGGCTGCCATATGGGTCGGATTCGGCCGTGGTCAACGATGTGCCAATGGATACGGCGGGCTCGATCTTGTCCAACTCAACCACGGGCGGATTGGCTTCGACGTCGACCTGCATCTCCATGGGCGTGTCGGAGAGGCGGCCTTCTCTCTCCATGACTTAAATGTGGCGGGCAATCGACACCCGGCAGGAGGTTATGGCATGTAGAGAAGCAAGGGGGAGAGCTGGGCCCGATGATATAGCCCGGCAGAAAAGATTATGTACGGAGTATCCGTACGGAGTATCGGTACTCGGTGCAGGCTGAAGAAAATACAAGTAGAAGCGGGGCCCCACGATATGGACTACTATTACAGAGTATCCGTACATCTATGTGTACTCCGTAGTATCAGTACATGGACGATGATACCTAGGTAGGTAGGGAAACAATATAATAATTATTAATTACGAGGCGAAAAGGCCCGAGGGGCCAACCCAATATGTGTTCTGTCAGCCGGTGCCCTTAATTCCGATACTGATCCGGACACATGAATCTTACCTTTTAGGTAAGCAGCCAACTCAGCCTGATGGCCCCAGCGGATCAATTCCGTGCCAGCCGCACACAGTATCCGTACTCCGTACTCCCACGTGGACCACCATTTGTTGCTTAATATGCCATCCAACTCCCCGGGTCGAAGCAAACAGTGGCAGTGGCTCGAATCAGACGGCCGTCGAGCACGGCGCTGCTGATGGCGATGGTGGGAACGTGCAGAATACAGCAGTGAACGATTCGTGGCAAAGACTTGATTGAACCTTGAGAGCCGACGGCTACGTCGACCAAGAACCCTGTCTTTGGACAGAGCAATATATATATATATATATATATATATATATATATATTGGCTTCTGACTCGGTGCAGACTACCTCCTCACTTTCGGACCTTTGCGTTTTCTTTTCTCCACTCTTCCTGCTCTTCCTGCACTTCCTGCTCTTCCTGCCCTTCCTGCCCTTCCTGCCCAACCATTCTAAATACTTCGTCCACCCGTGATCTCGATGGTCTGTCCGTTCACATAGGAAAACAGCGGCGAGGAAATGGCCAACACCGCAGCAGCGGCCTCGGTGGCAGTGCCAGGGCGTCCGAGCGGAATGTCTTTATACGGATTCTCCGTGCTAGCCTGGCTGGCGGGGGTTTGCTTGCCTGGGATGCCGAGGGCGACGCGCTGGCCGTCGGCCGTGGTGATGAAGGCGCCGGCCTCCTTTGCGCGGGTCAAGCGGGTGTCGATGTGGCCAAAGGCGACGGTGTTGGCGCGGACACCAAACTAAACAAGAGTAAGTAGTCTGCATCAGTACCGGTTGAAGAGCCGCGGAACCACTGCAGTGGTGCGGAGGACACCAGGAGCCACGACGTCGTATCTAAAAACGTACCTGGGGACCCCATTCCTTCGCAATCGTCTTGGTCAAGCCCGTCACCCCGGCCTTGGCCAGACTGTAGTTGGCCTGGCCTGCGTTTCCGTGAGTGCCGCTGGTGCTGCTGACGTTGATGATGACCCTCGGTTCGCCATCTTTGACTCGGAAATATGGAGCGGCCTCGCGGATGAGTCGAAAGGGAGCCGTGTTGTGTACATTCAGGATGGTGTCCCACTGCTTGTCGGTGATCTTATGGATCACGCCGTCCCACGTGTAGCCGGCGTTGTTCACAATGATATGGATCTTGCCGTTGCCAAACTCGGCCGTCTTCTTGACCAGCACTTTGATGTACTCGGGATCCGTCACATCGCCTGGCACCGAGATGGCGCGGCCGGGGCTAGCATCGTTGATGGCCTTGGCCGTAGCCTCGGACCGGGCGCTGTCCACGTCGCACACCACTACTTTGGCCCCTTCGTTGGCGAACAGACGCGCGCACTCGGCGCCGATGCCCTGGCCGGACCCGGTGATCTGCGAGAATGAGCATCAGTACGGTGTCGCACGTAGAGACAGAGGCAGAGGCAGAGAACTCGGGGCACAAGGGGCTAAGGCTGGGCGGCCTCTTACAATGGCAACCTGGCCGGCCAGGAGTCCCGAAGGGTAGTTGAGGTGGCCAGCGATCTGCTGTGCTCGTTGTGCCATGATGTCGAGTGTTTGCCAGAGGTGAATAGCTGGAAGAGACCACCAGAAGCTCGAGGAGAAGAAATCGTGGGAAACAAAAGGTGCGGACTGCGGAGGAAAAGTGTCTGGGGACTTGCGCTTGAGCCGAGGCAACTCGACCGCCGGCCCGCCGCAGCCTCGTCCGCATCTTTCTCGTTGCGCAAGGCTGAAGTCGTATTACAAGTTAGCCGCCCCTTAGCCAGAAAAGAGGATGTTGTTCAAATGTTGAGCCTCCACCATAGGCTATGTTCAGAACTAGTACTGACGCTAGATGGGGAGTCCATTAATCGATTGCTTTTTCCTATGCTTAGACTATGCCCGAGTTCCCAGCCTAGACAATGCCCAAATTGCCATAAAACGATCAAACCCATGTTCTGGATACTGTTCCTGCCCTTTGTTTCATTGTTTCGGCTCAAGGTCTGTTTTGGTCGTCTCCTCGACCGGATGCTTATCCAGACTCTCATACAACTGTAGATAACTCCCAATCAGGAAAGCCCAGGAACCCCTGAGTACAGGTTAGTCGGTGGACAATTTATTCGGTGGACATCACCCAGGGGCAACTTACCAAAAGGTAGCCAGACTTGCCTGGTATTGAGCCCCCGAGTTCCCATACGCCATACCCAATGCGCCACAGAGCGTGAATCCAACCGCTCCGATAAGATTCCAGAACGCAATGTGCCATCCCAAGATGTGGAAGGCCGGCTTATACCATGTCTGCTGTGTTTCGAGTAGGTACAACGTACTACTGACAATAAAGCCGCTGCCACCGATGACCTGAGGAATCCAGTAGGCCCCGTTGAGAGCGCTCTGCGGGGTCAGATGGTTATTGATACCTGGTAGCGCCGTAAACCCCGAAACTCCAAAAACGGTGGCGCCGAACAACTGGGCCATGCCAGCGATAAACCCGAGTTCGTGAATGTAATGCGTGTGGAGATCATGCCATGACGGGAACCATTGCCAGTGTTGTTCCTGGGCCGACTTCTCTTCCTCCAATCCAACTCCCGGGCCGCCGCCCTCGGCACCCTTGCCTACGAAGTTATGTCGGTTCTGGTGATGATGCCGACAGTGGCGTTGGCTGGCGACCAGACGTAGCTTATGTCTTCGTTCGTGTTCTTCGTCGATCAGCTGATCCACAGCCCAACCAAAACAGCCCGTGTTATTGGCATTGATCGCCTCGAAGATGAGGAGAATCGACCCCGTCTCGAAGAATATGATGGCGCCAATAAATGCCGTAATGCCGCCCCCGTACAGAATTTCAGTAGGAAATTCGGTGGAGGGCGCTTCCAGGGGTAGCCATGCAAAAAAGCCCTGTCAGCCACGGTCAGTCCCTCGTCAGCCGCTCCGGGATCGGAATTCCACTCATGCATACGTTAAGCACCCAGACGACGCTTCCCCAGGTGAAGATGAAAGCGACAAGCCAAGAGATATCCCAGAATGGATAATATGTGAAGGTCCTCTTGATATTCTTGAGGACCTCCCGAGGATCAGAGGTGCGGCGCGGAGCTAGGAAGGGGGCTTCTTCACCAGGCCCGGGTTTTTGGACAAGCAGAGCGTGGCGACCCTTTCTGTTGTCGCGCGACCGCCAGAGGAGTCTGACGCTCTTGGCAGGTTGCGTCGGCTCGGGACCACGCTCGAGGTTCTGATTTGAATCGTGAATGGAGTCGTCGCTTTCGTGAGGTTTGTCGGTGCCCTCTTTCTCCTGAGACCGAATGGGATAGAGGAAATGCGCTCTGGTGGGATTGAACCAGCCTACCGGCCCCTCGGCGCGTTCTAGTGTCACTCTGTGGTCGTGCTGGAAAGGCTCATGCCGGTGGAAGTGCCTGTTTCTGGCCGGCATATTCAACTGGTTCGACTTCAACACTGGCTGCGCCCCTGAGACTCAAAGTTGAAGACTGGAAGATTCTCCGTTTAGAACCCCATGACTACCAAGCACATTCTGGTGCGGCGGACTCTCACGGGCGAAGATTGGAGGCGACGATGAGAACCAGCGCATGACGGAAGTGAGAAGTTTCAAGTTCTGGCTGCTAGTAGAGTCCAAACAATAAATGCCAAGACATGGATGGCGCCGCATTACCTACGACGGCTAATACTACAATACTACTACATACTGGCACCACGAGTATACGAATCGAGGTACGGAGTACCTACACATAGGTGAGCGTGTCGCTGGTAGCAAGCATCTATATGTGACACCATACTCAGGGCTCAAGATGCAGTCCGCAATACGATATGCGTCCCACCTCGGCTATGGCGACGGGTTTGCCGATGCAGGAATGTGCCTTCGGTCGACGCTTCACGGTTGATAGCATTCTATGGCAAAGTCAATGAAATGTTAAAGCCTCAGATGCCGCCCATTAGAAACTTCATTGACTTTCTCCAACTTTGGTTCCCCCCATAACGGGCAACGTGTAAAATATTTCCACGAGTAATCCCATCTGCCGAGTGTGCCTTCACCATCGGCTCTCCATCAAGCAGACAGCGCTCAAATAGTTCGACGTGAGAAGAATCCCAATATATACCTCCTAAACACCTGTGATGATCCATGTCCATTTGCTCACACCGTGACACCACTAGCAACCCAAACCCCATTCAACAAGGTGCAAAATCATAAGCTCATAGGCACATAAGCAGTAGGGGACCTGTCCCTAGCGTGCCCTATTCCTCTTTTGGGGGGTTTTAAACACTGAACCACTCGCACACACAGTTGGACCCAAGCTGTTGAACGGTGTCCGACGATTGTCTGCGCACGGCCCTTTTGCTCCCGCCAGTAGGCGCGGCTGCGGGACTGTATTCACTTTCCTCGATGGGGATCGTGGGCACGCCTGGTATTGCCACGATTTGCCAGTTGTTGAGCACTTGCATTTGTTGGCAGTATGGCTGTACGTTGTTCTCGGGTTTACGCTTCTCCACCATCTTGACCAGCTTCGGAAAATCGTACGAACCGGAAGTCGAGGCCTCGCGGCGAAGCTTGCGCAGTTTCACGCTCGGCAATGGTCCTGTTCCTGTTGGCTCGCTGGGATATGGCGTTGTTAAGGCTGAATCACGGCTCGGTGATTCGGTCTGAAGGGTTGGCGGAGAAGCGGAGGTCCCATGAGGCGGTGCTGTGGTGGCTGCGCTAGTCATAGACGTGATGCTACTAGTTGTAGTGGATGCATTACCGTCACTGTCCAGGTCTTGACTCAAGAACACCCAAAATTCATTAATGGTGGAATTCCAGAAGCAATACCAAGGCTGATCGCCAACATTCAAGTACTCGTCAGTCCACGCGGGGTCTCTTCGCACGAGCGCTGTTGCAGCAACAGATCGCTTATCGTGAGGCGACGGAGTGAGAGCAGCAGAGGGCACTATCAAAAGTCAGTCATCACATAATCAATCCTGCCGAACACTCTCACAAATATTGAGCTTATCAAATAGAACGCTGAAAAACAGGGCCACGCCAAGTTCGTCGTCCTCTTTGTCTTTGAATGGTGACATGGTGAAAGCGGTACCGTTGAAATCCGGGGGCTGTGGCCCGTATCTGAAAAGTTGAGGCCTTACGGAATAGTCATCAAACACTACCGACAGTGGCGGACCGCCACTGGCGCTTTCAAAGAAGTTGATTCCCAGCCTGGAAAAGTCGAGACAGCCCCAAACTTGGGAATAGGTACTGTCAACAACACAAGAGTCGATTTCCTGTGTTTGATTTAGAGGGACTGAGAAATGGCCCGTAGGACACGCGGGTGTCGAAGGACCCGTTTCTGCCGGGTCAGCGTCCAGCCAGACGGTAGTCGTTGCACCTGAGCTGCGACACAGTCAGTATTCTACCTTTCTTCAATGAGATAAGACGTACGCAATAGCTCGGTCCGCTCCCTTTTTATTTCCAACGATTCCACCAATGACGCCACCCAGTACGGCTGCTAACACAATGACCGCAGCTAGAATGATGAGAGTCCAAAGCGGTATTCCGAAACATGTCTTCCTCTTCTTGTCTCCGGATAATCCTTCCTTTCTTGCAATCTCTGCTGTCGATGATTCAGAGCCGACAGCCGTCAGTTCCATTTCTGAGGCAGAAGACGCAGCAGGCTGCAAAGGAGGCTCGAGGGTGGAGTCTGCATTGACGCGCGATGTGTTTGTGTCGATCCTGGCCATGTCCCCCTTTGCAACAACGTTGTCCGCATATCGACTGTATGGAGGCAGTTGCTCGATATGCCCGTCTGTTCCCACGATATCGCCGACGTCATTTCCTGGCAAGTCCGTTGCTGGCTGGTACGCCTGGACTAGACCTGGGAAGCCCAGACCCACTTGTGGTTCCGGATCATCAACTTCTTCGGGGACGGTGTTTTGAGGGTACATCGAATACGGGTGTTCAGGACCACCTTGAGGGATGAATGGGCGTTCCATAGGCCTGATCGTGGATTCACTCGCAATGCTGGAGGCACGGGTAGCCTGGGGATATAAGCCATATGGCTGACTCGGTGCGGTCGGTCCGCGGTAAGGACTTTGAGCCCTTGGCATGGAAAACCGAGAGGAGGTGCTGAGTGTTCTTTGGGTATCGGCAATGGAACGGGACGAAAGGGACAGGGTTCGATGAGGATCGACGGATGCGTCGGTTAGGGTCGCCCTTCCGGAGGAAAGACGATTGAGACCCGATGGCTTCCCAGGAAGCCCTGGAGGTATATACTCTCGCGGACCACTTTGTGCATTGTCACTGCGGCTCAGTGTCAGATGCTCAGGTCGACTGTCGATTGAAGCTGTGCGGCTGAGATCGTTTATAGATTCGAAAGGGTCAAGGGCATATTCGTCACTGAAGACATTCGGATTGGAGCCTTCGGTAGATGTCCTTCTCAACGTGGCTTCATCGCCTGTTGATATCGGCAGTGGTGAAGGAGGTCGTCGCGCCATTGGCGCTGCGCCACCCCTTTCGGAGACCGGCCCCAGAGAACGCACTGAAGGTGGTAGTGGGAACAAATCCGTCGAGGCAGGGTAGAGAGGGTGTCTATCAAGTGTTCGAGTTGGGGAAGAGGCGCATCGAGGGCGGTGGTGCGGGTTGGAAGTCCTGAGGTGAAGTCTTTTTGAGGTTGAGAGCAGCTGACCAGTGGTGCACAAGTGAGGGCGCTAGAAAGTGCCTGGTCCAGTGCCCGGCAGTGCACTGTGCTTGGTACACTGGCAACTTGGACTTGCGGCAGTGCTTGGCATCTAGTGAGACTAAAGGCACTAAGGCCCCCAGCGTTGGCTGGTAATCCGTTCTTGGAGCCGGTGCTGACCTTGGTTACTCTGTATCCGGAACAAGTTTCAGCCTCCAGTGGTCAGAAATACGCTGTCTGGCTGCGGATCCGTGTCGAACCGTCATTGATGTCTGCTGTGTCTGCATATTAGTTCTACCGGTAACCTACGGCTCTCTATCGCTGTCTGAAGAAACCTTTATAGTAGCCAGGACGATGTCCGCCGCTACTGAAGTTCAGGCGCTTCTTCGCTTTTTGACCAAACATGCTCATATCCCTCTGGCCGAGGCGATGCCCAGGATCAACATGTTGCGAAAACAGCAGCTGAATACACCGGAGGCCCTCTCCAAGGCTGGCGAGGCCGAGCTAAAATCAGTGTTTGCTGATGAAAAAGTATTGAGACAGGTCGTCAACGCGGCAAAGCGCGTTTCCAATCCAAGAAAGCGCACATCCACTGCATCGAGTTCTCCCGCCTCAAAACGACTGAGAGCAGATCCCGCAGCCTTTGATGATGAGGCCATTCTATCCCTTCCCACGACAGAGCTTTCGTCTGACGAGCTCACCAACATCACGATTGAAACGAACCGAGCACCTCTCTTCCTCGCCTTCACGGTTGCGGTCCTTGCTTACACTCATCCTGAACAGCCGCTGTCGAGCAGGTGGAGCCTTGCGCAAGCCGTAGTTAGCGCTGGTGCCCAAAGTAAGGCCAAATATCTCGGAATAACGAATGGGCCTACCGCCGAGGAAGATGGTTGGGCAGAGGGTCAGCCGAAGGTGAAGATAATGGGTCGAGAGGTGCCCGTCATGCGAAGACACGTGGTGAACAAAGCAGACGACGACCAAACTGTGCCGGCCACCGCACTTTGGGGCCTAGATCTTGAAGCACTCCGCCGATCAAATGGGCCACTGATCGCAGGTAAGGAAGGAAGTGGACAAGCTGGCCCGCCTATCCACAGACCCGACGCACCACGAAACTACTTGCTCAAATCGATGATTGTGATCAATGCGAGTGAGGAGGCTGGAACAGTCCAAGGAAACACCAGTGATACTCCGAAAAAGGCGAAATCCAAAGACTTGGGCACAAAGAAGGAAGAAGCTGCTGCAATGGTGCTCAAAGCAATCGACATTGTGTGCCAGAGCTGGCAGGCCTCTCTCAGCAAGGAAGATCTGGATCGTAGAGCTCAAACATGGTATGCACGTGTTAGGCCAGACGTGGCTCAGGGTCAGGCTGGCTGGGGCCAGAGAGGGCAGGTGCGTCTCGAGGACATTTTGAAACTCCAGAAAGGATAAAGACAGCACACTCGAGAATTCGCTACAGCCTGTGCGAACGACCATAATTTGCTCCATTTGGAGACTCATTGGCTAGCAGCCAGGATACACCCGTCCGCAACATGGAAATCCACCTCCAAACCGATGTGCCACAGTGCATGCAGTCGGGCGAACTCACGTCGCCACAAGTCTATCTTTCAACATCCTCAGGCAATCACTTTCCATCTTTAGGACCAACGTCACCTACGCAGTCAGTTCACGGCACGAACTCTGAGACGAGATAGACAAACCTTTCCAGTACCTCTTATCCACCTTGTTGTCTTCCTCACTCAGTTGATTTGGAGTTCTGTCACTTCTCTGCTCCATCTCTTCGTTGTGCTTCCTCACTTCCGGGTTGTCCTTTTCGGCAGCAGACTTCGGACGGTGGATAGCAGGCGTTGCGTCCTGGCTCGAAGTGTCGGACTTCTTTGATTGAGATTGGGAATTCGTGGATGAGGACGAGGTGGCGGTCCCTTTGCTGGCCGGGGCTTCTGGCCCAGGGTGTTCCAGATGGGACTTTGGGTTTTTGTCATGTGTGCCCTGTTGCATCCCCGACTGCTCATTACCATAGGACGAATGTGCGAATCTTGCCGGTTGAGCAGAGTAGCGGAGCACAGGGATTTGCCGGGGAAGATGAGGAGCTCTAGTAGCTAGACGCGCAAACGGCTGCATGGTGGGCAGACGGGTGCTGCTTCGGCCTTTTTCGACAGACAAGTTCCGTATTGATATCGATGTGCGGCGGAGGAGCGAGTATATCTTGGAGGATCCTCACTCAAGCTGCGAGGGCGGGTGTGGAGGGAGGTTTGTTAAAATCAGGGTACAAGTCTATTTAGGTTGTCATTGTATAGAGTTGAACGGCGACATGCCCATGTTGTCATGCATATTTCACTGACACTACTACCTCCTAAAAGGTAGGCATATTGGCACAGTGGTAGGCGTTTCGATGACTTCATCGAATGCAAGGTGGTGCGTCATGGCGCTGGCATTTTAACAGTCGTTTTCAATCTACCTTAAGGTAAGGTACCGATCAAGTAAGGTATGTAATTACAGAGTTCTAGGTATCATACCGCAAGTTGTAGGTACGGTAATTATGGGACAAGACGTTGCGCGCTTGTGGAGGGCCATGATTGGATGGGGGCTGCTGCGGACAAGCTAGCCCATGATTAGGTACTTACTAGCTAAAGTAAGTCCGGGATAGAGATAACGATAACATTAAATAACCCTCGATCTGGTGTTCAGTTGATACCTCCCTGGTACCTTACCTAGTACCTGGCGCCTAGGTACTATAGGCACCTATCATGACCTTCACAACACAACACAACCGGATCATATCACATTTCCGTCATGGGGACCGAACTTCGCAATCAAGAACACTACCGGATTGAAGGGCGGCCGTACCGGTCCCATATGCACCCGGCCTGCATTCCTTGTCGAGCAAGAAAATCACGATGCAAGACGACACATTCGTCCCCCTCGTGCATCATGTGTGAAGCACATGGCACTGATTGTGTTTTCCCCGACGCTGCTGAGCGGCCGCGCAGAATATCGGGTCATTCGAGGCGAAGCACATCCTACCAAGAGAAGCACGCACGTGCATCTTCGCGTGCTCAAGCATCTCGGACGCAAGGTTTTCCGTCAACTTCGCTGGCTCCGTCTCGGCGGGCATTGCATTCAAACAACACCCCTCGAAGCGAGCCGGATGCGTTGACGAATGAAGCAATGTCCGACTGTGCAGAGCTTCCATCTCCATCCATTGGTCATCAAGACCACTCAGTGTCTACTTTGATAGACTTCATCGACAAAGCCGAGGTGGGCAGCTCTCATGTCGTGAGTCCTGCAATCGCCGACGACGACAAGGTCTTCCAAGAGTACCTTTCCAATACTCCCTATGGCCAAAGCAGACGTACGGTCCGATTCCATCTGAACTCGAATGATCCAAGTGAACCCACGCGCCCAATCGTCTTCAACACTATTCCCAAACGCGGAACAAGGGAGGCAAAAAGTCGATCGCTGGCAGCCTCACGATGCGAAATCATCGAGAAGCTCGTTGAGCCTTACCAAGATGACTTAATAAATTTGTGAGCGTCCTGCATAAAATGACTTTCGGGGGCCCCCAACTTATGGACTCATTCAGGTTCTTTGAGAAAATCAACATGTCCTTTCCTATATTTGATGAATTGCTGTTTCGACGACTCCTTGCGACCCACAAGGAGAAGATTTCACCGGGTCTGCTCTCCAATTTGTATGGAAATACTCTGATCTACTGGGACACTTGCCCAAGGCTGAGCAATGTTCGTTGTCCAGATCACTACCCCATCTGGGTACAGGCCGAGAATGCGCTCAATGCTGAGTTACTATCCACGCCTGCGATTTCGACGATAATATCAATCATCTTAAACGTTTCTGGCAGACCCAGTACTCACGTTTTGGGGAATGGCGGCCTGCTGGGCATGGCCGTTGCACTAGCCAATGCTTTCGGGTTGAATCGAGACCCATCGGGCTGGAATCTGTCACCGACAGAGAAGAAATTTAGGATAAGAATCTGGAGGATCCTTGTTGTCTATGATCGCTGGTAAGTAAGATGACCCTTTGCTCTCCGACCTTTATTGTCCCAGGCACCAACACCAACACTGGCCGCAGGTGCAGCTTGGCATATGGCACTCCGCCTCTGATCCATCGTGCCCAACACGACGTCCCCGTGCCGGCCGCGGAAGACCTCTACAATCCAGGCGCCTCCCGTGATCAAATCTCGGCGGCTTCTTGTTTTGTTGCTCTCACCACTTTGACCGATGTGCTCGGCCACTGTTTGGAGCACGTCTATCATTTAGGAACCGACTCGTCCAAAAAGCCCGAGGCATCTCCAGTTGGCCTCGAGGGCCTTCTGACCCACTGGGAGGACTCATTAACCGACAGTCTTCGTCGACTGATTATACGTGGGACGGGCCTGGTTGGGCCCGGTGCCGCCAATCTGCGACTGGCTTATCTGTCCGTCAAACTCCTCATCCGGCGCAGCCAACTGGACTTGGACAGGGTTTCTCTCCAGATCGACGATGTCGACTCCCTGTACTACATCCAAGCCAGGAGGGTTTCCGAGGAGATTGTCGACTTTGTGCGAGAGTTGGACGAAACCCACTGTCGGGATTTCTGGATCCCTCTCAACGCTTATTCCCTAACGTCGGCGACCACTTTTCTCATGAGATGCGCTCTCACCTCCAGAGGACTGGTGCGCAATACTTCACTGAAATTTGCCCGGGCCATGATCGACACGCTCCGATCCCACCGCCGCAACTATGCTTGGGATCTAGCAGACAACTGTCTATCAAACTGTGGCGACTTGGTGGAGAAGATCGAGACTGCATGCGAAGTGTCAAGCTCCAATGCTATGGAGTTCCAAGAGCCCATGCTCATGGACATGGACATCACTGCACTCAACGGCTTGTTTTCGGAGTTTGCAGGGACTTTCTGATGAACAGAGGTTGAAAAGGAAAAAGATTCGATGCTTTCTATCAATGGGGCCCTGGGGGAGGCCACAGCCTACAAATATATAGACATGAAATTACAACCAGGCAGGGATTGCCCATGTTTTGACACTTTCTAGATACAACAGGTTGGCCCCGGAATGGCGCCCCGACCGCAAACACGCATAGAGGCTCCCAGACTCCAGTATCAGCCACGGCCAAACTGGCATCCCAGCTTCCAGGAAACATCTAAGCAATCCATAGCCAGATTTTCTCCAAGAAATTCCTGGGGATCTTCTCGGGCCATATCTCGGCATCTAGAGCGGCCTTGCCGGACCAGATATCGGCCTCTGCTGGGTTGACGAAAGAAGTTCGCTTGTAGAATTTCCACAGCAAAAACAAGGCCAAGAAGATGGGAATGCCGATGTAAGCTGTGATGAAGGTCTGGGTTGACCAAGCACCGTGGGTGAAGACCTCCCACCCGTTGAACACAATGACCATGGCAAAGTAGCACAGACCGAACCACGCCGTGTACGGCTGGAACGGAGACTTGTAAGGGAGGGTGTTGCGATCGACGCCCTGCCGCGCCAAAGCTTGTCGGAAGCGTAGGTAAGCAACGCTGATGCTACACCAGGTGAGGAGCACAGCAATAGTGCCGAGGTTGATGAACCACGCAAACACTTTGGCGGCGCCTTCAGAGACAGACATATAAGCCAGCCCGCTCCAGATGGCCGTGAAGGCAATGCCGTAGATGGGCACTCCACGCGCAGTGCACTTGAGGAAGATGCGAGGCGCTTGTTTGCTTTGGGCCAGGCCGAAGAGGTAGCGGGAGCCGACGAACAGGAAGGCGTTGGCGGACGAGGATGCCGATGACAGGATGACGGCGTTGATGATGCTGGGGAGAGCAGAGATGTTCGCATTGTGGACGGCAATGACCCATGGTGAGACGCTCCCGAGTTCCGGGCTGTCGGGAGGAACCAGCACGCCGATGGCCAGGGATCCGAGCACGTAGAAGATCAGGATGCGCCAGAAGATGCGCTTGACGGCCTTGGGGACGTTCTTGCGAGGGTCGACAGCCTCGCCGGCCGCCACGGCAATCATCTCCACTCCGCCATAGGAGAAGGCGGCGAAGATGAGGGTGGAAAACAGACCCAAGAAGCGGCCTGCGTTGCCGGTGCTGACCACCTCCTTCATGGCCGGCCCCGGATTGTACCAATATCGGAAGCCGAGACGGTCACCCGTCGGGCTGCCACCAAGGTCCACAATGAAGGACATGATCAAGAGGCCGAGGATGGTGACAATCTTGATCCCTGCAAAGACGAACTCGGCTTCGCCGTAGATGGAGACGGCGAAGACGTTCAAAGAGACAATCACCACGATGATGATGCTCATCCATGCGGCTGGGTTGATGTCGTCGTTCCAGAATTCGACCAACACCGCGGCCGCCGAGATTTCGGCACAAATGGCGATGGTGGATTGATACCACACGTTCCAGCCCACGGCAAAGCCCAGCGCCGGGTCGACATAGCGGGTACAGTACTGGGGGATAGACCCGGGAAGAGGTAACCAGGTGGTCATTTCGCCCAAGCACATCATCATGGCAAACACAGCCACGCCGGTGAATGAGAATCCGAGGAGGACGGAGAGGGGGCCCGACTTCGCGAACGCTGAGCCGATCCCGAGGAATAAACCGGTCCCGATGGTGCCGCCGATGGCCATGAACTGAAGATGGCGGGCCTTGAGACTGTGAGGGAGTTGTTAGCAATGACGGGCGACTGAGATGTGGGATGGCAAGCCTAGCCTGCACTCTGCATTCACGTACCCTCTGTGGACGTATCCAAGCTCTTCAGCCGTCGCCGCATCTCCATATACACCAACTGCCTCTTCAAATGCTGGGTTGACGGCGCCTGCTTTCCCGAGCCGGATGCTCGCATCATCTTCAGGGAGACACTGGCCGTCTGTGGCGATTTCGCTTCCCTTTTCGAACCCCATTTCGACCTTGCAAAATCCAGTCCGGGTGATGGGTAGGAGATGGAGAGTAGATGGTGGTACCTGAGACACGAATGCGGCCAGAACTCGACTCGAATGGGAGCGGGCTTGATATAGAACTGGTCGACTCGCGGTCTGGATTTCTTATCAGCCCACTGCATCCCGATCCCGACAACTATCGCAAAGATTGATTGCAGAGTATGGACAGCTATCGCTATCGTCGAACCGGTCGATAGAACACGGTCTGGGTCAATACAGCACGGACAGGTCGATATCTTTTCGCGTTGATACAATCATTCTTGATAAGATTAGAACTTTCTATACTTTCCCGCGGCCAATTGTGGGCACCGGGGCGGTCTAGAATACTCGATCTGACTATCTGATGGGCGCGGCCAAGGCTGCGGAGGCTATAGTCTATCTCCGCCATGGTCAGTGACTTTCCCGCGGGAAACCTTTTTCGACGGGACGACTACAAAACACAAAACGAAGTTGCTTGGTGCTTGGTGCTTGTTCTCAGCGCCTTTTCAATTTCGAGAGTTAGTCTGGACTCTGCAGAGTCCTGGAGAGTCAAAATGGTCTACGACACCACGAACTTCTGGTCCCGAGCCGACAAATATGTCATGAACACCGGGGCCCCTTTCTTGCCGACAGTCATCACTCGAGCCGAGGGCACAATGCTCTATGATGTCGACAACAAAGCCATCATTGACTTCACATCCGGTCAGATGAGTGCGAGCCTTGGCCATTGTCATCCCGAGATCACCGAAGTGGTGAAGAAGTATGCTGGGGAAATCGACCATACGAATAGCCAAATGATTTCTATGCCGGTGGTTGACCTCGCCGAGAGCCTGGCGCAACTACTTCCAGCGCCTCTGGAGAAGTCGTTCTTTCTCTCCACCGGCTCCGAGTCGGTCGAAGCTGCCATCACCATAGCGAAGCGCGCCAGCGGAAAGTTTGAAATCGTAGCTTTCTCATCAAGTTACCACGGCGTAACCCACGGGGTTGCCTCGGCCACATACTGTATGGGTCGCAAACATGCCAGTCCTATCATGCCGGGCCAGTTGGCCTTTCCAGCTCCCAATGCCTCCAGTTCGCCTTTCAGGAAACCCGACGGTAGTTATGACTGGGAGACCGAGATGAGCTTTGGCTGGAGTATGATCGACCAACAGTCTGTGGGATCTCTCGCTGCATTTGTTTTTGAGCCCATCCTTTCCGCCGGCGGCATCCTCGACCCGCCCAAGGGGTATCTCAAGCGGCTGAGCATCGAGTGTAAGCGGCGGGGCATGCTGCTGATCGCAGACGAGGCACAGACAGGGCTTGGCCGGACGGGATACATGTTTGGATGCCAGCGAGACGAAATCGTGCCTGACATTCTCGCATTGTCCAAGTCCCTTGGATGCGGTCTGGCTTTGTCTTCCGTCAGCACGACTGCTGAGATAGCGAGGCTCGCCGCGGAACACGGATTTATCTGGGTCACCACACACCAGAACGACCCTTTGCCTGCTGCAGTGGGATGCAAGGTGCTTGAAATCGTACGACGAGATGACCTGCCCCGGCGGGCTATGGAGCGGGGAAACCAGCTGCGTGAAGGTCTCCTACGTCTCAAGGATAAATACTGGTGTGTTGGCGAAATCCGCGGCCGCGGTCTGTTGGTAGGCATGGAGGTCCTTTCCGACCCAATCGCAAAGACTCAAAGCGCCGAACTAGGAGTCATGGTCTGCGAGAAGGCGCTTCAGCTTGGGCTTTCGTGCCAGATCATGGCCATTCCTGGAGCGGCAGGTCTATTCAGGATAGCACCGCCATTGACTGTCTCTGCAGAGGAGATTGAGGAGGCACTTCTGATCATGGACCAGGCATTGGCCGCGGTACTTTCTGCAAAGGCCTACCAGAGCGATGCCAATACCGCTGAAGCTCACCTCTAGATTTGGCTTCGCTATCGCATTGTCAGAGGCAGCTTCTTCCAAGGTTGTTGAGATACTTTCATGGCTTGTCTTGGGTCAGACCCTGAAAAAAGGCGTTGCTCTGTCCAGCTGGTGGTTTCAACCGGGGAGGATCGCGGTATTTCTCAGTGGGCATTATCTAGGCGCACTACATAGTAAAATAGTATCTCCAAGGTAGGTAGGTAGGTATGCATAATGTGAGGTGTACGATTACTCTGTGAAGATCAAAAGATCTCTGTCCTTTCCCCTGCAGCAGCTAGGATTCGGCGCCGGCCCTCTGGCGCTTAGATTGGGCGAATAGGAGGGAAGGTGCCTACCTTACGGAGTATGTGTAATTACATGTCACGGTATCAAGGTACCTCTGCTACCTACACGTCAGAGGTACCTGCAGATGAGGTACCTTACCTGGTACTGAACCGTAGTACGGAACAACCGTGATTGTCGAGGAGCCAGGAGCCTCAGGAATCCACCGTACAGAGCCAAGGCAAGGTAATATGGTTAGTACGAATGTAGCTAGTAAAACATGACGTCGATATAAATTCTCGCGTCTTTCCTCCCCCGCATCACGCACCACAACGAATCGCGTCAGGGTCGAGCGTCACTGCTCGGCGTACAGTACGGAGTCCTCTGTACAACACTTTCGCTCTGTCCTCTCTTCTGTTTCGTCGGACATTGATTCCGACCCGTTGCAGGTAGATGGAAAGATGACCGACGAGAAGGTAAGTTATCCAGCTGAGGTACCGGTAGCCTTCAACATGAAAGCCTATAGTAGCTCTGACAGCCCATGGTTTCAAGGCAACAGCTACACTGTACGGAGTACGCAGTAAATAGAGTAAAATCCCATCAATGGCTGCCTTGGACTGCTTGCGCCACACGCACGGATGATGATATGACCGGCCAGTGACCTGATCTGACCTGAGCGTAGTGGTGGTAGCATCCAACCACTGCCCTGCCTTCACCAGCCCATGCCTCACTCCATCCTGAGCCCGTGTTAACTTGAAAGAAACCAACTGTGACGTCAAGCGGTCCTGCCACAAACAACCGCCAGACCTGTCACTTCACTTCCTGCCTCCCTCTGCCTTTTGTCTCATACATTCTTCTTCAAGTTGACCTTGTCCTCTCTTCCCACACTCCTCCATCAACCCGTTTCTCCTTCCTCACCTTCTGTCCTGTCAACCCACTAGCGACCATGAAGTTGTCCTTCTCTAAACTCCTCGTCGTCGCCCTCGCTTCGACTGAGGCCGTGGCTGCCAGCACTTGGTTCAGTAAGGCCGGTATGAACTCCCTCCTCTCCCTGCGCGTAGACCTGAGTTGACTTTCGAATCTAGTGTACAACAAATGGCACGAGACCGAGCTCGAGCGTTGGCTTTCTGACCATGATGTTCCCTATCCCAGTCCCGCCGATAGGAAGGACCTGGAGAATCTTGTCAAAGACAACTGGCAAGCCAAGGTGGCTGATCCGGTCTCTTCAGCAGGGGACAAGGCCACTGATCACTATGGTACCGTTAAAGATTGGATCTTCGACAGGTAAACTTGAACCCAGCCACACTTCCATACGTGCCAACCACTAACATCTTACAGCTGGACCGACTCCTCATTGAAAGCCTTCCTCGATTACCACAAGATTCCTGCTCCCCAACCACGTACCAGAGACAGTCTTTTGACCACTGTCCGTCAGAATTACGACACCGCGGCAAAGAAGCTGGGTGAATATGCCTCCTACCCGGGCGATTGGTTGTACCAGTCATGGTCTGAGTCCGATCTCAAGGAATGGCTTGACGAACGTGGCATCCCAGTTCCTCAACCTTCAACTCGTGACAAGCTCATCGCGAAGGTCCGTCGCCATGCCCGGCAGGCGTCTTCCAGCGCCTCAAATCTTGCATCTGCAGCCAGCGCATCCTACTCAAGTGGAATCTCCCACGCTACCAAATCTGCAGCAAGCGCTCAAGCTAGTCTAACCGACGCTCTCTTCGATGCTTGGTCCGACAGCCAATTGAAAGACTTCCTAGACTCCCACGGAGTTCCTGTCCCTCAAGGCAGCAAGAAGAATGAGCTCATCGCTTTGGCACGCAAGCACCGTGCACAGGCTGAGAAATCGGCGTCGTCCCTCTCTGGATCGGCGGCTTCTGCATATGGTGCTGCTACATCGTCGGCCGGTAATCAATTCGCGAAAGCCACCGACGATGTTTCTCTCAAGGCCGAAGACGCGTTTCATAAGGCCATCGATTCCTGGTCCGACTCGCGCCTAAAGGCCTACCTGGATTCGCGAGGCGTTCCGGTTCCTCAGGGCAGCAAGCGTGATGAGCTCTTGAAGCAAGTTCGCCTGAACAAGCACAAGGCCGCCACCGGATGGTCTGCGTGGACTTTTGACACTTGGACTCTTGAGAACCTCAAGAACTATGTGGCAGCCAACGGCAAGAAGGCAAAGAAGAATGCGAATGCCAGCCGTCAAGAGCTGCTCAAGCAGGCCCAAGACTCTTACGCTTCAGCATCTAAGGCTGGTGGCTCCAACTACGCCTCTATCACCAATTACCTTGCCAAGCAAACTGATGCTGCGAAGGATACGGCTTTTGACACCTGGTCTGATAGCGACTTGAAGGATTATCTCGACAGCTACGGTGTTCCTAACTACCAAGGCTCCACTACCAATGAACTCCGAGCTGAGGCCAAGAAGCAAGCCAACTATTTCAGATACGGTTCCTCGTCGCCCTCAGAGACTATCTACGAACGAATTAAGAGTGGTCTGCAATGGATTCTTGGACAGGCTCAGGGCTCAGCTTCTTCAGCATCTGCAACTGTCTCTGCTTCTGGAAGCTCAGCCGCCAGTGCTGCTTCCAAGACTGCTTCCAAGAGCGCCTCGTCTGCTTCCAAGGTGGCATCCAAGAGCGCCTCCAGTGCGAAGGCGGAACTGTAAACGGGTGAAGGAATGCAGCTGATGCCATGGCAGGTGGGAGCACTATCAATCAGTGTGGTGGACAGTGGGGAGCTGGTGTGCTTAAGTCCACTTTGACGGCATGAGTTTGCTGATGGCAAGTTTACGATTTGTATCTCTAGAGCTTGATTCACGACAGCAATACTACGAATGCGAAAAGTTTGCATCCAACTCAAATATTTTCTATGCGATTTTGCTCATCATGCTTCGTGTGTAATGTGTCCCACCTCGTTCGCGACAACTAGTGAAATTCGGTCTTTCTGAACGGCTCCAATTTCCCGACAACGAGATACTGAAGAATCATGTCAGTACACTGAGTAGTTGATGAAGGGTGTTCACGATCGAACACGGCCCAAGCTTACCTTCTCATCAAACCTTTCGATCCAGCCATTAAGATTGTCGATTTGATCGTGGGCCAGGTCCGCACAATCGTCCAGTGGGCCATCGAGGTCTTTGGTCAACATCTCCTCGTCGAAGCTCTGGCACGCCAACCCCCTTGTGGCGTCTCGGCCGGCGAAGTTCTCATACGGGCCGCCGGGTCCGTAGAAGTTGCGCCCGCTTGTCACGTCATAGACCTTACCCCTAACGGCGAGGTACACAGGGTTGTTATCTTGGCCATTGTACTTGAGCAGTGTTCGCGGCGTGAATGTCTGGAAGACAATCGGCTTCGGGCCCTGAGGGAGCTTGGGCGGTTCGCTGGGCCGGAGGCGTAGGTACAAGATGCTCGAGAGGATCAGGAAGATGGAGACGTTGAGGGGTGTGGCGACGGCATAGCTGTTGTTTTGTTGCATACATCGTCAGCGGTCCATCCAGATTAGAGTGCTTGTCAAGGGGATAGATAGGCTAAGCGTATGGGAGGAGAGTCGGGGCAGACGAACAATGATTCCCGCATCTTCTCGTTGTATGCTTCGATCTCTGTTTTAGATAGTCAGCCACTGCTCCGGGAGCCAGGGAGTGCAAGAGGTTGCGGACCAGGCGGGATCCCACTCATATCAACGGGTTTAGCGTCACTTGCCCTGGATTCCTATACTGGTTCGAGGTGATATACGTGTAAGGAGACGGAAGAATCTGATAGCCCAAATTTAGATCGTGAGTGAACGGGGTGAACGGGGGGAACGGTAAAGCTGGAGCAGTCTTGGAGGTTGAGGTCGGAGTAAAAAGGCGGGGTTGCCCATCCCTATTATTCAGAGTATGTAGTACTCGTATTATTCCGACCGTCGCCGCTTTTTCGGGCGAATATCACGTTAGCCATCCCCGCGCTGGTGATGGTGCCGCATGGGTCCCAAGCCCAAGCCCAAAAGTTTGAGTCACTAGGTATTCGTACTCCGTACCCTGTATCTGTTCGAGCGTGTCCATGTTAGGGGAAGCAAGATGCGACAGAGAGAGTGTGTATCTCGTTGGTCACCCGCCTCTAGGCTCAAGGTCCATCCTGCTGCGTCGGCGGCGTTGAGCCCTGAAGAGAAGTGAGGGATGAGGGTTACATTCAACCAGTGGCACTGCAGGCTTTGTCTAGCAAACAGACACTCTCTCGTCGCCATTGCGGAAGTTCCCCCGATATCGAACATCTCTTTGATTGATGTCTCCAGACCCAGGCTGCGAGACTGGCCCTCTTCATGGTGGCGCCGCCGGACTGCTGACTGCGGACTGCGGACTGCGTGCATTGCAGTGAGATCCACCGTATTGCCAAGACGATCTCTGGTCGAAAATCGCGGTCCCTGCAGTGGCACTAGTAGTTCGCGACCTCCGAGGCAGGGGAAAAAAAGTGTCGACATCATCATCAGCGAAGGACGAGGAGGCTTTTACTCTCCTGTCTTTGTCTATTCGGCGACATTTGCTGCGATGTTCTGGTCTTGATGCCTGTTTTCATTGCTCTGCGAACCCGGTCCTTCCAATGCACCGCATCCCACAGCTATCCTCCAGGTCATGCGCAGATGTCTCGAGTATGCCCAGCTGAGAAGATACTTCCACTGCTACCATCTTGCACCGCGATCTCCTCTCCGACGTCTTCGATACGATCGGAGCTTACTGTGGGCGAAACCTCACGACCGACATGCCTTACCATCTCTCAATAGCCGCTTGCTATCCTCCGCTCCCCCGACTCCAGACCAGGATGCGTCGCCCCCGTGTGGCTGGCCAGACGTCTCCTCTCCTCCTTTGCCCGCCGCTGGAAGCGATGCAAAGGTGAGACATGAAAATAACACGGAGTCATACAACGGGCATCGATGTGATCCAGGCCATTGGGTATCTTTGCTAGAACAGTTTCTGCCCAGTCAATTGCGCCGTACCGACAAACATGAGCCTCCGAGTATCTCGCATGATGGCTCTGATCTCAATAAGCTGATTGGTATCCTCACCAAAGCTAGCGCTTCCGAAGACATTGACATCCTGGGCTTCTTGGTGCTCAGCCAACGCCGTCACAAGGCCGCGGTCCACCTGGCTGACGTGCTGCTGAATCCCCTCGCTGCCGTGCCCAGCGTACCGGATGAGGAGCAACTACCGTCCAATATCAGCTGGCCGGTAGCCTTATCTCCCAGTGCCTTGAGGCACCCACTCGAGCTGGAACACGAGCTCCACGTCGATAAACGAGCAGCCATTGCGCCAGTCCGGGCATCTCAGAGCCAGTACAGTGAAAGAGACCGCCAGAGGGTACTGGACATTGTATGGCCCTTCCTGGCCAAACTCGTCATTGCCTCCACTAAAGGGCTCCCGGAGGATGCTAGAGATATCATGAATACTGTACATCAGATTCTTGCACGCATGCACAGTTTAGACCTTGTACCTCCGACTGTCTATACCTATTCACCACCACAAGGAACCACAACCATTCAGAAGCCTCCAATCCTCAACCTCTTGAATTCGAGGATCCTCTCGACACTTTCGGATGCGGTGTGGCGTGCGCAGCAGGATGACGCTATCGCGCAAGCACGGGAAAAGGGCAAGCCCTTGCGGGACGTTTCGCACCACCCACCAAGCAGTCGCTTCCGCCCCCGAGTTAAGGAGCTGGGACCAGAGTTATGGTTAGAATTCATCCTTTGGTGCAGCGTCGAAGGAGGTCTCGCATCGACTGGAACTCGCATCATCGACTTGTTGCGCGAGGATGCCGACAATCGATGGTCCGCTATAAATTGGACTGCGGGTCAAGCCATAGACAACGAAACCCCATGGGTTGATTGGGATCGAGTCAAGCGCCGCCATGATAGTCCTGTCGGCCAAAGAGAAGCCTACAGTTGCGATCAGCCATTTGAGGAGATGCCGCGCAGAACGATTAGCGCAGAGGTTATCCTTGCTCTCGTCGACTGCTTGGTTACCAGTCTTGATGCAGGATCGGCTCATAGCGGATCGGCTGTCGAGAGAGTCGCAAGGGAAATTCTTCAACTTGTTTCACTCCTCAAACCACATGGGCTTCCTCCAGCATATTTCGACTATCTTACAGTCCGGTTTCTCCAGACTGAGACCGTGCGTATGCAAGGAGGACCAGACACCCTCCGAGACTGGGTGATGGCTCTCTCTCAACTTTGCTCACTCGACGCTGTGAAAACACAATCCCGATCTAGAGCCAGCTTCGACTTTGATGCAGTCATAGAGCGCTCAGAATTGCAGGCAGGGCTTCTCCACCAGGCATTGCAAATCTACGTCGATCTTAATCTCGTCACGAAGGCGGTCGACACGTTCACGGACATTCAAAAGTTGGTCGACGTCAGTAAGTTGGAAACGATTGGCGAATTTCTTGCTTCGAGCATTCGTCCTCGAAATGGATTCTTTACATCCAGAGCGAGGGGTCATATTGACTTCAACAACTCACACGGTCAACTCCCCATGTACAAGATGGCTCCTTTCCTCAAGCTGGTAGCTGATGCCAGGTTGTTTGGCCTAGGGGATTGGCTGCTGTTTTCAGAGGATGTCGACGGACCTCTCATACCTTTTTCCGCATATCGCCAGCCTTCGATAGCGATCGCGCTCTGTCGTTACGCTGCGGCCAAGGATGATCGTTCTCTTATCCAGTCGATTCTCTTGGTCCGGAAAGGCACTAGCAGAAGGCCGACAGTGAGTCTTCTGAGAGCTCTTGTCAATTCGCAAATCATCCTACAAGATTGGGATAATGCGGTCTTTCTTCTGCAAGAGTTGAAAGCTGCTGGAGGGGGCGGTTACAGCCCGGATATTGTTGCTCATCTTGCGGCCGCGATCTTGCGATTGGAGATAGAGCCACCCGGTCACGACCGTGACAACCATGTCGACCAGGCGACTAGATTACTCCGAGATATATTGGAAGGCCGCTATAACCCTTCCGCCGGGGATTTCCGAATTGATCAGAAGCTGGCTTTCAAACGACAGACTGGGCTTTTGCTACGGTTCCTGGAAAACGTGCCGGACAGTGGGGTACAAGCCCTCTCAACCCAATTTGGGCAACTCTTCCCTCTCAGCAACGAGGCTTTGCTACCTCCTAACACTTTCAACATTTTGCTTTCTGCAGTTGTTGAGAGTCGAGGAGCTCTGGAGGGTCGTCGGATGTGGGATATGTTTTGCAAGGTCGCGGATGTCCCAACGAGTCCCACAGCCGTAGAAGGCGAGCCCTTCCATCCAACCGATGTTTTCGTCGAAGATGACGCAACGTTGACCGAGTCCAGCTCGGACCCAGACCGAAATAAAGCACGACCAGCGTCCAGGGTTGGAAGTGCCCCGGCTGATGTGGGATCTTCACGTCGTCGGTTGTCAGAAGTGGTGGACCGACCCTCATTGGTTACAGGCATGGACAGCTCGTCCGAAGACATTCCTTTTGTGCGAACAGAAACACGTGAAGAAAGTTCCTCGACGAACCCAATTGTGATTCCGAACATGCGGACTCTGCAAATTATTGTGGGAGGCGCCCTGGCAGAGAAACAAGCGGAACCAGGGGTTTCAAGGGAGACGCTTGAAGAGCTCGACCAACTGCTGCAGTGGGCCGGACCGCTTTTTAAAGGGTTCAAGCTTTCGGACGAAGACATCCAAATCGAATTGCGAATGGCCGGCTCTTTCCCAGAGGCATTCACTCGACGTTCGCGGAAGACGCCACGGCAAAGGCAAAGACGAATGTTGTCGGAGCAGAACAGGCCAAGGGTGAGCAGTCAATTTACCAGTGGAGCGCGAATGCCGAGACCGCCGCCTGGCCGGAGACAAAGCAGCCCACGGCCACACGGTGACAGGGAGGGGTGGCCACGATGCGAATAGCCCAGTCTAGGAAGAGCATTATTGTCACTGTTTCGTGAGACGTGCGAATAAAATGCATATTATGTACATATGGAAGGTCACGGATGTATGAATGCATGGCGGTGGCGTTAGGCTGGACACTGGGCAGCGATGCCAGACAATAGGTAGACTGGCATGACACAGGCCCCATCGTCCATTTTAGACAAGCTAGTACCTACCGTTGTATCGAGAATATATACTTAGGTATGATACACTGCGTTCCGGTCTCATCCGCGACACAGCTTGATCCTGGTGGCTCGACGGAGGCAAGTAATAGTTGATACCTGTGAGACCGTGGTACGCGTGAAGTGGGCCAGTGGCCAATCAGGAGGCGGAAAGGCGAATGTTGCATGATTGGATCTGGACCCGATACCGATACCGATACGATACCAGGTACCTGACTGCAACATCGACAACACCAGGGGCGTGGACAGTGGACACGCCTCTCCTTCACACTAATATCTCTGGCTGAGATTGCGCAGGCTCTACATACTCTGTACATCGGAGCAAGGACACCGCAACGTCACCGTCACCGTTTCTTCTCTCAATGTCCTTGCTCACTTCTCCCCCTGCCAGGTCGAGGTCATCGCTGTCGAGAGCGTAGCGGAGGCAAAAGCAACGGATAGCACTCACTGCCTCCCTGTCTCTCTGCATTGTCTCGGAAGCCCGAGATCTTGGCTTCTCTGCTTCTCTGCTTCTCTGCTTCTCTGCTTCTCTACCAAGTGGCGCCACGGGATCCGCCCCGAACAATCATTCAATGAGATGACCATGTCGGAAGCCCGCGAGCGGGACTCCAATCCACAGAACGACGACAATATGATCGTGATCGAAAGAAACGGCAACTGCGACCCCGACCCGCCCTTCGAAGAGCATGGATTGCAACGATTAAGACATCTGACTTGGGTGAGCAGCCTGAGGTCCAACCCATCGCTCCCCGAGGGAGGCTAACATGTTGGTGTTGCTATAGGCATGGTTCACCTTCCCGATGGCGACGGGCGGCATCGCCTTACTGCTGTCTCCCCAGAACCAGCCACACACGTTCCGGGGCCTGCAGACGATCGGGAGCATCGTCTACGTCTTCGACCTGTGCATGTTCAGCCTCGTGGTGGCTGGAATCGCCTACCGCTTTAGCAAATGGCCGCACGCGTTGATTTCCAGCTTGGTGCACCCGACGGAATCGCTGTACTTTGGCACGGCGTTCCTGGCGCTGGCCAGCATCATCACCTGCATGGCGCACTATGGCATCCCCAAGTGTGGCTACTGGCTGGTGATTGTGTACCGCGTGCTCTTCTGGCTCTACCTGGGCGTGACGTTCGTGGTGGCCGTGGGGGCGTATTCGATGCTGTTCACGAACCCGCGGCTCAAAATCCAAGACATGACGCCTGCATGGGACCTGCCCATGTTCCCCTTCATGCTCAGTGGCACCATTGCCAGCAGCGGGATCGCATACCAGCCACGCGAGGCGGCGATGCCGATGCTCTTCGCGGGCCTCACGGCGCAAGGGCTCGGTATGCTGGTGTCGTGCTTCATGTACGCCAGTTACACGCGGCGCATGATCCAATACGGCCTCCCATCGCCCGACTCCCGGCCCGGCATGTTCATCGCCGTGGGGCCCCCGAGCTTCACCACGCTGGCCATAATCGGGCTCGCCGAAAACTGGCCCGGAGGCTACGACTACTTCGGCCCGGACGCCATCACGGCCCAGGTGGTGCGCGTGCTGGCGCTCATGACGGGCGTCTTCATCTGGAGCCTGTCCCTCTGGTTCTTTGCCCTGAGTGTCGTCAGCTGTCTGGCCGTGTACAGGTCGTTTCGCTTCCGCATGAACTGGTGGGCCTTTGTCTTCCCCAATGTCGGCTTCACCCTCGCCACCATCAGCATCGGCAAGGCCCTGAAAAGCGAGGCTGTCATGTGGGTCGGCTCCGCCATGACCATCTGCTTGGTCGTCGTCTATATATACGTCCTGTCCAACTTTGTCCGTGCCATCTTCCGGAAGCATGTGCTGTTCCCCGGCAAGGATGAGGACAATTACCGGCGGGAAAAGATGGGCAAGGCCGAGGTTACAGCGGAGGACGTCGAGCACCGCCCTCGCAATGGAAAGGGTAGTTGACGGGATGGTCGATTGGCTGTGGCTGTGGTTGGGGCTGTTCAGCATTCATGTTTCTCTTTGTTCTGGCTTCAAGTTCAGCGGGCAACTCTCCGCCAGTTTAGATAGACTGGTAAAAGGGTTGGGTTAGATTGTATAGACTGGTAAAGGGGTTGGGTTAGATTGTATAGACTGGTTAGGAAGGGGTTGCATTGAACCAGACCAGACCAGACCAGGCGTTAGATAAGGCCAGGCAAGTCCAGGTCGAAAAGGATAGAGGTCGACAGATAGATGATAGACAAATAGATGTACGGGTATGGGATTATACTTATACATAGTAGTTATAATATCCGTCCACGTCCTTTTCTGCTCTCAGCTAGGGTAGGGTCTTTACTACACTGGACGGAGTACAGAAATAACTGATCACTGATTCCGGCGCGAACTCACTGTCTTAAACCGTAAGCGAGCCTGGACTGTATGATAGAGATGTCTGGTAGTCCATCCCATAGTCCATCCGATCAGCCAGCCAGTCAATCAATCGAGTCGAAATTCATGTCACCGATGAGTATGTCGAGTACAGACCGGCGTGTCCTTTGTCCTAACCCTTGGATCATTCCTGACACAGTCCGACCCAACAGTTCCCATGCCATGCCTTGCCTTGCCTGATATGGTGGGATTCCCATTTCCATTTCCAGTTCCAGTTCCATCCCGATTCAATTCACAACCTGACCCGACCCAGCCCACCCTCACACTCGACAATAGCAGTGTGCCGTCCTATCCCGTCATAGTTCCTTGCATTGTCTCATGGTTCATGGCTCGTCCTGACCCCAATCCAATCCAGTCCATCCCAACCCAGTCAATCGAGTCCATCCCATCCCAGTCCAACCCAGTCCAACCCAATCCAACCCAATCCAACCCAATCCTAAACGGCGGCAAGATTGTACCATTCTCGACTATGTCGTCCGCCGGCTCCGGGTGCGTGATCCAATCCCCTCCGTCGCCCGGGGCTTGGGGTCCTTCTTTGGCTTCGGCGGTGCCCCGTCCCCCTTCTTCGGACGACCAGGCTTCCTGGTTTCGGCCTTCGACTGGGCCCCCTTGGCCGGCTGCTTCTGCTTTGCCGGCTCTTTCTTCGAGGCGCCATCTTGCACCGGTTGCTTCTTGGGGCGGCCGGCCCTTTTCCTCTCGGGCTTGACCTCCTCCTCCCCTTCTTCACTTTTGGCTTCAACAACTTCCTCCTCGTGCGCCGGCTCCTTTTTCTGCTTCTTGGTGCCATTTGCCCCTTTACCCTTGACGGTCTTGCCCTCGGCATTCTCTTCTAGTGCAGGCTCATCCTTGTCTTCGTTTTCGTTTTCGTTCTCATCTTCGGTGTCATCGTGTTTCCGCTTTTCACCGTTCTTGGTCTCGGTCCCGGTCCCGGTCCCGGACGCGATCTTTCCAGCCCCAGAGTCCGCGGCGGATCCATTCGCCTTTTCTTCAATGTTCAGCTCCGACGCTCGCTTGACCACGTCGTTGCCCGACCGCTCGATGCGCACGGCGGGGTTGTCGGGGTCGGCGTTCTTCTTGACTTTGTTGCCGCGCTTGGTCGTGATGGCTAGCTCGCCCTCGGTCTTTGTCTCGGCAACCACGCCGCCGGGTTTTCCGCTGCCCCAATTCCATGAGACTGCAGATGCGGGTGGGTGTTAGCATACGGATACAGCCTAGGCCATGGCTCATGGGTAATGGGTAATGGAGGGCATTGTGAGGAGCAGCCACAGGAAGAACGGCCGCGAGCGCCCTATCCTGTGCTCGGAGGAAGTCCACACCCAGTGAAGTGTGCTCTCGGAGGAAGTCCACAACCAGTGAAGGGTATGCTCGAGGGATGGCTGGCAATCTGGCAATGCTGAGGGTGTGAAAAACAATGGCGGCGACATACCTTTGTCGCCTTTCTCGGGTTCCTCGTTGGACATGATGTTGGAGTGTGACGTCAGCCAACAAACACTCGACTGACAACTGGGGATTCGACGTTCTGGAAGACGAGAGGTGGGTTCGATCGAGTCCAGAGAGAGACCAGGCTGGTCGCAGCAGTTTCGCGATCAAGCTGGGACAGGCGAGGAACAGAACGAGGGCACGACAAGCAAGAAACAAGAAGCAAGAAGCAAGAGGGAGGAAAGAAAGCCAGAATAGGGGAGCTGAGCTGTACAGTACTCGGTACGGAGTACTGTCCAGGGTAGACGGGATCTCGGTCAACGCAAAGGTCGACTACCCGACTATTTACTACCTGAGCTTACCGAGGACTGCAGTGTATTTGTTGTATCCGTACCATGCACCATCGTTTTAAATTCAATTACGTTCTGTACATTATCCGTACTCTGTACGGATACTCTGTACTCGGTACCTAGGTACGGAGAACATGTACTGTACTCCGTACATACTGTAGCTCAAAATGCCGAGAGCTCAGGCCCTGGCCGCCTATGGGTGTTGCTGGAGGGATGCCGGGGACGTGGGTGATTGATCCAGAAGATCAGGATTCTGAAGTGGTAGCACCGGGCCCCCCCTGGACCCTGCTAGGTAGCTAGGTACGAGTACAGACTCGGGACGGTACAGTATTATTATCCGTACTGTAGGTGGGAATGTACGTACGGAGGACACATGGCCCCAAATCAACCTGCATGCTAGCGTGTACACTTGCAGCACGGGGTACAGGGTACAGGGTTCAGGGTGTAAAGATGTACGGATACATTAATTACCTAGGTACAGCTAAAGCTACTGTAGGTAGTCGAGCCTGCCAGAAACACGTTGGGATGATGCCAAAGGGGACAACCACTAGTCGGAGATACTGGGTGCATAATATATCTGTATAATACCTTTGACAGCTATAGGGGCAGATTCTATTATGTATCCCAAGTGGTCAACAAAACCACACATCGGTGTATGAATACGAATCCATCTGTAGCCTCACTGACACTAGCTGGTCAATATATCTCGGCCATCAGGCAACATTGCTGCTACCATCCTCCGGTCCCGGTAAACCCTCCTCGTCGCCAGGCTCCCGATAAGTTCCAGCTTGCTTGGTGGCTCCGCGAGTACGCTCGTCAAGGATGTTGCTCTTGTCAATAGCTTCGTTATCATCGCGAACTGATGAGGACACTGGTCAGTACTAGCCATTCGGCCGAAAACAAGGAAGAATACTGACCTAGCTGTTCGTCGGAATCGGCCGTGTTAGCATCGATTGGATCATCCACCGGGGCATCGTCACTCTGTACCGGAATATCGCCTTGTCCAGTGCGTGACTTGTAGTCGTTTTGTAAGGTGTCGGGGCCAGTGCTACCCTCGACACCCTCGGTCGTGGGTTGATATCCGTCACCTGGAGCTGCAGACATTTTGTAGTAAATGGTACTGCTGGATTTAAGGTCTGATGGTTGGGATGGATGAAAGGATTGAAAGAAACAACCGCAGACCATTGCTCGCCTACCCAGTTTTATATGCGTGAGCGTCCTCCATTGTTGTGTGGTATGGATTAATGACAGCTGGAGGCGCACCTGGGGCACAAATGCCGTGCGCAGAATGTAGCTGTGTCATCATGAGTCAAAGTGCTGCTCCTATCCTCTGGCCAATTTGACATGCGCTTCATGCAATGTTGCCTACCTGAGGTCATCCATGATGCCAGTGATACACCGCCCCAACAGCCGGGACAGGCAATCCTTGGGTAGTCTCCTTCCATCCGGGAGCGGGAGAAAGTCAACTGGTATCCAAACTTACCAAGATCGTCCGCAAGTAGGGGTGTCCAAGCTCAAGACCCCCTGCGGAGGCTTCGAAAGCAAGGGGTCTTGTGCAAATACAGGCACACAAGGCTGGGGATTGACGGATCGAGGGCAGTCGAAGACGTCAACATTTCGTCCTAAGGCCCGGAGCTTGTGGCTAGGAACATTTTCAAGCTCCACATGCTGCAATCAATCTTGCATCCTGAAGTCAATCGTAGCAAGCCCTTGGGACAGAAATAAGAATCACGAGGTCGATAGCCTGGCGCCTACCTGTCTCTGGTTCATTTGAAAGCCACGTACCCATGCTTGCTGGGCGTGGCCTAGGATCGGACTCGGCGGGATGGGGCGGGAGGCCTCGATCCTAGGGTGCATATGCTCTGGATATCACGACATTCGACTCGTCATGAAATGCCTGATGAGGTAGATGGAAAGCGCCTCAAGACAGGGTTGATCATCACTTAGGTATCCGTACTTTACAGTGTACTCCGTAAGACTGCTCTACGGCTGGGGTGATAGTGCCAAGCCGTAGATGCCTCACGTGAGAACGTGCTCTAGTACGGAGCACGCGACGCGTACCACTGGCGGCGAATTGTGAAGGCGCTGCCCATGGATGGCGAGGCCACGCAGAGGAAGAACATATGCGACCATGCTTTTGATGGCAGGATGCCCTGCCTCTTGAACGGTGTCTACCTCACGCGCCTTCATGTAAACATGCGGAACCTTTCGCCACCAATCCTCAGCAATGCCAGAAGACTGCGCCAATCCGCGTCTTGCGGAATGGCTGAAAGAATGGATGGACGAGGCCAAAGAAAGGAATAGCAAGGCATACACCGTGTAAGTCGACTGCATCGCTAGGGGGATGCCGCTGATCTTGATAGCTACAAGAAAGCTTACGATTCCATGAAAGCATGTCCCTTACGCTTCGACCATCCTTCCGAAGCCCAACAACTCAATGGCCTTGGTCCCAAACTATGTGACCGCCTGACCGACAAATTGAAGGAGTTCTGCGACCAGAATGGCATTCCAATGCCCCCAAAGCGGCGGAACAAAAGAAGAACATCTGAAGCTGTCCTGTCCGACTCCGCAGGTCCCGCCGAGCCCGAACAGCATCCTCCCGCAAGAAAAGTGCGCAAGTCGCAGCCGTACGTCCCAAAGTTGAGGTCAGGTGCATACGCTCTGATCCTGGCATTGGGGACCTTGGACCGAGAGTCAAATCAAGCAATCTCCAAAAACGACCTGATGGCATTGGCGCAACCGCTCTGTGACTCGTCCTTCTATGCACCCAGTGACCCGACCAAGTTCTATACGGCCTGGAAATCCATGCAGACCCTTGAGAACAAAGAACTTGTCTGCACAAAGGGCCACCCCACAAAAAAGTACTATCTGTCCGATGAAGGATGGGAGGTTGCAGTTCGAATGAAGGCAACCCTGGAGGGACCCAATCTGTCACTGCCTAGTCCCAAAGGCCAAAAGAGAGCACCTTCACACGGGCGTAGTCCATCAAGGCACATATCTCTCGAGCCTGTTACTCAGCGGGCTGCTCCAATACTGCAGGCTCCAGCAAATGGGACAGGATCTACAGAGTCTCACCGACGCATAGTCGACGCATTGTCTGATGATGAATCGGTTTGGGCCGTTTCAGAACCAGAGCGTCCCAACTTTGTATCCCGGAAGATTCATCCTGAGATCCAGTCGGTCAGTGCTCAACCCTCCTCCGAGGATACAATTCGCCTACCCTCGGGCAGGTTCGAAGTGAAAATGGTCCTGGATATGCGAGAAGTCCGCACGACTACCGACCGAGACTACATTTCTGCAGAGTTGAAGAAGCTAGGAGTGGTGCCGATTCTCCGCTCGCTGCCTTTGGGCGACGTTCTATGGATTGCACAGGTCGATTCGGTGTACGCAGAGACTTTAAGGAGGGCCAACGTCGGAGATGACGAAGAGGGAAATGCTGAAATTGTCCTGGAACATATCCTCGAACGCAAAAGACTTGACGACTTGATAGGCAGTATCAAGGATGGACGTTTCCATGAGCAAAAGTTTCGACTACACAAGTCGGGCATCAAAAATGTCACCTACTTGGTCGAAGAATACTCTCTTTCTGCAGAGCGCAGTGAAAAATATGGAGAAGCACTGGAGAGCGCCATTGCGAGTATGCAGGTAGTCAACAACTTTTTCGTCAAGCAGACGTCCAAGTTGGATGACACCATTCGATATCTGGCCCGAATGACCAACACACTGAAGTCATTGTACGAAACCAAAGATATCCATGTCATTCCGTCGCGAAGATTTGAGGCAGAGGCCGTCGTGATTACGCTGGACCGGTTGAGAAGAATCTCGCCTGGGAGGATATATGGAGTGACATTCTCTACATTCGGAGCCATGTGTGACAAGTCGGAGAGCATGACTCTCAGAGACGTCTATCTCAAGATGCTGATGTGTACGAGAGGTGTGACGGGAGAGAAAGCGGTCGAAATCCAGAAGATCTGGCCTACTCCGCGCGCCCTGGCCGAAGCATTCGAGGCCCGGCAAAGTGGCCCAGACAAAGACAACATGGTCAGCGATCGATTGGGAAATGCAATTCCCCGAAAGAAGGTGGCGAAGTCCCTCAGCGCAAAGATTGCAGAGATCTGGGGGTGACACCGGTGTTCAATATGTACATTCAGAAATGAGGCGATGTTATGGAGATGGCCGCATCAACCAGACGACAGCGATGTACACTCCCTCAACTTCCAGCCCACATCTGCCCCTCTACAGTTGGCCGCTACACTCGCAAAACAAAGCGCCAATCTACTCTAGAAAACAGCTTATGAAATTCGAGATCATCATACACAGCTTCCGCTGACTCCAAAGCTCTACTATAGACACCAGCTAATCATCTTAACATGTCCTCCGGTCCGATTTACGTCACTGCAGTCCTGCATCCCAAGCCAGACAAGTTCGACGAAGTATGCTACTTCCGTAGGAGTGCAAATGCGGCCAGACGTCTAATGAGAGCAACAGGTGATAGCCGCGACTGCAGAGATCATCAAAGCTGTCGAGTTGACGGAGCCGGACGTCCTCGCCTACTATGCATTCCGAACCCAGACTGAGATTGTCTTTGTGGAGACGTAGGCGATGCTGCTCTGTTCTCGCATCTTCCCGCTGTCCGCTGACCAGGGGATTCTCAGATATAAAACTCCTGCTGCAAACGACGCACATGTGAAGACTGATCATTTCCAATCGTTCTCCGCGAAGGTTGGTCCTCTGTTGGAAAAGCCACTGGAGCTCAAACTGGGTACATTCCTCTCTGGATTCGAGCAGCGAGCGAGTTCAAAAGAAACGGAAGTGAGCAGATAGTGCGAGCAGCACATGGACCTGGTTGTTTTATCCTAGGCGCCTCTCGTCCAGAAGACCTATAGACCGATGATGAGTACATGTAGCTTGAGTGATCATTTGAGCCGTTGTTCATGCACAGTTTTCGACTTTCATCATCCAGCGCGCCATCACCTCGACCTGTCGATATAATAGTTGGCGGTGTCCGTCTCCCGAAAAGTGATCTCTCGTAGTTTATCGGTACGAGGTACTACATGTCCTTGAGCTTGACAAGATCAAGCTTCTCCAAGCTTCAGGCCCCGGTTGCTGCACGACCAAATCATACTGCCGGAGCTTACTCTTCTGGAAGGACGATCAGGCGTTCCCCCCACGGGCCGGGAACAGGCTCCAGGCGAATCGCAGACCCCGACGGGGGCAAGATGCACAAATCCTGGGGTACAGTTTGTATCATGGCCGACATCCATGCTGTCTTACACCCGGTGACCTAAATGAGGGGTCCATGCCGGCTGGATGTTGGTGGCGTGGTGACTTTTCTTCTCTGGTTTGATTTTGTTCTACTGTGGTACTACTAACTGTTGAGACTTCATACCAGCTCAAGAAGGGCTCCTTTCTTTGTAGTGCACCGACCGTCGGACAGAGCAAATCTGACATTGGATCAGGACCAGGGTGATATCGAACACCCTCATCAACACGGCTGCCCATAGCAGGGCTCCCCATGACCACGGTGCTTGAGCTCTCACTCGCTCACAACAACTGAAGTCTGTCGTCCAACTTTTGGCAACAGTCCAAGGATCTGACTCCGTGATTCCAAACCACCTCGACACGTATCGACCTAGACCACAACCGATTAGCGACCTTTCTGATGCTAGGCATCGAAGGCCTCGCCGACGCATCGTTTCAAGGCGACCGGCGCTGGAAGCGAGCGGCCAAATGGACCAGTTACGCGCCCTGGCTGGTTCTCGTCATGTCCGTTCTGAGCATGGTTGAGATCGCTTTGGGGGCGGTCTGGATTTCTTCAATGAAGCGCGAGCTCAATTTGTACGTCCAACAACACGCTTGACTTCTGTCCGATGGTATTATGGTTGCCGCCGTCAGAGCAGAAGGTTGCGAAAGGGAAACACGCCTAGACTGACACGTCTTTTGTTCTAGTGCCCAGGTTATCCAGCCCCTGATCGTACCGGGACTGTGCTTCTTCAACACCATTCCATCGCTACACCTACACGTCATGGCGCGCGCCAACCCGCCACGTCTTGCGCTCTGGTTCTCTGCCACGCTCTCCGTCATGCTGTTCGCCAGCGCGCTCATCTTCCTAGGCGCTTGCGTCGGCAACGGCAAGTCGCGTGGAGGTAGTCTCCAGCGCAATGAGTGTCCTGCCGGCACAGGCGGCCGGGCCGATATCTGGGACGCCATGGTCGCGCTACAGTTGGTTAGTGCAGTCATGTACGCGGCGGTGGCGGGGATGGCATGGAAGGTGAAGCGTGTTCTAGAAGATAAAGACCAGAGGATCGCCGCCGGTGTCGAGCTCGTGAGCCAGGCTGAAAAAGAGAGAAGGGAGAGCGAGGCTAGGGAGAGATGGAGGCATCTTTCTGCCGGATGAGGGCTGTCCTTCGCTCACCATCGCGAAAGAAAGCAGTTCACCCAGCGCGATCCAACTCGAGAGTCGACGGGAGGGATTGCGTGCATGACGCGTGGCCTCGAGATACAATCATTCGATGGAGGTGAAAACCAGTCTTAGAGCTGGCCCCTTGCATACAGATCGCAACTTTACTGCCAGAGCATAAGTAATATGAGCTTCCGTCGTGACCATCAAGTCTCAAGTCCAAGCCATCAAGCCATCTGTACTCTGTACTCCGTACTCCAGACAACAAAGCGTCACGCCGCCTTTATACAAACACCAGGCTTGGCACAAATGAATAAAGCAGCAAGAGAGCCTCCACCGATTCGGACCCGCCGTCGGTGCTCGCCCTCGATCGCGATCTTGCATCCCCAGGCTGAATGAACGGTTGGTTCCGTTTCGGGTGTTTGTTTTGCGACCTGTTCGAGATACAGGTCCCGAATATCCTGCACGCATGTATAGCCCAGAAGGTCACATTCAACTCACCGCAATGCGCCAACTATTCTCACTGGATTGTATCAGGTAGTATGCCACAGCCGCCCATTCCACCAATGCGATTCCACGCGCCATGTCTCGAAACAAAGAAAACAACCCGCTATTCACGGCCCGACGCCATGGTCCCTCTGCGTCCCTGGGAACCCACCTCTCGAGTGAAGACTTCTTCACCGACAGCATCCTCGAAGATTCGCGTATCCCGTCCCCAAGTCCGCAAAAGCCTAGTCCTGCCAGAGCTCGACGCGCCATCGGTTCGGGACGAGTCCTCCAATCGACCAGAGACCTGGGGAACAAGTCCAAGCGGTCTTCACTCGCAGAATATACAGCGTCGCGGTCCACTCGCCGCCTACAACCGGTGCCGGCCCTAACCAGGAAGAAAAGTCCGAGTCCTCGACGAACGAACGACCCTTCGACACCCCCACAGTCCAGAGACGGGCCGAGTCTAACGAGTCCTACATCGGAATTCTCAAGCCCGCCCGGGGGTATGACAGATGTATACCGCCGAATTGCAGACGAGGAGGATCTCGCAGCTACAGAAAGAGAAGTGGACACAGACGAGGACCAGCTCGAGGACAATGGAGACGATACGCTCGAGTTAGATGTGGACGCAAGTGCCCATGCTACAAATGAAGCCGCAGAAAGGGAAACTCCAAGTCACAAGCGCACATCACGCGAGTCGACACCGGTCCAGTCACCCACTACTGACGCTGCTGGAAAAGAAGCCATGGTTGATGATCGTGTAGAGGTTTATTCGGAACCGGCTACTTTGGACTTCGTACAGAACGAAATGACGGATCGGGTTCTCGCGGCAAAATTAACTCCTCATGTCGTTGATCGTGCGAAGGATAGGGCGCGGCTTGAGAGACTACGACAAAATCGAATACCGATCGACTTCAAGCACAGTCCAAAGCCCGGTGGAAACACTCCAAATGGCCATGGCCGTCACGATGATATCGCCAGCGTGGCCAATCGGGGTCCGATCATATTCAACAACACGATTGCGGTCCCGAAAGCCTACTCCGACACCAGTGCCGAGTCCACACCCCACAAAAGAATCAAAGCATTCAGTCGAGCTACTAGGGCTGGCGCTCACAAAAAGGCTCCTTCTCATGATGACGGCAGTGATACGCCTCCGGAATTGAGGCAGAGAGAGCGGGTGGTAGCTTTCAGCAAGGCTACTCGACGGAAGAACAAGCCTGATACAGAACCAGAACCAGAATCCCCCGAAGTGGCGCCCGCACCTCGCCTGGTCGCCTTTTCCCGCGCGAATGGACGGTCGCGTCCTTACGGAGCCCCTTATGAGACAAATGGAAATGAACTGGGCACCACTGACCAGTCGACTGGAAGTGTTACTTCAGCACTGTCCGAACCTCTTCCCGAGCATAAGGCAAGCTCTGAACCGAACTTGCAGGCAGCCCGCTCTTACCTTGCAAAGTGGCGTCAAGATACGGCAGAGAAACGTGCTGTGAAAAAGCATGAGCCGGTGGACGACAATGACTCCCATATTGATTGGGCTGCGGCAGCTGCAGATGTTCCTCTGCCGTCCGTTGAAGAGAGTTCGACTCCTCGAGAAACTCATCGAGAAACTCCTCCCAGAGATGAGTGGCTTTCATCGATTCAGAAGCAAAGTCCGGCCGACAGGATGCGCAGGTGGGAGAACGACTTTACGGGCCTTTCATTCCAAATTTCAGAAAGTCCTCCGGTTCGGTCGAGGCTCAACCCAATCGACTCTCCGAGGGGGAAGGAAATTGAGGACCTGGAAAAACAGGCGGTCACCACAAACAGACTGGACGAGATTCGGGTGAAAGACCCTAGTGTGAGAGTGCGAAAGAGTTCTTCTTCACTCAGTCTACAAGACCGCAGGCAAGCCAACCCAGAAGCCTTGGACGCTCCAGGTGTAGATCGGGCTACAAACAGTCAAGAGGAGAGAGTCGGGGACCGGATTCCCGACACACCAGTGGTAGTCTACAGGCAATCCAGCAGTAGCACGGAAAAGTCCAAATCCTCTCAAAGGTCGGCCGCTGGGTCTCACAGCTCGCTTGAGCACCTGCAAAGGCTCGCACGTGCAGCAAGCACGACTCCAAAGTCAAGTCCACCTGCGCGAGGGCCGGTCAGCGAGACCCAGTTAGACTCTGAGACTGGGCCTGTTGTTTCGCTATCTGGATCGCAGGCCGGCCCGAGGGAACAGTCTCCGCCAGCGGAAAAGGTTGGGATAAAGCCCTCGACGGTCAGCAAGGTGGCAGCAACGCCTAAGATCGTGGGCGGCTGGACCGATACGATATTGCCTGACACCATCAAGACTGGGAAACAGACGCACAAGGCATCCAGGTACATGGAGACACCGCATGTCAACGCCGGCGCTTGGATCGATACCCCGCTTGCAAACGGAAATGGGCTCTATTCAGCTCCTTTCCCGAACACCATTGAGGAAGTTACCGAAGAACTCACAAATGACATCGCTGCAGCGGTTGACTCGGCGGATGAAGACAGTCTCCCAGGCGAGGAAACCAAGGAGGTGCAGCAAAAAGAGCTGGATGCCCAGCCCGCTGCAAATGGGGCGATGGTGATTCCTCCCAGTGCGCTGACGAACGTGTTGAATGAGGCAAAGCAGAAACGACTAGTATCGCGCGATATCACGGACGTTCGAGACGATACGCTCAACCTGGGTGACGCCACCATCCAGTCATTCGAAGACCTCCTTAGCGATGCTGCCGACATCACGGCCGACTTGACGAACCTCATCAAGACTGGAGCGGAAGAGGAATTCATGAAGCAGCGGGAGCTTGAACATGAAGCGTTGGGAGACTCTACAACAGCGGAGGTGGCATTTATCGGCCACCTAACCTCGAGAATGGAACGGCTGATGTCGAACCTTCATGAAGCCAGGAAAGGCATCTCCAGACTGGAGCAGAGAGTGTCGCACAGTCCGAGTCCACCATCGAACCCCCAAGTCGGACAACTAGAAGCCCTCATCGCTTCGCAGGATCCGGATCAGCCATGTGCCGTCTGTGGTTGTAATCAAGGCGTCGAGCTGCACAAGCACACGATTGAGTATGACTACTCAAAGTCGTTGTTTCCCATGTCCTACTCCACCTTCACGGTTCCTATCCCGCTCCTGTTCTACCCGCGGCGCAAGGATCGAGGCCAACTCCTACCACGCCCGACATGGCTCGGCTGGCTCACCATCGCCATCTGGACATGGTACATCAGCGAATGCACGCTCTGCGAAATCTACTGCCATCCTCAGTATGCAGAACGGTACATCTGGCCTGCCCATCCCGAGCCGGAGTTTCCTTTCGTCCTGCCCACGATGCTGTGGCGGTGGGTTCATTTGGACGCGTTCGCCCCTGGGCTGTTTGTGCCCGTTACGGGAGTGTTGGGGACCTTCTGGCGGCTTGTTGTAGCCGTGTACAGAGTCGTCGGCATGTCTTTAGGTCTGATTGATGGGTTTGTGGACGATACCAGGCCCAATTCAACTCCCAGTGCCGTGGCAGAAGCGACCCGGTCTGTCCTGAACGTGGCCAAGAGCTTCGTTCCAACTAGCGGAGGCCCAGATCTCCGCATGATGAATGACGAGTTTATATGAATACGACCACGACCACGACCACTAGCACTAGTCTGGATATCCGGCGTCTTTCGGTATGGATGGAGCTCACAGGGGTGTCTTTATGCAACTTCACACGGTAGCATTTGCAACCCGACGAGAAAAAGAGGGCTGTTGAAGCGCGGAGATGGCCTCTGCACCTCACCTAATACCTGTCATGGTGGTCGGGTTGTAGCTGGGATTGTTGGTTGACTTGTTTGCTTGGTCTGTTAACAACTTGAGAGTTGTACGACTTCTTGCCTGTGCAGCTAGCTAGCTACCTACCTACCTACCTTGGGCGGCCTCCGCACTCTCTCTCTCTCCGTGTGTGTGTGTGGTGTGTTTGAGTGTTTGTGTGTTGTTTGTGTTGTATGTTTTGTGTGTGTTGCGTTGGTCGAGTATCAAGCTGAGCAGCACTACTAGTATGTGGTGTGGTGTGGTGTGGTGTGTGTGCTGGTTCGGTGTGGTGTTTGGCCTGTCTCCGGTGTGTTTGGAGCATGTTGGTCGTGGTTTGTTTGCAAGTCCCGAGTACGAGTACGAGTACAGACATCAGATACCAGAAGACAGACATCAGAAGGCAGAAGATAGAAGACAGAAGACAGATACCAGAAGGCAGACGTCAGAAGACAGAAGACAGGAGACAGGAGAGACAATGCTGCGGGTATGTATGTACATACTACATACTCCGTATACGTACAGCGCTGCGCCTCCAAGGACCAGAGCGAGCGAGGCATTCATCCGTCCATCCTGGATACCAAGCAGCTGAGCTTTCCTCGTCGTTCTTGACTGCCGTTCAACATGTTGGCCAGAAATCAATTCATCTTCATCATCATCATCATCATCATCATCATCATCATCTTCTTCTTCTTCTTCTTCTTCTTCTTCTCCTTCCTCCCTCCCATAATCTCTTCCTCGTTCTTGTAATTCATCCGGAAGATACCTTAGTAGGTACATAGGACTCCTTAGGTACTTACTGTCTTCCTGACACTGACCAGATCTTACGCCTACTACTACTCCGGACTTCGTAATAACACATTCACACACAAATCCCAACGAGCTTCGGTTGGATGGTCGGTTTCATTCGCGTTCTACCTAAAGGTGCAAAAAGGAAGTGCAGGCCCTCCCCCTTCCCTTCACTAATACAAACAAGTTTGACGTGCCATTGCAAAGTCGGCTTTTTCCTCCTTGCCCGCTGCCCTCGCCCTCGTGCAATCCCCGTCCTTCCCTCCATCGACTAGACTCATTGATTGGCACTTTTTGGTTGTCCCCGGCCTCGCCCACCGAAACCCATGGCAGCAAATTTTGGTGTTGGCTGGCTTCCCTCCCCTCCAGACCCAGTTTCAACGTTCAATCCCCATGTTTGGTGTGATATGTGAGTGTGTGTGCGGTGTTGCGTTGCGTTGCGGTGGTGTATACAAGTACAAGTAGTTAGAGAAGGCAACTCAAGAACCCCCTTTACCCGCGACAGGTGTGCTCGACTTGCAAAAGCTGTGAAAGAAATTACATTCTGTCCTGCGTTCGCCATGCCCGTTGCGCGTGAGAGAGAGAAAAGACTTCCGACTCCGTGAAGAGAACAGAGGAGAGATATGGCCACTCGGTTATCGCTGTTGGAATGGTCCGGCCTTTAGTGGCCTGAGCCATAGCTGTTATTCCATCCTCGGCCACCTCCGTAACCACCATAAGTCCCAAAGCCCGTGTTGGATCCATAACCCCCATATCCGGTATTCTGATGCGTATTCTGATGACCGCCCACAGTACCCAAGCCACCGTACTGAGGATACCCGGCAAAGGCCTGCTGGCCCGAATGCTGCGACGGCGGAGGCAAGACACCCTGACCGGGGAAACTATTGACTGCAGAAGTAGGACGGCCACCTTGCATCGAAGGGCTTGGTCCAGGTCCCTTGGCAGGATCATCACCGCCTGAATGAGCAGCGTGCTGTTGGGTCTGTCCAAACCCGGAAGAAGTCCGACCAAAGGGATCAGGAACGCCACCGAAGCCCGTACTGCCCGCCGCAGTCGGTTGAGCCTCAGAAGGTTGAACGGACCCACTTCGCCCGTAACTTCCTTCGCGCCCAAAAGTGTTGGCCGTGGCAGGCGATGAGGCCTGGTCGTACGAGTAGCCCTGCTGGGGTTGACCATACATGTTGGATTTGTATCCAGCACCATAATGGCTCTGCTGCGGGTAGTTGTATTGGCTGGGATAATAGTCGCTGTCTTGACGACGGACATCATCAAACATAGGACGGCTCGAGCCATAACGATGATTCACTTGGTTCACTTGGTTCACGTAGGATGCCCCGTATTGGGGATATTGCTGGCTGTAAGCATTCGGATAGCCGTAACCTGGGTATCCGTGACCCTGGGTTTGTTGCACATGGCCAGAAGGTTGAGCCTGGTGAGAGGAGGGCCCGGTGGGAATCGGAGTGTTGTTTCCACTGCCTGGAGCATCTTGTTGACCCAACGCTTGCTGAGGACGTGCAGTGGCATATTGACCCTGTGTATCAGGAGCGGAGGTACCGAAGGTGCTTCCAGCTCGCTGAGCTTCGTGCCCGTGACCGTAGGCACCATAGTAGTTGTACGCATCACGTCCATAGTAGGCGGAATAATCGTTTTGCGAGGGAGCAGCGCCAGGCTGGCTGGGGACTTGGTTGGAGAACGGTTCTTGGGCCTGTGTTGGAGGCTGTGCGGTTGGAGGTTGTTGACCGAAAGGATCATACGGTTTCTGACCTTGACCGTACCTATATTGATCCGCGTATGCCAAAGAGGACTGTGGCGACGGCTCTTGCGCTTGCTGGGGCACAGGAGGGAGACCTGGTGCTTGCCGTCCTAGCGAGGCCTGGACATCCGCCGCAGGTTGAGTCGGTGGAGCAGCCGGTCCTTGCTGGGTTTCTGGGAGAGATGGTGGCAGTGACGCTCGGGGAGCAGCCGGCGAGTCGTCTGGAAGCTGGGTTCGTGTCTCCGGCTCCTCTCGGTCCTCATCCACATCCACATCGTCCGGAACTCCTAGTCCCAACTTGCCGAACTGAACAGCCGCCTTTTCGACTGCATGATGGCCCGGCATGACCACCGCCTCATGTTGCTCCATGACCTTCCTAGCGTAGCTAGCGGCTCGACCAGTTCCCGAAGTCGCCTTCAGGGCGGTAGCAGCATAACCGGAAATGCCCGGTCGAACGGCAGGCTTCGAAGCATCGATCGAGGCGAGCGGATCCTGAGTAGTTGCGACTGTGCTAGCAGCAGTGGCTGAGGGATGTGGATGGGAAGAGTCAGGCAACTTCTCCAGATTCTTTTCTGTAAGTTCATCTTTTGGTGGTGTCAGATCTTTTCCTGTCTCGGAATGAGGTGCAGATGGCAGCTCACTTGGTCCTCCTTCGCTGGGGGCTGGCTCAATGGGTGGAAGCAAGATCGACTCGGTAGGAGCCGTCTCTTGGACACGAGCTTCAGCCTCGGCCGGGGATTGTTCAGGCTGCGCAGCTGGAGGAGGTGGTGCTGGAGACTTCTTGGGCGCTGGTGCTGGCTTGGCAAACAGCCCTGCCCATCCTCCGGGCTTCGCGGTGGACGGCGCTGCCGCGGATGCAGGCTTGGGCTCCTCAGTCTGGAGAGATGCTAGAGCATCTTTGCCCGGGTCGTTTGCCCAATCTTCGTTCGCCGACGTCGTCTCACCATTGGCCGGAGCACTGTCCCATGTAGCAGCAGCTTCAGCAGCCTGAGCCGAAGCGCCAGTGTCCCAGTCGTCTGTCTTCTTGGTGCCGTTCGTGTGGGCAACTGATTTAGAGCCGCGGCCGCCTCTAGCGCCGCGTTCTGCACCGCGACCTCTTCCTCGACTTTCAAAGGCGCCACGTCCGCGGCCTCGTGTGCCCGACTCGGTTGAAACCGTAGGGGCTTCTTTCGGCTTGGGGTGTTTCTTCTTGACTTCGCCCCATTGCGAGATCGTGCCTGATCGAGAGGGTTAGCATATGGATTGTAGATCGTGGAATGTATCGTGGAATGTAAGCTCCTTACCACTGGAGATCCGGTCAACAGCGGCATCGACGTCGCCGTCAGTTTCCTGCAGCGCGTAGACTAGATCCTCGTCGCTCCAGCCGGGACAAATCTCTTTCAACAATGGAAGCTTCTCTCCAAATTTCTTCTTCAGTTCGCCGACCTCGCCCTGATCATCTACAGAGGCGGGAGGGATGTTCTCCTGCTCATTGTCTGCTTTGTGTTGTGATCTGCTGGGGTTGCGACCGCCTCGAAAACCGCCTCTGCCGCCTCTGAAGCCTCCGCGACCTCTTGTCCCGCTTCCGCGGGCTTGGACTTCTGCCATTGCTCTGTGTTTGAAGGATGTGAGGGTGATTCGAGGTCAGGGTAGCGAGGAGAGGAAGGTGAGGTGTGAGGTGGTGCAGGAAGAAGGGAGGACCAGGGGATAAATTAGAGCTCCAGCTGGCACAAAGGAGCTGACTCCTTGCGAAGAACTATCTCCAGCAAGGACAGATTGTGAGATGCAAGCAGGGATGTAGAGAAGAATGAGTTATGTTGACATGGAGGATTGTGGACATTCAAGAGCCTTTTGCAAGCCCGCGAGCCAAAAGCCAAACTTGGACGTTGCAGGCGCCAAGGCTTCCTCTCACCTGCGACACCGACACTGACACCGTGACTGGCAAGCGACCAGTCACCACAGGCAGTGCCAGGCACCTCACGCTTTGACATCCATCCCACCCACCACCGTTCGCAGTGCTACGACCCGCGCTGACTTTGTTCTGTTCTGCGCTGCAGCTCGCCGTCGCTGGAGTTGTGATGGGCTACCCATGCTCCAGATAGCTGTTTGCTCAGCCCAGAATGAGACTCACACGCTCCCTCAGCGTGCGCAATCTGCTCGCCGCCCTCCATCCACCTCTCCCTCCACAATCCGCCAGAGAGTCGAAACAGCTACTCAATGTGCTAGAATCCGCCTTCCAGAAGCACCTCGACGAGTCACATCCGTCTCCCAAGGCTCTCCGTGTCACCGACGCAACAAATGAGGGCGGTTCAATTCCCGACCCGGCCCAGAGAGTCACCCATTCTACGCATTCACACCTAGATACAATCCTCAGCCATCCTCTTCTCCGACAGAAGTCGACGACGTTTGCTCCGCCTCGGGGTCTCGCCGCCGCTGCAGTTTCAGCCTTTGATGATGCATTGGTTCAGAAAGGGCTTGATTTCCATCTAGTTCAGTCATGTGCCATCCAGTACCTCCAAGGTTTAGAGAAGAAAGAGACGGTTTCCAATGGGGCAAAGCTGGGCCCTCGGCTGGCTCGCTGGTTTACAGCCATGAACAATACCGATAAAAAGGAGTTCTTGGTCAATGGAAACTCCCTGGCCTCTGTTGTACCGGTGATGTACTCGGATGGATTGGAAGCCGACGTCTGGGGATGGCTCCGGACTCTGTATGAACGTCCATTTGACAAGTCGATCTTCCTGCTCTCAGACACATCAGCTCCGGGTGCCTCGGATTACCTTCGAGCAGAAGACACGCTTATTGCCTTGATGATGAAAGAGTCTATTCGCAAAGGCCTATTTCAAGACGCAGCACACCAGTACGTCCACGCTTGTGAATACCGATTAAGAACTGGTCGAGCCATACTGCCTGAAGGTGGTGTTCTCTCCAATCCTTTCAAGCGATCATGGCAATATATGGCGCGGAGTATCTTGTTGCGCCGCAGATCCCATCACATACCCGCGGAGCTGTTTGACTCCATGTTGAAATTCGGCCTGACCATCAGTTCATCTCCTTTCGACCGTGCCGTCTTACAGATATATCACCCAACATCTCCGTCAGCGCGACCCTTGTTAGCTAAACTGAACGAGGTGTCTTTCCCGCAACGATTTTCGCATTGGCAGAAGAAGTTGAATAAGATGGTTCAGAAAGCTCTACTTGTGGCGATGCTTGACGCTGCCCAGCTGTCGTTGGAGCACAACCGTCCCTCTGAAGCACGACAATTCTTGGACTTTTCGGAATCGAATTACCCCGACATCGTTCCCTCAAACCCACAGTCCAATACGGCTGAAAGACTCAACCTCGCACGAAAGGAAACCTCGACTCGAAAAGAGTTTCGCTATATCCCTACCCCGGCTCTGGTGTGAAAGAAGCTCTCTTAAGATTTCAAAGGAGACAATTCTCCGATGATAAAGAATACCATCGTGCCTCCCAAACGCAAGTTCAACTGCCACTCATCACCGGACGGTTCTGAAATGAGCCAGGCGCTCGCCATTCCCCACAGGCCTGAAAATTTATTGACTCCATCTACATGGCAATGTATTGATGTTGGGTGCATCAGTGGGTGGCAGTTGACCAGTCCGTACCGACCTATCGTTCGGGACATGAAGGCAGCGCGAAATGGTCAATGATGCTGAAATAAGCGATGCTCCCTGGATGGAAGTCGACTTCTTCGCAAAGATCAAGGGGCTGCGGTATAGTTGGCCGCCTTTGGCGACCATACTCAGCCTCGGATGGCTGAATGCAACTACTGTACTCCGTACAACCTCCGAGTAGCCGAGGGAGTCGAGTCACACAGACTTGAGCCACTGCGTCTCTTTGTCTCATAGTGGCGAGGCCCGCTGGTGGCGCTTCGCTTCGGAACGAGGATGGTTACTGATCTCAAATGATCAGTTGTGAGTCTACCATCCCAGAAGAGTCAATGTCCATGTGGATATACATACATACAACGGGCGAACATGAAGTCTCTTCATAAACAGGACCCGGAAGAACGAAGCCAATGTATGCTATCGACGATTTGGCCTGTTTTCAGACTGTCGTAATGAACCAATATCGATATCAAAGATGCTTGAGTTCGTTTCTCACTTATGTCCATTCCGTTATAATTGGTATTTTCCAAAGACTCGCCTCGCTCGCCGGGCTATTCTCCCTCTTCCCATGTCGTGAAGCCGTCTGTGCATTGCCCCATGAGATCCAGTTCCAGCGCAGACACGATACTCACTGCTAGCTAACCTGCGGCTCGATGATTATGTGGTGGAGGAGAAAAGAAGGCGGCAGCCTGGTCATGACACTCCCCAAGTCGATTCTCCCCCCTCCATCTCGTCTCATCGTCGGCACGCCCATCGTCCCATTTCAATCCGATCCCCCAGATCCTGTCGACTGGCGACCCTTCGACGAATTTCCTCCCCTTGGCACGGAGATACAGGTCGCACAGCTCGGGGTCGACTTCGGCTCGCGCAACACTCGCCGCCACTACGACGTGGGGGGATGCATGCGCCCAACCCGCCTCGTCGAAGTTGCGGGTCTGTCGGCCGATCTGCTTCTGCGCTCGCGGAGAGGGATTTAGGATGCAGGAGACGATGGTGCCGGCGTTGAGGGCTGTAAAGTCGACGGCAGTGGCAGTGGCAGTGCCGGTAACGACCTTCCTGGCAACATTGGTTTTGCTCGCCTTTTGGCCGTGACGATTGCTGCCGGCCGCCGAGGAGGGAGGCTCAGATGATGTCGAAGCCGAATGCAATGTCACCTGCTCTGGCCCAAGTACCTTGTCACAAATCCCTGCAACCTGCTGCTCCGACATGCCGCCGGTCTCCAGCTCGGCGCCGGGAATGATCCATTCTCTTTCAAAGAGCCATCCCTTGGCAGCCATCATGAACTGTTCCCCACATACAAACATATGTCGGTCCATGATCCTCGTGCTCAACGCAGTGTGCGATGGATGCCGTATGCCTGCGGCGTCGAGCCGACGGATGAGCAGGTCCATGGCCCGCGCCCCAGAGAAGCGTTCGCCCACGTTCCAGTTTGACAGCGGGCCGCCCAAGAAGATAATGTGTTTGTCCGTAATGCGTGTGCCGCGAGCTCCTGCTGGCGTGGTGGTCGATGGATTCTGCTTGTGGTGGTGTCCCTGGGCTTTGAGCTTCGAGCCCGTCCTTTCAACCTCTGCTCTACTATTGCGGTGTGGCGGAGACACTGAAAAGACACCCTCTCGGTGCTCAATACTCTCATCATCGTCTGCTGACTGGTACGAGTGCTGTGATGTATTTGGTTTGGGCTTTGCTGCGGCGAGTCTAGTTGAGTGCTTGCTCGTGGGTGGGCTGCTGTTAGGTGGCTTTCGACTTCGACCGCGATCTGAGGGGCCTCGGTGTGCTGCTTGTCTTGGACGCAACGATGGATATGGTCTGGCATCCTTCCTGGCAGCTTCGCCAGGAGCCACAGCAGGGAGCTGTTGCGCTGCGTTGCTTTGTGACCTTAATGGCGAATCTGGAGATATCCTTTTATCTCGACGATCTTGTCCGTCCGACATTTTCCAGTGGCTATAGAGCTGATTTCCTGTAGTTTGGCTGGTTGCTGCAAATGTAGACTACTCTAGGACTGCAGGTGTACACATTCAATTCCGGACCAGAAGATCAGAAGAATTTCAAATTGAATCATGGACAAGCAAGGGAGAATAAAGATAGGCAAGGTTCCGGCAGAAGAACCTTCAGGCAGTCAGCCTGTTCCAAGTGCAGGACGGGCGAGGTTAATTTCGGATCCATGAGTCACGGGTGTGGACTGGTAGAGGGGCTGAGGTGCAGGCGCAGCCGCGGGCCATAGTTCTGCACACCTTGCAGAGGAGAAAGGAGAAAGGGTCTCCCCAGAGCGTATATTTGAGTAGCAAAGAATAGTGAGGGCGAGTTGGCGATTGTTACGAACGACTTGAAGTCGGCGGTGTCCTGTGGGCAATATTGGAATACACGTACCCAGTGTCATCTGGGCGCTCAACTTGAACCACACTGTATGGCCTCCACCACCCATCACCCCATCGCTTTGGCGTCTACGGCTTTGACTCATCCTTCTCCGTGCCCTTCAGTGCGTCGACTCTGTCCTTCATCGACTGGAGCAATTGCTTGAGGTCCTCGTCCGACATGGCCGCTCCCGCCGGGACCTTCTTAGCTCGCTGCACGGCGGGCCTCTCCTCAATACGTTTCAACCACCTATCGACACCGGGAAACTCGCTTATGTCGATGTCGAGGAAGAGCGGAGCGCCGCGAGCCCAGGAGAAACTGGCAATGTCGGCGATCGTGTACTTGTCTCCCGCCAACCAGTCGGCTTTGGACAGGCGGATCTCGAGCACCCCCAGCAGTCGTTTCGTCTCGTCCAGGTATCGTTTGATGCCGTAGGCCGAATATACCGGTGCCATGGCACGGAAATGGTTGGCTTGACCTGTTTCTACTGTTCAGCTGCTGCTGCCGTTGTTCTGCCTTTCCCCTCCCCGCGCGGGAGCAGGATCAAAGCAACATGGAAGCCTGAGCCATTCCCTGAAGCAAGACGAAGAGCAGATGGTTGGAGATAGCATACCTTGCATGGGGCCTAGGCCGCCCATCTGGAACATCAACCAACTCATCATCTCGTAGTAGTCTTGCGAGCCATGCGGGTAAGTGAACTTCTTCTCCTTGTCGTACATGTCGGTGAGATACAGCATGATGGCGCCTGACTCGAAGACGCGGAAGTCGTCACCATCCTTCAACGCCGGGATCCTGCCGTTCGGGTTGATTGCAAGAAACCATTCCTCCTTCTGTTCGTTCTTCCGAATGTCAATTGCCCGTGCTTCATACGGCACTCCGAGTTCCTCGAGCACGATGGCTGGCTTCAGTCCGTTGGGCGTTGCTGCCGTGTAGTACGTGAGCTTGTTGTAGGGAGGGGCCGACATGTTTGCTGACCGGAGGCTGGTCTCTGCGTCTCTTTCGGGGCTCGATTCGAGACGGAGATGTCTTCTTGGGGGTTGCCTTGGGAAGGGAGTGGGTATAGGTCTCTGAATGCTCAAGTTGGTGGAGGTGGAAGCCGTTCCTCGTCTACGAGTTGCAAGGTGTAGATTCCTGCAACACCTCGGCCGGAAGATAACAGTGAGCGGAAGGCCACCACTCGCAGGCCACGTCATGACCACCGCCCCGTCTGTCTCGTGGTGCTGCTTGAATGTTCTCCTCTGCTCTCGCGTCGGTCACAAGGATTCCCCGCTGTAGGGAAGCCAAGAATGGTGATTTGCTACAGATCTGTTCCGAAGCTCTCCAGGCTTCGAAAGTATCACATATCAGTCGGGTCCTATTAGGCTTTGATGCTGTGATGGGACAGTGCCTGGAAGCTTCCTTAATCTGCTTACTCAGCACCCGACAGTGCCCCTTAGGCCTCGCATGAACCGGGCTATTTTCACTCCCTCGATTCATCGTTTCCTGTAATCAGAGTAGGGATCCCGGAGTCCATCACTAGTACGTATCTCCTATCGAGTATCTGTACAGTAGATTCAGGCAGAAATGGTACCAAGATGGGCTCCTGTTTTAGGCTGGATTGATATTGTCTATTAACGATCCGATGTCGCTTTGTGCCGCAATCAAGGAATCGACCGCTTCATTGGAAAAGCTCAATATCAATGGGATCCAGCTAATAATACAATTCGTCGTCATCCGTGTATCTGTCCTGTTGGCCCTCGATCTGCGCCGTCCACGGCCCATTCATCCGCCAACCTGGCTACTCTGGTTTGTCGGCACTCGACTTACCGGCGCAGAGGTACCGTCCGGGTTTTCTCCCAACGCCAACAGTCCTTCTTCATGGAATGGTTTCTTTGCACCAGTAGCCTTTTGATCGTCGTATCTCCATACACCAGCGGTCTTGTCAGGGGCGACCCCATCCCAGCTGTTCGTCCCTAGATTCGTCGCCACTTTGACCAGATCCTGAAATGCTTTCTCATCCTCGTCGCTCGAATTAGCCTGGGAGAAAAAGACCCTCTTCCACTCGCGGTTTTCTTCCTGTTCCTTTTTGCGCAATACTCGTTGGGCGTTTTCGATCCGGGACTTGTAGTGTGCAGTCGCGTCCATGTCACCCTTTTCGATGCTGCGCGCAACAATGCGCCAAGCCCTCCTGCTTTCAAAGACGTCTTGCTCTTCAACAGGGGCAACGTTGAGCTTGGACAATTTGACGTCACTTGGCTTGACCGTCTCAATCGCCTTTGCTTTCTTGCCTTCGCCCTCCTTCAACGTAAAGGCGTCCGACCATTGACCATCTGCCGAGTAGAGAGGATTCTTCTCCGAACCCTCCCCGAGTTTCCACAACGATGCTGTGAAACTGTTCTTCTTTCCGGACACCCAACCTCTGCCGGAGAAATCAATCTTTGAGATGTAGCCGCTGCTCGAGATAATGTGGATGAATTTGCTCAATTCGACGAATGGCGCACCATATATGAGACTTTCGATGTGCAACGGGGGTAGAGTGATCAGGTATGTCTCTTTCTTGTCGCTCCCGGGCGGATAAATCGTCAAGAGTGCATGTCCGATCTGCTTGACGTTGATTGTTCTACTAAAACTTGCCTTTTGACCATTATATCCTTGGAGTCGGATCCGGTACTTGTCGTTGGTGATGGAATACGCTGTGACAGGGGGGTGGTGGCTCACTTGCTCCGAGACAAGGCGCGTCACTCCGAATTCGTCCTCCCATTGACCCAAGAACAACTCGCCCAGGAATGGGTTAAGCGGTTTCTTTTCGGAGCCGAGTTTCTCGGAGCGCGAGTAATATTGCTGCTTGAGCGTATTGAGCAGCCACTTAAGCACCAAAAGGGCTCGCTTGGCTGGATCCTTCTCTTGTGTCGGGGCGACGAACAATGCAGTGTTCTCGGCCCAATACGCGGAAAACTCGACGAGGGACTGCGTTGACAGGATGAAGGCCGGCGCGGTCAACGAGGACAAATCACCGTTGAACGAGGCAATAGACTGCCGTTGTTAGTCGGTCTGTGCAAACGCAACCCTGGACGTCCACTCACCTTGAGGAAAGAAGACCAGGAGCTCTTGGCTTGAATTGGCACGGCCGCCCCCTCTACTTCAGGCATCTTGTTGAGATAGGCGCTGTTTTATCTGGGCCGATTGGGAGTGTAGCAGAAGTAGTGACTGAAACACTTTCGATGGGGGAAGCAAATCTAGGTGGATCAAGGGTGGGAAACACGACTGTGAGGTAACAATGGCGAGCTTTCGAGACCTTTAGCGAGTGAAGGATCAAGTAATGCGCGCAGGTTAGCGGGAGGGGAATCAACGCATGGCAGCGATGGAGAATTGTCCGCGCTGTTCGACGCTTGACTTGACAAGTCTGGGTGGGATTGACGGTTTGTTGGCGCAGCCTCCGATGGCGTCGTGGCGGGACTGATGCGGTGACGTAGTGCTATGTGCAACCAGATCTAGGTATCCGTAGTCGCAAGCAGTAAATCAGACGTATACGGATACTCTGTACTCCGTACAGACTCCGGAGTACCTGTAGGTACGAGGCAATGCCCATATATTGCTACCTTAGGTAGCTTGTGCCTTTACGGACTACATGTAGGCACCTAGGTTAGGTACCTAGGTATGTGTACCTAAGATGCTGGAGACCCCAACGCTCCCTAAGCCTGGGGGCCCAGCTGATACCAGCATTCTCCGCCTAATAATCCGACGGACACCACGCGCATCAATCACCAGCCGGGTGTCGGACATGAATCTGATGAGCACGTGACGACTCTTCATGGTAAGACGCCATAACAGGACGGCCGATCTCGCTACAACTTTAATGCCCGCGTCCTGCCTTGCAGTCCGACTACAATAAGGAACCCCTCCTCAGCCGCATCAGTCTGACGAGGCCTGGAGGTCAAGGAGTAATCGACCTAGGGACCCGTTTAGTAAATGCTCCTTGACAACAGGTGCCTGTTTGCAAGGGTAATTTCAAAGTGGATGAACCAATTCATATTGCTTTCCTACCACTCTACTTGACTAGCTAGGTCCCAGAGGGAAAGCTGTGTGAACTTGTGCTGTCGCACAAGGGATGGAAGCACGTTTTCTGCCCCAAGCAACAGGCAATGTAGCATGTTCACGGCACCTTGCAGCCAACTTTCGTCAATTCAGATCCCATCTTTACAGCTGGTTGGCGGTGTTGAAGTCTTTCAGTCCTTCGGCCACACGGGCAGTCATTGTCTTCTCTCCCTCACGCACCCACACGCGAGGATCGAAGTATTTCTTGTTGGGCTTGTCCGCGCCATCGGGGTTGCCAACTTGCGTCTTCAGGTAGTCGGCCTTCTTGTTGATGTAGTCGCGGATACCTGTCAGATATGCCCATTGCAAGTCCGTGTCGAGGTTGACCTTGACGACACCGTAGCTAATCGCATCGGTATACTCCTGCTTCGAGGAGCCAGACCCACCATGGAAAACAAGGAAGACTGGCTTGTCGCTCTCAGTGTTTTCCTTTTCCTTGACGTACTTCTGGTGCTTGTCGAGCAACTCGGGGTGAAGACGGACATTTCCGGGTTTGTAAACGCCATGTACGTTACCGAAGCCCGCTGCGATGGAGAAGTAGGGTGAAATCTTCTTCAATGTGGTGTAAATCAAATGAATATCCTCGGGTTGGGTGTAGAGAGAGTTGTTGTCAACGTCTTCGTTGTTGACACCATCTTCCTCGCCACCGGTAATACCGATTTCCTATACATTTGTAAGCGCAAATTCTCGTGCATCCGGAGCATCTCTCCAGCATACCATTTCAAGCCATTGCTTCAGAGGTGCTGCCCGTTTCAGGTATTTAGCAGTGGTCTCGATATTCCAATCAACTGGCTCCTCGGACAGATCGATCATATGAGAAGAGAACAAAGGCTCGCCGTGCTCCTTGAAGTAGGCCTCGTCGGCGTCCAGCATGCCGTCCAGCCATGGGAGGAGCTTCTTTGCACAGTGGTCGGTGTGCAAGACTACCGGGACACCGTAGAGGGGAGCAACGGATCGAATGTAGTGGGCGGCGGCAATAGCTCCGCCGATGGATGCTTGCTGCTGGTCATTCTTGACGCCCTGGCATTGGAGTCAGCTATGTGGCTGCGTACCGGTATCTGGTGTGCACAAACCTTGCCTGCAAAGTATGCAGCACCACCTTGGGAAGCCTGAAGAATGATCGGGGACTTATTGTCTCGAGCGGCCTCGAGGGCAGCCACAACGGTGGAGGACGAGGTCACATTCTAGGCCATCGCGATCAGTAGGCAAACACCACGGGGTCAGATACAGGATCATACAATGGCTGGAATGGCAAAGTTGTGCTCCTGGGCGTACTTGAACAGAGCCAGGACATCATCACCGACGATGACACCTTCCTTTCGAGACAAGACGTCCTTGACACCCATGTTGTCGATTTGCGGAGTGGGATTCGGATATGGTTGAGTTGCGAGATGAACTCGATCAAGGGGTGACTAGTTAATACGGTCGAAGAAGTGTACAAGCACTAAGAAAGGAAGCTTGAGAAGAATACCGAGTTGCAAAGAAGAAAAGCGTTGTCTGAGAATCAACAAGCGGAGCGAAAACTGCGTTGAATGGGAGGAGGGGCATATGACATACTGTACTCCGTAACTACTTGAACGGCTGCGACATTGGCCCGTGGCGCTTCTTCCTTCTTCGTGCTTCACTCATTTTCCGATCTGGCCCCTCCATCCTCCCCATCTGTTGATGTCCGTCCAATCCAGCCAACGTGTGCAGTTCCTCTCTTCCGCCATCTGCCTCCGGTTTCTCCCCTGACACGCTTTCCCCAGCCATGGCGGTGGTCGCCTTCTAGCATGCCATACCCTACGGGATTTTACGGGATGCCCTCTCGCTCTACCCCACGCCCCGTCAATAATGGCACCTACATGGCACCGGCCGTAGCCTCGGATGTAGCACATGAGGTACACGGTCGGATCTGGACACTGAGATATGTGCTTATTGCTGAATCTACCAGTTTCCAGCTCGCGGTGTATCCAAATCTAGCTGCGCGAATATGCCGAGACCCTCTCAACACCCATCAGATTTTAACTTCCAGAGATGCATCCCAACCACCAAACCTGCAATATTTTGTGTTGGACCGGGAAAATGCAAACGAGAAACCAGCCAGGCCGGCCGACGGTCCTCGACTCAGACCACCGCATCGTCTCCGGGCCGTTCTAGTTCGTAGAAAAGCAAATACACCTCCCGTTGCATTGACAGAACATCCGATGTGCGTGCCTCCTTGATTTTGTCGTCTGAGATACGCCACCATCGATCATTGGATTTTTTGCGTCGACGAAACTTGCCTGGCGTTGTCTCTTGCGTTCTGATTTGTGGTCGTGACGCTTGAGTATTGGTCCTTTCCACCGAAGGCATGCTGGCAGAAGCCTCTTCGGCAGGAGGCGGGGATGATGAGGCTGCACCAACGCCGGTGGAAGCCGGCCGGCCGATACTCGCGGACAATGACACCGTAGAAAGAGAGGTGCTGGATTGTCCATCGCCATGCTCAAGAGGTGTGCTGGCCCCATTGGCGCGGAGAGCGTCAATACTAGGGCTGGGAGTGGTTGACGGAACCGTGCTGACATTGCGACTGGCATCTGCATAGGCACGGAATGGATCAGGAGTTGCGAAGGGAGGGTACAGGTGGTTACGTCGAAACGACTCGTAGTGTCCACTGTTATGACTGCCCTTGTGACACACAACGCTCAACAGTTTATACCACTTCTCGTTGAGAAGGCCGCCCAAACGCAACCGTTGAGTGTAAGATACCTTGGCCATGTTCTTAGTTGATGAGCTTCCTGGGTCAAACACCGACCTCGACAGATGAATCGCGATGACTTTTGGGAACACCGTGATTCGAGTCGATTTTCGAATTTTGCATTTCGGGGCGAGACTGGAATCAGGCAGTGTGACACCCTCGGGGGCTCTTTCGGGATCATCGCGGAGGGCCTTCTCAATCAGCGCAATGTCTTTCTCTAATCCGTCTCGATCCTTTTCCGATGTTGCCGCCTTCAATTTGTTGGTTTTCCACTCCAGTGCATGGTCGAGCCTGCATTTGTCGCATTTGAAATCGTCAATCTCTTCGCTCTTTAAAAGAATGTCAAAACAGTTATCTAGTGATGTTGAACTTTTCTGAGGCACATTTAAAGTTAGTGAGACAAATGTACTGGCGCTGGGTTTCGTCTTGAACCCGCAGCGCTGACACTGGATCTGGGACTCTATGCGTCCTTCGAAGGGGAACCCATCACTGGTTCCGACAGTCACCTCGCTCAGTATTGGAGTGAGTCCGGCGGGCTTGACTTCCGCTTCCTGACCAGGCTGGCCATTGTCTGGACTTGAGAAAGCTAGGCGTGCCCTTTGGGCGGCATGGTACTCATCGCAGAGTCTCTCGAGAAGGATCTGCAAAAATTCCTGCGCATCTTGTTGGTTCCGGCTGATCCGTGTCTGGAATGCTCTCTCCAAGGCTTCGATAATTGGCCGTGCCGTGATGGTCTTTTTGTATATTGGCCGCTCGTTCAAAGCGTCCAGCATCTCCTTCAACGCCTTGGTGACAGGCCCCTTCTGCAAAATCACGACCTTTTCGGCCTTTTCGCTCTTCCGCAGCACCAGAGGAGCGCAGTCATATATTTCCGGGGTTTCCAGTTGCCTCCGGTGCAGTTCTTTTATCAGGTACAACCTCAATTCCCCCAGTCCGGCCAGTGCCTGCAGGACCGAATTGATGAAGCAGTCGTTGGCAGGGTTCGCGAGACCGATGATTGTGCGTTTTCGGCCATCGTTGGTGTTGTAGGAATTCTCGCCGTCGAGGAAGAATGTAGGACCGAAAACATAGAATGCGGCGATGGCAGCAAGAGAAGCGCCGGCCGCATATGCGACGACGGTCACAGGTTTTTCAGGCATTCCGACGGTAATTCGCTGTTAGGGTTGAATCCATGGTGCTTGACCGACTCCGCCGTCACGACATCAGGTTGAAAAGGTGAGGGCAGAGTATGTTCGTTGGAGAGGGATAGGGAGGGAGAGGATCGAGGTGGGTGCGCCAGGCAGAAGGAAATGTTGTAGAAAGATGAAGGGTCTGAGAAAATCCGGGGTAAGGGACTCAGTTCAGCCCTCCAGGTCCCGAACTGGTCTTCCTGAACCCTGCGACAAAGTGAGTACGTCGTAACGGAGGTGCACGCCAAATGAATTGTCCCTGTCTCGCTTAGTGTCATCGGCGCCGCTCTAAAGCGCCTCAGGCACCTATCAGGATGGCGCCTGAGGTCGCTATCGACCGAGTCGTGGTTAAGGCGGTGGCTACCTCGCTATGCTAGGCTCTCGAGCATTTATCGAGGTTTATGATGTATTCGAGGCTGTTATCGATGTGGCTCAAGGCACTCCGATATTTACAACCCATCAACTCAGCCAGATTCGCGGAAACTCAACATTACCCGACTCCTGCAGGGCCTGGGGATGCGATGGCTTGTTCGTTTATGCCGATGATTTCCCTACACTATGGTTTCCTAACCCAAACGAATCACCGATTCAAGCTGTGGACGTTCCCTGTATGGGGAGGTTTCCGTATCAACCTGATCTTGCCCAGACAATTGGTTTTGTTCCCTGCACTCTCCAAGTTGCCCCGTTGTGTCTGCTCTGTCCTCCTGGCCTTCTCCATCTGTTTGTGGTGAGTCGCAAGCAATGCCCTTTGTTGTGAAGTCGGCAAATGTAATAGACTCCTCCGGTCACTTGCACGAAGTTGTGCGAGTTGGTTGTTGAGCGTGCATTCTTGCTTCAGCGCTCTTGTGCTCAGCTCCCCCACGGACGGCGAGGGCGTCTCGGCGGCATTCGAGCTTGACTCAGCATCGGTGTGTGACTGCTGAGTTGGAGTCGGAGTCGGGAGTGCTTGGTCGAGCGGAGAAGCTGTGGAGTTGGGGGCTTGTCTATGTGAACGCTGTGATGGTCGTGATTCCCTCGATCTGGCCTGCGTTGGAAGGCGAGGGTGGTCCGAAAAGCGCATGGCGGCGCGATTTCGGTGCAGTTCTTCCTCTTTTGCATCCAACGAGGAGGATTCGTAAAAGTCTCTGAGCTCAGAATCCTTGTCCATAATATCATATTTGCAGTGTCCCTTCGCCATCATGTGCTGCTGCACCGCTTGGCGTGTGTTCCGCTGTGTTCCACAGTAGAGACACTCGTAATACCCGGAGATGATGAGATGGAGATAGGCGAGGAAGGACTCGACGTCCACCAAAAGATTCGCCGGGTTGATATGTAAACCATGGGCCTTTGACATGTGGACCAAATTCAGATCCAGATCTGGGCTCGGCTGGTTGCAGAACAAACATTGCGTTTCATCAAATTCGTATTCGATGCCGGGAGACGATGGATTTGCGACGTTGTCTTCATCGTTGTTGGGGGTCTGTTCTCGAATTGGAGCAGCAAGAAAGTCGCTTCGACCCGATTCAGCTTCCATAGTGACAGTGGTAGTAGTGCCAGTGGTAGTGCCAGTGGTAGTGCCAACAACCATTGGCATCAACGTCGGATGTTTGTAGGGTATGGAAGACTCAGATACTGGGAGGAACGACTGTCGAGCGGGATGCTTACGAGTTACTGGTGAAGTTAGCGAGACTGGTGGTAATGATGGTCTGCCCTTGGCAGGTATTTATATCGTAGTTTCCTGCGGGAGCATCAGGAGACATTGCCTGCGCCAAGGCAATCATCATGGTTCCAGACTCCTGGTGACTCAAGTAGGGGATGCACAGTGTACACATGCATAGGTAGGTGAGGATGGAGGTAGGACTAGTTGGGTGGCGAATTGGACCGCCTTACCGTTTCCGTCAACACGAACATACTTCCAGTTTCCTTTTAGGGTCTAGCTCAGAATATATCTTATAGCAATGGTAGCAGATCCTAGCACTAATAATAGGGCTAAGGAGGCAGGGACGTCATAATTTCTCCAGATCTCAGCCACGTGATGCAGCAATCTCATGCTGCTTTGAACAGCCAGCTTGGCAGGTTCACCCTTTTCCTGCTCTGGTTTCACTTCCTCAAGGGGGTGAGAAGCTGAAGGACATCGGCAAAAGGTAGCCAGACTCATCGGGAGGTCAATAATCCAGCATTGTGACATACTCTCAAACAGGTGGCAAGGTAACCAAAGAATGTGTCCTGCTACGCACCAGTGCAGTTCGTTCCCTAGATACACTGCATCTCGCATCCTCTCTCCAGCGACTCCAGCGACAAGTGTCCCCTTCGACAACACCCCAAGTACGACAGTACACAATTCTGCTCCTGTATCCAGCCAGTGGTCTATGATCAAAGACTGAGAGTCGTGACCACACCGTCCCGCTTCTCGGGCTGTTTCAAGTCTCCTTCCCCTGGAGAGGCTTCATCTGAGAGCATCTGTCCACTCAAAGCCGTCGGCCCCTCGAATTTGAGCGCAATCTCTTCCAAGGGAAGTCCTTTTGTCTCCACCCAGCTGAAGTAGATAATCACGAAGAAGACGATGTTATACGAAGCGTTGATGAGGTAGAACTTCCACCCAAGGTCTTCCATGGCGTACGACAGCGCAAATGACGACATGAGGCCAAATCCACTGTCGAAAAAGCGAAAAATGGCAATACCCGTTGTCCTCAGCTTGTATTGAGAGACTTCGGTGGCATACAGGGAGGTCATGGGGGTAATCGAGAAGGCATAACAACCTTGGAAGAGGAAGATAAGGGCGATGGTCCCGTATATGCCAGACTTGTTCGTGCTTTCTCCGTATACTGGGATTGTGGTCAGCGGGAAAGTGGATGATGATGGAGGGATGGGTACGGTGACTCACCTTTGATCAGTCCTCCGACCAGGTAAAGACAAACGATCATGCCTGCAACACTGCCGAGTGCATGCTTGCGCCGCCCAATCACGTCGAGCATATAGCTGCCGATGCAAGCCACTACGAATGACCAGCAACTCAAGATGACATTGATTTGCGTCTGAGTATTGGTGTTGGTGATTCCAGCTTGATCAAGGATCTTGCCAAGGTAAAAGCTGGACTTCGTCAGCAAATCTGGCCGTTGGCCGTGGTGGTCGTGTTCAACGTCAAGACTTACGAGACGACAAAGTTTCCAAAGGAATTGATCATGACTCCAAATGTGCACAAGATGAAGAGACGCTTGCGATTGGGTGCAGTAGACACGATCTCTTTCCATGGGTTCTGAGGCAGTTGAGTCTTTTCCGACATCATGGCGGCCTGAATTTCTGCAAAGGTAGATTTGACAACCTCCGAGTTGGGATTGCCCTTGCCTTGAGTGACTATGAGAACCTCCAGGGCGTGAGCGTCATGGCCTTTCGACATCAACCACCGGGGACTCTCTGGGACAAACGGCAACAGACAAAGTGCCACAAGACTGGGCATGATCTGAAGGAGCGACGGCAACCTCCATGACCAAGTTGACTGGATGTGCTGACTTCCATAGTTGATAATGGCGGATGTCAGACTTCCAACATAGAAGCATGAGAAGAAGAATCCCAGGATGCGTCCACGGGTGATGGCAGGCAAGAGTTCACCCAGCAACGCAGGTGCGGCGCCGCTGGAGAGTTGCGTGCCTAGGCCGACAATGATCCTGGCCACGATGAACATTCCGATATTTTGAGCCGCCGCCTGGAGAGTGATTCCGATAAAGCACACGGTTGCAGACACCATGATGGCCTTCCTGCGTCCGAATTTGTCCGGCACAAATTGAAGCAAGGGGGTGCAAAGTATGCTACCCATCCATGAGGCAGCATTATTTAGTCCAGTGGTCGCCACATTGAGGTGGAAGTACTCGCTGTAGGATGGGAGAATCTGCAGCCCATTCATCACTGAAGTATCATAACCGAGAGTCTAAGGAGAGACATCAGTCACAGGTCGGGTTGACGACGGAGAAGGACTCACCGCAGAATTGACCACGGCAACCATGATCAAGATCGCCGTGAACAATTTTTGATTTCCAGGAACAAGGTTGGAGACATACTGTCTCTGAAAGGTGGACATTATGCTCGGACAGGAGTCGATGGGTTGATGGAGGAAGTGTCTGGGAGTTGGGCACAGCACGTCCCGTTGTCCGGGACCTGGACGGACTCATATAGACAGAGGTGATGAACACCAAATAGACCGATTTGTCTGTGTTGAGTCTGCAAGAAGGCGGCCTCCGAGGAGAGAATGCAACTTGCGCCGTCTATCACTCGCTACAGACATATAGTCAGATAACCAGGGTGTTGATTGATTGGTTGGGAGCCTGGAGAGAAAGTTTTCGCACTCTCGCTCGAGCTCGCTCGAGAATGGGAAGGGCCGGTGATTGGCTGTGGATGGTCAAGGCTGCATGTCCCTGATGGTCTGTCGCCAGGGCTGGGCCCTTGATGGCCAGTAATTTCAGGGTCTGCTGCTGTGAGAACTCTGTAAATGGGGGAGTAGAAATAACAGATAATAGACAAAGCCCTGCAGTCCTGTCAAAGACTTTCTTCCCCTGCTGTTTCAATTCCACTTACAACTTCTGCTGCTCAGTGCTCACCATGCCCGGCACACTCCAGACTTGGCCTCCGTGGCTCGAATTCGAGGAACCCACTGACTATACACCCAAAGACCAAGACTTTGACATTTGCAAGCAGGCCATCATTGCGGAGTATGGCGAAGAGAAGCTTCGACAGAGTTGGGTCCAAGTCTGTCAAGACCTCGAATTGGTCACTGCCGAGATTGCAGAGAAGAGGAGCGACATTTTCCCCATCTTTGATTGTGAGGCCATCTTGAAGGACGGATTCTCTGCCGAGGACCAGGCTGCAGTCAAGAAGTATGGTTGCTTCATCGTGCGCCAAACCGTCTCCCAGGACGAAGCTCGTCAGGCATATGAGGTCCTGCGCCAATACCGAAACGACAACCAGTCTGAAATCCAGGGCTGGCCTGCCGAGTCACCGTCAATGATGATGATATATGACTCTCCCACACAAATAGCCCTTCGGACACATCCAAACCAGCTCAGGCTTCAGCGTGTCCTCAACCAGCTGTGGCACGACTCTTCCGCAGAGACAAGCCCCGAGCCTCTCCTGTATTCCGACGGAATCCGCGACCGACCTCCAAAACAAGTGTTCTTGGGTCTAGGACCTCACATCGACGCAGGGAGCTTGTGTCGTTGGGCGGATCCCACCTACCGTAGGGCGTATGAGCAGATCTTCGCGGGTAACCCCAGAGCACATGACGCATACAACCTAGCAGCCAGGAAAAACGCAAACCAGACCTTGTTTCCAGGCCGAGCCCATTCAAACGTGTTCAGGTCATTCCAAGGCTGGACCGCTCTGACTCGCGCGGCGGCCTCCGAGGGGGCCATCATGTTGTACCCAAATGTCTCAACCGTCATAGCATATACACTCCTACGACCCTTCTTTCGGCCGCCGAGAGACCCCAAGGACGTCATGGATGCAACCAAGTGGGAGTTCGACGCGGACGGAGCCTGGTTTCCTGGTACATTCAAGCCAGACAGTCAACGGCTCAGCAGAGCATCACACCCCCACCTGCGTCTGGAACAATGCTTGACGCACATTCCAGACATGCGCCCCGGGGACACAGTCTGGTGGCACACTGATGTAAGTAGATCTTTGCCCCCAATGTCTTCGATGCTGATACCCTCCGCAGGTATGTCACGCAGTCGATGCCGTCCATAACGGCCGGGAAAACGCCTCAGTTGCTTATATAGCAGCATGTCCGAAGACAGAATCCAACATAAAGTATATGAAAGCCCAGCTCCAGGCGACTCGGGAAGGGCGGCCCCCTCCAGATTTTGCAGCAGGGCTAATCCTGGATGAGAGGCACTTCAAAGGATATCGGGGCCACCAGGGCCTGTCGGAAGCGGCAAAGGCTGCATTGGGATACTATCTATGAACACTCCGGCGCAAGTCTGGTGTGGCGCATCTTGGTGACAAAAGCTCGGATGGACACGCGGTTGTAGCTCGGCCCTTGCCCAATGATCTTCTAATCGGCTAGATTTCAGACAGTCGTCCCCGTTCCACCTTCGGACACATTTGATGCCATGAACTCTCGTAAAATTCTCGCGGCTTTGCCAGCAACTGCACTATTTGCCTGAACTTTGTCAAGATAAGAAATGCAGAAATCGATTTCCTCGGCGTAATCTTCTTTCGACTCGACTGCAAGAAAAGCACCCGCAGCATAAATTTGCACCGACATTGCCCTACAAGAAGTCAGGGAAAGCAATTGCATGCTGAGCAGACATGGGCTGAGAGCTCACCATTGTCTTCGCCTTGCTATTGGAGCCGCCCAGTGTTGGCTGATCCAAATGATACCTTTCGCAGAGCTGAGGCAGATGGCTCTCGGCCCGCTAAGGTTTGTTGGGTCCGCTAACCACTCATGCTGCAGACATCGGTTTATAGCAAGGCGGAAATTTAGCAATACCAGGGTCAGATTGACCTGTTGCCACGGAATCCAGGGGTACAGAGCATCTCTTGCTCGTGTCTCGTCAGTTTTGACTTCGTCTGGTTGTAGATGTGGAGGAAGACCATCAATGATGTCAGCAAAACGGTTATCCGCGTCTCGAACTATCTCTGTCAAAGGCATATCAGACTGAAGTAGAGATCGGAACCGGCGGTGTATAGCGCTCATTTGGACCATGGCAATGTGATATTGCACTGGGAAGCATCGCCATTGCTTTGTAGAAGCAGGCATGGCTGGCTCCGGTATGAGAGATGGAATGGGGACATCAAAGTCGTGCTCCGTAACGCATGGATGATATGCTGGAATGTTAAGCCTGGTTCGATGAGTATTATTCAATAAGGGTTGTTGAGCAGCCTCACCATTCGCAAATGATCAATGTCCACCACATCCTATGACACGTCTCTGGCGATAAAGGCAAGCTGTCAGGCGGTTCTCTTGAGTCGACCCCTATAGTTTGAGCGATGCGGATTGCGCAACCCCACAACGTCTTGTACAGCTTGTTATCTCCAAAATTATTGAAGCATATCCCGAGGATCACGGTGGTTTGAACAGTGCGAATGTCGTAGTTCCTCATAAAGTCTGCTTTGTTCAGGCAGAAGAGTGATGTCGAATACCACGTTCGGGCCATCAATTCCTGGTTATCTCCCTTCTCAGAATTGATGCACATCAGATGATATACAAGGCTCACCTAGGGGAAGCACGATTTCCGACACTTCTTCGTCACACATCATAAGTAGAGCAGTCTATCCTAGTGTCAGCATGCGATTCTGTACACCGTGGGAGCGACATACTGTGAGAACAGCAAAGTAAACAGCCAGCCAGAATGGATCAATGTCTGCGATGGTACCTCCATTCTCCAACGTATTCCAAAAGCGATCATGCTCATTCTCAAAGTCGGGGTATTGGAGGCCATAGTGAACCCACGAGTTCCAGATCTTGTCATGCTGGACGAGCCTAGCACTGCAAAGCCGAGACGGAAGGACAAGATTTGGCCAAATGACTTCGACCTGCTCAGCAGGGTCGATGAGATCCTCGAATAATAACCTCTCCCACCTATCAAAGCCATCTACGGCATAATAGGGCCTAGAAACGGTGCTCACCGGTTTCGTGCGGGACAAGGCCAGTTTGAGTTCTTGATTCTGTTTGAGAAGTTGGTCATAGGTAAGGAGGTTCTCGGTTGGCCGAGCCCTTTACGGAGTACAGATCAGTAAGATGGTGGAGAGGGCAATGGGTGTTCAAGACTTGCACTGTCGCTATTCCTCGTACGAGGACTGTTTCTCGCTCACAACTGTCAGCAACGCCATGCTTGATGCACTGATCGCATGGTATGTGACGATTGCATTTCACCCTCCGGCGCCAACATGTCTTGCAGGCTTTCGGCGCCCTCTGTGTAGTTCTCAGGCCCCCAGAGCGGTTGTGTAATGAGTCGTTCATGCGTGAAGCCGTATATCGAGGTGATATCCAGGCACTATCGGTTTGAATAGATGGTACGAACTACATTTGGGGAGAGGCGCGAAACGAAAGTCCGCGAGGGGAGGGTGATAAGTCATAACGACAATCTTCGGCATCTTCGGCGGCCGCTTTTAGCAAAGAATCTTACCTAAGCTAGATAAGAGTCGATGACTCGATGGTGCTAGTTGATGCTAATAGCGGCGGGTCATATTCCGTCAGACAACCAAAACCTCGTCAGCCCAAAGTGATGAGTTTCTACTATCGAGCAAAGGCTTGCTGCGATCTAGTATGAACCTGTGCCGGAGTTGCTGCGTGAATAGCAGAACGAGAAAACACGGTCTGTGTTATATCCACTCCTGTCGGAAAGAACAGGCTACCTGGTAGGAAGCCTCGTCACTCTCTCGGACACAGGAGTAATACAAGACAGAAGCAAGGTCGACTGAGTTCTTACCTTTAAAGCTGTCGGAGACTTGGGTTCCTTGTATCGTCCCAGCATCGAGCCAGGATGCTGGTCGTTGTTGAAGAATACAATCCCATATGGGCGCATCAATTCGACGTGATTAAAGGAGAATTGGAGGATATCCTTCAGGGAGTGCGATACCTCACCATTGAGCATGTGGGGAGCACATCAGTTCCTAGGTTAGCCGCAAAGCCCGTCATTGATCTTGCAGTGATCAGCGAGCGGGACGAAGTTGACGCTGCAATAAGGGCTTTGGCCTCCACAGGAGGATACATGTACATGGGTGAGAGGGGTATTCCAGACCGCCATGCCTTCAGCAAACCGGGTGCTATACCAGCTCGACACTTGTACGTCTCAGTCGAGGGTTGTCAATCGATTCGAAATCAGCTCGCACTGCGGGATATTTGCCGCAATGATCCTTTCATAAGAGCTGCCTATGGAGAGACAAAGCGCAAGCTGGCTCGGCGAGACTGGAAAAGTGGCGACGAATATTGCGAGGCTAAAAATGACATAATTGCCTGGATATTGGAAAAGGCCGGCATGAGTAGTGAGGACCGGGATCAAATCCGAAAGTTGAACACAAGAGTATAGCACATCTGTGATTTCAGACGAAAGAAATGTCCTTCCGCTTTGCAGTCCCCATCTGGAGTGTGCGACGGGGATGATGGGAGAGGCTGCTTCGGGGAGGCCGTTGTGAGGACGAGAGAAGGGTACTGTAGGACCGATATGTCGCAAGTGGGACTTGAATACTGTGATGGCAGGTCTCTCCTAGATCCTCGATCATTAGGTCCGTCCAGCGGTAGGCTTAGCGGCCGTTGTGCTTGAGACCAGAAGCACCAGAGGCACCAGGGGGGTCGGACTGCGAGACATGTGAAGCCAAATGGTGTGCCACTGGGAAAAAATTAGCGATCATGACGGGCTGCATCGTGATGACAATGGCGATGGTATGGGAAAATGCGTACCGAGGGGGAGAAGATTGATGAGACCTGACGAATGGAGGTGCTTTCTTTCTGATGGGGTCGAGCCGTTGGCGGGAGTTGTTACAGTACAGTGAGTACACAGCATCATTGCGGCCGCCATTTCTCTTCCTGCATATTGCATAGGCGAGTTGCGGTGGATGCAACTGGAGTCAGGACAGCAGTGGTGGATGCAAGGCGAGGCGAGGATTCGCGAGATGGAGCAACGGAGGAGGGTGGTCGAGTGGTGGTGGCAGGCCTGGGCCATGAAGCGGTGGTTCGGGTGGCTTGATCGTTACGCTTGGCTGCCATCATCGGGGCTCGGGCTGCGAAGAGCCCCAGCCCGGGCCTTAGAAGCCTTCGCTGAAATTCTGTGGGCGTGGCGTAGCGTAGCAGCGCAGCGCAGCCAAAAGCCTCAATGTTGACAACCGCCAAAATTCAAAGAGATAACCCTCACTCGCTACCGATGCTTCATACACGCCCGATTGGAAAATATTCTCTTATCTTGCACTTAGCCTTCCATACTTCTATCTGTTTCTCTCCTTCAGGCCTCTTTGACACGTCCTTTGTCGCTCGCTGAACATTGACCTTCCACCCCTATACGCCCTATCTGATTCCCTTTGTCGTACGCCGGAAGTCTCTTTGTTCGAAACAGAGATTAAGGAAGAAAGGCACACGGAATATCGTTGGTGATTTCTCGAACACATTGCCAGGATAGCATGAGCAACACATCCCACGGCCCTGCGCTGCGGTGACAGTGACATTAGATCGAGATGGCGGCTCGTCAAGCAATGTTCCCTCGACAAACGATTACTCCTGATTCCGGTCTTTCGACGGGAGAAGAGATGCTTCAATTGCTCTCCAACCCTTTTCAGGCTTCTGTATGTCCCTCAGGCCCATGCCGGTCAAGTGTATACTGACATAACCAGTTGCAAACAAACGCTTTCTGGGCCTCTCTTGGAATCTCCCTCGGCGTCAGTGCTGGTCTCGCCCTCCTCTTCTGCTTCGTGCGTCCCAGGAACACTCTCGTCTACGCCCCAAAACTGAAGAATGCGGACAAAGACCATGCCCCACCCCCGCTGGGAAAAGGCGTGTTCAGTTGGATCAAGCCTGTCCATACGGCAAATGAGCCATATCTGGTGGAAAGGATTGGGATGGATGCAGTCATCTTTCTGAGATTCACACGCATGCTCCGCAATATTTTTGTCGTTCTCGCCTTTATAGGACTTGTTCTCATGATCCCCGTCAACGTGGGCCTGGGAAAGAAGACAGTCTCCCACGGATCGTCTGTCTTCTCGGTAATGACACCTTTGTACATTTTCGGTGGCGGCCTGTGGGCTCAGGTAGTCCTGGCATGGCTGATCGACCTGGTGGTGATATACTTTCTATGGCACAACTATCGACGGGTCCACAAACTCCGACGAGCTTACTTGGAGAGTCCAGAGTATCAGCAAAGTCTACATGCGCGGACGCTCCTGATTCGAGACATTCCACCCCAGTTTCGGAACAACGAAGGTTTAGCACGAATCACCGACGAGGTCAACCCGACGGGCGCTGCTCCAAGGACCACCATTGGACGCAACGTGAAGATCCTACCTGAATTGATCCAGGAGCACGAAGAAACCGTCCGGGAGCTAGAATCCGTCCTCGCCAAATACATGAAGCATCCTGATCGACTTCCCCCTCATCGCCCCAAGATGAAGGCTCCAAGGAAGTACAAGGGCCCGACCATGAATGGCAAAGTCGACGCCATCGACTATCTGACCGACCATATCCGGGGCCTGGAAACGCAGATCAACCATATCCGCGAACACATCGACACCCGCGATCCGATGCCCTATGGATTTGCCAGTTGGGATCAGGTTTCCGACGCACACACGGTGGCATATTTGGCCCGGAGGAAGCGCCCGCAAGGAACCAAGTTCCAATTGGTGCCGAGACCAAATGATCTTATTTGGACCAATCTGAAGCTGTCTCCGGGAAGCAGAAAGAGCAAGCGGTTCATGAATGGTGTTTGGATCACCGTGCTGACCATTATCTGGACGCCATTCAACGCCGGGATTGCAGTCTTCCTATCCAATCTTTCCAACCTCGGGCTCGTTTGGAAGGGTTTCAGGGCGCAACTGGAAGCACACCACACAGGCTGGGCGATCGTCCAAGGTATTGCCGCTCCCGCCATAACTTCCCTCGTTTACCTCATCCTCCCGATCATCTTCAGGCGCCTGCAGATCCGTGCGGGCGACGTGACCAAAACAGACCGCGAACGCCATGTCCTTCGAAACTTGTACAGCTTCTTCACCTTCAACAACCTGATAATATTTTCCATCTTCTCTGCTGTCTGGCAATACGTGACCATTGTGATTGAGTACAACAAACAAGGGAATGACACCTGGACATCGCTGCGGGAAGGTCGTTTCTTCCTGGTGATCACCACGTCGCTCTGCCAGATCTCTCCGTTTTGGGTGACCTGGATTCTTCAACGCAATCTAGGTGCTGCCGCTGATTTAGCTCAGCTTTGGCACTTGACTACCGTCTGGTTTGCAAGGACATTTATGGCTCCGACGCCCCGACAGAATATTGAGTGGACAGCACCGCCAGCGTTTGACTATGCAAGCTACTACAACTACTTCCTCTTCTACGCCACCGTGGCGCTTTGCTACTCTACCCTTCAGCCGATCGTGCTGGTTGTGACGGCATTGTATTTCACCATCGACGCTGTTTGCAAAAAGTATCTTTTGATGTACGTTTTTGTCACCAAAACGGAATCTGGTGGTCAATTCTGGGTGACGATCTTCAACCGAATTGTCTTTGCCACCATCCTTTCGAACGTTATTATTGGAGTGGTTGTCAAGGCTCGAGGGGGCTGGGATCTGGTTGGCGCGCTCGTCCCCTTGTTGTTCGTCATGATCGGCTTCAAATGGTATTGCATGAAGACCTTCGATCTGGACTTGAAATATTTCGCCCGCGGTGGCATGCACGATCAAGAACGTCTTCCCGCCGATGGGAAGTCCCGGAAAGTAGAGAGGGTTTCGACCAAATACGGCCATCCGGCGCTGTACAAGCCATTGATGACCCCCATGGTTCACGAAAAGGCCAAGCATGTCCTGGCAGAGATCTACCAAGGACGATTGAATTCAGAAGGAGGACAGTCCCTGGCCTTCTCAGACATTGCCATGCAGCCAATGAGTCATCAGACGGGCAAAGTAATGCAGGATGTGCCATTTGAGATAGTTCCTGAGGCGCAGCAAGATTACCAGTTCTACAAGAACCATTCCGATTTCCGCGATCAAGGAGGCGACACCCCTTCGCGTGCCCAAACGCCAGTCTCATTCGCGGGCAAGGAAGGATACATTTCACCGAAAGGCTTCCGCACCCAGACACCAGTTCCAATGACTGGCAGAGAAGATTACAATTCAGCGGAGAGCTCACGAGCAGGCAGTCCCACCACTGGTCCCGTACAGCAGCACCATGGCATCCATCGCAAACCGGTCGATCCATCTCACATCCCAACTCACCTCAGGACTGCCTCTCTCGCGACATCTGGCGACGGTGATCTAGGTGTACAGCATGACCTCAATGATGACAGAACGAACTTGTTGCAGGATATAGGAGACTTTAGAGCACCGAACGGGGAGTTCATGTCTCTTGATAGATGGCGAACACACGAGAGTGGAGATGGAAGCGACGCCGGTGCATACCGAGAACTTGGCGGAGGCTACACACCATCCGAGGAAGAATTTTTAGGGTATGATTATTTCCGGGGGAAGAGGTGACCTATGACGGGGCTTGTTGGAGTGTGGTTGAAAGATGTAAAGTGACTGACAAAAGTCTGTGTGGCGATTTGTTTTTCAAAATATAGACTTGTATGAAGCAAGCTACGATGGTAATGAGGCTAGGTTAGGATGATCACGATGAGCGATGAAGATGAAGCAGCAACTGTCCCAAGCAGCAAGCAGGAATCCAATCGAGTTGACCCGAAGCCGATGTTGAACCAGTACTGATACTTGAAGCCATGCAGTGCACCGCTTGCTTGACCACTCTCCGTCTCCCTCCCCGTCTCCCTCTCCGTCTCCCTCTCCGTCTTCGTCTCAGTCCCAGTCCCAGTGGTCTCTCTCTACTGCTGGAGGATTTTTGGCTGCCCAATGAGTCTCAGACGTGGCTAAGTACAGTACGGATACGTGCCGACCAGTGTCTGGAGTGCACGTTGGACGTTGGAGCCGACAAATATGCCGACTAGTAGTAGTAACTAGTAGCCAACACAAGCGACCAGCTCTTGATACTCCTCAGGAGTTCGGCGCCGAATCCTGGACATTCTTATCTGCGAATGAATCGATCTAGAGAAAGCCTGGGCAGTGACTTGATAGATCAGGGCGGAAATGCTCCCTGGTCATAATACCATGCATGATTTAATAGAAAGAAAAGGAGGCCTTTTTTAATACTTATACATGGTACCGATACCTGGTAATAGTCATACATAGCCCATTGCATCCGATCCCATAGCTCATAGCCCATTGTCCGTTGTCCATAGCCCATAGCTCATAGCCCATAGCTCTTGCCAGCCTGCTGGCATTCGCGTGCACATCACCACTTCTCCGAGTCTCACTGCATTCTGTCTCTCGCCATCTGCACCTGAGTCAGCAAACTATTTCACCACAAGGGAAACCTGGTGTTTGGGGCAGAAAACATCGTACTTGTAGACACCCTCCCGGTAGCAAGCGAGGCAGAGGCCGCCCATGGCCTTGTACAAATCGAAGACGATTTCTTGGGGAGTGATGTCGGCGTAGCGCAGTCTGAATCGGCCGCATGGGAAAGGCGGGAGTTTGGCATCGTCCATTTCACGGAAACGGTCGAGTTCCGACATCTTCTTTACCCAGGACAGGACCAACGCTCCGATGCTATAGACGCATTTGCCCTCCCCCTCCTGGTCCAGCTGCCAGAGGTCGGACTTGGTGATGATTTCGGAAGCCCATCGCTCGGGGTGAGACACAGCAGCGCACTTGTCGCACCACCAGTGGTTGGTGCCATGGGGGTCCGGGAAGAGCAGATTGGGCAGCTTGGTGACAAGAAACGAACGCATGCGCTGGCATTCGGACTGAAATTGCGGCATGAGACCCTTGACTTCGTCTTTAAGACATTCCTGTAGCAAGGAGGGTGGGGCAACCCACATCAACTGACGGGAGGCTCTGCAAAAAATGTGCGGGAGGTTGAGGATGGTTGCCATTACCAGGACGGAGACAATCTTCTTTGTGCTAGCCATGGTTATGGTCGTCTGGATCGGGTGCTGCACGAAATTGTCAGGGAGGAGAAACGATTCCAAGATGAAGCTGAGCCATGCCGGGACTGGCCCGTCATACATGTATTTGTCGAACACCTTTGTCAAATCCTCGAGGCCCTTTAGCTGCAAAACTGGCCAGAGCCGCGGTGGAAGCGGCCTCAAGCCATGCACAATTCCTAAAAAGGCTCTCATAAGGTGAGGCTCGTCCTCGTTTAAGACCAGGGGATCATCCGCGGTGTAGCTGGCTCTGTCACTCCAGCGAGGGCTGAGAAGTGCGGCGAAATAGCGAGAAGTCTTCTTCAACACCTGGCTTGACGCTAGGAAGTCCTCTGAGTCCGTTCCGTTCTGCACCCGGATGTACAGGTCTGATTCAAGGCACATCCTATACACTCTGCGTGGGGCCGGCACCGGAGTCGGAGTGACAGTAGACATGATGGGTAGGAAGAGAAGAGAGTGCAGTGGACAGGCAAGGCGGTTCACCGTTTAGCAAAGCTGTCTCGACTCGAACTGTTGTAGTCAGTGCTGATAGAACGGAAGTTGTTCTCGCTGGTAAGCGACAGATATATAGAGCAGGCCGCTCGCTAAGGATGTCACATTACTCCAACAGGTAGTTGTTCAGTAACAGGCAGTGCAAAGACTCATCTTTGTTTGGCCTTCTGCTTCACTGACTGAACGAGGCTGAGACATGACCGAGCAGTGACTGCGTCCTGGTGAATATCTGCCCCTAAACCAGTTCAGCCTTGCGGCGCTTGGGCATGGCAGTACAGGAGGTGATGTACTAGTAGTCACTTTCCTTTGTTAATGATCGCTGGCGCACTCGCCATCGTCGATGAAGGCTTTCTTTGTTTCATTTGTTCCGGTCCAGCATCGATGTGTTCTTTGTGTCCTTGTGTCTTTGTTGTCGCCCCTCATTAATGACCTCGGTAGTTGCTCGGAAGCGCGGCAAACAGAATCCCACACGACAGGATTGAACGTACTCGTAGCGCGTACGGCGTAAGTCGAGGCGAGTTCCCCTGACCCGCTATCCTCTCTCTCCACAGGAGTTCTGCCTTTCTTAACCTCGTTCGGTTTGACGCTTTCTTCCCCATGGAGTCTGCTTCCCCACAAGCTCTGCAGATCCCCAATCATCCGCATCTGATCAACACCCCGCCGAGACCCCTGATGCTACCTCTTATCCAAAGTTCCTCTCTCACTGGCGGGGAACAGTGTGGTAGGATTTGGGGTAAGAAGACGTTGCTGGCTCGTGTCGAATACCCTGTTCCATGTCCCCCAATTTTCCATCCTCGGGTCACCGCTCCCACGCCGGTCAAAGGCCGCTTGATACAAAAGCCCGTGTATGGCCCTGCCTCCCACCAACCTCCTGTAGTCGATGATTGAGAGACAATCGCTTCCCGGAGATCTTGACGGGTTGAACAGCAGTTGACAATGGCCAAGGGGTTGATAGACGAGAAAGGCGATCACGTCGAGACTGGAGACCCAATCCACGTGGAAACGTCTGGCTTGAGCGACCACGCCGGTCTCGATGATTCCAATGTATGTATGCCTCCTTGACGTCCTTGTTTATCACACGGTAGCTTTCACACTTCACCCCTAACAGCCAGCCAGCTTCCACGATATGATGACAAAGAGACCAGGCGCATCCTTCGTAGGGTCGACTACCGCCTGCTTCCGATGTTGACGCTGTTGTATGTCCTCGCGTTCCTGGATCGTGGGAACATCGGCAATGCCAAAGTAGCCGGGATGAACAAAGACCTCAAGCTCACCGGGACCCAGTACAATCTGGCATTGACGGTACTCAAGACGAAATTCAACACATTGTCCAAGCAACTGACTATCATCCCAGGTCTTCTTCTTCCCATATGCCGTGTTTGAGGTGCCGTCCAACATCGTGCTCAAGCTGATGCGGCCCTCGTGGTGGATCTGCATCCTCATGGTCTCCTGGGGCGTGGTACGTGCTGAGACGAGACCGGCGAGAATCGCTTCATAGTACAGAATGAAGATGGCTCACTGGTCTCGTGGTCCTAGGTTATGACTCTCCAAGGCATCGTCCAAAACTACAATGGCCTCATCGTCACCCGGACAATGTTGGGCCTGGCCGAATCTGGATTCTTTCCTGCTGCCAGTAACTCTCCCTTGTGCAGGATCTGCTATGCTCTGATCCAGTCCTGTATTCCCCCTAGCAGCAACCCCGGCTAACCAGACGTCCTTTCCGACAGCGTATCTCCTGACCACCTGGTACTGCCGGTTCGAAGTCCAGACACGGCTGTCGGTTTTCTTCTCGGCCGCGTCGATGGCTGGGGCGTTCTCGGGCCTGCTCGCGTTCGCGATCGAGAAGATGGACGGGGTCGGTGGCGAGGACGGTTGGCGTTGGATCTTCATCTTGGAGGGCATCTTGACCACCATGGTGGGCTGCACGCTGCCCTGGACGCTACCGGACTCGCCTGAGACAGCCAGCTTCCTGAGCGTGGCGGAGAAGGACTTCATCAACCGGCGGCTGGTGCAGGACGCAGGCACGTCGGCTGGGCGGGTGCGCACACGCGAGCGTTTCCAGTGGCGGTACCTGCGCGCCGCCCTGGCCGACTGGAAGATTTACTTCGCCGTCATCATCTACTGGGGCAACAGCATCGTGTTGTACGCCTTCACCTACGCCGCACCTAGCATCATCCTCGAACTGGGCTACACCGCCGCCCAGGCCCAGCTGCTCACCATCCCCATCTACTTCCTCGGCGCCGTCAGCACCATCTTCTTCTCAGTCCTGGCCGACCGCCACCAGACCCGCTGGCCCTTTATCGTCGCCCCCTTCAGTCTCGCCTTGGTCGGCCTCATCGGGCTGCTGGCCGTCCCCCATCCCCACCTCCCCGGCTTGACCTACGCCTTCCTCTTTACTATCCCCGCTGGCGTATATCCGCCCTTGATCGGCTGTCTGTCCTGGGTTGGGAACAACCTCGCTCCCACCTGGAAGCGGGCCATCGGCATGGCGCTGTTGATATCCCTGGGCAACCTCGGCGGCGCCATCGGGTCAAACATCTTCCTCGCCAACCAGGCCCCACACTACTGGCTTGGATATGGTATCGCCACCGGCATCGTCGCGGCGGCTATTGCCTCAACCCTCGTGCTGAGAGTTGCCTATGGCCTACTCAACAAAAAACGAGATTTGCTGGATGAGGAGGAAGTCAAGGCCCAGTATACTGAAGGTAAGTCCTTTTTTGGAACCATGCTGCCTCATAGGCAAAGATTGCTGATGTGAGCGACTGTCAGATGAACTACTTGATCTTGGGGATAAGTCGCCTCTATATCGATATGTGGTGTGATTACACAAGAAGATATAGACCCTAGGCTACAACCTCAAGCTAGAATTCTTACCAATAGGAGTAAAAATGATGGAGTTGAGATAGAATCGAGATGGACTCGGGTTTCACCAGAGTTCTGTACGTCATGCTCAACCCCTTTTCCCATCCTCCTTACTCGACTGGCCCTCCGGACAGTCTTCTACTACCTGTATCGCCCGCTTTGATCTTGGCAGGTCCATTCATCCTCGTCGCCAGGCAAATGGTCAATCAAGGTCCAGTCTGCCCCTTTGGGCCTATTCTCTTGGTGGTGGCACTTAGGAAGGGATGAGTTGAGGCAAGACAGGCATAACCCGGGGATGGTGTCCGCAATGGCGTCGAGTTTGTTCCTGATGATCGTGTCCCACGGCAAGTCGCAAGATTCGCAGCTACACAGCACATCATTGATGCAGACGGTACTGGCCACCTTCCGCAGGAGGTCAAGCACTGTATCCAGTGACCGTCCGGGCTCCCACTCTGAACAGGTTGGCCAGAGTCTGATGTCACAGAGGGAAGAAATAAACTTCCCGGCTCTGCTGGCTTGGCCGTTGCAGATTTCGCGAAGTTCCAAAACAGAATCATCCCGGGCAGAGCAGATCACCGCGCGGCATGCTCCCCCGGCTGAACTGGGTTTGTCGAAGAGACTACCAATTGCGTCCAGGCACACAAAATGAAGGTCAAGCAACAACGCGTGGCGCAAAGAGAACAGCGAGTCTGAATGCAGCACGTCAATGACTGAGCTAGCAGAGACCATGTACAGACGGAGACTCACCCATCAATATCCCTTGCAGAATTGGATCCAGGATTTCGGCGAACTCGCTTCCCTGCATCCCCTCCGGTCCTTTCGTAAGATATTTCACGGTGGTTTTTGAGAAGATGTAGAATGCCTCCTTGTCATCAAGCAAGTATGCAGCACTAATGGCATGGGCCAACTCGTTGGGGTAAATTTCCCTCACCTGAGATGTAGCTGACGGTGAAACCAAGGTGCCATCGCGTGAGTGCACCCAAAATTGGTGCTGGTGAGCGTAGCCTCGTACATTTCCCTGAACGAATAGGGGCGGACGGCATCTTGGTGGTAATGCAAGACTTTGCACAGGGTTGCCATGGGCTCCGGTGCATCTTCTGGAAACTCCAAGACAAGGGGTTTATCCTGGCCCAGTGGAAGCTGGTCTTCTCGAGATCTGCGGGTGAGCATGCCCTCGAAGACGGGTGACGTTAGGCTTAAGATTTTGCTGGAGACCCGGATACGCATTATGACTGGAGTCGGTTTCGGACCTCCCTTCTCTTGAGTTTGGATCTGGTTCTTGAGTTCTCTGCCGACTTCGAGTATTAGATCACCTTCCGCATCGACGTCGACCATGACGACTTCAACGCTGTCTAGGGACGCCATGCCGTAACCGCGACACTCGTGATCACAGTTGAGGCAAGCAGCAACAAGAGCTAGGTAGCGTAGTTGGAAGAGGGCTATCTAGGACCGGAAGTGCGCAGTGCAAGAAGACGGAGGAGGCTGCGGAAAAGGCGCTGGAGGTTTGTAGCCGCAGTTTTAGAAATAAACAAAGAATGCAGGTGCCAGGCATAGGTCTTGTAAGGCGAGTGACTCCTTCCTTTCTCATTTCTTTTTGAAGCTGCAGTAGTAATGAAATGGCAACACTGATCTTGCTCATCTTGAGACGGAAGTGGAGAAAAGCCCACCTTTGCCATAAAGTACAGGATTCGACAGGAAGCTATGGAGGAAACAATCCCCTCGAGCAACGAGATCAGTGCGTGTGGAAGATACGAAGAGTTCTTCTCAGTGTCTCACAACACAACATGGAAACTGGTGCTCTGCTACAGCTATACCCTCTCAAGAACTTACTTCATTCGATCCATTGAGCGCCCTGCCTAGCATCGTGACTGGCAATACTGTCTTTGCTATTATCGCTTTTTGCTTTGATAAGCCCTCTCATGTCCAAATGATTTCCTTCCCGCTGTCCGAGTTGCTCTCCAGCTCTTGAATCTGCTTGCGCAAGACGTCGGCGCGGAACGCCTTGACCGCCTTCTCGATCCTGTGTTTGGCCTCCGGATCTTCGGAAATGGTCCTCTTGGCCGCCCAGACGCCGGTTAAGAAGCCGGTCTCGCCTCCCAAGAACAGACCGCCGATCCCGAAGAAGGTGTATGCCGCGATGTCGCCCAGCGGCGTAGGCTTCAGTAACGGCGTGATGTCCGGGATGGCTTCCTCTCGGCCATCTGCGAATCGAACGTGCGTCGGCCTCTCGGTCGCCTTGATGGCCTGGTACATGGCGTTGCGGTTCGCACGGATCCGGAACGCGAGCCACCCGCCCAGGGCGATGCCGGCCAGAGACCCGATCAGGGCGTGCGTGGATGCTTTGGAGGCGGCTCGTTGGAGGATGTCACGGTCCGAGTCGCGCAGACTGTGCGAGGAAGACGTTAGCATCTTATCCACACGAGCCAGACACGACAGTAAGGCTGAGGGCAAGGCTGAGGGCACGAAAGGACGGGAAGGATGCTGTAGCAGCACATCTTGCACCACTCACTCATGCTTCATATGATCTTCCGCGAGCTTGCCGAGCTCATCGCCGGCATTCTTGCGGAATGCAGCCAGGGAATCGGACGACATGTTCGTGGATCTGGGGGCTGAGATAGCGGTCACGGTGCGCAAAGGACAAAGAGACCGTTCTGGTTTGGAGAGACAAGCAGCATTTACTTGGGTACGTAGTCGGAAGTCGGAAGCCGGAAGTCAAGCAGATCAAATCTTCGACACCATGGTGTTATTGATGGCTACGTCATTCTGTAGCAGCTTGACTTCTGCCGCACTCTTTATCTGGACCTGCTACCTATTGAATACTAGTACGTACCAGGCACCTACAGGTCAGGTACGGGGTACAGTAATACTACACGGCACAAGTCTGTACCTGATCTTCTGGCGCCGGTCTAGTATCCAGAAGCTATGTATTTGAGAGGGTTTCCACATTGTGCTTCAAATGGGAAAATTGCCTGGCACCAAATATGGCACCTCGATGGGCCATTCGTCCAACACGGGGGTGCAGGTCGGCAGGCCTCGACGGGCACAGTTGTGACAAGGTTGGCCACGATCACATCACAAGCTGCTCACAAACGATAAGAAGCTGAGGAGCTGCGAAAGTGGCGAAGGTGAACGTGCACCAGACTCGGGGTACTCGTACGAGTATTATTAGCATATCCGTACTTCAAGCTCTTTCTTTTGCGATCACGACGTCCCATTGGCTAACCTTGCAGCGCCAAACTCCGATACCGCTGACTTTACATTAGACACTGGTATCCATAACAAACCATTCCAGAATTGTCTGACTCCTACTAGTGTGTCGAACGGCTTGTCTAATAGAGTCTTGCTCACGGCGCCGAGGAACGCGCCAGAAGAGTGCTCCCCTGCATGCGGTGTCCATACCTGTCTGTCTCGACCGTGGTGGTCCTTGCGAAGAGGGAGAAGAAAGAAGGACGCTGAGCGGCGAGCGAAGGGACTACTCATGCCTCGCAAAGTGGCAGGATGTCAGCGAGCATCCCTGTCATGCGCTCGTTGTCGTGTAAAGAAAATCAAGGTGAGATATATTTCATGCGGCATGGGGGGCTCTGCGCTCAGATGCCTTGGCCAGATGCGCAGGGTTGACGTGGTAGTTACAGTGTGACAGAGCCAATCCATGTTCTCAATGCGTCTCAGCCTATGCCGAGTGTACAAGTCCCAACGTGGATGGACTGCAAGACGTCCCGCGAAGTATCACGCAATTTCTGCAAGACGACATCAAAAGAATTGAGGTGAAGTTGCAAGACTCTACATCCGCCCGTCAATCCTGGCGTCCGCCGCGCGAGTCGGTGGCCAACAGTCCACCTTCACCTACGAGAGTGGTGGCACCGAGCCTCGAAGGCGATGCACTACCAGCGGCATCCTCTGCCGCATCTCAGCTCAAGGCCGATCGACCGATTGATACTGCTCGGACCCGGGCTCGGCAGTGCTCAAGCGTGCAGAAGATCATCCAGTCGATGACTCCAGAACAGGCCACAGCATGCAAGATACCCAGTAACACGATGGGCCTGACCTCTTCTCGAGTCTTTGCGTCGAGTGGCTCCAGGAATGATGGTGGTCGAGGGCCGTCTTCGGCAGCCGCCGAGGTGACCCAGGGGCTGATCAGCGTCAAGAACCTGGCCGCCATGCCACCTCGAATCGTCAGGACGCTGGTCCAGGTGTTCGTTGAGAAGATTCACTCCCTGGTAACGATGGTGTATGAACCCACTCTCTGGAACCAGGTCAGGAGAGTTCTTCGCCTTATTCACGATGACGGAGTCACTTCCATCGCCCCCGACTATGATTTTCTCATCGTGCACATTGTTCTTGCCATCTCGGCCTCGCTGGGAAGCGCCTCGAGTGGTCATGGGCCGCAGCGAATGGCGTTCTCGGAGAGCCTCTTCCAAGATGGCATCAAGCATATGTCAAATCCAGCCGTGTTCCCGTCCGAGATGTCCGAGCTTGAATCTATTTTACTCACCCTCCATTACGGAACGATCAATCCGAGGTGCGCCAGTGTGTGGATGCTCTCCGGATCTGCAATGAGACTGTGCCTGAAGCTTGGTTTGCACCGAGAATTGGAAGGGCAATCTACCTCCGCGGATCTTGCAGCGGATATGAGAAGACGCCTATTCTGGATGAGCTATTGCCTTGACAGGCACGTTTGCGCTGCTCTCCAGTACCCCATCTCCTTATCAGATGCTGCCATCAACACTGGCCATTTCTCGATCTTGGATGACAAGTGCCTCCCCACCGACTCGGCACTGTCGGGCCCTGTGACTCTTTCGAAGGCGCCCGCCCTGCACTGGCTGGAGTATCGGCAAATCCACTCAGATATGGTGGAGGTCCATTTTAGAGGCAAGTACTTCGGCGGCTCTTGGGAAAAGTGGCTGGCAGGAATGGAGGCAAAGCTTCGCACCTGGTATGGCAAGCACAGTGACACTTACCCGTGGACTGAGACTGCGTACCACAATGCCCTGACCTACCTCCACCGTCCGTCTCCTTTGACGCCGAAGCCGACTGCGAGGAGTCTCCTCATCGCTTTCGAGAATGCATGTGCCGTGGCCTCCAGCTATGGCAAAGATATTCGAGCCGGCTACTTTCGTCGCCCGTGGCTGGCCGCTCATCACACATTTGGCTCGGCGGTGATTGTTCTCTTTTGTCTGCGACACGGGTCGAAGTTCATACTCACCAGATTCACTCCCAGCGAAATATCCGACATGACGGCGTTGTTTTCACGGAACTTGCAGAGTGTTTCCTCGGAATTCTGGCCCGAGGTCTCACGCTGCCTGGAGGTCTACAACCGCTTACTGACACCTCTCATTGCGGCGATCATGTCGGACACCGACCCCGGGGTGGCATTCGGCCATGAACAGGACGAAGAGCTGGCACATCTGTTGTATCCTGGCACAACCAGATTTGAAGCGCTATCGTGGGACGATGCCGGTGGCGCTCAAACGACTCAGGACGTAGATTCGGCGCTCGTCAATGTCGATGCTTTTGATTGGGACCTTTCCAGGTTTGACGACTTCGCCTGGGACGAGACCACCTTCGATTTCTTGGACGGGTACGCTTATACACCGGACTGGACAGAGGCGTTCCTCGTTACCTGATCCTATTGGGGGATCGGCTTAACACGCTCCATGAACAGCTTGAGCCTCAAGGCCTGAGCCGCCAGCTCGGCACCTCGGTCGGGGGAGAAAAGCAGTTTTCTGCACGCCGGAGATCATACAAAGCCCTTTGCGGCTATTTTCTGAAAGATCTCCACAGAGATTTCTTTGTAGATCTCAACCATTCCGTCCATTCCTGGCCACTGCATTGCGCACCAAGTGAGCAGAGAGAGGCACGAAGCTGAAACATGGTGCAGACGTCGCCCCTCTCCCTTCAACAGATTGAGATCGAGAGGTCGCCAAGGTTGCTGCACCAGGGAGTGGCCTTCCCCGGGTCCGAGGTCTTCCTGCTTCACACGCCCATCAAGAAAACAGAAGCAACATGCGAGAAATGTCAAAGCTGCCGCATAAATCTCCTGTGCTGAGATGAACGTCACCGGGAAGTTCGATAGGGACCTAGATTTGTCCGAAAGAATCAAAGACTCATAGCAATCTATGAGTTCAACCGCGGATCTGAAGCTCTGAACAGCCATGGGGCCGACTATCCCCTGGCTGAGATTGTCAGGGTCTGTCAGCTTAGACAGCATATGGAGCAGAGAGTTCTGGAAAAGAAAGATGACAGATGCATGGTAGGCAATCGTGCAGGCCAGGCTGCTGACCGGGTCGATGGCTCCTGTCGTGGCATCCTGGCGCCATTGCTCGATCTCGTGCAGCTGCACTCGATAGTAGGGATCATCGATGGTGAGCGGCGCAGCGCGGGCCGGAAGATAGATGGTCTTGAAGATATAAGAGCGAATGCGGCTCAACGCGGCCAGCGACGAGGCCAGGTTGGTCGAAGACGGGAAATCCGTTTGCATTGGGGAGACCGAGTCAGTCGTGCTGAGATCTGGGAGTCCAATCGTGCTGATGGACTCCAAGTCATCAGAAGGTCGGCCATATTTCTCCGCGATGATGTGCTCCAGGCGGTATAATGTCCAGAAAGTGCGACTCCTTCGGGCTTCTTGATCTGGAGTCTCAAAAAAGGGGGCATCTTCCCTATGATAGCCCAGCTCAATGGCTAACCGGCAAGCCGACTGCAGCTGTAACCACAAATCTCCTTTTTGGGGGCGGAACAGCAGGTAGACAATGACCAGCAGCAGGCTCCTTAGCGAGTCATGGCTGGCTTCGGAGAGGACCTCCTTGATCAGTTTAGAGGCAAAGTTGTAGAAGAATTGTTCGTAGGCTCTCATCATCACATTGAGCCGAGAGCTGTGGGCACAGGCAATGCAGCATATCATGGCAATCTGGAAATTGGAATGTGCTTCACTCCGGGTATACGGCTGGGAGCTGAAGACTTGTTCCTGCGTAGATTCGAGCAAGATGTCGATGCCGCCATTGTCTATGCATTCAAGGTGAAAGGGCCAGAAAACCATACTCGACGTACAGTAGATATCGACCAAGCGGTGGATGAGCGCCTTGGTTGGGGTGATACTGGGCGGCTCCGTCTCGAAGTCCAAGTCGAAGTCGGCGTGGGTGGTTCTCGTTCTCGGTCCGTTGGATCCTCCTTGCCGGGTTCCGGGCTGTTGTAGTAGCAAGGGGGACTGTGGACAGACGGCTGCTAGGAGTTCAGCAGAAAGAACGGGTGCGGACGACGCTCCGAAGAACAGAAAGCCATCATCACCAGTACCGGATGCCGGCGCCGGGAAGTGCGCATCAAAGTTGAGCCTCTGGGCCAAGGGCGGTCTCTCCCACAATGAATCTTCAGGCCGTGGGGGGCTGGATGAAGCCTCTTCCTTCCGAAGCGCTGACCACCGGTCGAGCAGGTCTTTGACGTGGCTGGCAGACGTACCGAAGTTAGACAGGGCGACACCGTGGTAAAGAAACAGATAGACTGGGCTAAGCACCAACCTGCGTGGGATTGTTTCCTGGAGCACTTGGTCCTTGAACTCGCATTGATGGCTGGCCGCTTTGCACGGCTTACAGGCGGGAAGATCGGTGTCGCACTTTCTTCTGAGTCTCTTGCACCGTTCGCAGGCTGGAAGGGGGACGCGATTGTAGATCAGCCTCAACTCATCTCCACCACGCGGCTGCGGCTGCGGCTGCGGCTGTCCGTCTGGGTCTGGGGGGCAAACTAACTGGGTATCATCTCCAAAGCCAACCTGACTCGCTCGTTCACATCCATGCCTATACCTGGGCCAGCATTGCCCATGGATCCGTCGAAGGAGAGAGCAGCAGGAGGAGGAGGACGACGACGAGGACGACGAGGAGGACGAGGACGAAGAGGAGAACAAGATGAGACCGTCAAAGGTTGGGAACTGGAATGGGAAGCAGGCCTTCCTCTGCCCAAGTTCCGCCAAGGCCCATCTGGCATTTGGACAGACTTGACGTTGAGCGTTCAACGTTCAACGGCAGGGGCAGAGATCATTCTACGACCACTGCGCCTCTATGAGATTGGAATGAAGACCGTTCTATGGCCGGTGAGGGCGAGAGAGCTGATATGTGTATGATTACTTCAGTCCTTTACCTCCTATCACTGTCACAGTCACGCCATCCTTCTGTACATAGTATGTCCCCGAACTCCTAATCCTACACCTTGTCGCTCACCGTCTGCTTCTCTACATTCTCAGACAGAACATCTTCGGTAGCCACGATGCTCTGTTTGCCATTCCGCCTCTCCATGAATTGCAGGGCAATTGTCCATATCCCCAGGGCGATACTCATGCCAATCATGGCCCACATACCTCTCTAGATAGAGTGTTAGCTGATGCCGAGAGGACAGAAACAGACCATGGGGACACATGAGCTTACCGTGAATTTAGGAGCCAAATCTGCCGAGTAGAACACAATGGACCACCATGCATTGACTGCGTTGTTGCCAAGGTTCATGCATGCAAGGACAATGGCCCGCAGGGAGTCCTCCTCATATCGGCAGGCATCGTTGGCCCACGCAAAGAACGTGGCTTGACATGCGTATACCGAGCCCGCCCAGTAGTAGGCTCCGAAATGGGCGGCGATAGAGCTGTGGGGAGCCAGAATAATGGCGGATGTGACAATGCCCGTGACGGCAATCCAATAGCCGACGAGGTATCGTTTGCCGCCCAAGTAGTCGGTCAGCGTAGCCCAGAACAAAGTCGACACGATGCCGACCGCCGGAACGCCGGTTGGGTAGTTGTTCAACTGGTAGACGGTGTATTTCTTCTCCGGGTTCGCCTTCATGTAGAGGGCGAGAAGGCCGTTTGAGCTGAAACTCTCCGTCTCTCCCGCAATGATCCAAAGCATGACAAATCCATAGAATTGCCACGAGCTCAAGACTCGCTTGACAAAGGCGAGAGAGATGGGCTTCTGTTCAGGTACATCAGGCACTCTTGAAATCGCAAGTGCGCGCTCTTCGGCGCTCAGATAAGGCGCTGATGTGGTGGAAGGGGTGTCTGGGAAGAGAAGGAAGCCGTAGAGCGCCACTGGTAAGGTGATGATCCCATCCACGATAAATAACCATTTCCAGCCTGACAGACCCTGTAATCCATTCATGCTTCGATACACTCCAGACTGAATGAAACCTCCGAACATTGTACCGGCGAGACCTGAGGCGGTGAAGAGACCGCTGCGTTTGCCCAGCTCCTTTTCAGTGTACCAAGAGCCCAAGATGTAGTGGGTGCCGATGAAGGTGCTGGATTCTGCAACGCCCACAAAGAATCGAATCACCATGATATGCTCCGGTTTTTTGGCCGCCGCCGTAACCATGGTGAGGCCTGCCCAGATGACACACATGGTAGGAAAGAAGATCCTCGGCTTGATGTAGTAGAGTGCCAGGTTGCAGGGGATCATTCCGCTGGCAGAACATTAGCTCCAACATGACCAGTCTGTGGACGGGGTTCCAACGTACACAATGTAGCCACAGGTGAAGATGGTGGTGATCTTGGTCAGCTGATTCCCCTTGAAGTCCAAGTCTTCTTTCATGCCAGAGACATAGGCTTGCGTCAGATTCGAGCGATCAAGGTAGTTGAAAAAGTACATGAGACAACAGAAGGACAAGATGAAAAAGTCCACCTTGCGAACCAACTTCCTCTCTTCAGGCGACTTGTCGGACCTCAGGTAGGCCCTGAGGGAGGTTGCTCTGGCCATGGTGATGGAGTTTGCGAGCGTATACACTGTACACTGGGGGAAGGGAGAATGACCGGCCGGACCTCTTGCAGATCGAACGGGGAGGCTGCTTCTAAATACTGCAATGGGCTGGAATGGTAGAGCAAAGTACCACGGTAGGAAACCGGCTCAACCACTTTGTATGCTCTTGTCCGAGAAATGGCTTATCACATTATCAACCGGTTGCCTTCTCAGATGATAATGGCCACAATCGGGCGGTCGACTTTATCTCCTGCTTGCGGAGGGACCAGGGTTCAGGCGGGGAGATTGCAGAACGCCTCGTGGTAGGACCAAAGTTTCTGTGTTATGCTGTGCCGGGAAAAGTGTGTAAAGGCGGCAAATAAGAGTTGTGGCCGTGGCGAGCGGAGGCACGCCGAAACCCGGCGCCAACAAGCGGAAGGGTGCCCTCGGTGGCCTCCCCGCCCAGTATCTCAGTATCTATTTGTTCCAGACAGCCTCGGACAACCACACTGGACCAACGTTATCGGCTCTGGGGCGGGCAGATCAGCCAGAGAACCGAGGGCTGCCTTGCGATTGGAGAAGCTGGTCGGATACCCTGAGACCTTCTCACGCGACTGAGAGGATCGCTGTTCGCCACCACTCCGACCGGGCGGCGGGATCCAGAACCGTGCTAGTCAAGTGTCCAAGCGCAGTAGAGTGGACACTGGATGAGGCATAGTTAGTTGATGTGCAGTCCGTCCTCGTGTGACAGACTGTTGTACTCTGGAGTCTGTACTCTTCGTCGAGAGCCATATCTTTCTTTCCTACACTGCAGAAACTGTATCGTTCTCCCGTGTTAGCTCTCCCGGAAACCAAGAGACTCACAAGCACCATGGCCATCTCGCCGCCGACGGAGTGGGAAACCATCGCTGCCGCTAAGCGGGCAGCCTTGATGAAGAGCATCCCTCCGGAATGGCTGATTCCTACAGACATCTTGCCCTCACAGAAGCAGCTGGATGTCACCTCGTTCCCGGAGACGTCAGGATGGTTCACCCCCCAGGAACTCCAGATAACTTCAAGTACATCAGAAGAGATACTGGAGCGCATCAGGAACAAGACCTGGAGTGCAAAGGCCGTCACATCAGCATTCTGTAAAAGAGCCGCTGCTGCACACCAACTGGTAGGAACTCCCGGATCAGTATTAACTGTGTACTAATGTAGTACTCGTGACAGACAAACTGCTTGAGTGAGACGATGTTTCCTGAGGCTCTGGCAGCTGCAGAGGCTTTGGATGAATCGTTGGCTCGGACAGGAACGGTCGTTGGTCCTCTTCACGGTCTGCCCATCTCGATCAAGGACAACTTCAACGTGGTTGGCAAAGACTCAACCGTGGGGTTTGTGTCATGGTGCAACAAACCATTGCAGCAAAACAGCGTGCTCGTCGATCTACTGAAATCTCTCGGAGCCGTTCTCTACGTCAAAACCAATGTTCCAACCGCGATGATGATGGCTGAGACCGTTAACCACACCTTTGGCAGGTAGGCTGCTCCCGTCTCTCGTGTGTAAGTGGCACGGTTCGAACTGACGAATGCAGGACACTGAACCCTCTGCGACTTACGCTGACTCCAGGCGGAAGCTCCGGGGGAGAGTCCGCGCTGATCGCATTCCATGGGAGTCCACTAGGTGTTGGAACGGATATTGGCGGTTCCTTGCGAATTCCGGCATCAAACACTGGCATTTTCACTTTGCGACCCTCGCTTGGTCGCTTCCCAACGGCAGGCTGTACCTCGGGACTAGCTGGACAAGAGTCGGTCAATAGCGTTAACGGTATCTATGCACCTGGTTGCTGTGGGTTTGATGCTAACGGCTAGATTGTAGGACCGATGGGGCCGACCTTGTCTGATTTAAATCTGTTCGCCAAAGCAGTGGTCGATACACAACCTTGGCTCAAAGACCCGAAAGCCCTTCCCATCCCGTGGCGGGACGTGAAGTTGCCAAAGAAGCTGAAGTTTGGTGTCATCTGGAACGACCGGCAGGTGACGCCGACACCTCCTGTTCAGAGGGCGTTGAAAGCGACGGTAGAGAAGCTTCGACAAGCAGGACATGAGATTGTCGATTGGGATACAAGTAGCCACTCCACGGCCCTGGAGATTCTAGTAGGTGCAATCTCCCCGGATGAGAAACAAACATTGACCGTTGTCCTAGGGCCGTTTCTTTGTAGCGGATGGCGCCAAATCCTGCCGGAAGGCACTCGAGCCGGTCAAGGAACCTTTCTTTGCCGACATGAAGGCCTACGAAGAGGCCAGCGAAATGGGATGCTATGATCTCTGGCAGCTGCATCTGGAACGCACCAAACTATGCCAGGAATACGTCGATCGCTGGGCGGAAGCAGGTATTGATGGTCTCATCGGACCAACAACCCCCTTCAGCTCTGTCGAGCATGGAAAGTACAAGCATGTGGGGTACACTGCCATTTGGAACATCCTCGACTATTCGGCGGTCAGCTTTCCATCTGGCTTCACGGTGGACGCAGACAAGGACCGGGTCGCAGAGGACTTTTCACCACTCAGCGATGTGGACAAAGAGGTGAACGGCGAATGTGAGTTGGCCCGCGTGCCAGAACCTGTTCGATATTAGAAAATACTAATTCAGAGCTTGCAGACAACCCAAGCGCAGTCGACGGAATGCCCATCGGACTGCAGATCGTAGGGAGACGGTTGGAAGAAGAGAAGACCCTGGCGATGACGGGCGCGATTCTGGACGCCTTGAAAGCTTAGAGTGGAGGCGGGATCGGTGTCGTATTGCACCCACATAGAAGTAGGCACAGTAGACCGGACGAGGGACGAATAGTGCAATGAATGATCCCAGAGGGTGCGACCTGTGGCTGAGGTTGAGGTTGCGGCCTAGGGTTCGAGAATCCGCATCTGGCAAAGCGCGGAGTGTCCGCCGCAGGCATGTTCCCATCCCAATTCATTCCGCCTGCGGGCTATGGCTATATTTGACGGTTGTATCCACGACATCGACCAGACACCGTCATATTCGCCTTTCCCTTAGATCTCGACAGATGTAGGTATCATGGCTGACGGTCTTTACGGCGTGAAGTCGGCCTCCAAGACCAAGGCCAAAGAAATCTCGTCCTCTACGTCCCTCGCGTTCTCCACGAATCTCGCGTCACTAATCTCCAGCTCTTCCTCTGCGAAAGCCAAGGCCACCGCCGGAAGACCTCGGTCCTCAAAGGACAAATCTGATATCTTTACTGCCCACAATAAAAATGTCAAGAAACGATCTGCTGCAGACCTCGAAGATGGCCAACAGCGTCACAAGACGAAGGACGACATCGGCTCCATTGAGGCAGCAGAACTGCACAGGTCCAAGAGGAAGATGGAAGATAAGGTCCGGCTATACAACGCGATGAAGCGTGGCGAGTACATCGGTCAAGAGGGCTATGACGACCGCGCGCTGGTGGATTTCGATCGGAAGTGGGCTGAAACCCAAGTACAAGGACGGGACGAATATGACCATGGCGACGGGTCCGACTCGGAGGAAGCTGGCACAGACGAGGACGAACTTGTCGAGTATTTCGACGAGTTTGGTCGACTACGAAAAGGCACGAAAGCGCAGGCTGCCCAAGAAGAAAGGCTCAAACGCATTCGAACCAACCTTGTCGAAGAAGAGGAACGCCTGTCCGCAAGACCCTCCGTGCCTACCAACGTCATTCATGGCGACACTATCCAGTACGCGGCTTTCAATCCAGACCAAGTCATCGCTGATCGCATGGCCGATCTCGCGAAGAAGAGAGACAAATCCGCCACTCCTCCTCCAGAGACGCACTTCGATGCCAATGCTGAAGTTAGAACCAGAGGCACCGGATTCTACGCATTCAGCCAGGATGCCGAAGAAAGGAAGAAAGAAATGGACGCTTTAGAGAGGGAAAGGCAAGAGACTGAGAGAATCCGTAAGGAGAGGGAAGAGAAAAAGGAGCAAAGGAGGAAAGAGATAGAGGAGCGACGGAAGCTGATCGCCGAGCAGAGGGCCAAAGCGCAAGCAGACAAGTTCCTGGACTCACTCGATATCGAGGGTGCGTGAGAAACCTTCCTGCAGAGCCGACCGAAACTGGAAGAAAATGGCATTCCGCCGTCTTCTCACCCAAATCCGCTGCTCACCTATTGGCTCCGCTGGGACCTGGTCTTCAGAGAACAGCATTGGATCGTTTGGCGAGAGCACTCACCTGACGAGCAACGGCTACCGTGCCGTGCACCTCACTGAAGACGACTACAGGCCGTAAAACATGCCTTGACACTGTGCACGTCACAGATGGGACCACGGCCGCTCGGGGATCCCCCAAAAGACTTGGAAATCCAGTCTCAATATGTGCCTGGAAATTTGGACCGATAAGTTGATATCTTGTTGAGCCGGCCACAACATTGACATCCCATCCTCCCTGTGAGCCTCGTGGCCGGAGTTCGTGATATTTGCCGACCTCGACCTCCCATCCGCATCGGCACCCGTCGGGCCATCAGTTGCAGGAGCGGGATGTTTCGAGAGAAGCCTCACGACCACAACGTCCGCGAAGATGGGGCCTTCAGAAGGCTTCAACATTGGAGATCTCCTTGCCTCTTATTGTCATGAGTTGAGAGCCCTTAGACTGCCCGACCATCATCAGATTTTATCATGTGGATGGATGTTACGATTACCCTGTGTTCATAATATTATCCTAATGACTTGACTATGCATTTTCGATTGCTGAGATTAAACGTCATGTATGTGTAGTTCCGACCATATCCTACAGTCTTGCGATGCAACCTGATACTCCATCCCAGCAGAGAGGTCGCGCCCCAAATTCCGTACCACAACTCAATTGAATACCCTCGATCCTCAAACCATCTTTGCTTCATGGCCCTTGTCGATTGGTCTCTGTGTCATCCCGACTCGGTGTTCATATCCAGCTTCAATGTCCACCTCAGGCTCCTCGCCTTATTTGTGTTTCTCCTCCTGGTGTTGTTCCGAGTCCATCAGAAGAAGAAAGCAACAGCACCCAACAACACTGCGAGAGTGCCAAATCCCATACTGCCGCCTTCTCGAGACGCTGCACCAGTGAAGATAGCAGGCCCCTCTATCGGACTCGTACTGGTAGCTGCGGGAAAGACGCCCGTGGGAGCCACGGCTGTTGTGCCGCTTACACCACTGTCACCTCCACTAGTACTGCTAGACAGACCAGAGGTCGCAGTCGCAAGCGCAGCTGGCATCGGGACCAGGCCTACAATGCCGGGGGCTGCAGGACTGGCCCCGGCCCCAGCCCCAGTCCCGGTCCCTGCGGTGGGTTGTGCAGTGACAAATGTAACTTGTGGCACCGTAACGGCTGTGGTGATGATGGGGCCGGAGGCGCTCTGCGTGAGCGTGAACGTCACAGTGGTAACGGGCACAGCGACAGCGGATGGCGTCTGCGTTGTGATCGGCGGACGGGGGCCGCGACCATTTCCATTGGTCGTGAAAGTTGTGATTGCAGTGGCTGTGGCGGTCTCAGTTGCGGTTGCGGTTGCGGTGACTGATGGCGGCGTGGGCACCAATGTGATCGTCCTCGGGACCCCGGTACAAATGCCCGGATTCTGCGGCACGAAGTCTGCACAGATACCGGCAAGGTAAGAAAGAGCGGCGGTGATTTCATCATCGCCACCGGCCCATGCGGAAACACATGCCTGGACACTCGAAATGAAATCGGTGCTCGGGCAGAAGCAGCTCGCGTCGCTGTTGGAAGAGCACTTGGGCACAAGGCTGAGCCAGGTGTTCAGGCAGCTGGGTAGCACAGATGGGCAGGGGGCTGAGGATTCCGGGGGAGGGGGAGCATCCGAGGTAGAGGTGGAAGCTGAAGTTGGTGGTTGGGGGGTTTCTGATTCGGGTGTTGGTGTGATCTCCGTGACGGGAGGCAGCGTGGCAGATGTCAAGGTTGAGGGAGGCGGGCCATTACATCTCGTGCAAACGGTTGATGTTGATGTGATGATGATGGTCGAAATGGTGCTAGTTGTTTCCGTCACGGTCTCGGTGCCGCTTGTGTGGGTGAAAGTCAGCGGACAAGTGGTGATAGTGGACACAACGATTTCAGTAGTAACGACATCTGTCTCACTTTCAGTTGTGGTGGTCGCAGTCGTAGAAGTAGTCACTACAGGGCTTGTGGTAGCAACAGTGCCAACAGTTGTAGTGCCTAGTGTTCCTTCTGTAGGTGTGGTAGTCGTCGTCGTAGTGGCACTAGTCTGCTCTCCAGACGTGGTACTAGCGGTGGCAGTTGTCGTGGTCGTGGTCGTGCTAGGAGTCTCTTCAGACTTGCTTGTTGTCGTCGTAGTGCCGGTTGTTTGCTCGTTACTGGTAGTTGTGGTACTGCTAGTATCAGGAGGCCCTTCCGATTCAGTTGACGTTGTAGTAGTAGTCGAACCCGTTGATGAGCCTCCGCCTGGAGTGGTGGTCGTCTGAATCTGGGGAGTCGTGGTGGTGGTCTCCAGCTGAGGAGTGGTTGTTGTTGTTATAACTGCTGTAGTTGTTGTGACCGGTGTAGTGGTAGTGGTGAAGGCCGAAGGGCTGGTAGTGGTAGTGGCAGCAGTGGTAGAGGAAGCAGTAGTAGTCGACGATGAAGATGAAGAACTGCAATCAAACCCTATGGAATGTATGCCAACATCGCAATCTTGCTTTCCACTGCTAGGCGGAAGTTGCATCGAGACCGATCTGGCTCCCCCACACTGTGTGTTTTGAACCGTGGTTCCACTTGCCTGACAGGGGGCTGTGTGTTTACAGGTCGAACCATCAGGCATGGAGAAGATGAAATCGAGGTCCGTATCAAAAGAAACAGACACTTCCAAGTGGGAAATCGAGAATTTGTCATCTTGTGCACAGGAGAATGATGGGCCATTGCTGGCCGAGTTGGATACTTTGCCTTGAATGCATTTGGACTGTCACAGATCAGCGATAAATTCCTGGAGCCTGCAACACTAAAGGCTGACACCCACCTGGAAGCTGCTTCTTGTCCGGAGCGATCTCTTGTTGCTGGGCTGGAAGGAGTCCTGACAGGTGAAGCCGCTGAAGCCGAAACCGCCGAAACTGTTGAAACCGCCTGTTGGTAGACCAGACCAGTCGAACCCGCCTTGTTGGTCAGCAGAACAGTTGTTGTTGGTATTGGAAGGGTTGGGAAAATTTGGTGCATCGCCCCAGCTCGTTCCAGCAGCCTGCTGCATGAGCAAAGCGGAGACCACAAGACCGGCAATCAATGCAGGATTCATAGTGGCAATTATGAGTATGATGAACGAGAGAACTGGTCTTTGCAGCAACGAGCGACACTTGGAAAAACTCAGGTAACGAGAGACTGTAAAAAAACAAGAGAAGGAAATGGAACCCAGAGATGTCTGTGAGGATGGAGATGGAGAGAGGAACACACCCTTTGAGAGGAGACCTTGGAGGCTTTTTGTATTGGGAGCAAGATAGTTTCAGAGTGGCTTGATTGGGCAAAGACAAACTCACGATTCACGGATACACAACTAGTTGACTGGTTGTCAGACGATGTGGTCGTAGCGAGCTTGAGTTCAAGACATTCTGGAGGCAGATGGATTGGTAGCGCGCGCAATTGGTGCTAGATTTGATCTTGGTCAAGGTGGTGAATGAAGCAGTCCAAGGCAGGCTAGCGGCAGGATCTCAATATAGCAAAGGCTGAAACACCCTGCCTCTACCGAGAGAACCAAACGGGGCGACCATTGCCATGCTCCTGCCTATATGGTGCAGCTAGGAAGCTGAAACGGATCAGGAGGCTTGTCTTGGACCGAGACGAGGAGTCTGTAAGGAGAACATGGCGTGTGGACTGGGGCAAAGCTCCTCTCGTACGGCGGACCTGACATCCACAATCGCGGCAGTGTCGGACACAGAATGGTGTTCATTGCTTCGAGTAGCGACTGGAGAGCCAGGACGAGTGGTGGGCGAGGTGTGGTCGCAGGCGGGTGGTTGCCTCCTCGGCGCTTGTCGCAGAAGATTGCAAGGAAAACCTACCGATGCCATTGGCCATTACTCAGCCTCGTCAGAATTCACGCTAGCCATGTTGGGTTAGTCCTATCAGGCCAAGCAGGGCGCAAGGCTGCTCCTGATTCAAGTTCCGTCGACGGAGTACATCGCGTTCGAGAGATTGCAGCACTATCTACTCGAGTCAATGGACCATTCGACAAACAGGGAGGAAAGACAATGTCCAGTTCTCAGCTCTGCCATGAATAATGATAATATGTAGAAGGTAAATGGCTCCCAATGCACAGCATCGGGGGACACCACTGCCAGCACAGACAACATGGACTCTGAAAAGCAAAAATCCCGGAGGCAGAACGTCCCTCATCAACCTGGCCTGTCCCATATTAGATGCTCCCTCAATTCAGCTACGCGCCCGACCTGCCAATGTCTCTCTTGCCCCACAACCAATATGAAAAGGCGCCATTTTATCTGCGTAACGCCCGATTCTATGCATACACTGATCATTATATCGTAGCAGCAACTTGGAAGCATGAAAATTTGCTGGTGGTTCGCGCCTCACGAAAGATCTTTTCCTGGATATCCATTTGACGGCGGCGAGGTTTGAGCCAACACGGGGCCTTCTTTCGACCGCTCTTTGTCTCCTGTGGGCGTTGCGTTCACAAATACACCGTCACTTGCAGATGCCTGGTCCGTACTCGCTTTCGCAGGTCCGGTGTTTTCCTCTCTTCCGCTAGGGGGACTGCTCATCCCGTTAGGGTCATTCATCTCTGCCGGCATGTTGGTGTCGACTTTCTTCATCACTCTCTTGAGCGGCCGCCTCACTTTCAGCTTGTCGGTGCCACTTTCTGGTTGCCCGTTGACTTTGTCGCCTGGAGTAACTTTCGAATCGACGCTTTGATTCGCAGCATCGGTCGCCAGCCTGGTATTGTTGAGGTATTCGTCCAGCATAGCTTTGAGAGCGGTTTGTCTGACTGGCTTGGCGAGATAGTCGTTCATACCAGCTTCCAGACATTTTTCTCTGTCGCCGCGGATGGCCGACGCCGTCATGGCAATGATGAGGACTTGGCTCACCTGTTGATCAGCGTCCGCTCTGATTGCCTTGGTCGCCTCATATCCATCTAGTACAGGCATCTGAACGTCCATCAACACCAAATGGAACGGGTTTCCTTCTTTGCTCTTCGCTTTTAGAGCTTCGTAGGCTTGTTTCCCATCCTCATACGCCTCGCACTTCAGGCCAAGCTTGGTTACAAACGACATGGCAATCTTTCTGTTGATTTGATTGTCTTCGGCAATGCAGACGCGCAGCGTCTCCCTTGGAATCTTGCTCAGGTCGCAGAAACTGGTTTTTTTATGCTCTGTTTCAGGGCTGGTTGCCTGCGACCATCTCGCCATTGGATCTGGATCCTTGGCCGAAATCCTCATGTCGCCCGGAACACTGCTGTTCTTTGGTGCTTTCTGAAAAGTGAGCGTGAAGGAAACTGTTGTGCCTTGCCCCGGCGTCGACTCGATCCAGATCTTGCCACCCAGAACATTTTCAATCATAGCTTTACAGATACTCAGGCCTAGGCCGCTGCCACCATATGAGCGAGCTGTGGACGAGTCCGCTTGTGAAAAGGGCTGGAATAGTCTTGAAAGTTGCTCCCGGGTGATACCGATCCCGGTGTCAGTAACGGAACAGGTGATTTTGACCTTGTCTTTAGTCTCGGCGTTTTTGCGTGCTCTCACCGTCACCGAACCCTTGGGGGTGAATTTATAGGCGTTGCTCAACAAGTTCATAAAGATCTGGTGCAGTCGTACAGGATCGCCAAAGACAAGACCGTCATCGATTTGAAGATCCTCGACGGTCTGTAACCCGTGCTCTTGGTTGGTGTAGGCCAAGGCGCGTACAACCTCCGTGATCGTCTCCTTCAAATTCAGCGCGACGGTGAACATCTGCATTTTCCCAGCTTCAAGTTTGGAGAAGTCAAGTATGTCGTTAATAACAGTCAGTAACGTGTCTGCACAAACGCGAATGCTATCCGCAAATTGCTCTTGCTCCTTGCTCAGCAAAGTTCCTTTGAGTAGCTCAGACATGCCGATCACGCCGTTCAGGGGAGTCCGAAGTTCGTGGCTGACATTGGCAAGGAAAATCGACTTGGCTTTAGCTGCTTCTTCCTTCAACTTGACGTTATGCATCGCCTCGGCTTCAGCCTTTTTAGCTTTCGCCTCAGCTTCTCGGGCAGCTGCAAGAGCCCGTTTCTGAGATTCCACCATACTGGCGTTCGACGCGCTCACTTTGCGAACTTTCCTGTACAAAAGAGCATTGCCTAGGGAAATGGCAACCTGATTGGTGAGAAGATTGAGGACGATCATGTTACGCTGCGTGAATGCGTTTGGCCGACCTTCCAAATGGATGACTCCCATCAGATGGTCGGCTTGGATGATGGGGATGGCGATAATTGACCGCCCAGAGGGATTTCTTGCCAAGTAGGCCTCACCAACATTCGAGAAGCGGTCATCTTCGAGTACATTCTGCACGAACACGGTTTCCTTGGTGCGAAGTAAGTAATGCGTAATTTGCTGTGCCGCTTGGTCGTCAACCTCCGCAAATGGAATTCCATCCGGATAAGTTTTGACGCCTGTTTCATGATCTGCGCTTGCCGCCACACACCAGCCTTGATCCTCGGAGTCGATCACAATGGCGCAGAACTCAGCCTGTCCTCCGACGGATTCTAGAATGACCGATATCATCTTAGATAGGAGGTTATTGATCTGCAACTCAGAGCTGATAACTCGGGAGAATTCGAGAATCGAGGTTAGGTCCAGAATGTCGAGCCCCATGCCGGGTACATCTTGTGGACTCTGGGTTGTCGCGGTTGCTTTAGGTTGGAGCCACGCACTTGTATAGTCGCGCTTGCTCTGAAGCTGACGCTCCTCCTTCACCGGTAACCCATGCAAATCTTCTGTCTGTGTAGCCGCTTCCACCGTTCTCGATGTTGTGGCGGTCTTGATCAGCCATTCATGCTTATCAGAGAGCTGCTTCGCTTTACCACTTGCGTTTATCCTATTCCAAGCGGCGATGGCTTCCTGAATCATCACTCTGCCAGCTCTCTTGGCTCCACGCTCAAGAAGATATTCTGCCTGCATTTCGATGGCCAGAGCTTCTTCCAGGGCAAACCCGTGCACTTGACAGTGGTCAATTGCCATTTCCAGGTTACACATGACGTTGACATGTGAAATGTCCGCAATTGCGGCTTCAAGTATGTGAGACCAGGCAAAGTAGTTCACATCGTTGACCCTACCCCAGTCGTCGACGAATCGCTTGAGTTGCTTTGCCTCCTCGATATATGCTGCACGCTCTTCCGGGGGCTTCTCCTTTGCCAGAGCTAACAAGGACAAGCCCAAGTAGAACCGAGCCCCGCACGCAGGTCTGTTGGACCACAAATCGTCAATGGTCGTATTGAGCAAATTCCTTCCTACATCGACAGCGTACTCGTGGTAGCCCATCAAGTGATATGCCACAAGCGACATAGCTTGATAAATATCACAGGATCGCTGAGCGTTAGCGGCGTATTGCACGGTCTCCGCCATCCAGGTTTCAGTGTCATGATCGCTGTCGTTGAGCAGGGACTTGGCATCTGTAGCGACAGTCCTTCCTTGTAATGCGCGAACCACTTGCCTTGTGGCGATGAGTAGAGCTCCTCCTCTTCGGTCTTTCTCCCAGTCATCAAACTCCTCGGGCCCGTAATTGCAGAACGCCTCAACCTCTGATAGGTCTTGCCCTGCCCAGAACCTGGACAAGGCCATCACACCTATGTTGAGAAGACTTACGAACCTGTCCCCGGACGCTAGCGAGTACTCAAGCGCATTATCCAGGATCGGAAGAAGGTTCCGTACAGGCGTCTGGAAGTGGCCGATAAACAGTGTAAACAACGTCCAGCCTCTGCCCCGGGTCCAGGAATCTTCGTACATGGTGTAGAACTCGTGCGCAATATCTCCGTAAGCCAGCCCCAGCTCAATATCTTTAAATCGACCTATCGCAGCTGCACCAAGCATCGTGAAGCCCAGACCAGCTTGGACAAACACACCGCGATCCAGAACGGCATTGACATAAGCAATCACCAGTTGATACCAACGTAGGGCATCGGACCAGTAGAGAGCCCCAAGAGCTTCACTTAGAACCGTGCCCAAGGCAATCACAGTCCGGTCCTCGCTCAAGGGAATTGACAACAGTTGCTCCTTGTCGAGCTCCCGTAATCGAAACTCCAACTTTTTGAACTCGATATCGCATTCGTCCCAGGTGGGGGTAGGCAGGGGCAGTCCGAGTTCTTCTAAGCATTCTCGCTGCACAGCAAATGCTTCAAAGAATTTCCCTTGACTGCCCAAGATCCGGCCTTTCAGAATGTACGACCTCGTTTTGTCGGCCGAACAACGCGCGTTTGCATGAGTTTCCTCCAGGAGCTGCAGAGCCATTTCTTTCTCCCCTTGGATGTACATAATCTCGGCGCTGTTAACGAGGAGCTGAAGCGTCTCATCATAAAAGACGTCAGGGTTTTCCATGTTCCATTTGTCATCCTGTAGCAGCTTGAGTGCAGACTTATAGTACCAGAGAGCAGTCTGCTTCGCACCTGTCTCGATCGCCTTCTGCGCTCCACGCCAAAGCAAGTCTCGATACCGCATGCGAGTTGGAATTCTCGCCTTGAAAATGTCTGCAGACAGGCAGATGTGGCGTGCCAATGGATACAGATTGTACTTGCATTGGCTGAGATACGACATCATGGCCTGCGCGATGATAAAATGCATCTTCGTGACATTTCGGCACTCACGCATCTCGTTTGCCGCCTTCAAATATCGCGCATGCGTGAATCGAAACTCGTCATCGCATGTTCCCGGTGTCAGGATGAATGTATTGACCAGTTCCTGGAGCCCGTTGACGCAATCAGTCTCGGAGAAGTTGAAGAACTTCGCGCGGTTAGGGCAGGTCACGTCGTTGGCCTGATCCGGGCCGCTGAAATAGAAGTAGTCTCCAGTCATGATGGACTGAATCAATCTGAAGGAGAACGTCGTTCCAACCAAGGAAGCCCAAGCTAGAACCGACCGGGCCGCAGGCGATAATTCTTCGATACGCCTTACCATGTATCCATTATCCATGCTACCTTCTGAGCTGAACTCACTAAAGATCTTGTCTAGGTCAAATTGCCATCCTGACTCCTTCCAATCATACCACAAGCAGTTTCTTTGGTAGCAGGTTTGAAGAATATCTTTGACCAAGTAAGGGTTGCCTTCAGACTTTGCATGTACAACTGCGGCAAGTGGGATCACCGTTTCCACGGGCTGAGACATGGTGGCGGCGACATATTCGAACACATGTTTCTCACGTAGGTTGCCAAGCTCGATTTTGTTACTCGAATCCAGATCCAGAATCTTTGCGGCACTCTCGGAGATATTGCCATCATCGACTCTGCTCGACAGGAGCAACACAACAGGGATCTTTGCTTTGATGATATGCATCAGCAAATCGATCGACTCTTCTTCTGCAGCTTGGAGGTCGTCCAAGCAGATACAGATCAGCTTGCCTGTGGAAATAGTGCGCAAGACATCCATATAGGTATTTATCAGTCGGATTGACTTGGAGTTCGCAGGTCCTCGCAGAAAATCATTGGCGTCCCAGGCGCCGTGCATGGAGCCCTGGTTTGCCTTGGAGCCACTATCGATCGTAGGAACTTCGGTATTGACGCTCTGTGTGGCGGTGTCGTTCTTGACCAGCAACTTCTTGGACAGGACCGTCACGTCAAGTAATGTCGGCGGCAAGTCCAAGATTGAGTGTAAAACAGGCCAGAAGGGGGTCACATGAGCCCGCAGATGCTCGTGGTATGGCGTGTTGACGTCTTTTTCCGAGAAGATTTGCCTGAAAAGGCTAGCCATGACCTTGATAAGTGGCTCGAAGGGGGATGGGCGTGCTTTATCAAATCTTGCAAGGGCGAAATACCCGTAACGCCGGATAACAGGTTGGACAGCCTTGATGAGAGCCGTCTTTCCTACTCCGGCAGAGCCTAGGATAGTGATAACATCGGTCTTAGTCCTCCGCTTATATTTGTGGCTGTTCTTTCGTCTGGTCATCATTCCAGGTAATGTGTCGGGGGACTGTTGAAACCCGGTAGATAAATTGCTGTCCCGATCCGATAGCATGTCTAACGGTGTGCCTCTCGAGTCAGCAGCGCCACGACCTCGCTTGCCGTATAAATTATTTTTGTTGCCATAGGCTGGATTCAAGACATGGCCCTCCAGTCCAATGGTTGCGGAGTTGCTTCTAGAATCCCTGAAACCGAAAGAGCTGGATGAATCAGAGCCTTCCGCCGCCTCCAACCCCTCTGGGCGAGTATCCGAGATGGAGGAGTTCGAGGCAGCACTCAGCAGACCGGGCTGAGATGGCGAATTTCGTGTGCCGGCCAAACTCTGGCGCCTGTAGGCCTTCTCGATAATCTTGGTGATTTTTTCCATCTCTGCATGTCGGCCAAACTGTTTGGTAGGCAAGAGGAAGAAAGATGAAACATCGCGCTGCCCGACCTTATAATTCCTGATCTTGTCCTCTTCACCCTCGCCCAGGAATTTCTGGATCTGCACTAAGTCGTACTTCAGTCCGCTCACGGAGTGATACCGCTCATCCATCTGCTTTTGCGTCATTTTGGCGATGATCTTAGAGATTGCATCAGGGATGTCCATGCGAATGGCAGTGACCAGAGACAAGCGGTGCCCCAGCACGCGTTGAACAATGTCAATAGGCGTTTCCGCGTCAAATGCTGGCTGGCCCGTAAGCAAAGTCCAGAAGAGGATGCCTAAGCTGTAGATGTCGGTCCGACTGTCGGGGTCTGCTGCTAATCGTCCCGTTTGCTCGGGTGCGATAAACTGCAGTTTATTCTTCACTCCAAGCTCTCGGCTGACTGTGGCCCAACCCTCACTAGAGAGTAGATTTTCAAACGCACGAGGCCCATTTCCATGATTTAGTAATTTGACAGAGTCGGTTTCCCGGTTCCAGTGAAAGCTGTCAGCGCGGATTTCGCCGTGGATACAGTTGGCGCCGTGATGCAACAGCTCAAGCGCCTCCGACGCACCTATCGCAAAGTCCAGAAATGCTTGGAGGGGGACTCGTTCCCCGGGTGTGCCGTCGGTGCCCATTCTACTGATCTGCAGTCCATAGAACGCGGGACCAAAATCCAAGATCTCTCGCATATAGTTTCTGCCAGGGGCCTCATAGATACACACAACCATAGGATGTGCGTCGTTCGGCGTGGCCGGAAGTTTGAACATCTCGATGGGTTTGAGGGTGTGATCGCACTCGGGATCCAAGTCTTTCATGATTGTTTGGTTGTAATGAAACTCTCTTTCCAACCGCAGCACGTGGGTGCTGATACGGGCCAGGACGGGCAGCCATATTGGGTCAGGTTCATCTCTGGACGACAAAATCTCGCTATCTGTGGAAGTACCACTGACGCTGTTCCAGTGGTGATGCCTTAGGGAAGGACGGTGAGGATCGAGTTTGGGAGAACTTCTGGTCGAACTGGACTGTCCAGATAAGCTGTTCAAGGTGCTCGAGGTACGGGTATTGACAGCGTCTGGATTGTGTAGTAGGCCGTAGACGTGCCTGTTGAATGCCACAGGTTAGATTCAGACACTCCACTATCTCAGCTATAAGATTGAGTCTCACCAGTGATCATAAGTGGAGTGAAACGGCGCAAACTGAATTATCATCAGCAAGTTCCTTGCATACGTTCTTATCCAAGTCTTACTGAGCGATCCCAGGTGTAGTGAGGTATCTGTGAGAGGCGTTCAAAAAGTCTGGCCGGCGGGAGTGGGAGATCGTCCCCCAGGATATCTTCCATCTTCTCTTTTCAGAGCACTCTGTCTCTGTGGGTTCATCTCATGGTGTGGGTGTGAGGATTGATATCTGGAGGTCGAGATTCCCAGACACTTGCGACGGCGAGAGGTGTTCGTCTTAAAGGAGGAGCGGAGGTTGAGGGAATAGGGCGACCAAGGCTAGAGTGCGCAGCATGTTGCAGCAAGGTGATGATTAAGCGTTAGATAGGCTGCGATCTCCGCCGGTGGTGGGCAGTGGGCAGTGGGCAGTGGGCACTAGTAATAAGCAGGAGTTTGGTACAGTAATAGGGATAAGCTTTGTGAGTAGGACGGGAAGGGACGAATATGGCTTAGGGCTGCGTCACACCACCAACAAAATCTCATACCAACTCAGTTCCTGCGGGCTGCGCAGGTAGCTCGACATCCGGCCGTGTGCTACTCCGTATTGTACGGAGTACATGAGTTGAACATGGCCAAATCCGGGTCTTTGGTTTCTATCTTTACCCCCGCTGCACGGGGGCTTAGGAGGCCGACACAGTGGTTGCAGCCCGACTAATACTGAAAACAGCGTTACACATATTGCCCTCAGTTGGGATAATCATGAGTCTTCATTAATTAGAATCAAGTCAATTTAGGTTCTCTTCTATTTTGAAGCCTCCAAACGCGATACTAAGCTTGCTGCTGCTACGAACAGACTCCAGACTCCAGTCTCCGCAGCCACCTTCCCCACCTCACCGTCACCATATTAGACATCGTGATTATAAAGTTGGTGCCACATTGTGCCAGAAAAGGATTCACGCGTACGTCCATTTTCATTCAGTTTGGTGTTTGCCATATGGCTTCCCCGCCACGCATAGGGTGATGTTCTGGGTCACATCCGGAAGTCAGATCTTCCCTGGCTCGTAAAGATGCGGAGCATGATAACATCGTGCCATCAATAGTACCTCACTCAGCCTATCTGTATGTGAAGTATTGTACTCCTGCGGCGAGGATTGTGATCCCAATCAAGAACTGGTGGCATTTGCCATGACGAACGGGTCCCGCTCCATTGCTTGTGGTTGGCGGCGTGATCTCAGGACCACTGGTTGCGGAGGCTGTGATGGAGCCGATACCGCTCCCATGGAAGGTGCTCCCAATCCCATTTGTCATGCTTCCTCCAATACTATAAGTGTTGGTGCTACTCACGGCCGGGGAAGCAGTCGGGGTCGGAGGCAACAGCGGCAATGGCAGCGATGTGTACGTCGCTGGGCCGCCGACTTGGCTTGCGGGTATCGCTGAGCCAACTCCACTGCTCGTAAACTGCGTTGGCATGAGCAACGTTGAAGTATTAGGCTCCTCGCCTGGGTCCTGCTGGTAGATATTGCCCGTCTGTCCGCTGACTAGCTGATAATTGCCTGTGATCAGGTTTGCATGGTCCCCAGCAGGAGTTGTGTAGTTGCCGGAAGTAATTGAACCGTAGGAGCCATCGGGTAGGTAGTAGTTTGTAGTGAAGCGATCCTGGAACCGATTCTGTTAGCCGAGACCCGTCCTGCAGGTGTGGAATTGGCTACCCAGCAGACAGGGAGGTTGTAGCTAAGCACAAGCAGGCACTGGGTATTCTGTGCACCTGTCGCCAGTCAGTTCTGGGCGGAAAGAGGCCTCGGTCGACAACATACAGCAAAGTGTGCCAGTTGCATCTCTGCGCTCGTGAGCCACTGCACCACCACCTCTATTTTCCTTGGTTCGTGGCCGTGACGGACTAGTGTCCACAGTTTGGAGCAGGCTGACATAGAGCCTCGCAAGACCTGGCCCGAGTACGGGAACATCCCGAACAGATGACCCTTTGGGTGAGCAGAAGTTGTAGCTTGGGGCACACGATTGACGGGGATTCAAATCAGTCGCGCAGGCATAGAGAACAAACAGTAAGAGCACAGACGGAAGCGAGAGAGGCCAAGGAAACATCTTTCCCCGAGTTGTTGGGTTTCTTACCAGCACTCTTCAAACCCTTAATCGAACAGGACGAGTCGTATTGCAGGGAGAGTATGGAGGAGACTCCCGTAATCTGCTGCAGACTGAGTATGCCCATGGAAGATGCACTGAATCGGTCATAGTAGAAAGAATTCTGCAGCATTGGATCTTGCCGCAGGAGGCAGCAGCAAAGCTACATGCAAGGAAAGAGCGATACGAGCGCACTTTGGCCACTCCTCGTTAGTAGTAGGATGCTGCCAGTGTGGCAGTTGTGTCTTCTTCCCTGCCTTCTGGTTCTGCTTGTTCTCTTCACCTCTCCTCTAGGTACACTGTTGTCTTGTTGTTCTCTTCTTCTCACCCAATTTCCTCCTCCTGGCATGTCATTGACTGCTGATCCCCGGGGTTTCGTTGTGATCGACGTTGTTGTTTCCATTCAGTCATGGCCTTCAAGTCCATGCTTCTAGCCATCTGCGACAGAAATCAACCCACGTCAAGGACGCCGATCTTTTCTCAACAACCATTGGGCACAGGGTTGCGAACGAATTTGTCAAAACATTGCAGACAGAATGAAGAAAATTGAAATCTCGGAGTGATGGGGCGCAGAGACCAGCTGCCAAGGATGTCAGCCACTGTCCGGCAGTTTCACAAACATCATCTTTCGAAAGCTGGAGGCCCAAAGTGCCTCCACGATCGGCATACCGAGATTGTTGTCACATCCATGAGCGTTCCTAGTGACTTCTCCGTCTGCTCGGGGAGATTCTATGATCACGACAGACTCAGCGCAGGTTGCGTATGTACGGAGTACGGTGTACGCCTGACCGCCTTATTTGAATCTTCACTGGTAGCATTTGACGCCCCCGCAAAGTACTGTGTACTAGTCCTGGTTTGTCCAAAACGTGGCCAATGCTTTGAATCAGAGCGAGTGCCAGACAAGACCCGACTCTTGCGGAGTCCAGGAGTCCAGGAGTCCAGGAGAAGTTGTCATCACCGCTTTGTATTGATGCCGACATTGACCATCATCAGTACCGGTATTCTTGTCAGCATCTACCCTTTCCTCCAGCTATGAGAATTGGCTTGTCTGGCCTACTGGTATGGAGTAGAAAGGTTTCGAAATGCCAAGGTCCAGAACGCCACGCTCGTATTCGGTAGCAGCCGTTGCCCAGATCTGGGACAATATCAAAGCCTCCAGCCTTGCGCCGCCCTTCGGCCCTCACTCTGTTTACCCCTGGGCCCCTGGGCCCCCATACTTTGAGAGGGTCCACTACTCCACTCCTGTCTATGATCCTGACCCAAAAAGACGGCTCTTGCAGATCCATCCATATTGGGGATCCCCAAGATTAAGCCACCAACGACATTAACCCGGAATCACAAGGATCGTCGTTACCAATTCCCCGAGATGGATACCCTTTCAAATAGTTGCTGCTAGGAATGATGCCATCTTACCAAAGTTCTAAGGCCAATGCGACAACATCAAGATGCTAGTCAAAGTAGGTCGAAGTGTGATTGTGAACAGGACACTGACTCGACTCTCAAGAGTCTTTGGCGCAGCCGAGAGACCATCTGTTACGTATTTAAAGCCTCAGCCTGCCCGCTGAGTTCGTTCTCTTTTCATCACCTTCGTTTTCAAAACTTCAAGAGAGCTAACCCGAGTCATTCATTATATTCTCTCTGCCATTCACTCACCGGACATACCGAAGCACTATTCAATCAACCAAAGCACCATGCGTCCCTCAGCCATCTTCACCGCGCTCCTCTTCACAGCCTCTGCGCTTGCTATCCCCCTCAATGGTAGGCTTCTGATATTTGCCTCCGCGTCTGACCCAAGCTAAAATTACTCCCATAGCTGCACCAGGTGGCAAAGCCCTCGAACCTGTCAAGCGCGAGGCGGCGCCGATCGGCAATGCGGTCGCTGAGAAGCGTCAACTGCTTGACTTGTCCGACATAGTAGACGACCTTCTTGCCACGTTGACCAGCCTGTTGCCCACCATTACCAGCACTGTCAGTGGCCTGGAGACCGAGGTTGGCAAGCTGGTCACTGACGCCGAGTCGGATGTTGGAGCCACCCTGAGCTCGGTCGAATCGACTGTCCAAGACCTCCTCAATCAATTGAACGGTGTCGTTGGTGACGTCAACGTCGGTGGGACATTGAACGGCGTCTCATCCGACTTGACCGCGACCATCAGTGAAGTCCAGAGCCTTCTCAGCAGTCTTGAGGGACTTGCTGGAAGCGTCAATGTCAGCGCCAGCGTGGATCTTAGTGGCGTCACCAGTGTGGTCCAAGAGCTTCTGAACACCCTCACTGGCCTGACCGGCTTGACAAAATAAGCAGTATTCTGTGCACAGTCTGCGTGGTGCATCCAGAGGACATGCGGCAGGACCCAACATCAAGAAGCCAGAATGCCATTTAGCGCTCCAAGACGCTCCATTATTTTGCCGTTCTGGATAGACCGGCTCACGCTTGGTGGACTTTGGAAACATGGATGAGGACCGGCTACCACGTTGAGCAGTGAGGAGAAATACAAGGGGCTGGAGGAATGGATGAGTCTCGGGAGGTTGACTGCATACGTACGTGGATGTCTTAACATTGAAGTTTCTCTGCGCCGCAGGGGCAGATAGAATCCTTTTAATCAAACACATGTATCTTTCGGTTGAAAGGAAGTCGTGAATGGCGAATCAATCAGTACTTGTGCTCCTCGGCTCTGCTAGTCTGCTCTGTTACCGTAGAAGTTTCAAGTCTAGTGTGTACTTCCCGTGCTCCTCCTGGCAAAGATAGAGCGTTAGATATGAGAACGACGCAGCTTCAGTGTCTCCTCACCAGGGTCCTGCAAATGGATGGGAAGAGTAAAGTAGAAGGCACACACCGCCTGTGCCGGGTGTGGTCATCTTCAACTTCATTTGGTTATATTTGAACGTCCTAAACACTAGGGAGACGGCGGTCTGAAGAGTGGTTGGTGGTAGGATAGTATTGCATAGCCCGTTGCGTATAATTAAATAATATAAAATCGGAGAACACTAACTATACACGGCGTACATAACAACCACTTCTATACTGGTCACACCTCAATCGTCACGTAATGTCGATGTCACACCGAGGGTGCGAGAATTACTCTTTGCAGCAAGGAGAAGGGAATGTAAAAGAACCGAGTTTGTCCTTTGCATTGAAAACAGTGCAGTCTGCGGATTCTAGTCATCGCAGTGCCAGGACTTGAAGTATGAGATAGCCACGAATTTTTCATTTTGTCAGCGCTACTCTAGTCATAGGCACAAGTTCTCCAGACCAGCACCAGTTCAACTGTATCTCAGGCCTCAGCAGTGTTGTTAAGTTCGGTCTTTCTTCCCACACCTACAGAGCGCTGCGCCGATCATGGCTTTGTGGTCTTGTCCAAGCCTGGCATTCCCTGTTTCCACTTGCATGCCGCCAGCCTTCCTTACGTGAAGCTCAACAAGACCTTCACATCCACGAGACTTCAAGCAGGTTTCCACTGCGATATTGGTCGGACAACGTGTGTTGACAATGCCTACCATGGCTGCTTGTTGAGCGTATCGTGCTGATTGACTTCATCCGCCCAGTCACCGCCATCTTCGCCCATGTCGTCGCTAGAACCGCCAGCTGCCGCAGCGCCTCGTCCCTCGTTGGAGCCCGCAGCGTGGCCTTCGTTGTCCGGATGATCAAACACTGTGCTCTTGTCCACAGGGAGGGCTGGAGATGCTGTACCTGCACCAACGTCGACGCCAGAGTCAAAGCCAGAGGAACCCTCAAGATTTGCGTCCCAGCCGCGAGTGGCCTGATCTGCACCTGTACTTGAAGTCTGTTGAGCCGCAAATGCGTCACCAGCGTCCCAATTTCCACCTCCAGCAGCCGTAGTCGAAGCATCATCATCCCAGCCACCACCTCCACCGCCAGAAGCGAATTCATCGTTTTCAATGCCGTCGGCCGCTGCGTTTTCTGCCGCTCTACCGTTCTTCTTCAATTCCCATTTCTTGCGAATTTCCTGCTCGTTTCGCTCACACCATGCATGTAAGTCCTGATCGAGCTTTGGGATTTCCTGCCTCAATACGTCGAGAAACATCATGTCGTCAGGAGTCTCATCATCGTCAAGCTTTCGCGTCCACCATGCCCAGAAAATGCTGGCCGCAGCGACTTCGCGGACCGAGTCACCACTCGCCTTCAAGCTTGGCGACTTGTAGAACCACTCAACTTCCTCCCAGCTCATGAGGACCTTGCGTGCAATCCCATGCATACGCTTCGTCAAGCCCTCGACAAGGTCGCGCGCAGGAATGGCCAAGTAGGTTGCGGAGATGATGACGTTGGCATAAGTGGTGAAGAGGTTGGGTGCGTCGTCGCCGAGCTGTGATGGTGATGTAGGTCAGTCACGCCAAAGTAGCCCCGGGTTCTGCTTCGTTGTCTTGCAGACGGTAGATGGTGGGAAAAACGTACATCTTTGTACTTGACGATGCTTCCCTCCGAGACACACTGCTTGATCCATGCTAAAACTTCGGTCAAGCCAGTCAAATCACCTCCGGTCACGGTGAAGGATTTGGCGCCACTGTTGTCCATGAGTTCGCGTCGGATACGGTCGCAGAATACGATGGCCGCATCTTGAGGAAATTTGCCGTCGAGGAGTTGCAATGGTGCAGTCTTGGCGGGCTTGTAGAAGATGGAGATGGTAGGTTCGGCCTTGATGCTGTGATACCGTGTCAGCTCAATACTAATGAAGGCTCTCCAGAAATGATCAACGGCTTACGTAGCGAGCTTTCCAGGAGGGATGCGAGGACCACGATCTTCACGTGGTTCGGGAGGAGTGTTGTCTTCCATGATGAAGATAGGGCGAATTGCTCACAGAGATAGGATGGAGAGGAGCAAATGAGGGAACGAGGAGAAGACGAAAGTGTTGGAACCTGATATGGCTCGATTTTGACAAGACACAAGAGGGAGGTGCTGTAGGATAAGAATTTGGAAGAGCACAAAGGACGGAAAAGCAATGTGCCTGAGGAGGGTTGATTGTGGACAAGAAAACAATGAGGCGCGGTCACAGACAGCAAAATGCCGCAGGAAGCAGACGGCAATAACTTTTGCAACTGCAGCCAGCAGCCGAGCCTGGAGATGGCAAGTATGAGCGATGCAATCTCATTATGCCTGTCTCGGCTGGCCAGCTGCCCTGGAAAGCCGTCTCCCTCATGGCGCACGCAGCATTCAAGCGAAGCAAGCACTTGCAATATTTCATAAACTCCATTGCGAATCTCAGTGAGCCTGTGGCTGTTGGCAGCCTTGCACCTCTTCTCACCCTGGATACCTACGTATTGCATGTCTGCGCGCCAACCTGCAGTTGTTGCAACTGGCACACAACTCACAAAGTATAACCCATGCGTGGCATGTAGATAAACCATATCGATTCGAGGAAAAGCACCATACCGGTCTGGATCCAAGGCCACCCTTCCAAGCGACTCCTCCAGCCTGGGGGACAGCGAAAATCATCTGCGCCTTGCTCTCATCTGCTCATTACAAAACACAAGGTATCATCAATCCTCTATTTCTTTCCGCTCTTCTTGATCCCCTGTTGGCCGGCGTTCAGAGGCCCTTTGCCCTTTGCCTTTTCCGCCAGTTCTTTTCGTGCTTTGGCATCTGCGCAAACGAGTCAGTGGACGCTGCGGTCAACAGGCTCGATGAGGATCAGCCATACCTGCGGCTTGCTTGGCCTTGAAAGCAATTTCGTCATCGTCCATCTCCTTCTTCTCCTTCTTTGGTGCCTTGAGTGGCTTGACTTTGCCGCCTGTCAAGAGTTAGGGTCGCCTGAGCATAAGATTTCGTTGCGCGCACACACCTTCACGGCTTTGGCCACCCATCGTGATTTGCGGTGCTTCGGATATGAAAAGGAAGGAAGTTGAATCTGAGAAATCGGCCCTGCCTATCCTCTGTCTAAGTGGTCGTGAGAGGTACAAACAGTATCGAATCTTGTATGTTCAAGTTTGATGCACTGAGGTGACTTCGGCCCATGTTCGACAGCGTAGGTACTAGTTGTATCCGCACCTCTTGACCACGTGATAGATAGGCTGGTTTGAATGAACTACCTTAGGGGAGGCTATCAAGCTAGCGTCACCACTACGTGGGATTTAGCACAGGCTATCGCGCAATTCGTTGGCATTACGCAAGTTCGGGACTTTTTAGTGCTCTTCGCTCCGATAACGTTCAAACTATGTCTATTGGCCACTGCTTTTCGCTCTGCTTCTTGGCCGCAATTGTTCTGCGCAGCCTGGAGTCGGAAGGCTTGACCTCATCCCATGACGGCCAATCCAAGCCTGTTGGTCTATCGTTCTTTGCAATTTCCCCTCAGAGCATTCTCTATTGCCCTGCTGCGTTTTGTATTTAGCCAAGGCGCCACTATCCTGAGCATTACCTGGATGCTTTGTCGGAGGGTCTGAGGGGGATACGGCGGGACGGCACCGGTCGGGCTCTACAGCTGCAATTTTCCCATCTCAGAGTTCGTGGCTAACCGCTTGATTCGACTGAAGGCTAGGTTTCAGTCCCGGCCTCCAAGTGCACATCACCACTATGGCTTCGATATCCCCGAGCCAGTCTGAGGGCGAAATCCTCAGCTCAGACTCGGAAACGAAGGCAAAGAACATACCTTCTATCCACAATAACAGCAAGATTGACCGTCATACCAGACCCAACTCTTCATCGCACATCGCATCTAGATCGCACCGATCGCGTTCGAGATCCCCTTATCGGGCTCATAGAGCTGAGAACCGTCCACGAGAGAACAATCCGTACAGAGGAAGGTCGATCAATGATGCGCGCACGTTTAGTGTCAGATACGAGTCTGACCGCTACGCGCATCGCCGGAATGCCTCTTACGAAGAGCGCGGTGCCAAACGATCTCGAACATACTCTCGGAGCCGCAGCAGAAGTCGATCGCCGTATAGGCATTATCGGCCTGGAGATGATGGGGGGGAGAGGGGAGACAATGCAACTGACAGGACTGAGACCGGTGAGAAGCACTCGGGTCGACAACGAGGACTAGATACGGTCGCAGATACAGCACCGTCGCAGACTTTGAAATCCGTTCGTTTCGACTCGAGCTCTAACATGGCCAGCTCCAGCGAGTCGGCATCTCGCCCACGGAATGACCAGCGCAGGGATCGATCGTTGGGCGATACACCGTCGGAGAACACGATTGACGGTATCGAGGAGCACAAACCAATGGACGAAGAAGCCCTCATTGAAGAACGTCGGAAGCGTCGTGAGGCGATTAAAAACAAATTCCGCGGCCAAGCTCCACCTCTGCTCGTTCAAGCACTTCATCTAGGAGTGGATTCAACTCACGCCAGCTCTACACCGGACACTGACATGTCAACTCCCTACCGATCTGGTAAGTCTTGCGCAATCCGCTCCCAGGACCTCATGCTGACGCTTGCAGAATCGCCCACGATCTCGTCGCCTCGGACTCCGAGAGAGGTCTCTGCCCTGCAGTCTCCCACCGAAGTCAACTTTGAAGCTGATACGGATCTGACTAACTCTGGAAGAGGTTCTCCCGCCGAGGATGGCCCGTCAGCTGCGGACTATGACCCCACTGTAGACATGGAAGATGAAAGAGCGCGCCATGATAAACGTTTATTTAAGGAAGATGATCGATCTCTGGAACAATCCGAACAACATGTGGTTGAACAAACCAGCGAGCCATCGGCGCCTCTAATGAAGCAGTCCACTGATTTCGACATGTTCGCCGAAGAAGATGATGATGATATGTTCGCGGAAGCTCCAGCGAAGCCCAAAGAAGGGACAAAAGCCGCTCAAGCTCTGGACGTCAATCTGATGGACAATTGGGATGATCATGACGGGTATTACATTACAATGCTCGGTGAGCTGATTCAGGACCGGTATCATGTCACCCAAAATCTTGGCAGGGGAATGTTCTCGTCCGTTGTCCGAGCTACGGACAGGCGTACGGGTAAGCCAGTTGCGATCAAGATTGTTCGCAACAACGAGACCATGCGCAAGGCAGGTATCAGAGAAATTGACATCCTCAAGGACATTGCTGCCAACGACCCCGAAGACAAGAAGCATATCATTCGTCTGGAGGGCTCGTTCGATCACAAAGGCCACTTATGCATGGTCTTCGAAAACCTTTCAATGAATCTTCGAGAAGTGCTCAAAAAATTCGGCAGGGATGTAGGAATCAACCTCAAAGCCATCCGAGCTTATGCCCAACAGCTCTTCCTCGGACTCAGTCTATTGAGAAAGTGTCAGTACATTCATGCTGACCTCAAGCCTGACAATATTCTCATCAATGAATCAAGAAGTGCCGTCAAGATCTGCGATTTAGGGTCGGCATCACCAATCGCGGAGAATGCCACAGCACCCTATCTTGTGTCTCGATTCTACAGAGCTCCCGAAGTCATTCTCGGTGTCCCCTACGACTACGGAATTGATACGTGGTCGATTGGATGTACGCTTTTCGAACTTTATACTGGCAAGATCTTGTTCACAGGGCGCAACAATAACGGCATGCTTCGTGCAATTATGGAATGTCGGGGGAAATTTCCGCACAAACTCCTAAGACGGGGTGCCCTGGCATACGAGTACTTTGACGACTTGCTCAACTTCCGTTCTGAAGAGACGGACAAAGTCACTGGTCGGACATTGATCAAGATGATTGATATCAAGGCCAAACCGGTCAGGGACCTGAGATCTAGGTTACTTCCAAAGGATAAGCGGATGAACGAGCAAGAGCGGAAAGAGATAGAGTCATTTGTTGATCTATTGGACAAGTGCCTTGATTTGCGGCCGGAGAAGAGGATCACACCTAATGACGCGTTGAAACATCCTTTTATCACAAGGACGAAGACATAGGCAGTCCGGCTCTTGATGATTTCACATGGGTGAGCTCGGCTAAGAGGATACATGAGCACTTTATAAACATATTTCTATGACCTACCAGTCGTGTATTTAGACGGTTTCCTTTGAAATCTTGATATTGCAGAGTGCACACCCGCCTCGGTGTCCTGGGCGCCACTGCTTCTTTCGCTCCCACACGGACACCGCGAAAGATTGTCCAAGAGTGTCTGACCATCCAAATCGGTTAACATGTCCAGAGAGACATCCGTGCCCTCAACAGAGACAAGCCGATCGGACAAGACGACACTCCGCGGAGCTTGATTATGCAGTTGCGCAATGTCCCCGAGGCCAAGAAGCAGCAGGACCAGATATTCAAACAAATTGGAAAAGGGCATAAACAGTGCATCTGCGTCAAGTCTAAACGGCCATGGGATGAAGTGAACTTGGTCTTGGATCGAGAATAGAAAGAAAAGGGCAGAACTTGATCCTGGGTGGCAAGGTTGCCATAGACAGGGTTGAGTCTGAACAGCTCCCGAACAACCTGGTTACATGAGCATAAGGTAGTTTTCCAGATCGAAACGTTGACTGCTCCTTAACGTGTATAATCGTATTTTTTGAATCCCGAAGGAAACGTTGTTTTACATAAATTCTTGGTAGATCCTTTGTATAAGACACGACGGCTTCTGAGGCCAACGGGGCGAGTTCCAGGCACACAAGCGGGTTTGGTCACTTGCTTGTTCAGCGATAGCCGGCCGATCACCTCATGTGTGTGTTGCACCAGGCATTGATCTGAACTTGGGTGCTCTTGTAGGTCAGCCAGGCTTGTTTTGTTTCCGTTTTGTGCTAGGCTAATGGCAGGAGACTTGGAAGCTAGCCCCTGACGTGTCAGGCGGCACATTCGGCCAGAGACTCCGTCAATGGTAGAGCCACGACCGGTACTGACGAGCCTGGGGAATCCAGACCATGGCCGCTCTACTCCAGGGGCCCTAGGGGGGCCAGGGAGGAGTGTGACCTTGTCGGTAAATTGCCGGGGTTTCTCAATCAAGATCCATACCGCCATTGGCGACAGCGACCAGCTGGGGATTGTTCAAGCGGTTGTAGTCTGCCCAATTCTCTAATATGTTCTGCTGGGCCGGTTCAGCCTGGGCGGCTTCTGGTCCTGGCGTTCTCTCCGCTCGCAAAACTTCTTCACCTTCGAAGATGATAGGTTGTGCTTTCAGATTTCGAAGACATGTTTCCCAGGACCGGCCCACCAACTTCCCCTCAAGCAAACTTTCGCCGAATAAGAAATATCCTTCCTGAGCCTCAACAAGATATGCATTGAGTCCAGAGCTTTTCAGTATGATTTGCGCACCGTGGATATGTCGGGCAAAATGGTTGTCCAGATATCTGGCCCAGCCTCTAGCAGCGGCTTGAATCGAGTCGTCTTCCGCGGCCATTTTGGTCCAGCCAATGCCCAGTGCTAAGGTGACTTCGTCGAACCCTTGTCGGTCCACGGCCGTTTTAGGCGGGCTGGCCGGCGCAGAGGCCGCAGAAAAATCGATCGGGAGGCGCATCGAATTTGGAGTCAGACGCACAGATTTGCGACTGGAAGGCATTTCAGGTCTAAGCTGGGTCGCCACGGCCTCATCTTCGCTAGCCTTCTCCTGGGACTTTTCCTCATACCATGTCCCCGTTTGACTTTCCGCTGAGACGGACATGCCCATCATTGGATTGATGAGGGTCATGCCTGCGCCGTAGATCGGTTCTTCCTCGGGAACTGGCGCAGGGGGTCTGGCAGGGGCAAAGTAAGAGCCGTCCACCTCTGGGTCCAAGTGTGAATCATCACGCCATCTCTTCTTCGACGGGTTGGTAGTGACTGGGGTAGTACTGTCGACTGGAGTCCACGTAGTTGAGTGATTAGGGTACGAGGTTGGAGAGGGTTCATCTTGCTCCATAGCTTTGGGGGTGTCGGAGGGAGTCGGTAGTTGAGTCTGTTCGAACGGCGCAAAAGACATGTTGACAGTTGTATGAATATATGGCCTCAGTAATCACGTTGTGCAGACTGTCCAGTCAGAACCTGTAAAGATGCTGGTAAGGTAAAGAACCGAAGCGAAGAGAGTAGATCTATGAGAATGCGTGAGTAGGGAAGAGACGAGTCAAGAGAGGGTCGGCCGGGTCTAAGCATATATATCAATATGGAGCGACGGTGGGAGCAAAGAGAGAAGGGAAGGGATAGGAGAAAGAGGAAATAGATAGCTGTCGAGCGTGCGCTGAGACAGGCGAGGACACATGCTGCGGGAAAGCTGAGAGACGATGCTGCATGGCAAGTGGCAGATGGATGATGGTCCTTGTACAAAAACAGACTCCGGGGGATACGTCGATGAGGGTCTGCGCGGCACGGCGGCTTCACGGCAACGCATAGAATTCGGCATGCCCTTTTCGAGCTATTTCCACTAAATACGACATAAGAGCGACTAGTGCCTAGGCCTAGACGTAGCCTGGAGTGATAGGTAGGTGCAGGGCTCCTTAAGACTGTCTTCGGGCACCCTAGGCACCTACTAGGGATGCCTAGATGGGCGGGATTGCCAGGAACACAGCATCATTAGGCCGGGTCATTGGAGCGAACGTCTGGTCTGACCGGGTGAGCTGCATATCACGTATCGGCGACAGCCTATGGAGCTGGAGGCTTTGACTACAGAACCCACAGTTGTCAGTGAGAAAAGACAAAACCAGGGTCTTAGCGGCCCAATAAAACTGCCAAGGGCTCTATTTTGCACAGACCCAGAGCCCTAGCCTTTAGGGCTTAGCAGGTAGGTGGCAGGCACCAAGGCAGGCTTGACATAATATGGGGCAAGCCTAGACTACATGAATCACAAGCCCCAGTGCAACCTAGGCGTTGTCTAACAGTCGCTGAGTCGCCTGAGGTCACCTACTACCGCCAATTTGGCTCGCCTATTCCAATCGCTGGCTGTACCCTTGCCACCATTGCCAAAGTCCCGTATTACCCTACCTAATGCACGTGATTTGTAGAAAACGTTCACACCCGGCACACACCTTCTTATCAGCGGTATGATACTAGTCACTCCCCTCGTCGGCTTGTCTATAACTGTGTGCATTTGATTCTCCAGTAGCTTCTAGCCTGTACTTGCATACCCAAACACCTGAAAAGCCCCGAAGATACCATCTATCATACAGTTCATGTTGTTTGTTTTGTGCTCCGCACGAATTGCACACCCCTCAACATTCAGCCATCACTATTAGTCGGGCGCACCCCATGATGTTTGATGATTCCGATTTCGGTCTCTATTTCCAGGATGGCAAGACATCTTGCCCGAGCTTCGTTCATCCATCTTCGCGGGCAGTATGTCATGCTCTGTTCTCCCTCCAAAAATGTGACACTGTTATGTTGCCATGCCGGTGCTAAGCATGTCTTTCAAGTTCTTCGTTTGGGACGGCGCATATGTCGGAGCTAATCCACCGAGGAGCAGGAAAACGGTGATCACGACCAGTCCGAACGCCAAAGCCTTCCGCATTGCTGGTCGCTGCACTCCGAATTCAGACCAGGATCGGCCGGCTTGAGAAACGTATTGCTTGAGCTGCTCTGCTCCAAGCTTGTAGTATAATAACCCACCAAGAGCGATCGAATAACCGAAGAACTGGGTCTTGCTGACGGGGGAGCCCCAGATCATCATAGACGCGCCGACCAGGAGAATGTCTTTGAGAATACCGCAGAGTGTGAGAACCAATGATGATGTTTTGCCAATCTGTGACCGGGAGAGTCAGTCGCAAGGCGAAACAACGGATTTGCATGGCGAAAACCTACCAAGAAGACAACCGAGACGTTCAGCATGAATGCAACCATAGCGTTGGCAATCAGCAGGAAGATGCCAACATCGTAGACCGTGTTCATGCTCATGTTGGGTACCTCAAGAAACAGTGCTGTTATTCCGTTCATGACAGCACACACAGGCGCAAAGTAGTAGAGGGAGACCAACGGGTCCATCTTGTACTCGGCAGAGCTGAGCAGGCGTTGGACGAGTACCAACCGCGTCGCCTCAAAGGTAATGCCACCCGCTTGGTATAGGAACCCGGTCAGGTCGAATTCGATCTCTCCATACGATGCGATGACAACACCAATCACGATAAAGGAGACATTGCCCAATGTCTTCAGGCTCGGAGGCGCAACTCCCATGGCCCAGGTAGTGAGGAGAACCGCGACCGGCATTGTAGCCTTCCAAACTTGTTAGCAATATGGTTCGTCTGTTGTGATTGGCGTACTCACCTTCAACATCTGAATAAAGGATACGCTCAGGTACAGGTATGCTTTGTTTCCACAAATCAAGCTCAGGCTGAAAAAGAAGCCGATGGGGAGAATTGCGCGGAGATAGACTCGTCCAGTCATTTTGACATTTTTGCGTCCGTCAAGAAGAGATGTAGTCCTTGCTAGAACTTGGGTCATGAACGTCGCAAATATCATGTGCCTAATGATATGTATCAGTCTCGAGTGCAGCAGATGTAAGGTCCATTGCCAACGCACCATGCTGTTAGGGTGATGGGGAATTCTGGCATCTGAGGTCAGCACATATAGAGCAAGGTCCGGTGTAGAGACGTACTAAATCCAAGTGTATCCAGCAGCCATTTGTTGAACAATATGACACCACCACTGAAGCCGATCCATGTCCTGCCAAACGTATCAGTCACAAATGCGTTGTCCCACGCTGTGTGGGAGAGAGGGCACGTACACCACATAAAATGCTGGATGAAGTGAAGGCGCAGGCGGTGGTTGTTTCTCAGCCACTGGGATATTAGTTGTAGGTAATAGTGTTGCTGGCTCTGCGGCTCTTGTCTGTTCACCCGACAAGCGGGCTTTCTTCTCGCCGTCCGCCATGGCGTGGAAGGGTTGTGGGCTGCGGACGAGGAAGTCCTGAAAGGAAAAAGGCCGCGGTGACCTGGTGAAGGACTGTGGCTGCAACAGGTTGGCGAAACCTCAAGCAAACATGAGGCGAGCAACGGCTGACGGGTGAGTGAGATCGAGGCAATGCTCTGCAGTAGAAGAGACGCGACAAAGAACAAGATGGCAAATGGCGATGGCGATGGCGTTGCCAAGTTGGGGGTTGCGATGCTTGAACGCAAGCTGTGTCGAGGAGAGAGCCTGGGCGGAAACAAAGGCGCGGGAAAGGTGAAGAGGGACCGGCACAGAAAAGGAGAGCGTGGCCCTATGGTTGAACAGTTTAGACGATCAGAGCCCACCTAAGCGGAAACTCTGCCGGAGTCTAACCAATTTTGTCCAATCAGAGCGTGTATAACTAGCTCTATAGCGGTAGGTAGCGTGTGGCTTCAAATCTTTCGCCTGAAGCACCCATCAGATCTCCGCCCCTGGCCATTCAAAGGACACGCGTCCTTGATGTTGCTAGTTAAGTATTGATATACGTCTAACACTCCCGACCGGCGGGTCATTATTACTCTCATCCCGGTGACAGCTTTGGATGTGGGTTTGGACCAGCAATTGTACTTGATTCTCACACTGACTTCTCCGATCTGTACAGTACAACATACTGATATACGGAGTACCATTGACAAGGCTGCTAGACGGAAGTCCGAAGCATGTGAAGCACTCTCTGTGTTGCACGACATCAACCCTTGTCTATAGAGATTCTGCATAAGGATCAGTCACCTAGTGTCACACAGGTCCAATTTGATCGTCCTTGACATGTAGCAAGAACGGGAAGCGGCGTGGTGGCTAAGTTGCATTGTCTCTACCGCTCACAAAACCTGGGCCAACCTTAACTGCGGCCCCTGAACGGCACGGCGTCGCATTTCCACATGGGATTAAGTTATCGATAGTGTCTGAGCAACTTGCATCCCTTGTGCCACACTGCACTCGTCACCGCTAATGATGTCCAAGATGCCAGCTACCGAATGCTGGGGGCGGTGGTTCGGGAGAAAAAGAACCCTGGAGTCAACACTGGAATAGTAATAGTATGAGTCCTCGTAGTACGTGCTAGTAGAGGTGCCCCCTGCCAAGAAACCCCTAATCGCTTCGTCCGATAAGGCCCATTAACCAGTGTCATGGCAAACTTTAAGAGTGGAGAGAGAGACCTTACAGCCGCAACATCGCAACATCTGTCTCTTTCGTAATACCGCAATATCGGCACGTTGGGGTCTCCTCTCTTGACAATTGTGTCTGTACTCCGTACGCTCTCTAGATATCTCGCGTTCCGCTTTTTGCTAGATCACCGCACATTCATTTGACTTGGTCAAGCAAGACTTCACTGACACCATGTCCGAAATGTATGCCCCCAACCGAACATTCGTCGCCATTGTCCTGACTTGATTGCAATCCAGATCAGTTGATGTACTAGTCATTGGTGCAGGGCCGACCGGCCTAGGCGCTGCGAAAAGACTGAATCAGATTGTATGTCACCGTCTTGATGGTGCGGCCTTCTGCTGACCGCGAACAGGATGGACCATCGTGGTTGATTGTTGATTCGAACGAGACTCCTGGCGGCCTTGCCTCAACAGATGTGACCAAAGAAGGCTTCGTACGTGGATCACCCTTCATATACCTACCGCACACTGACATGCGATTAGCTTTACGATGTCGGCGGCCACGTCATCTTCTCTCACTACAAGTACTTCGACGACTGCATCGACGAAGCCTTGCCCAAAGAAGATGATTGGTATACGCACCAGAGAATATCCTACGTGCGCGTTAAGGGTCTATGGGTTCCATACCCGCTTCAGAACAACATCTCCATGCTGCCCAAAGATGAACAAGTCAAGTGCATAGAGGGTCTGATCGATGCTACATTGGAAGCAAGAGTTGCAAAGACCAAACCCAAGAATTTTGACGAATGGATTGTACGCATGATGGGCACTGGGATTGCGGATATCTTCATGCGACCATATAATTTCAAGGTCTGGGCCGTCCCAACCACAAAGGTGATACCAGTCTACCCTGTCCGGTCTTCCAATCATCGCTAACAGCCTAATAGATGCAATGCGAGTGGCAAGGAGAGCGCGTGGCCGCTCCTGATGTCAAGGCTGTCACGAGAAACGTGATTCTCCAAAAGACAGCCGGCAACTGGGGTCCTAATGCCACATTCCGATTTCCAGCTCGAGATGGTACAGGTGGCATCTGGATTGCCGTGGCCAACACCCTGCCTGCCGAGAAGAAGCGTTTCGGAAAGAAGGGCACAGTGAAGAAGGTCAATGCCGACAAAAAGCAGGTGCTGTTGGCAGATGGCACTACGGTGCACTATGAAAGACTGATCAGCACGATGGCTGTCGACTTCTTGGCAGAGGCTATGGAAGATGAGAAACTGATCACTCTCTCCAAGGGCCTTTTCTACAGTAGCACCCATGTCATCGGTGTCGGCATCCGTGGGACCCGCCCTGAACGGATTGGGGACAAATGCTGGCTCTATTTTCCGGAGGATGACTGCCCCTTCTACCGCGCAACCATCTTCTCGAACTATTCTCCCTACAACCAGCCTGCACAAGATGTCAAGCTGCCTACGCTGCAACTTGCTAATGGGTCTCGACGGCAGAGTGTGCAGGCCAAAGAAGGACCGTATTGGTCGATTATGCTGGAGGTTTCCGAGTCGAGCATGAAGCCTGTCGACCAGGATAATCTTCTCAAGGACTGTATGCAAGGACTGGTCAACACCGAAATGCTGAAACCTGAAGACGAAATCGTGTCCACATACCACCGCCGCTTTGACCATGGTTATCCCACCCCAACGTTGGAGCGCGAAGGAGTCTTGAAGCAGCTACTACCTGCTCTAGAGGAGAAGGGTATCTACAGTCGAGGACGATTTGGCTCCTGGAGGTATGAGGTCGGCAATCAAGACCATTCGTTCATGTTGGGAGTGGAAGCCGCGGATAACATTGTCAACGGCGCTGTTGAGCTGACCTTGAACTATCCCGACTTTGTCAATGGTCGACGAAACACCGAACGGAGATTGGTGGAGGGAGCGCAATTGTTTGGCAAAAAGACGAAATCTGAAAAGGGCTCGAATGGTAATGTGGTCGTTGGACGGCGTATGACCGGCGGAAAGGCAGAGCTGGGAGGCCGGCTGGAGACCAGCAACAAGGACGCCCTGAATGCCACAGGCGGGACCGCAACGGCAGGCAAGGATGGCAACTCGCGGATCTTGAACCGAAACTGGTGAGGCTCGCCCAACGCCACAGCCATGTCGCGATTGGGGTTTCGGAGGTCTGCAATGAACATACTCCTGTGGCGCGGCGGGGCGACTGAATGATGGAATAGTACTAATAGAAACCCTGTAGAACGGTACACACGAGGCATTTGGCAACATCCATAATGGTTGAATGGGATCTTGAGGCCGGTAGAACTAGATTCGTGAATAGCAAAAGCAACATAGCAGAGAAAGCAAGTTCAGTGCCCGTCGTCCTTGTCCTGGGTGATTCTGCTGCTGTCTAGGGAGAAGTGGGGAACTTGCATCCCTCTTCCTGCAGTCTAGTTTGTGAAGCTATTACGAGTACGTACTCCCACATCCGTCGGTTCGACCCATTTTTGCATCATCAACCTGGCCTGTTGGATTCCGGTCTCCACGGCGAGGGTTTGTCGATTGCATTGACCTCGAAATGCGGGGGACGGGGGAGGGGGAGGACTGCACGAAAATTGGCCATGGTCAGGTGGCAGAGGGGAGACTGCGTGGTGTGCTTGTTGGAACCCGCTAGGCCAATTCTGTATTTCTTTCTGCTACTAGTATTACGATGACCTGGCCGCAGGACGGTGGTGGTGATTGACGGATTCAGGACAAGTAAGAAAGAGGCCAGACGGTCATGATGCATCCTAGACTGACAGCGAGGACGGCGAGGACGGCAGGGACGGGCCACGTGAGATATCGAAGTTTTCCTTCTGCTCCTCCCGTTCCCGCACGGCGTTTCTCACAGAACAGGTTTCACTGTCGGCACACTTCATCTTGAGACAAGATGCGGCGGAGGTGGAAGTGGAACTGCACAAATTGCTCACTGGAAGCTCTGGATGATGCCAAATGACAACAGCACCAACAGCAGCTTGGATCAGAACCGCAGGAGGATCACATTATCACGTCATGCTGTGGGAAGTGGTGGTGTTTGGTTCCTGCATTCCGCGAGTCCGCGAATTACGACGAGGGAGAAAGCGGTGACGGCTTTGCAGCAGGAGAACTAGCCGAATCGGCTCCAGCCAGGTGGGCATTGGGATTTAGCAGGCCCAACAGGCCCCTTTGGGGGCTCGTTCTCGGGCTGAGGCCCGCCTAGTACGCAGTAGTGAGTGTTGGAGACACCGCATCATAGGTACGGAGTTCTAGGTACGTAGTAGGTAGGTAGGTAGCCACCGAGCCACCGCCTATTCTTGTCCCGTGCCTGGAACCAGAGCCTGCGCCTCGCCCTGTTCCAGTTTTCCTCGTACTCTGATGCATGGAAGAAATAAACAGCGCAAGACTCTTGCTGTGTTCCCTCAGACGCATTTCCTCTCCTTCCTTTGTCTTCCACCACCCATACAACATATCCCAACAACTGTCGCTTTATCTGTTACAATATCCCCTTTCTCTTTGTAATTGTCCCCCCATTTCGCTTTCCCACGGTACGTATCTTCCTCAGCCGCCTGTCTGGCTCTTATCAAAAAGACTGCCGATCTTCATCCCACCACTTGGTATTTTTGGCTAAAGCGGTGAACACCTTGAGATTGCGTTCCCATCACCTTCTGAATACCTTTCTTATTTGGTCTTTGGCTGACCTGGAAACTTCTAGTCGACATCAAGCATTCGTTTGCCCATCATGTCGGCTCAAGTTGCTCCCACCGTCCCGCCTCGTCCGACTCGAGCCCAACAAGCTGCAACTTACGGTGCCAACAAGCTGCCTGAAGTCCCCCCACGACCTATCAACAAGCGACTCGAGCGGTCCGTATCTCCTGGCCACTTCCCTCGCTCTCCTCTAAACGAGCCTTGGAATGGCAACTTCTCTCGTCAGAAGGCCAACGATCAAACCGAGGCAATGCCGCGTCGGCCTAGTGTCCAACATCTCCCTTCCCTCGGACAAGAAGGTATGGAATATGGCGAGATAATGGAACAGACAGCCGCGCAGCCTCCGGCTTCGGCTCCCGCTACGGATTCCGCTACTCAGACAAGAAATATCGCCCACGACCTCAAGTTGTACGCTCCGAAGCCGTCCTTACCCAAATCTAGTGCTGCGGCACAGATTCAGGCCGTCACCAGAACAGATTCCCAACAGGCAGCCCAACACGGCATTGGAAAGCCGTCCACTCCGGCTCAGGACGAAGGTGACATTCTGGGGCGTGTGAGGACTCGCACTAGTTTTTCGAGACCAAATTCTACACTAGGCAGCGAACGTCGCTCATCTATATACGGAGAGGAATCTGGACCCGCGGAAATAGGCATCCGAGTCCCTATCAATCCATTACTGGGTGATGTTCAGGCACCTACACCTGGCATGACTCCGTCCCATACCGGGGATAACGGTGCCTACAGAAAACTCCACTCGCGTTCAAAAAGCAGAGAGGTTTCTGCTCCTCCCGGCAGCTACGGCCTTCACGGCCACGGTGTGATTCCCCAGGACAAGTTTGAAAAAGATTGGTACGCCAGGCATCCTGAGGCAGCTCAACATGAAGAAACTACCGGCCACGGCGTCTACGAAAGCATTGGGAGTGGCCGGGGCAGTTTTGCGATGAGTTCCGACGATTTGAACAAGATAGTGCGCGAGACCGCTATCCGGGGAGCTGGATACGGTAAGCACAAATCCTTGCGTTAGGCCACTGCTTTACTGACCCTCACAGGTACGTCAGGAACTACCTACTCCTATCCAGACGAGCAGATCGGTTATGCTGCATCAGAGGTGTTCGTTTCGAGGTCCCAGATGAACACCCCCAACAGCCTTGCCAAGACGGTGACCAACAGTTCTCAGCCCGTTGTGGAGTCTCCCTTGAGAAAGGCCAGTTTCCCGGCTGATGGCACAGTTCCAGCCGAGGTCCGCCGAGGGAGACTCTCTGTGTCTGGTACATCTGATGATCATGATGCTCTCGAAAGTGAAGCAGAGCAGGAAGTCCAGATCCAACCTGCCCGTCGCTTCAACAAGCTCACGGGTGGTGAGGAGACTCTCAACGAAACGCAAGAGGCGCTACCGTACGTTTCGCACCCAACGGGAGAGGATGGCTATGTTAGTGAGCATGGCTACACTGTCCCTATCTTGGCGGCGGACGAAGTTGCCAAAGTTGTGGGCATTGAACATTTGCAACCAGCTGTCTCTCCCAGAGCAGAACGCCGTGGTAGTGAACTCGAACTGGACTATCGCAGCGGCGATGCAACCCCATCAAGCAGACCATCTAGCATACACGGGCCGCAATCTACTTCTCAGTCAGCTTATCGCTCTGTTCCGTATCTTGATGAACGCGACAGCATGCATACTCCGTTGGAAGATGTTGAGGAGTATGAACCGCTCTTCCCCGAAGATGACGACGACAAGAAGAAACCCCTTAGCCATGCTGAGCGATTCAAGCAAAGGCCTAATACGCTAAGACAACGATTTCCAAGTCAAGATATTTGGGAAGATACTCCTAGCAGCGCCCTTCATTCTGCCACGGTCTCAACGCCAGATCTCCCTTCCCAACCAGAAGAAGCTGCCACGAAGACCTTCGAACACCCCGACGAGGAAGCAGCACGCAAACAAGAACCCACCGAAGCGGAACGAAGAAAACTCATCCCAAATCAGGAGAGACTCGCCAAATCAAAGTTTGCTCCACACCTCCGAGATGACATGCCAACCAGGCCAGGGGCGGTACCTCGATTCCCTAGTTCCGACATCTGGGAAGATATCCCGGACAGTCACCATCTTGTTACCGTGGTCAGCGCTCTACCGGCTGATGACGAAGGCGAGAGTCCAACTGAGGTACCGATCAAGCCAGCTGTACCTCCCCGTCCTGCAGACAAGAGCAGACTGGGCGAAGATGCTTCTTCAGCTCAAGTTGCCCCGAATGTTCCAGTACGGCCTCAAAAAGCCACCCATGCCCTACCAACGGGCACATCCACCTCGCCGACTGAGCTGAAGAAGGTCCCGAGTATACCTGACAGACCGAAGCCTCAAATTCCAGTTCGTCCTGCCAAGAAAACAACGGGAGATGCGCGAGATTCTGCCGGCTTGACTGAACAGGAGAAGGTGTCCCCTCCTATCATCAAAACGAAGCCACAGATCCCGGCAAGACCTGGCCAAGGTAGTAAAATTGCTGGCTTGAGGGGCAACTTCCTGAACGACCTCAACCAGAAGTTGGGCTTGGGTCCTCCGAAGGAGAAAGAGCCTCTGCCTGTTTCCGAAGAAGCAAAACCTTTGGAGGATGCCCGGAAGGGAAGAGCCCGAGGCCCGCAAAGAAGAGCACCGGCCAAATCTTCGGCAGCGGCCGCTACTACCCCGCAATTCTCAATATTCACACCACGTGCGCTGTGGACAATCGACGATACCGACGAGATCAATGTATCATCTGACCAGCCTTCCGTTCCCGAAGCTACGTCAAAGATCGAAGATGCTCCTACCACTACCGAGCTCTCTGGTGAGCAAATAGGACAGACCGAGAATCCCACCGCAGTCGATGCGCCCGTCCCTTCGACTGGTGATTCCACGGGTCACGCCGAGAGCAACGAGGAGCACACAGGAGATGAGTCAGTAGTACATACCAGTGGCATCGTCACAAAGACGGTTGATGAATCGTCGGAACCTCCGCTTGAGACACCGTCACAAGAAAAGTCCAATCCATTGAGCCACAAGCCGTCTGAAGAGGACGCCTCTGGACTTTCTCAAAATACCACGGCAAGCGCTGCTGAAGCTTCGGGACCGGAACTCGAAAAAGAGGTACCAGACCCCAATACCGACGCCATTCCAGCGAGTAAACAAACGACGGCGGGGACCGACGCAGGGACCGTGCCTCTAGAGAAAAGCCCCGCTGAGGAACCTCGCGCAGTGAAGCAGACCGAAGGTGAGCCGGGCAAGGCCAGTACCGAGGAAGTGTAGAATCCCTGAGCATCTGGGTAGTGGCTACACTAGACGGGAAATGAGACAATAAGATGTACGATGCACCTGGGAAGGGGGTATAGTTGTGATTTACTGATTGGCTATGATCGATTGATAGTTATAAAGCTATTCTCTAGGATCGATCGCTGAACAACCTGCACGATTGGGCCCAAGTCATGGAAATTCTTGCTTGGGGATCCCTGGGTTAGGCCTTCTACTTGAACATGTCGTCAAAGTCTATAGCCTTAGGACGGGTTCTACGGCCTTGAGGTACAGTCGCTGCCTGGGCAAGCGGTGGTGCCTCTGATGCTGGTAGTGAAGGCCTGCTCTCTTCCCTTGAAGGGGCAGGCACTGGTTCTGACGCCTCTGCGTTATTGTCGGCCGGCTCAGGCTGCTCAGGTGGTGGTGGTGGAGGGACCTCAGGCATCTGGTGGTGACCTGAGTCGATGCCACCGTCGAGCACGTCCGCCTCTTCGTCGCTACTGTCGAGCATAGGCACGCCGTCCAGATTGGTCTCCGTGAGATTGTCGTCTTCATCATCGTCCTCGTCAGCCATGGGTGTCCCGTCCACGCCCATTTCCACGTCTCCATCCTCGTCTTTCCGCTTCCCATGCTCTCGCACATGTGTACCAGTGATGGATTCGTCAAGCATTGTCTGGGCGAGGTCCGTGTCGACGGTCCTCCAACGACTCGCAGCCTTCTCCTTGTCCTTCTCGCGTAACCTCTCCACCTTCTCTTCTGCTTCTTTCATCTGCTTTTCTCCGAGCTCCTTCTCGGTGAGGGGCGGATTGAGGAACTCATCAACAAACGCCTCGTGGGTCTGCCCAGCAAAAACGCACCATCCCTCCCACAGACTAAGGATGCTCTGTATACTTCGCCGCCATTTTTCCGCCTTGAGCTTTCCCCAGTTAAGGTCCCGTGGGGCGCGACCGAGGATTGAAAACACATTCTGCAGACGTAGTTGAGTCTCGAAGAGTGAGCGGTAGCGCCACGCATGTCGGACACCTGCGGAAGCAGAAGACGAGAGGACGTCGCTGATCACATAGAGGCCTACGAGCGAGGCCGGCGTGGTGTCTCCGGGCGAGTCTTTGGTCTTTTCGGTCTCGTCACCTTCGTTCGCGTCCTCTTTAAACCTGTCCTCGTCAGAACCCGGAGTTTGACTTCTCTTGTTCACGTTGTAGCAGAATGGCTTGATCACGTTGCGTGTGACGAGGGTAACGACTTCCTCTGCGCCAGCGCCAGCATGTTCGATTGCGAAGCCTGTCACCTGAGCCACGTCGCCTTTGCGTAACTTGGCGTTGGACTCCGGCAGTCGAGTCAGGAGATGGACGAGTTTCGTCTTTGCTAGGGGATTCAGATACCCGATCCCATCGGTATCAGGTGCAGAATCTGCTGCTGTTGGGCCTAACTTCTGATGGTCACGATATCGCGTCGCCAAGCCACCCCCATCGTCTATGTCCTCTTCGTCGGACGAGTTATAATCGTCATCACTAACGAGATCCTCGACCTTCGTTACGTATTCAAATTTGAGGTTATCGTCAGGAGGAATCCAGACACTCTGGCCTTCAAAGAGTATGTCTCCCTGTTGCCGTGAGCCGTAGGCGACTGGGTGGCGACCCTTGCGCGTTTTGAAATTTGTCAAGATCTCCCACAGTCGCCAGCGATAGTAGACACCGCCAGCAGAACGAGAGTCCCATAGCCAAGCCCACTGCTCGCCTCGCTGGATCTCTGGCCTCGACATCAGGAGGGCTTCAAATTCGGGCCCGAAGGTTAACAGAGCCTCTACGGTTTTATGGATCAGCCGGAGTTGTTTGAGATCACTGGGAGCTTGAACTGCAACTTGGGTGGGAGGAACGTTGGTGGGTCTCGCTCCATAGGGAGTTGAGGAGGTGTATGATGCAGGTGGCGCAAAACGACCTGGACCTTGACCAGGCGGAGGAGCTCGAGAGAGTGAGGTATGCTGCGGGATAGCCCTTGCGCCAAAAGGAAGATTGTTAAAGTTGGCTGAAGGCGTGTTATTGCTCAAGGAGCTGGATCCCGTCAATGCTGCGGAAGACAAATGGCGGGATATCGACAGATTAAATCCAAAACCGAGGTACTTATTCTGGAGGTGCGAAACCGTCGTATCAATGTCTGTGGCTGGTGTTTCCGCAGCAAGGGTGACGATTGCGGAGACGGACTTTCGATCGCTGCTTGGGCCTGGAGCAGCAGGAAGGATACGCACATTGTTGATGGTCAACGGTGATGAAGTGAAAAGAGATTTGATGACAGCGGCCGAAGTTCCAGGCGGAAGAGATGAGAGATGCAATGTTGGCTTTGCCGCCGCCTTCAAATCATCCACGTCTCTGGCTTCCTCGTCGAGATCAAAGGCACCCGAATTCAGTCGGCTGTTCCTGTTCTCGTCGTGATCGTAGGAAAACATCTTATCCTTTCGATCTCGATCTCGCCCTGAAGCATAGTCATCGTAGTGTCTCTTCTTGCCATAACTATGGACGGGACCTAGGCTTCCTGGGCCGCTCTTCAGACCAGTGCTTATGAAATGCCTCTTCCCTGGTCCAGGACCGTAGTTGTTACCGTGCCCAGGGCCCCCGGCTCCTCCTGTATGGCCAGCCTTCCGCGAGGGAAAACTGGAGGGTGCTCCTTCATCGTCGAAGCTCTTGACAAAATCTTCGAGTACGGCCGCCGTTTCTGCCTGTTCCCGAGCCTTTTTGGCTTCTGCCTCTTCTTTCTGGCGCTCAAAGACGGACTTCTTCACAGGGGCGGTAAGTTTGGCCGCGAAGTCGGCGTGTTGAGAGGTCATGGTGAATGGCGAGGAGGAGGATGGGGAGGATTGGAAAGCATGTCCCCTGTGCGGCAACAAGGTGTCCGGTTACGTGTAAACCGTACAATGAGTAGAGACAGAGTTCAATGCGACTGGGGGAAACGCTCCCGTAATCGATGTGGTCTGCGTTCCAGGCTGGTTGACACACTCGCTGAAGGTGCCGTGTTGGTGCCGTGGACTCCAACTGCCATAGAGCCAAACTGCCGCTGCTTTAAGGTCTAACCACACCACCTGCCCAGGGCTACGGGAATTCTATAAATCACACAGAATCGATGCCAAACTGAATGCGTACTCCAAACATAGAATTGCTAGTTGATGTCCTCACGCAGCATGATGGAGATCCAATAGGCTACGGGCTCGTCAATGCTCCGCCAGCATCATTCGAAGGACTAGTACTCCGTACAAATCCAAACCACTTCCTTAAATGCGAACCGAACGTGTTTTTATCGTAACGGACCGAATCTCAGGACGTCGTCGACCATGACTTGGCTGGCACCAAGATAATTGACCGGGCTGCAGAGCTCTTTCAACCTGTCCTTGGCAACATGCTCTGTCACATCACGCCGTCTGCTCAGAACATCAAAAAGAGCTCGATCCGTCTCTATCGACTCCTTACATGCCTCATAGACAAGGTCATGGGCCTGTTGACGACCTAGGAAAGGGGCCAGGCCCATCATGACGGCTTCCCCCACAATAAGGCCTCTTGTGGAACAAAGGTTGCGCATCATGGAGTCTGTACTGACAACAAGGCCACTCATAGCAAAGTTCGTCTGATGCAAGGCTCCCACAGCTAGTACGAAGGCTTCGGGCACAGCCACCCATTCCAAATGCCAGGGACCAGAGGCTCTCTCAAAATCGGCCACCATGGCGTCCAAGACGAGACTTGCATTTGCGCGGAGCAACTTTGAGGCCGCCAAGATAACTTCACTGGAAATAGGGTTGCGCTTCTGGGGCATCGTCGAGGAGGCACCTCGGTGTGGGACGAACGGTTCAGACACTTCACTCAACTCGGTCGACGACATGAGGATCAGGTCGTAGGCAATCTTGCCCAACGAGCCACCCACCAATGCAAGGAAATTGACAATTTCCGCGATGTTGTCGCGAGCAACATGCCAGGTGATGCTTGGGTTCGCGAGCCCCAACTCCCGTGCAAGCTGCTCTCTCACCAACAGGCCCTTGCCGTCCGAGCCTAGAGAGGCCAGCGTGCCAGCTGCCCCCCCAAATTGGACTAGCATGCAGCGTTTATGAATCTCCTGGAGACGCTCTGAATGTCTGAGAATACTAGACAAGTAGACGGCGCACTTGTAACCGAACGTGCAGGGCAAAGCATGCTGTAGATGGGTGCGTCCTGCCATGGGCGTATCGCGGTATTTCTCTGCCAGAGAGCGGAGCGTGAGGCACAACTCGCTGAGTTGCCGCTGGACGATCTGCAAACCGTCGCGCATCTGAAGCATGGCGGCATTGTCCTGGATATCCTGTGTCGTAGCACCCCAGTGAATGTACTTGGCCATCTCCGCCGGCACTTGCTCGACCAGCTGGCGGACAAGTGGGAGCACTGGATAGCCTACAATCTCGCTCTCCCGGGCCAGCCGGTCGAAGCTGGATTAAGTCTGAGCGGTTGTCTGTAATCATGCTCCGGCCCTTCACTTACTCCATTTCCGCTGACGTCAAAGATGTGGTGATGGCTTCGCCAGCTTCAGTTGGAATCACCCCTACAGCCGACTGTGCCCGAGCTAACGCGGCCTCCACTTTGATCATTCGACGAACATAGGCGGCATCCGAGAAGACAGCTCGGATCTCTTGCGTACCAAAAAGGTTCCGGAATACCCGGGAGTCCAGAGCGGAGATTGACATGCTGTGCAGAATATCCCCTCCTGAGAAACCTCTCTTTTGATTGCAAGAGAGGGAGTGCTAAAGCATTGCCAGATAGTTCTTGTACTTGTATTGCTGGTGCGGGGAGGCATGACGAGGCTGAACTTGAGCCGAGGCAGCCTTGTGCGGGGGAGCAGAGGAGCAGAGGGGCAGCAGCGGTTGGAGAGAGTGTACTCGGCAGTAACTGAAAAACTGTATCACGTGACGCACCCCTGGCCTCTATCGCCCAGGATAAGTGTTCGAAATCGGTGACAATTCAGTAGAAACGCATCCGAGACTACTGCTGGGAGGGATTCAAGGAAATGCAGTCTCTTGCCCACTGTGATCTTGTTGACCGACTTTTTGGCTTCAACTGACCAACTTCCCTCTGGTCGTTCGTGGGGCTTGGCGCCGAGAACGGGCCAGACTGAGGCCTCAATAATAGTGAATTAGTAGGAGCCTTAGCCGTGGTTATTTATTATTATTGACCAGGCCACAACCTGCGGCAACTGCGCCCCATGCTCCTTCCCGCCTGCTGCCGGTGACCGAGAAAAGAAGTGCAAATTCTGTGGCACTTTTTCGCGACAAATTTCAGCACCTCAACCCTCCAGCCTCACCGCGAGTCTCTGGTCTTCTTCACCTCTCCCTCCAATCATCTCTCACATCGTCAACTCTTTTGGGCCGTCTCATAAACTTCCCAACAAGCATCGGAAAGCCATCCTGCTGTCAAGTCTGACTGTGCGCCCTCTCGAGCTGGTCCTAGCCGTCGATATTCACAATCACCACCCTCTCACCATTCTCTGTCTGCCGGCTGACTCATAGTCCCCAAATCCACCATTGCACCGCCTCATCCCAGTACAAGCCAGTCACTGCCTGGTTCGGCTACGTGGTGGAAGATGCAGTCCAGGCAGCACACGAAGTCTATGCAACCCTCCTGCTGAGCTCCCATCACACACATCCCTGAGAAGCGGATTCTTAGGCTTCGAAACAACTTTTAACATGCCTCCAAAAGCGCCTCCACCCAGGCCTCGTGCTGGCCAACACCGGAGGCCCGCCTACCGGGGCCGTATCGAGGGTCTAGGAAGCCCAGCGCCCAGCTCTTTACGCGCGACCACACCTACGTTTATGCGAGCATCCACACCAGTCTTGACCCGAAAGCCCGGTGCAAAGACCATGAAATGTTCCAATCCTACCTGTCCAAGCCCCCACATCGTCGAAAGCGAACAAGGCCTCATCTGCGACACTTGCGGTGCTGTCGCTCAGGAGGAATCAGGCCTCGTCTCCGAACAAGGATTCGGTGAGACAGAGTCCGGCCGTATTACCGCGTTGGGTGTCCATGTCGGCGAGTCTCAGACTCATCAGCGAACCTACGCCGCTGGAGGTGCCTTGGGAAATGCTGGCCGCGAGCCCACTATCAACCGCGATCGATCCGAAGCACATGCTCGAACTATCATGCTGTCATACCAGTCTCTTCTTGGTGTTAGACTCGCCGAGGTAGAGGCCGGTATGCAGATCTTTAAGCTGGCTTGGGGCAACTCCTTTGTCCAGGGCAGAACCATCGATAGCGTTGCTGTGGTCTGCCTGTATTTGGCATGTAGGCGCAAACACGAGCAAATCCGGAATGAACGCCGGCCCATGTACAGTCTCATGTTAATCGACTTTGCGGAGAAGTTGAATATTGATGTCTTTGCCCTGGGAAAAATGTACTCGGACTTGATCCGCAGACTCTACATGCAGCCTGATGGAAGTATTCAGGGCGATGTTAGCGCGGATCTTTTGGCAATGGGACCAGAAGTTTTGGTCAGTCGGTTCGTTGATGAACTCGAATTTGACAGAGAACATCGGGATAAGATCAAGATGGATGCAATCAGGATTGTTCAACGAATGAAACGAGACTGGATGTCGACTGGACGGCGGCCCTCAGGCGTTTGTGGCGCAGCAGTCATTCTTGCAGCCCGGATGAACAATTACCGTCGCACGACTAGGGAGGTAGTTTTGACGGCCAAAGTCACCGAGATCACCATCAACAAACGCCTTGAAGAATTCCACGATACTGCCAGCAGTCAACTCTCGATCAAGCAATTCAGGGATAACGACATCCTCGACGCTCTGACTCCCGCAGACCCACCTTCATACCAACGAGCACATAATCCCAAGGGAAAGAAGAAGAGAGGTCGACCGAGAAAGCACCCCCTGCCGGAAACTGCTGCTGAGATAGAGGGAGATACCAGCGCACCTGAACCGGCCGGTCCTGAAGAAGCGGACAACGACCAACCTTCGGCCAAACGCGTTCGACTTGATGCCGACGGCTACAAAATCCCAGAAATTCCTGTAAGAAAAACACCACTCGACGCCTCTTCTACTCTCGATAGCTCGGAGGAACCTCATTCGCCTGCCGACGAGGAGTCCTCAGACCTTTCGCAGGAGGGTAGGCGAGCCCCAGAAGCTCGAAACTGGAAGGCGCCTCCTGTGTCTGCAGCTGAACTCGCCATCGAAACAGAAATCGAACATGATGTCCTTGAGGCACTGAGAGACAATCCAAACATTGTCACAGGCCAACAACATGATCGGTCGAGCACATCCGCTCTTATTTCAGAGCCAGAATTATCAAGAGACGACGACCTCGCCGCCATCATCCCTATGACTCCGCCTGGCAAAAACAAAACCCCCGGTCCAGCCGTCGACACGAGCGATGGGAACCTTGGCTATGTCTCGCTATCACCCACCATTCGCCCGGATGAATTCGACTCGGATGAAGACGTCTCGAGTTGTCTGCTCAGTGAAGAGGAATCCCGTATTAAAGAGCGAGTCTGGGTCAGTATGAACGCGGACTGGTTGCGCCAGGATCACGTGAAGCGGATCAAGCGCGAGCTTAGAGAAGCGGAAATGCGAGCACAGGGCCTTGATCCAGCCAAAGAGGCGCTGAAGCAAGCCCAAGCAAGGGGAAAGAGAAAGGATGGGACGAAAAAGCCAGGACGGAGAGGCGATGTAAGCTATTTGAATGAGCGTGACGGAGAGCGCGACAGGGCTGGCGAAGGAGTCGAGGCCGGCGCTGAATCGACCGCTGCAGAACGAGAAAGAAGTGCGGCGGAGTCGGTACGCAAAATGTTCAAGACCCGTGGCGTGTATTCGAGGCGTGTGAATTACGACGTCCTTGACTCGATCTACGGCCTGACTGGTGGTGATAGCCCATCGGATGGGAGCCGCAGCCGCAGCCAGAGTGTCGCGAGCATGGCCCCAGGTCTGGAGCAAGGAGCCAGGGAAGGCAGTGTAGCCAGCACTGTCGCTTCCAACGCAGAAGACGCAGGTATCGGGGTGGGCATCTTCCGCGGCAATGGCGGACGAGATGGAACGCGGCTGCGAAGTAAGGCCTCTGTCGCGGCCGAGAGACGTGAGAGGAAACGCAAAGTTGAGCGTACGAGTCGAGAAAAGGACGCAGATGATGCTCAGGGCGATAGGTCCATGTCGAGAAGCCGGAGTCCGACAACAGCCCTTCCTGACACTGGTGCAGCGAGAGGACAGTCGGCTGGAGACAGTCCTGATGTCCGGCACGGGTCCGAGGCAGCCCCGGAGCAGCATCAACTTGTAACTCCTGAATCGACACAGACCCAAGAGCTACCCTCAGTGTTGTCGTCAAGTACAGCTCCCGTTCCAAGCTCGACGTTGCATGAAACAGCCCCAGAACAATCAGATGGAGCTGGGCACGACGAAGGCATCGGGACAGTCCCCGGTACAACGCCTCGAGGCAATGACGACGAATCCATCAGTCTTTCTCGCCCCCGGGAACCTGAGAACGAGGAGTATTACGACGAAAATGACGACGATGAAAACGAAGATGATGAGGACAGTGATGATGATGGAGAAGACGAGGACGAAGAAGGGGCAGATGTTGAGGCCGCGTTTGAAGGCAGATATTCCGGCGAAGGATGGTGAAGATGCGGCCCGTGATCGGATTCTTGGACTTGGGAACGGGTGAACGCCGCCCTCGTTTGGAAAGAGGGATTTGGGCCACTGAAGATGCGGAGGAGCATAGTCAATGCAGCATTTCCATTTGATTACCGTGCAATTTCCGAGGAGCTACTGAATAAGTTCGTTGGCTTTGTCTTTCGATACAGGATCCGAGCCAGATAGACCCGATCCAACCACATTCACGGGTCCGTCACAAAAAGAGATGAAGAGTACCTTGTCCTCTATCAATTGGGCCTTGGGGGAGCCCTGGCTATACAGATCAATGATAGAGATGAGACTGGGGAATGCTCCTACGTTTGACAGTCCCGATCTCATAGGCTCAACTTATGGACCTTCAGTGAAGCCTATTCTATCGGGCACACACATACACAGTGATGGAATGGTGGGCGGTTGTGGCCGACCGGTCTCGCTCCTCGTATCTTGTTCCTCCGGCTGACCGAGTGACTGACTCGGATTCCCGTTGTTTTCCCTTCCAATGCTGGACCTTCCCTGCCGTAGGCCATGGTGCCACAGCCACACGAAAGAATTCCCCTGCAGAGTGGCAATCTACTCGAGTCGTGTCCGCGGGGCTATTGGTTGTTCTCGCTCCGGCTGCAAGTAGCGGACAGTGACCGGATCGAGAAATCCAAAGCAAACGAACCAGAGCACAGCGTTAGCTCTGCGCCGTGCAGTGTTCTTGTAGTTTGATGGCCTGGCTTTTCGGCAACCCAGCTCGGCGGCTTGCGTGTCATGAAGCCGGCGCCTTGTCAGTACAAGTAGAAAGCATGTATGACAGGCATAGACACTGTTTTATGAAACTTCAACGTTGAACCACGTCCGGTGTCATTGCCACGGGGCCTAAGGCTGAACAGGCCACCGCAGTTTCTGCACCTATTATGGATGACATTTGTCCACCAATGTCAAGCAGTCATGTATCGTCCTCCTCTTTTTCCTCCTCAATGCTGCGACTGCTCAGCGTTTGCCTGTGACGGGGGCCTGAGGTCCCGGCATTGGCGGCACGCATCTGTGACCTGGCGTCTCGCTCGTCCCTGCTCTGGCGGGGAGCATCAGCCGGCGATCCAGTGCCAGTAACCATACCGGCCAAACTCAGACTTCGATTCCTGTCTCGCAAGCTGGGAGCCCGCGGTCTCCTTTCTCCTCTGGCTCGTCCGCCCCAAATGGGCACTTCGTGCCAGACTATTCGGCCGACGTAGTATAGGAGGTCATAGAGGATCGCTATGATCCAGGGTGCGATGTTGATGATCGCGAGGACGAGCTGCAGAATGTGCGGGAAAGGGCCCACTGTAAGCCACAGGTCGTAGGAGATCCGACCACATGTAGATAGGAGTGGCGGCAGAAAGCATGTGAAAAGGTTGGAGGAGTGGGTGACAGATCAGGAGGAAAGGAAACTTACAAAGGCTCGAATAATCCACGTTTCGTATGTTGTCAAATGTGACGGAAGAATCGAATACCATGCCATCGTCTCGAGCGAGAGAATGGACAGTATGCCGTTGGGTGCCCGTCAGAAACCAGGCCTGACAGATCCTCGACAGCACGCAGGTGTAGGTGCAGTTGCGGGAATCACGGCTTCAATGATTGCGCATCTTGCGGATGGATGCAATGGTCGGCAATGGCGTGGCTCGCATCCTTCACCCTTCACGATAATCGGTAATCGGTAGGGCTCACACGGTGGAAAGAGAAACTGCAACTGAGGACATGGACATATGTAACCAAGACAAAAAAACACATGCTGGAGGAGGGCCGCAGTCCCCGCGGTCAACCTCGCTACCTACCTAGGTAATTAATTAGGTACGTACTCACGCCAGTGTTTAATAAGCCGCAGACGGCACCGGTCTCGCGCAGTCTTTAGCTGAGCCTAAGGCCGACGTCATGTGGTGTCGCTCACGTGCTTACTGACCTGGCCTCATGTCAAGCAACCATCCACTCAGCTATGTGCCAGACAACGGTCCCCATCCAAGCATTGAATGTGTCTCGTTTGAAATGATGCATTGATGGGGTCATCTACCTAAGTCCTACGAGAACTCATTGTAAATGTAAATCCCGGAAACAAAGTGAAGCCGCCCTCTCTAAATGCGCGACAAAAACGATAAAACGATTGAATGACTTTCCTTCCGCTAAACACACCCACCTTTTCTACTTTGTCACAAGCATCTTCCTTTTCTTGCAAAACATTTGAATCCAGCAAGATCACGTTAGAAAACACGCCGCCATTTGCAGCCACCTCCGACATAAAGAGTAAAAAGCGGACAACCGGATCTTCGAGTCAACGCCGGTTGTTTGGCCCATAATGCGTACAAGGCTCACCTGGAGCTGGTGGCCTACCGTATGACGTAGCGACCATGTCTCATGTCGTCGTCTCTCATCAAGTCATGATCCTGCGCCTCTTCGCAGGCGTTGATGCCTCAGGGGTTTCCGGATGATTGGGAGCCCGCATGCGCTGCACCGGCGTTACACCTTTGTAGTGGGATGAAGTATACGGAGATGCATGAGCTTTCCGCTTGCGTCGAGGTGCAGGGGTTGCAAACGGTGAGCTGAAGAGGTCCATCTCCCGGAACGAGGGCGTGTTGTTAAGGGCGGCAAACGCTGGGTCTGCGTTACGCCGGAAGGCCGTCACATTGTTGTTGTTGAGATAAGCAAATTCGTTGTTCACATTGCCCAGGCCCGAAAGTTCGCGGCTGGGCGGCATATAGAGCGGCGAGGTCGGGGCCTCACTGTCGTCCGTGTCCTCATCAAACTTGATCACGTCGGTGAGGTTGATGACGTCCTCGCCAATATCTTCATCTGGTTGAAAATTTTCTTCCAACTCGTCTGGGTCAATCGCGAAGTCCCCAAACAAAAGATTGCTGGAAGGATAAAAGGCTTCCAAGGGACCAATGGCCTGGCCAAGGTTTGAAGGATCACTGATGGCAGAATTGAGACTGGCCAGCATGATATCTGCGTTTTGGGGGCCAATGAGGTCGCCGGCCTCACGTTCGCCAGTGTCGCTCTCGTCGATGAGTTCAGCAAAGCCTACGTCAGGACTAGAGGTCTGAGATGCTCCATAACGACGAGCAAATTCTTCCCCAAGCAAATGAGGATTTGTCATGAGAATAATCTTGCCAGAAGGGTCCAGAATTCCAGATGTCTTCGTTCCTTCATCAATGAAGATACCACGACGTGGACCTCGGCGACGAGGGGACTTCTTGACTGGCGGGGTGACCGACGGTGACGATTCTCTCGGTACCTGGGTGGTAGTCGGTGTACTTTGTAGAGCCTCTTCAGGCAGACAATCGTCGGTCAGATCAGCTGCAACGTGTTAGTCTCCAGGGATATGGGTAGATTAAGACACGACCTACAATCATCGAGATCCTCGACCAGCCCCCGGGAACGTTTGTCGGAAGTAGGAGTAGAGAATCCGAGCTCGGGAAGCGCCGAGGGAAGCAATGGTCGGGTCATAGTAGGAGATTCTGACAAGGGTAAGAAGACCGAGCGATCACTCTCTACCGCAAAATGAACACGTCTTGAAGGAGCAGCTTCAGTCCCGCTGTCGCTACCCTGAGAGGAGGGAAAACGGTAGATGGTAGCATCACTGTCGTCACCGAAGCCATAGGCAGAGAGTCCGTCAATCTGGTTGAGCAAGAAGTCCGCATCGCTGTTGTCTTCTTCCGAAAGCATGGCCAGAAGTTCTTGTTCCTCAATGCGACTATCATCCAACTCGTCCTCGGAGTCGCTGATATCGTCCACCGCCTGGTACACCTCATCATTGTCATCATCCAGCTCTGCAAAGATCTGGCTCTCGAAAAGTTTCCTGTTCTCTTCTGGAGAGATGTTGGGGTTATCACCCTCGTCCTCGTACAAATGTTCGTAGTCACCAAACATACTGTCCGTACTGCCAGCAATCGAGAAACCACCCCTAGAAGCCGACCGGATATTGCGCCCCGCCCCGTTCAAGGTTTGAGAACGAGACGGGGCTGCAACTGCTGGCAGTTCATCTTCATCATCCGAGTCGTCATCGCTGTCTTCTCCCGAGGCATCATCTGCGGTGTCCGACCCAAACGAGGACGAGCTCTCCTCCTCCGAGGTGCTGTCGGCTCTTCTGCGGCTGGCAATAACTTTGCTGGTAGCTGGGCGCTGTTTACGGAATGGTTTGTTTTTCTTGCCATTGGGCAACTGGTATGTATCATTCGGGTGTTCTTTCGACTTTGAGAATTTTGGCGCGGAGCCCAGCATAGGCTGGCGTCCACGAGAAGTGCGAGTGTAAAGTCGTGACATGGTAATGTAATAAGATACAAGGCTGAAGTAATTTATCGAATAGTAGATGGGCGGCTGGTAGAGGTATGTCGTGGGAAGGAGGAGTGAAAGAGCGGGCGGATGGTCAGCCTAGAGAGGGGGAAGTCGTCCACGGCACCTTCAGTCGCTGAGGACGAATAGGTGCTTGTTAGGGTTTTGAAAAGTGCAATTCCGAGGCGGGTAGTGAGGAGCTCCTATGCGGTAGAGCCTCGAAAGAGTAGATATCGAATCGAGGAATTGCTTGGGCTGCAAGAGAGAAGAGGTCGAGAGGCCCCGAAAGGGAGCCTCTCGAGCCGTCTAGAATGCAGCGAAGGCCATGAGCAAATGAGATCCTCGAACGATATGTATACAGGTGTGTGTATTGGAGCTCTAAGCCTGGGTTATTGCACTGCGTTAAGATGGTGGATGGGTTGGTTGTAGGAGGAAGAGAAAAGAGAGAGGAGAGCAGAAAAAGGCCGTGATACAGGTGAATTATTACTGCTGCAGCTGCAGTCTCCGTCCTGCAGTCTAGTGAGTGGTCTGCCTGCAATGACGCCTCCCCACTTTACACCGCCTTTCTCATCAGACCCTTCTACAGAGTACACCGTACAATTCTCGCCCTATATTAGCTACGTATGCCCTTGTTACTGGTGCACTAGCACACAGCGACTCACAACTCGACTGCGGCCACGACTCATTGTCGACAATTGACTCATTCTGGTCACATTGCCGCTGTTCTCCCTCCATCATGCTGCCAGACCGAGACCGAAAAAAAATTCCTTGAAGCGGAACCCCTCACGTGCCTTGCAGATGGCCCGCCAATCAGAGAGGCCGCCCGCCAAATCTGAGTCAATCTCAAACCGAGCCCCTCGTGGATCCTTTCGTTGCGGCATCAATGTTGCTACGTCAGCCCAAGGCCATTATTACTACTAGCCGCTTGAATGTCATCTTAGTGACTCCGTAGTCACCTCCCCATCTGTCTGGCTTTGAATTGTCATTGATACAACCCGAAAGGGAGCAGCTCGAAGAAAAAAGAGGCATACAAGTTTGGTTCATCAATGGGTCGAACAGGTCGCCGGCATTCATACGCTCAATCAAGATAACGAAAAAAAGGGCACTGTAAGCTGCCTGTAGGGAAAAAAGAGCACGGCGATACAAAGTAGACAACCCCACACTCCTGCGCTGTTCCTCTCTGATTCGGGTTAGCCAGTCGTTTCTCATCGCTCATCCCTCGTTCTTTCGTACAGTTTCAAGATCCGATCGAGATCGATGCAGCTGCTCAAGGGACCGTAGTTGGCGGAACAATGACCGGGTCCGCTGATTTTCCCGCTGCGGCCCCCTTGATGGCATCGGCTTCATCAATCCCAGCTTTCACCTCTTCCATCGATGCTCCCTTTTCTGCCGTGGTTGTGGGAACTTCCTGAAGATGCTGAGCCTTGTATTCCGCATCGAGCTGGCCCACTTCCTCTTCGGTAAGCTGTCGCTCTTTTTCCAGTCTAACTTCTCTGCCACGTTTGTGACAGTACCAGAAGACGAACAGCAGTACTAAGAAATACATCAGTCATATCTCAAAAGAATGAGTCATAGAGGGTAGAACTCACCGAAAAGAGCGAGGGACCATAACACATTTGCTCCCATAAAGGCTGGAAAGCGGGCTCGCAAGTAGTTGATGATAGATCTTAGCAGGCCGGCGATGGCTGCAGGCTTTCCCGTCAGCTCCTTCAATGAAGGCGTCTTGATTCCCAACTTGGAGGCTGCTGCGGCCGCCTTTCCCGCAGTCTCCATGTTTACGCCACTTTTCTGCGCTCTCTCTGCCGCCGCAGCCATGATTTCAGGAGCGAATCCTTTGGTCATGGTTTCGGGCAACTTCTCAATCAGTTTCTGTAGGAAGCTCGGCAGCGAGTTGAAGGTCTTCTGTAGTTGTCTGTCCCCGTTTGTTAAGAGTGACTCGAGATCATCATATGCCGTCGGCCCGCCTTGGACCAAATCTTTGAAAACCTGATTGAACTGCTGCAGGAGGTCTTGGGTTTCCTCACCGATTGAGAAAACCCTGTTATTGACAGCAGCCAGATTCAGTCGCTCAAGCACAATAGTCATGTCTTCTTCCTCCCGCTTGAGCTCTTTCACATCATCGCTGTCATCCGCATCGGCTTTCTTAAGGCTTTGAGCAATGCTATCCAGTCCCGCCGCAGTAGCCTCATGCTTCTGCTGCGTTGCCTCTCGACTGTCCCGTCTCAGCCAGCTCCAGGTGGTGTTTGATTTAGATCTGCTCCCTTTCGCCTCTGACTTGTCGTGGTCCAGGACTACTGTGGACGCTTCCGTGAGTTCATCGGGCGTCTGAGGTAGCGGGATATTCTGGGCGCCGTCCATGAGCGCAATCTGGGCGTCATTGACTTGCGCCTCCAGGTAAGTCCGCGCTGGGAGCGGAGGTGGATTCTCCTGAGACGTGATGCGATTGAGGAATTGTTCATCTTCTTCAGAAAGGACTGGAATGTCAGCCTTGCGTGATGTGGCTATGTGCGCCTTTGCCTTGATGTAATTGATGTATTGCATGGCCATGGCGGCAATCTGACAGGGAGTTAGTTGTAGTCGTTCTACAGTAGGGCCCGGCTATGGCTTTTGCGTCGTAGAAAGGATGATTGAATGTAAGAGTCAAGAACAGTATCGTCTTAACAATATGGATGAGATAGTGTCCAAGATACGACTGTAGAACCAGGTGTTGGTCTTGCGGAGGGAAGTGACTGCTGCGCCACACAACGTCATAATGTTGAGGCACGCCAACACACCCCTGCACTCTATATCCGTTACGTCTCTCGTGATAGAAGGAACCAGCCTGAAAGGACGAATGACCAGAGGCAGTTGTTAGCATATGACACCCACACTGGAGAATAGCTGGGGACGAGAATATGCATAGCCCGTAGAAATGTTCCTTCAATGCCAACCATCCTGCAGCCACTGTTAACCAAGTCATTCTAGTAGAAGAGGATTTGGAAGGCATCGTCGTCGCTGAGTTTAGCGATGATGACCGTTCAAGGGCAAATGAGGTTTGTCGTGAAACAACTACCTTACGCTCTCTGGTACCCAGTGACCATAACGCAGTGAGCGTTGTGCAAGTGTCTTCACTAGACTTCACCGCCCTCGCGCATGTTTACGCGTCTTCCTATTCATCACTCGCCTTTCTCTCACAACATAATCTCCGGGTTTATCCAAAACTCATCGCGTTTACTTCTGAGTTGAATGTCATTTTTCACCAAGATCTGTTCAGACAAAGCTCCTAGATAAAGGTTCAAACTAGACATGGCTCTTCATGCTGACTGCCTGGTCTTGCCGTCGCAGGAGATAGGATCAGAACGATTCTATCAGCGTAAGACTGGTGCTCCGTCAGCTGTTCACCACCAGAGCGACGTTCCCCTTCCCTATTTTGCACATCAACAACTCGACCCTAGGTACTTTCCAGAAGGTAAGCCAACCCAAAGCTGTGTTGGTCATGCGACCGCAGCCAACCAAACTCTGATGTATATAGAGATTGGCCTACCTGTTGGGGGCCCAAAATCGCCAGGTGAAGGAGGAGATCAGGCATGGGAAGATGATGACAGTGATGCGGCGGCGGATGTCGAGTCTGACGCAGACAATGACTTATTCCTGGAGGTAAGTGAATCTTCAGAGGCTGGGTTCGTCGAGCCTTCAATGTTAACTAGACTGATAGAACACGACCAAACCCAAACCTCGTCGCAAGTCTAAACCCGCTGCCAAACTTGCTGAGGCTGCAGATGTCAAGCACTTGAAGATGCCTGGAGGCCGTCCAGCTGTTGCAAAGAAGGTCACAGCTGATCTGGATTCTGACGATGAGATAATCGTTCGCATGAAGGAGGCTCACTTCTTGGAACGAGATATCGCACAGGCCCTCATCGATCAAGGTCGTACAGCGTACAATCCAAAGACAATTGGAACTCGCTGGAGACGTCTGAAAATGGCATTGCAGAAGAGACAGGACGAATTGCTGGATGCAGACCTGACTGACTGGCACGACGGCGATGTAGGTAGCGGTGACCGGTGGCACAAAGAGTAACAACTGACAATCATAGGACGATGTTTTAGTTCAAGCGGTTCTCAAGGCGGACAAGGAGACCAAGAAGGCGATCGAAGATGCAGAAGCAAGAAAGTGGCGCATCGTGGCCGACAGAATGAAAACCGTCAAGGTTAGTTCCCGGTCTCACGGTTGATGGCATTGTTGCTGACCATGTTGGGATACAGCCCGTTCTCAACTTCTCGCACAAGGCTTGCCGTGAGAGGTATGAGGCACTGATGAATGGCACCGCCAAACCAACTCCTGAGTCCATTCCGAATCCGACCCCCGACATTGTCGAACGCATTCAGTCACGAAAGGACAAAGAGCGCAAGATCGCCCAAGACCACCACATGGGCACAAATGAGAAGGAGAATGTGCAGGCCAATGGGTGGACTTCGAGGAGGCGCACTTATTTCTAGATCGACGAGTCGCGCTCGTTATTAGGATATCCCTTCATTCATCTGGCGCCGACGTCCGCACGCAAGGATCAGAACGGACGACTTGGCAGGAATATCCAGATTACGACGACTGCTACGGTTTTGATTGCCCTGGTTGAGAGGCCTGCGTAACTGCTGGCGCCTGACTGGAAGGGTGCATCCGCTCTGGTTGGAGGTTGAGCGCAATTGAGCCTTTGACACCTAGGGCATAGAGGACCGGCAGTATCATGTGAGGGTACAATCAGACGAAGAGCTTTTCTGCGACACTGGATGAGGCAGCGCAGAGAGTCATGAGCAAGCAAGCGGCTATTAGTACTACGGAGCACGTACTTAATTCTGCTAAACACGCGTCTCAACGCGTGCGAACTAGTAGTATGCGGATGACAATATTAATAGCGGTCAGCTGACCTGTGTCAACAATGATGTTGCTCGCATGACGTTCAACACTCGACATTCGACAACAGATGTTTCTCCCTCGATAGCACAGGACAGTATTCCGTACTAGCACTCGTCTGCAGTCTGTCCTGACTCCGCCTCCTTGCCCTGGCTACTACTCGACTCATTAACCAATAATGCAATGCAATCTAAAGCATGAGTGCCTGGAGATAGGCACAGCCAAATCCATTCTGATTCGACCACGCATCCTCGTCGCCATGGCTGCCTTCGCCAAGGCCCCTCCAGCCGCCTTGCGCAACGATATATCTTCCGTGCAATCGTTCATCTCTTCCTCTTCTTCTTCTTCTCCTTTCTTCACGCACCAGAGCAGGCAAAGCTAACGCGCGTTCGGCCATCTTTGTTCGCAGAGACCCGAACCGTCAAGTTCTCTCGTGTGATTTCCAATCGGCTGTTGGCTTCTTCTTTGATGAGGCTGGCAGGCGAGGAAGTCATTCAGAGGACTTCGCAGCTCCCACATCACATGAGTACCTCTCGTGAATCAAGCGTCACTCTCCTCGCAAACCTATCACGCTCTCTACTACTCCCATAGGTTCTTCAGCCGCTCTTTCGGTCTTCCTTCCTTCGCTCGTTCGTCGATCGTGTACTTTGACAACTAATCCATGCGCTCCTTCGACGCGATGTTCAAGCGATCTTTCAACACCAGGGATGGTCGCGTCGTCAAGTTGAAGACCACAAAAACTACATATCCCGAACATGTGAAGAGGAAGATGCAGGACACTGTGGACGGCGATTCGTCGGTGGCGAGGTAAGCAGCCACGGTCCGACTCCTATGTGATTGTACTGACCATCGTAGTACACTGACGAGTCCCATTGCCACTCTTGTGGTGGGTCGTGAACAGCGCTTGTTCGCTGCGCACGAGGACGTCCTCTGTCATTCACCCTACTTTGCCGCCGCCCTGAAGGGCAAGTTCCTGGAAAGCGGTTCGAAGAGGATGGAACTGCCTGATGAAGAACCCGAAATCCTGTCTTGCGTCCTCGAGTTTCTCTACAAGGGCGACTATTATCCCCGTTTGATGCACAACAAGCGCCGAGATACCTGGGATCTGGAGGACGCACAGGATCTGAAAACCGGTGGTCGCGGAAACAGCGCATCGACAATGTATCTCTCCGGTGTCAGCGGTGATATCTTGAGGGATACCGTTGTGTACTGTGCTGCCGAGAAGTACGGTCTGGAGGAGTTGAAGCGATTGTCTCTCCGGAAGCAAGGACTTCAATCCGGAATCCAGGTCGACGTGATCTTGCGGTCTGCTCGGTACGCATATCAGCACACGCCCGACACAGAATCACGCCTCCGCGCTCATTACCTAGCTCTGATCATTCGAAGTCGCAAGACTTTTAAGAGGAGCGGAACCATGCAGATGGAAATGGAGAATGGGGGCAAATTGTTTTTCGACCTGTTTGTGGCCATGTGCAACCACATGGATGACATTGTCGAGATCAGGTAAGAGCAGATGTGCTTGCGTCAAGTTGACCCGCAGTCTTATGAACAGTGCTCACCTTCCACTCTCTACAGCAATAGCCGCTCTCCCAAGGTCATCTAAGAGGCTGCCACTTGTTGCAACGGGGCGACGATCTGGCGATATGATGTGAGATGGGGCAGATTGTCTACCAGACAGTTGGATAACAACAGCGAGTCTTTGGAATCGTCAGCTGCTTTGATTGCAGTAACACTCCACTTCATCCTCGAGGTTGGCCGACGAATTACTGGTTTATCGCAAACCCTACTCTTTCTAATGACCCTTTGGCGCAATCGGCTTTCCACTCATTCATTACTTCTCTCTGGGAGGGAAGAACAGGAAATGATCAAAACACACAGTATGCGGCTACATTCGCAACTCTTTTGTATTGATTGCTTTCTCGACTCTTGGTCGACATCTGCCCATATGGCGAAGCTATTTCATTTCGATCCTGTTGGGTCGAAATCGAAGCCTCTTAATGAGTCAGAATAGGAAATGAGAGATCCGGCCACCTCATAACGTGCAGCTTTTCCTTGATCTTAACGTGTCGTCTCTCTGTCTCCTGTCTCTCCGATGTGACCTACCAGTGAAATGAGGCATGTGAACGACATTGACTGATTAGTCCCACATCGTACGATCTTCTCATCCGCCTTCTTACTTCACCTTCAAAATCCATCGAGAGGAGACATCTATCTTTCTCAAGCAAGCTCTTAGTTTCAACCTTTGTTTGATCTTGCCTCCTGCTTTTTCATCCATTCTTGGACTTCATAACGGTCGCCCCTACAATCTCGCACTCACACTCAGTCGCGCGACGCTCCGACAACCTTCCTCCCCGGCGCTTGACTATCTTACGCAACCCACTAACAATGGTACTCTCTGAGAGAGGATGGAATGCTTCTGAGCGCAAACGCCGGTTTGAGGAAGACCTAATGTTTGTTTCAGACGAGTCGACCAAGAACGAAACTCCGGAGCGTCAACTCTTTAACCCTGATCGTCCACCACGCCTGTTACCACGGAAAAGAAGGCAGACGCTGGTGAGCGTACCATCAACTTCATCGACTCCGACACGGTCGTTTGCTTCACCCTCGTTTGCTTCACCCTCGTTTGCTTCACCCTCGTTTGCTTCACCCTCGTTCGGATCACCACGACGCAAGGTAGCACCCAAAGTCAAGACGGAAGAGGAAGTGACAGCCCACGCATGTCTGCAAGAAAGACCGATGGCAGAGCGAGTCAAAATCTATGTTGGGCCCAAGAATAGGGTGTTTACGGTGGGATTACAAGACCTGGACAAGTCAACGGTGCTAAAATCACTGATGAACCAAGATACAACGGAGGGTGCGTACATCATGCATCCGGAGCTAACAAAGATCAATGCGGATCATTTCCAGTCTGTCTTCCAATACCTCCTCATGGATGAATATGTGCCGGCCATCACAAGCAACCCAGACGGTCCCGACAGGCTTCCCAAGCAGCTCGACGGGCTGACGACAGCGGAGGACTATCAAACGGAGGCACTGAGGGCCGGCCGTGTATACGTGATCGCCAAAGGACTTGGAATGGCAAGCTTGCAGGATTTGATCCTACGGAAGATCACGGAGGCCCAGTACCAGCCATATGGGATCAAGTGCCACCTTGACCTAGCCATGGTTGTTTTCTCAAGACCGGAAAAGAGTGAATTGCTGAAGGGCAAGATCAACATGAGCCCGGGTGAGGATGCGCTGGAGGATTGGCTGGTGGAGTCACTGAAGGACCGGTTGCAAGCGATGCTCATCCACCACGCGAGGCTGTTTTTCCAGGTTGCGAACCACGGCGCCTGCGCCAAAAGGGGCTTCGGGACCAGAATATTCAGGCGCAAGGTGGAAGATTGGGAAGAACTTGGAGGGGAAGTGGTGGCCATCGAAGACGACGAGTGAGAGACAGCTTGGCACGGTTGGGCACAGGGTCACCCTGGGGGTTGGGATCTTAGCGCAGGCGATTTATCTCTTGGACTGACAAGGCTGATGTGGACATTCATCGGGAGATGCTTTCTCCGTACATCTGGCTCTTTTACGGAGCTGGACACATACGATCTGCAGCATTGCAGCCAGGAAGTTAGGAGACCTGACCGCAGTATTAGGTCATCGATCTCGGCTTCAAAATCTACGTACCTGGCTGGTGCGGGTAGGCTGGTGCGGGTAGGCTGGCAAGCTGTACTCTGTAGAGTTAGTTTTCCTATGACGCTTGAAGTTGGGGTCACCAGGGTTAACAGTGGCATCTCGGCATCGCTGCCTTTCCATCGGATTTTCTTTCAACCTCGGTTCAAACTCCCGTCGTTTGCTTCCCCATTCTGTGATGACAAGGTGAGGGCTTGGTTGACTTTACTCTCCTACAATGCTTGTGCCATCCCTCCAATCATTAAGCCTCCTAGTGGGCCAGCAGATGCGGCACGGCACAATGGGCGAGTCAGAAACGATTGACATCGACACATCCGCTGTGCAACACTTGAGTTTCGGACATACTCGAGTCACTCAGGCGCACCATGACCCCTCTTTTGCAACATGAGTTGTGTGTAATGACAGGGCAGCACCGGTGGGTTTGATTGTTCTACCTTCTGAGCCTCTCCTCTTTGACTTTTTCTTTCGCCCAGTATCCCATCCTTTGAAGTTGCCTTGTGGCTCTAGATTTGTGACCATGAGTGAACCGGCTCCAACCTTCGATATCCCCAAGGAGTGCTGGGGTGGAGTTGTGGTATGTGACGGCAAGGGCTGAGAGCAGGGCCAGAATGCGTCTGACCAGATCCAACAGAAAAATGAAGGCCCTGACTTCTACGTGGAGGTCGAGAAAGTCCCTGTACCGGAAATCGGTATGGACCTATTCCACAACCTTGGACAAGACACGGACCGCTGACAAAGGTGGCCGGCTTGCAGGACCCCAAGATGTATTGATCAAGCTCAACGCGACAGGCATCTGCCTGAGCGACATTCACTTCATGCTGGCCGACTGGAATCTACCTAAAATGTCCGAACTGGGAACCAAGTGTGCAGGTCATGAGGGCGCTGGTGTCATTGTCAAGGTTGGCGAAGCAGTCAAGACCCTCAAGGTTGGCCAGCGGGCCGGCTTCAAACCCATTCAAAACGTCTGCCATACGTGCGAGTATTGCAAGACCGGCCGGGAGACGTATTGTCTGAAGGCCGTTTTTACCGGAGCTTTCTGTGATGGTACTTACGGTCTCGCCACGCACCCGTTGTATCTTGGTTGACTCTCACAGGTTCCTATAAACAATACGTCGTCTCTCCCGAGAATTATACTACTGTAAGTGGTGTCGTTGCGCTGCTCAAGAGAATTGTTCGGCTGACAACTTTGCTCATAGCTAATTCCTGATGTGGGTTTTCATGATGCAGCAACTGGAGCAGCGAGGCATTGACTATTTCACAGGGAGTGTCTGACCACGTTGCTGGCCCAGTCATGTGCTCTGCTTCTACCATCTACTCGTCCATCAAGGAGTCGGGCCTCCAGCCAGGCCAATGGGCTGTCTTTCCCGGCGGCGGCGGCGGTGTCGGTATTCAAGGTGTGCAGTTGGCCGCTGCTATGGGCATTCGACCAATTGTGGTAGACACGGGCGAGGAGAGGCGGAAACTTGCCTTGGGCCTGGGCGCCGAACACTTTGTGGAATTCAAGAACGGCGACCCGGTCAAGGAAGTGGTGGAGCTGACGGGAGGAGGAGCCCACGGAGTATTCGTGACTGCTGTCCAGTCCTACCCCATTGCACTAGGCTACCTCGGTGCTCGTGCAGGAGCTCAAATCATGTGGTGAGCAGAGATGTGCTCTCAGGCTTGTCGAGGCTGCGATGCACGCAGTTTGACTAACTTGACAACAGTATTGGACTCCCTCCGCGTGGCAAATACCACATCGACTTGGATCCCACTCCTCTCATTTTCCGAAATCAGTCCATCAAGGGAACCTTGGTTGCCAGCCTGGCGGATATTGATGCGACTTTGGACTTCGCCAAACGAGGTAGGTGTCGCTGTCTATCAAGAGGCGCAAAGGTGCAGCCTAACTGGTGCAGGCAAACTTCGTCTAGAACCGACGGTGGTGGGGCTGAGCCAGTTCAACGAAGCGGTGCAGAAGCTCAAGAATGGACAAGTGGCAGGGTACGTCTTCGTCTTCGCTCTTGGTTTACAGGAGCACAAGGATAATGGCTAACTGGATCAGGCGTATGGTGGTCGACTTCAACTTGCCGTAACAGACAAGGGAAGGAGGGCATATGGCATACCCTCTTCGGGGAGTCAGAGAGAAGGCGAGGATGCCAATCAAGGAGGGCGATGCGAGTGTGTAGGAAGCCATACATGCAGCCCAATCTGTGCGATGGTGAAGAGTGGTAGTCGCTGTACAAGTGGCAGGCTTAGGCTTGGAAGGCCCCTGCAGTAGCTGGTGCCAATCAAGAGCAGCTAAGCACCATCTCGCCTGGTGCGCCGCATGCTGCCGAAAATAGACGGGCTGCAGGACGCGGTTGGTGCCAATTGCAGCCTCCATTACGCGCCGACCTCATGGCCGCATCATTTTGCCTTCTCTCCCGCTCTCTTGCTCACACGCTTTCTTTCTCTTTCTCATCATCTCCCTTGTCTCTGCGCCGTGCTCCCTGCAGTCTTGTGTCGATCCACCCTCTCCAGCTGTTCCTGTCCCATTGGCTCGCCTTCGCTAATCCTCATCCACGGCGCTTTGGAAGATGTGATAGATCTCATGTACCTCCGTCACTTTCTATCTTAGGCCGCTAGACGCCTGCCATGGCCAGCTCTGCTTGCGCCGTTCACCCGGGTTGGCCTGCTGCGCGGCCTGGAGAGGAAGAGAGATGAGAGGGGGGAGGGGAGTGGAGGAAAAGGACAGGAGAGAGCAAACAAGTCGCCTCTTAATTCGTTATCCCCGGATCTGTCGCCTGCTGGGCCATCATGTTCATTGATTTCCTGGCCTCATTCCATCTCTCTTGATCTTTCCGTCTTTCTCTTCTGCTGTCCTTTAGCTGGTCTATCGTTGACATTTTGTTTTGGAGTCTACTGGTCGCCGTTTTGTCGCTGTGCGTTCACTACGTTATCCCCTGCCTGCAACTTTCCTATCTTCACGGTTCCTGGCGCAGCAGGACTGCTCCTTTCCCTCCACTTACTACTCGGGATCCCTCTACTACCACCGGCTCGACTTGATTCTCAAACATGGCGACCAACATGCATGGCTTTTCGCTTTTTCCGAGCACTGTTCCCAAGATTGCGATGCCGAACCCCCACAAGAAAGCCCCGAGCATGCATCGGATCAGCTTGATTACATCGCCGGAGAGCACTCTGACGGCAAATGGGGAATCGACCGTCATAAAGATGGAGGATAAACAGTCGCCGGTTCCTTGCCTACCAAGCCATCCGAATGAGACCAAAGATGGTACGCTTTCACCTGAAAATATCGGCCGAGCGGTGACCACGATGTCTCCCATTGATGGCAGAACCCCTACGCAGCTGCCACACGGCCGAGCCCCCAGTCCAGCTGCAGGCACTCGGCCTCTCATCCATACCGCAAGATATTCTCCGTCGATTTACCAGTCCCCAGTTCCCTCCCATTCGTCTCCCGAAGCTTCATTCTCGACGGGATCTGCTTTTGCAGCCACTCTTGTCCCAACCGCCCCTTCAACAGCCGTCGGAAAACCGGTTAATAACAAAACGCCCGTAGACCCTTCTCCGATTGTGCCTATTCGCTCCATGTTTCCGACTTACGATCCTTCACTACCTTTGCAGCAGCAGGCATATGTCCCTCAACCACCGCTCCCCGCAAGGCTTTCGGGACTGCCAGGTTTTCGGCCCATCCCCAGAGACAACTATCGCAGTAGCTTGTCGGTGCCATTCGCAATACCCACTCCAAGGACGGCGCCGGCAAGTGTTCTCAGTTTCCCATCGGACGCTATGAGCGTGAATATTGGACCGCGGATATCCACGCAACGGGAGCTGGAGAAGCTGTGGGAGGCGTCTCACGGGGCCGAACCGGGCTTCGCGATTAGACCTTTTGATCTTGAGATGGCGCGGTATGTTACTTATTTGCATTTCCGATGGCATTGCCATGTGATTCTCCAAGCGCTGACGATCTGTGAGCAGCACTGAAGAAGCTACGTTCGTCTTTGGATCTCATCCCTCGCTTCCTTTCTATACGCTGCAGACGTACGACTCCAACGAAATCGCCATTTCCAAGACCTGCCCTCGAAACCCGGCTTCTACACAAGACGTGGTCCTTTGTCCGCTGGAGCCGGCCCCCCGAAGACAGTCGCCCAACGATGGGCTGGTGGCCTTCATCTTCCCCAAACTCGCCGCTATGATGGCAATCAACCAATCTGCCTCCCTCGCTCGCGAACATAACCTAGCCCCTACAGATCGTGACGACATCGAAGCCCAAGCTGTCCGCCGTGCCGCGAAGCAGGAGGCCTGTCGTCTGTACTTCAACGTTCAGGAGGGATTCTACGAGCTAGAGCACCCTGCGATTGGCCGTGACGCTATGGGAGGAGATTTTGCCATCAAATCCCCTGTCTCGCCTCCTCCAACCACCGTCCGCTCTCGGATGGGGCAACCTGTACTACATATCACCATTTCCACAGACAGCCCGCTCCCAACCATCCAGCTCATTGACCCGAATGTCGCTCATCGATCGAAGGCAACGACACCGATGACCTCTGCGGGTACTGGTCTTCGCCATCTCTCCACCATTCCCCAGCCTGAGACAACGTCACCTTCGCAACACCCACCCCTGGCAACGCTTGATCTGACCTCACAACTTTTGCACGTTGATGCCAATGCCATTCTGGAACTCATGCCCTCACTCTTCAGCATCGACTGCATTGTCTCGGCGATCATGGCTGTCGCTATCAGCGATGCCACGACCAATCCCGCAATGGGTTCAATGGAGATTTGGAAACCGCGGCCGGTACCGGCATCACGTCTGGGGGTAGGTGGCAGGGGTTTGCGCGACGGCATACGCGCGGGCAGCATCAAGAGTTACGCAGGTAGTGTTTTCTATGCGACGATTGCGGAGAGGGAGGAAGCAGAGGAGGAGGCGAAGCTTATGCGAGAGGCGCACGACAGAGACATCCGGGGGTCTTCATCGAAAGGAAAAGGCTCGCGGACGTGGTTTGGCTTCCGGAAACAAGGCGCGAGCGAGTCGGACGAGAGCAAGAAAAGGTCCAAGACGAAGAAGATAGTCGTGTCCGAATTTGACCTCGAGAAACTGGGTCACTATCAGTCTGGCGATCGCGAGGGCGACGAACTACCTGCTGTCACCCGCTCCGCCCTGAGCATGCTCGTCGTGGGTCTCAAGTTGCTGGTATGGGTCTTGACCATGATCGCCCAGGTTCTTGCCTGGGTGCTGGTCAATGTGTCGCGGGTTGTTACTAGCGACAAATTCTAGACCTCAGACTAGAGAGCACGACGACGGAGGTTTCGTTTTGCCTGGCATGTTACCAGAGACAATAATACGTGGACGGCGGTATATAGAAATCCAGTTGCAGGCGGGTAAACAGGTACATAGGCCGCAGGTCAAGTGTCAAGCACAGTATCGGGCTTGGGCCTACTTTTTCATTCATATATGTCCGCCTCTTATTTCCAGTCTAGGTTCTAAGACTTGTGGTGTCAGGACTAATTAAATCTTTGTTGTGAATAGCGCTCGCCGACTTTACTATATTCACTTGAGCACTCTGAAATACTGCCTCACCTCCATTCAATCAGCCTTCGTTCTATTGTAACCCGCTTTGGGCATACTATTGTTCTCCTCCCTCCTGACCATCACCACTTCAGCCTGCTACGAAATGGCTGCATCAACTCCCATCCCACTGATGCGCCGCACAGATCATCTTCGTCCTTTCAGTCACTCCTTCACGGCCGTCTCAGTTATCACGCGTTCGAATCTTGCGGTCTTGACCTCAACCATCTCTCGCAGTTGGACCAAAATAACAGTTCAGCAAATAGTGCGCACGGCCGAAGTTGGATATTCTAATGAACATGACCAACATGGAACAGGCCTTTGAGCCACCCCAAGACGATGGATCAGGATCTGACAGTGATGAATCCTTCACATCATCTTCAGACATGTCAGAAGCCATAGGCACCGAAGAACAACTCCTTGATGAGCACGAGTCTTGTTTGTACACGCTTACTCTCGATGCCGAGACACTTATTGCAGCGCAACCTAGGGCTACTCAGCTCCATCTCACGACTCAGACTAGAAAGCTTTTCAAGGACTACAAGCAGCATGGTTCAATGGCTCGGCTCCAGGTCGGAGTCGAGAAGCTTCTGGCTGCAGATCCTGACGAGGAGAACATACGGTTTCAATGGCCAAAAGATGACAAGGCTTCAGGGAGGCAAGGGCCAAACTCTGGCCGACCCGCTCATTACGGCCATGCTTGGATGATCAACTACACCGAAGATGACGACGAGTACAAAACGTATGGCAGAATACCATGTCCATCTGACACAGTCAACAACCCACTCTTCCCAGATTTGAAGCCACACCTCCATCCACTGCGGATTGTTGACCCAGAGTCGATCCCTTACGTTACCACCCTTCCCTGGAATCCGCTGGCAACCACTCTCACCTGGCCAGCCAATCTCCAGTGGCCGAGAGGGCTGCTCGGCAAGATCAACACGATCCTGAGCATTGTCGACTATGAATCTCGCGTCCGGCTTTTCCATCATGTGTCGAGATATGGGCCATCGCCAGTCTTTCGAGCCGGTATTGCACAGCACGTCCGGAGCCATTATTCGACCATTTTCCAGACTGCAGAGCAACACTATCTAAGTCTCACACCCGAAACCCGGTCGTTTTTGCGCTCGGTGTACGAATCCAAGAAGTATTTGAACCGCGCCGAACGAAGGTTATTGGCGCAAGTTTGCAGAATCGCTGAAGGATCCATCGACGTATTTTGGGAAGACCTCAATGACTCGAGGAGGGGGTTTGCTGCCATGAAGGTGTTTGTCATGGCTCGGGAGCTCGAAAAGTCGCAAGAAGCAAAAAAGCTGGAGCTGGAGAGACAGGAGACAGTCCCGTAGCGGCAGCAGCTAGATAAGGCCATGACCGCTCACACTCGGTTACCCACTCGAAAATCGCAGCTTGCAGAAGACAAAGGACTGTTGTCAGAAATCCAAGGATTGGATGCAAACTCCTTCCTGTTCGTTTAGCGATAGCCTGACTCCCTGCAAACGATAGATATTATGCCTATGGTATATTGAACAACTAATCCAGTGTAGAGGACCTGTATTTAGATTTCTTTTCGCCATTCCACCTGCAGCCTTTTCCAGTGTCTTCCATACCATGCCTGCCTCGACAGTGTCTAGGACGTGTCATGCACAACCATAAGAATTCGCAACGAAATGGGTCAGTTCTAGATTATTACCAACTCTGTCAAATAGAGACGCCTTATCTCGGTCCTTGCCGCCCCCAATTTCTCCTCACAACCAAGCAACGGCACCGGCAACAGCCATCAGAGCAGCCACAAAACCCTGCCCGGACTTGCCATTCACCGCCACAGCCGCGCCCGTGTAAGCGACGGGACTTGTGCCAGAACCCGTCGTAGTGGCTGTCAGGGTCGCGCTGCAGACTGAAGTCAAGATGGCCGTGGTATTGTTTGTGGGGGGAGTTGACGTCGAGACCGACAGCGTCGGGCTGGAGTCGGGAATGCTGGTCATGGAGGTCAAAGTCACTGGGACGGTGGTGGTCGACGCCGCGTACGAGTCGTTGTCAGTGTCGGTGCCAGTGGGCGTGGATGTGGCCGCGGTGGTTGCAGGGCTGGACTCCTGCGAGGCGCTGGATGTCGTTCCTGAACCCGCCGCGAGGGACGGCCCACAGATTGTGCGGCCAAATTCGATCGCGGCTGTACAGGAGTTAGTCTGAAGTCGCTTCATATCCTGTTTACTGCCAGCCGGCGGGAAGGAAAGCGGGCCGCTGGATTCAGATATCATACTCACCTGAAACATCAGCTGCGGAGCAAGATTGCGTGATCGTGTTGGTGATGGCGTTGATGAATGCCGTGGAGCCGCAGATGCACGATGTGTCGGTCAAAGGACAGCCAGCAGATCCCAGGGCTGCGCTGGCTGCATCTTGCTGCAAGAGAAGTCGATGTCAGCTTGGACCTGCATCTGCAGCCTATGCTTTGTTTCGTCAACACTTACAGCGCAAGCCGGCAGTCCGCTCAGCGTGCCTGTGCTGACCTGCGGGCTGGCAAGCGCCAGGGCTGAGAGGAGCAGAGACAGGGCTAGGCCGGTTCCATGCATGCTGTTCTGTTGACTCGAGTTCGCCTCTTTCGTGTTGCTCGTGAGGTGCTGAGTAGAAACCGACAGAGCCTGCGAAGGAAGTTGGGTGCTATGTTGGGTCAAGGAAGGGTAGGTGGTCAAGTGAAGATGATTGCAGCCGTGACAAAGGAAAGAGAGGAACAAAGAGATCATTTATGGATAGATGCAGTCAAGCAGGACCCCCATGTGCAAAAACATTGCCAAATGCGGACGGCGGCCAGGGAAACAGCATTGAGAGATGGAATGTGGGCCCTGGACGCTGCAGCATTCCTCGTTCATGTTGTTGGGAATGTGTTTGCCATCCGGGATCTGATACACATGGCACACCGCGGCATACCCATCCGCCTCAAGCTGATTCAAACATGGGTTTATATCTCTTCTTCTGACGCAACGCAAACCTGGATGGGGCATGCCGAGGGCATCTGTACCGAGGGGCTGAAAGACCACTAGTTATCGTGGACACGTGTAGCGAGCGATCGTGTGAGGGATCTCGTGCAGATTATGGGGCTCACAGTGTCGACAAAATACAGAGCTCGTTCCTCGACAACAGGATGTTCAGCATCTGGGTGTTTGGCAAGGCTGGCTCGAGGCTCACATAATTTAATTATAGGTAACATAGGTACGCAGTCGAGGCTCATGGGTAAAACCGGAAAACAATGGCGACATCGGCTGTTGTCTTATCTTGGCATGTCATCTAATCGATCAGATAAGATTTCCACCCCCGCCCTCCTTCTTCGTCCTCGTCACCCTCCTGCAGGCGTCCTTCCTTCGTGTAACCACTGCGGTTGAGGCCATGGACGAAGTACCATCTGCTGAGTTCCTCCATATCCTTCGTCTCTCACTGAAGTCGTCCACCGACCTCCTCAGAACACTCGAAGTCCCTCCTCAAGCGCCGTCCCCGGGCCATGTCCGCGAGATCATCGAGGCCATTCTCTGGCATCGGAAGTTCGTCTTGACCTATTATGGTGTCATTGCACTTCTCGTTGCGCTTTCAGGTGGCTACGGACTGTACAAGAGATCGGCTCGGTGGGCCCGGCATAGACAAAGAAGAAATGAGGCTGTTCCGGATACGCCGTCATCATCAAGTAGTACATTGGGAGGTACCGTAACACCTCCCCAGAAGGACAGCGCTGCGGAAACAACACCTCTACTTTCCCAGCATGGTTTTTCTACCCGAGAACGTCCTGCTCCGCTGAGCAGGCTGCGAAGTCTTCTCATGTACCAGCCTCGGCCGACTCGAGCCCTGACCTCGCAACGAAACGTTTTACCAGACAACGGAACCACCCTGATCGTTGTTTTCTTTTTTGGCCTTAACCTGTTCTACCTTCTCTACCGAGTACCGTTATCCGAGACAGGTGTTTTTATTCTTGCTGATCGAGCGGGTCTCCTCTTCGTCGTCGATTTGCCTGTCCTCTACTTGCTCGCAGCGAAAACCAACCAACCCATCAAAGCCTTGACAGGATGGTCCTACGAAGGGTTGAATATATTCCATCGACGACTGGGAGAGTGGATGATAGGTTTTGCCATCATACACATGCTTGGGATGTTTGCCACCTGGTACGCCCTCTTACGACCTATTGGATATACCCTCTTGCGTTATCTTACCGCCCGAGTCGTGTTTCTGGGCATTGCGGCGATTCTTTCTTACTTCATTATATTCTTTACAAGCATCGGCTGGTTCCGACACCTATACTACGAAGTGTTCTTGGGTTTGCACATAATCTTTCAGGTGGCCGCTCTGGGGTTTTTGTTTTTCCATTACCCAACCGCAACGCCGTACGTGATCGCCACATTTGCGATTTGGGCGGTCGATAGACTCTTGTGGCGGATTTCCCTGTCAAGCCGAAGAGTCATGGCTACTTTGGAAGTGGCTCCAGATGAGCAGACTATTCTGGTTCATTGCGAGATAGACATACAGAAGAAGATCTTCGGCATGGGCGCACACCTTCACCATGGCTGGCTTCCTGGACAGCACGTCTTTCTCACCATTCCATCCATGGGCTTCAAATATCGCTTCCAGACGCACCCGTTTACAATCGCATCGCCCGCCCCCCCAAGAAACCCGACTGTTAAATCCTGGCCGCTTCAACTGGTCATACGGTCGATTGATGGCTTCTCTCATGATTTACTCAAGTTCGCCCGCCATCACCACCATTGCGACGTCATCCTCGATGGGCCTCATGGGGGAGTCGAAGCGCTAGAAGCTGCCCATTACGCCGAACGCGTCTGCTTCGTAGCTGGAGGAAGTGGCATTGCTGTCACATATCCCCTTGCTTGGGATGTACGGGTTAAACTTGAGCTGCAAGCGGATGCCTTGGTTCGCACGAGGGCTGTATACGAGGGAGGTGCGGAAACAGTCCCAGCAGTTACGGATCGTGGTTCATTGGCTCAACCCTCTGCGTACACCCATTTCTGGGTGCGACAAGACCCGCGTCACAGGAAATGGATTACCATGTTTCCTCGGGCCGACACTGTCAAGGGCGATCACGGCGAGGACAAGTACATGGAGAATCTCACCAAAGAGGATGGCTACGAAGATGTAGCATCCATTGTCACACACACTTTTGATACGAGGAGATCGGGTCCTGAAGGAGGAAGGCCGGACATGCAGACTGAAATCTGGAACTGGGTGACAGCTGTTCCGACGCATAGATCCTCTTCCTCCAGCACACTGTGTGGCCAGTCCCCGGACTCAGTCATGACACGCCCTGGCTCCTCCTTGTCATCATCCAATCTACGAGCCGCGAGTGAATTTGACAAGCAGCCGCGTGACGAGAAGTTATGCATTGTTGTTTCCGGGCCTGATGGATTAGTCAGGGACGTCAGAAACGTCGCAGCGCGGCTGATCCGTGAAGGCTGGAATCTGGAAGTCTGGGTGGAGAAGTTTGGATGGTAAGATTTTGGCTACATCGGTATCTGTTGGGCTCTGTGGGATGTCCTGACTGGCTTATATCGAGAGAGATGTGATGCATGATAGATGACGAAGTAGTGTGATATGTTTACCTATATTTCACTTCAAATAGAGGAGAAGGAGAGGAAACAGAGACAGAAACACAACATCGAATGATGATGATAGGATGTTATAGCTTCTGAACGCGGTCAGGTCGACCCCGGACCCACTGCCAGAGAGTGAAGCCTTAGCCTCAACCTGCTGGCCGCTGCCTACAGGTGGAAGCATCGAATCAAACCCCAGATGCACTATGTGCGTCTCTGTATCGAGGGATAACTATAATGGCAGTACGTGATGTTCGCACCATCCTCACGCTTCACCATGTGATTGTGTCCCTTGACATCCAGTGCTTTTGCTTGTGACGATCGGAATCCCCGCCCTCCATGATGGTCTACCGAGTCAGGCGCCCAGAAAACATATGACAGAAGGCGAGGCCCTGGTCTGAAAAGGGAGACGGGGGCTCGATTCGAGCTGAAGAGTTTGAGATTGCATTGCAGTGAGTTGTAAGTGTAGGGGCCATAGAATCCTCGGTTCGTGGCATATCAAAAGGTCCACACACACCATATGATTGCGTTCTGCTGCCTAATCACCTTCACTCTCACTTTCACTCTCGGTTTAACTCTTGGCTGTGTTGGTTGGGCTGCTTGGACTGACATCTTGGTGCAGGCGTCAACTCGAGGAATTTGCAGCCGGACTTATCGCTGGTGAGATTGGTTGCGGGAGATTTGGGCTTGGATTGTGGCCCGACATCTTGTGCTTGTGTACAAGTCTCGGTGTTGGCGCACACTACTAGGAGCGGTCCGCGTTCGTCAGGGATAAGACGGAGGAACGCCATTGCGAATGAGAGCAGGGCGGTTTCGGGTCGTGGGTTGTTGAGATTAAGGCTGAGCTCGGATTGGAGGTGGCCTTGATGTCTCGGAGGAGGATGGATAGCTAATTGTTAGTGTTTGTCGCCGCTTCGAAACCGAAAGGGGAAATGTTGGTCCAAGACGGAGAAGTTTGGCAAGTTGCAGAAAGAAAGAAGAGAAGAAAAAGAACCAGTCAAGGAAGAGTCAACCAGGTAGACATGGAAGCAGGACAGTGAATTGTTGCGCGGTAGAATGACAGAAAGCAGTGTGGTGATCTGGTGTATCTTCTCTAAAGCACTTCGATCGAGTGATTCAATCCACCACGACCGCCTTCCTCTCATTTTCTTTGTCATTCTTTTTCTCAGTTGACTCGGGCGTCCTCCGTCCTGTCCTGAATGGACACAGACATGGCGCAAGACCGAGTTTTTTGCACCAGTGATCGAGCCCATATTTTTTCGGGTCGTGTCTACCGGCAGTCATTCGGTATTTATCACATCAAGAAGGCCGCAGCGATGCCACCGGCAAACATGCTCGCAACCGTGACAAAGCTACTCACACTCATGGTTGCCATGCCGCTGATGCCGTGTCCACTGGTACACCCGCCGGCCAGTCTGGCACCGAAGATCATGGCAAATCCACCGGCGATAGCGGCCGGGGTGCTGACTTGGGAGCCGGTATCCAGCGTTATGGGTACATATTGAGAGATCAGCCTGGCCCCTGCAATGACGCCGCCGGCGAAGAGCACATTTGACAACCCGGGACCAGGAGTCCGGTCGAGGAGGGCCCAGAAGTATCTGCCGATGTCTTGGTATCCGCTGGAGACACCCAGGGTTTTGCGGGTGAACAGCACGGAGGTCGCTTGGGCGATGCCAATGAGAAGGCCCCCGATAACGGGATTGAGCCAGTATTGCCGTGTGGGGGCGAGGTACGTCGCTGCTGTGATCATGACCAGGCAGAGTAGTTCGTAGATGGCGACAATCGAGGCCGTGGAAAGTCCAAGCTGGTCTTGCAGCGTGTACTTGGACGGGTTGGAGGAGGAGGATGTTGTTGCTTGCGACCGCTTGAGACTCTGGCCGACTTTGGCAAACACGATGCCTGCAAGGACGCCTCCCACGGCGACGTTCCATGCAGATTTGATCCCCAGAGCAATTTGCACCAGCACCGTCCCGGGACACGCACCGGTCAGCGTCATGCCAATGCCCTGGAGCAACCCTCCGACAATATTGGCGTCGTATCTCATGAACCAGCCGTAGGAGGCGTCAGTCCGATGTGGGAGTTTGGCATAGCCTGATCGATTGGCGCCGACAACGATGAGCGCGCTGCACGCGCTGGCTGCAAGAAAGGATTTGAGCATGTGGAAATTCGACAGTCCCATCTGCCCGCCGATGACCGAGGGCGAGTAGACGCCAGATGCGGTCAGCGCAGATCCGAAGATGGCGCCTGAGGCTACGCTGAGGATCAGCGACGACGACATGTTGGGCTGGACGCGGGATGAACAACTGAAGATGTAGCAACGGACGTTGATGTTGAGCGTGACAAGAACGACATGCGTGGTACCTGGTAGTTTTCGACCCAGAGCAACTGAGATGTTGGCGGGGTATGTAAAGACCTTAGACGGGGTCCCAGGGCTTAGGGGCTTAGGTAGTAAGGTAATTAATAATGGTCCACCCCTAGCTTTCGCCTGGACATAGTTGCTTCTAAGGCTCAAGCTTCCACTGGACAGCTTCTGGCGACCAGTACTAGGCTCACTGGACACCACTTGGAATTGTAGCTGTCTCCCCACAACTCCCCTGCCTCATATGGGCGAATCGCCACGGATTAGGGGACCTTGCATGATCACGATCACGAACCGACGGGCGAAGCGAAACCTGATGACTAGGCCGCATTGAGTCAGCCATGTCCATGCGTCAAGTCTAGATAAGGCACGTCGTAATCGATGTATGCTGTATGCATCTCACCTGTCTTGTCCATCCCGAACCTTTCAATGCAGCGTAGTTCCACGATGGCCTCAAAAGCGAAGCTCAATGTCCACAATTTTCCTCGGCCGCCCTTGTTGGAGCAAACTCCCAGACACTTGGTCATCAAGTGGAACGGCCAGACGTTGGCTGACACCAGATCCTCGTATTGGGCCCTCGAGACTACACATCCGCCAAGTAGGTATACAGGCAGGAAGGAGACGACAGGCTTCTTGTCGGACCAGGCTGCCTCGTTTGTCTCGTGCTATGGGCGGAAACGTATCAATGTGGTCTTGAGACTTACCATGTCCCAGCTTACTACCTGCCTCGATCCTCCATCTCCGACCTTTTCAAACTCGGCCAGGTTCCAAATAAGACATCGCTGTGCGAGTGGAAAGGCCGCGCAACATACTGGGATGTCCAAAACACGTCCACGGGCGACACTGTCAAGAGTAAGGTCTGGAGCTATGAAGAGCCGACACCTGCCTTCACAGAGATCAAGGGCTATGTATCTTTCTACGCCACTGGGGTGCCTTGGGAGTGCTTCGTGGACGACGAGAAAGTAAGCCCACAAGAGGGTAAAAATCCCCAGTACAAGACACCTTGCCTCCTTTTCCTGCTAACCCTTTGCTCCAGGCGACTATTATGGGGGATGGGTAACGAGCGAACTCGAGGGGCCCATGAAAGGAGGGCCTGGAACCTGGGGCTGGTAGTCCTTGTTGACAACAACATTCAATATTATATGCTCACAGTGTCTCTGTAAACTGCCTCTTGCTGAACGGATTGCTTCTTTCGTACTGAACCACGACAGACTAATCCTTCTCTGGTGGCACGCAAGAACATGTTTGAACTGGGGGCAGATCCCATAGGTGGGGGGTGGGTGATCGTGGGTTGGTAGGACAGTAGGGCGTATGGAGGCAAGTCTGGAGGATCGCCAGGATGCGCTGAGCTCGAATGTGGTCAGCTCTGGCCTCGTCGAACACTGTTGTCACCATTGTGGACCAAAGTGCTGACTTCATTCCGCAAGGACAACTGGGTTCGCAGGGTTGTCGCTGCATGCAAGCTACCTAGGTACCTAGTACTCGTAGGTGGACAGCAGATCTGGCCTGAGAGGTCCCACAGATTGACGGTTGCGAGAGGTCCAGGTCCAGGTCCAGGTCCATCCTGTCCTGCAGCTGCAATCAATTGATGCTGGACGAGTTACGGAGTACGGAGGATCGTGGTTGCAGTCGGCAGTCAGGCTTCTACAGGCACTAGTATTTCGATTTGGAGCTGCGGGCGGATTGCCTCCGCATCTGGCTGCTTTGTGGACAGCAACTGCACTGCTTGATTGGACACAGCTAGACGCTGCTCCGACGTTTATCCGGTCAGCGGAGTGCTACTGTTCCATACTCAGTACTGCTATTAGTGTTCTCGTATACTTTAGGTACCTATATGCCTTGCATCTCCCAAGTGCCTTCAGGAAGGGTGTCCAAGGTGCAATGTTTGGTAACGGTGGTTATGTCGCAGAACTAACACCTTCACGCCCAGACTAGCAAAATTCGGGGTATAAAAACCCTGAAGAGCCTGCCGGAGCCTTTGCAACATATTTGAAAGCCAACCAGTCCACACCACTGACACTGTCTTGTTCTTAATTTGTCGTGTCGTCGTCATGGCCGAGTCCATTCCTATGACAGTCGTCGACCTCTCCTCGGGCTGGTCTTTCAAGCAGGCTGACCAGGTTGACGAGAGCTCTTGGCTGCCGGTGAAGAAGGTGCCATCTACTGTCCACCAGGATCTGATTGATAATGATCTGTACGTAAGCTCGATCGTAACATTGGTTGGAACTAATCTGAATGCTACGCCAGATTACAAGATCCATTTATTGGGTTCAATGAGATCAAGGCGGAATGGGTAGGGCTGAAGTCATGGATCTATCGCACCAAGATCGCAAACCCTCCAGCGCCAGACGGAGCGAGAGTGGTTTTGGCCTTCGACGGCTTAGATACGTTCGCTCATGTCAGACTGGATGGGTTGACTATCCTCAAGTCTGACAATATGTTCCTGCCTTATCGTGTTGATGTTACTGGTGCCATCAAATCGGGCACTGACCACGACTTGGAGATTGAGTTCGATTCTGCCTTTCTCAAAGCTCGAGAAATCAAGAACCAGTACCCCGAGCACAAGTTTGTTTGCTTCAACGGAGATCCAGCTCGTCTGGCCGTAAGAAAGGCACAATATCACTGGGGTTGGGACTGGGGCCCCGCGTTGATGTGTGCTGGGATATGGAAACCGGTTCGCCTTGAAATTTACTCCTGGAGGATAGCGGATGTGCGGATAGATATCAACATTTCAGCCGACCAGACAGTCGCGACAATTCACACCACTGCCAACATCGAGGGAGCCGAGAGTGATAGCGATCATTCCTCTGTGCTGGCTAGATTCGACGTGAGTATTGGAGAAAAGATCATTGCTACCAACGTCGCCCAATGTGAGTCCAATGGATGGGCGGCCAGCCAACTGCGGGTCTCCAACCCCGAACGTTGGATGCCGAACGGGTATGGACAGCAGCCCCTTTACAACGTCCGGGTGACTATCACGGTCGATGGAATCGACCTGCACACCGAGACCAGACGAGTCGGTCTGCGGAAAGTGGAGCTCGTTCAAGAACCTGATTCTCACGGTAAGTCCTTCTATTTCCGGGTCAACGGCGTCGACATTTTCTGCGGCGGCTCCTGTTGGATACCCGCGGATAGCTTCTTGACCAACATCACCCCGGAGAAGTACCGGGCCTGGATTGAATTGATGGTGCCTGCAAACCAAAAGATGATCAGGTATGTACATTGTACGGAGTAATGTGAAGCACGCGTTTCATCTGCTTGGGTGCCCGCGGTCCCGGTGGGAACTCAGGCTAATGCAGGAGCACAGAGTCTGGGGAGGCGGCATCTACGAACATGACGCGTTCTACAATGCGTGCGACGAACTGGGAATCCTGGTCTGGCAGGACTTCATGTTCGGCTGCGGCAATTACCCTTGTTTCCCATCCATCCTAAGGTCGATCCAGGCGGAGGCTGTGGCTAATGTCCGGCGAATTCGCCACCACCCCTGTCTTGCCATTTTCGCCGGGAACAATGAGGACTACCAGGTGGCCGAGTCGGCCCATTTAACCTATGACTACGAGGACAAAAATGAGCAACACTGGCTGCAGTCTGATTTCCCGGCACGGTACATCTACGAGTCGCTGTTGCCCAAGGTCTGCGCAGCCGAGGCCCCCTCGGTTGCCTACCATCCCGGATCCCCATGGGGCGACGGCAAGATCAGCTCGGATCCCACCGTCGGAGACCTGCACCAGTGGAATGTGTGGCATGGGACGCAGGAGAAGTATCAAATCTTCGATTCCCTGGGTGGGCGTTTCAACTCGGAATTTGGAATGGAAGCATTCCCTCACCTGGACACAATCCGGTGGTTTGTGGAGAAGGAAGAGGACCTCTTCCCGCAAAGTCACGTACTTGACTTCCACAACAAAGCCGACGGGCACGAGCGACGGATCGCAACATACTTGGTAGAAAACGTGAGGACGGCGACGAAGCTCGAGACCTACATTCACTTGACTCAGCTCATCCAGTGTGAGGCTCTGATGTTTGGCTACCGGGGATGGCGCCGGCAGTGGGGCAATGAGAGACAGTGTGGCGGTGCCTTGGTATGGCAGCTGAACGACTGCTGGCCAGTTACCAGCTGGTCGATCGTCGACTACTTTCTGCGGAGGAAACCTGCATACTATGCCATGGCGCGGGCGCTAGCCCCTGTGGCGGTAGGTATTCGTCGGGCTCACCACGACTGGAGTGTGACTCATGCCCGCGAGCCCCGGACGCAGGATTGGGAGCTATGGGTGGTGAGTTCCCGGCTGACAGAGATCACGGCTGATGTAGAGGTGAGGTTTGTATCAGTCCGGACGGGACTGGAGATTAAGGACAGCATTGTGAAGAAAGGTGTCTGGGTTAGAGCGAACGGCACCACCAATGTCCTTGAAGGATGTGTTGATAACATCCGCGAAGAGCCCCATGTTTTGGCAGCGCGGATTTGGGTCGGTGGGGAGCTGGTAGGCCGCGACACGGATTGGCCACAACCTCTGAAATACCTCCCTTTTCCGGGTCGCAAGGTCAAGGTCGAGGTGGTGGGGAACGAAATGCATGTATCTGCAGAAAGGCCGGTGAAGTGTTTAGTGTTTGAAGAACGCGAAGGGTGCCACCTAAGTGACAGCGCGATTGATGTGGTGCCCAATGACAAGCAAGTCATTCGGGTTCGAGGGCTGGCGGCCGGATCACCTGCATTGCGCTGGACATACCTGGGCGCTGGAGAGCAGTAGTGTAGGGCAGAGGCCGCAGCCACTAACCATTGATGTGAGTTAGTATCACGCCCCTTGACGCTTTAATCGTGTCAGGGCGAGTTTGGGGGCACGAGCCGAGAGAAGGGAGGAACTGAATGATTTGGGAGCAATTCGGAAGGTCAGGCGGATGTTGATGTGTGAGAGCGCTGTCCTGGCACACAACATGAGAGAAAGTTGGCTGGAGAGGGTTGGAGATCCTCTACCACTAGATTGTCGGATGGGGTGACAGGAGTTGTTCGAGGTGGTCGACGGGTAAAAGCATCTTGACCACATCCCATCCTGGATGATGATCCTGCAGAGAATACATAGTCTGCAATGGGGACTTTAGTCAGATCATGACACTTGAATAAGAGAGGCCCACCGAGGTGAACAGGGGGTGTGCTTGAAGACTGAAGTCATCCTTTGCTGAATGAGAGAAAATCCGCTCTAGGTTGCGGATCCGATGTACGTCGGCAGATAGAGAGCCGGCCCGCTACCAACAAGGGTCTTTCAGTCTTTCTAGCCTAGGCTGCATGTTGACTGGACCTGCTGATCAAAAACCGGAGAATTCAGGTTTGATGTTGGATGTTTGATTTGTGGTTCTGGTATTTTCCCCTTGGGCGCCTAAAACGACCCAATTAAGGTTTTCTCTTGCATAGGAAGCGAAGCCCAAAGGGTCAAGACCGGGGTAGTGAGGATCGATGTGTACGGAGGACTCTGGAGTCTGTAGACTCTGAATAGAGGAGAGTGGTTGGGATGGGATTGCAGGGACCCACGGTGCTTGTTGTGTCTTTTTGGGCCCACGGTGGCATGTTCGACTCGAGAGGATGAGGGATGGCCACACCTTGGCAGACTGGACTACCAAGGACCAAGGATGGAATGCTTGATACAGTCATTCAGTAGTAGCAGTACGGAATACTCCGTAGAGGCGAGGAGATTTAATTGCAGACGGGGTGGCATGAGGAGGGTGATGAAGTGCTGTAGATAAGTGAGTAGGGTAATATTGTAATCAGAAATGAAGGGAGAGGGAACTGGCTCGTAGCTGCGCGCAGCCACAAACATCAGGGCACTGACTTAGGTAGGTAGGTACTGTACGTACATGTCTCTCGCAGTCTGTAGGCTCCTTAGGCCTAGAGCATCGATCAGGCCGAGTCAGGCTTCTGGTGCCTGGGGAAATCCGAGACCGCCATTTGCCATCAGCTCAAGTATTACTGTATCCGTACTACCACTCCTGTACCCCTACTACTGTTAGTACCTGCGGTATGTACGAATATCCTTGAACAGATTCCTGCATCAGCCTGCCAGGCTGCATCTTCGGCCCCAAGGCCTCTATTTATCCTTGAACCATGAATCCACCCACCGCACCGCACCGCCTCTTCTGCCTTTTCCTCTGCTAAAATGCTGCCGTCCAGCCATTTCTCCCTCTTCCGTCCCTCCGTCCCAATCCCCCCCGGTCGAGAGCCCATGTCGCTCACCAAGACCTCTCGGAATCTGTATTCCTCCACCTCTGATGGCCCGCCGGGTTTGGTCTGGTCGCTGCACTAGTACATCATCTACTGTACTGGCAGACCACCGGAGACGATTGTCGATGTACCGACCAGGCCTCGAGTTCGTCCTGCCCGCGGCCGACTAGGGTGGATCTTCCCGGGTTCTACCTTGAATGTCGAAGAGACTTGTCTCATAACCTGTCCATCATACACCCCCGATGTACGGATACAAACCTTGCCTTTGGTCATCATGAAGGAATTCATTCCAGTTCAGGGTAGGCTAAAATCTTTTTTATGAACATCCCCGTTTCTCCTCGCTTTTTCTCTTTCTCGTACACTCGTTGATTCAATTGCTCGAGAGTCAGAATCGGCCGCCAACTGGGTCGGCCTTCGAATCGCATATTGCCCTCACATCTGCTCTCTCTACAGGTGTCGGGTTTCCCCTGTGACGTCAAATCACGACTTCGGAACTCTGCACAGCCTTTTCCCAGATCTGACGCGTGACTACAACTGTCCGACTATCTAGCCTATCTTACAAACGGGCAGAGCTGTCTGACCAAACCCGTTCAGGATGTTCCACACCTTTGAAACAGCTCAGTATACCACCCCCGAGCAGACAGATTCCAACGCAAGTCCCGTCACCAAAAGGAGGACCTCCACTGTCAGAGCTTGCGAGCCTTGCCGGCGGCGCAAAATCCGATGCAATGGTGAGTATCCTTGTGAGACTTGCCAGTGGTATAGGAAGGCCACCTCTTGTCACTATACCGAGCCCAGACAGCGACAGGTGCCCTCTAGGAGGTAAGCGGCCAGATAACCTAACGCTGGACCCTACCCGTTACCTGACCCTCGAGTAGATCAGTTGAGAAGATCTCCCACACCCTTCAGGAGTATCGGGCTATCCTTCAGAGGCTCTTCCCAGAAGCCCACCCGGAGCAACTCAAAGATCTTCCACGTGAAAAACTTATTGAGCTCGTCTCAAAGAGCTGCGCCTTCCATCCTCCCTCTCCTCGCACCCCTAGTGTGGAAGAAAAGTCGCCTACGGTCGATCCTGATGCGGTGAGCCTGGAACGATTCCAACCAATGCCTGAAGAGCATGATGATGAGTTCATCCACACGCCTGATGCTGTGAAGGGATTTACAGATGAGGTCAACTTGTTATCTGTGTGTTATAAGCAGAAAACTTCCTATCTCGGCATCTCCTCCATCGTCGCCGTCTTGCGAGTTATTGCCTGGCTTGATCCAGAGTGTCTGGCCGAAACTGCCGAAGGACGCGCCGGCCCTTCGTGCGAAGCCTCGGAACGTCCCGGAACCAGTGCGCCTCACCCGAATACTGTTTCCTCATCGCCCTGGGACGAAATCCGTATGATCAACGCGTACTTCACCTATGTCCACCCATTTCTTCCTCTGATTGAGGAGCAGAAATTCAGAGACACGTACATGACTGCTCAAAGAACGGACTCTAGATGGCTCTTGCTTGTGAACGCCGTGTTGGCTATGGGTTGCGTGGCTGCTGGGACGTCTCATGACACCGCACACCAGGTATACTTTGCTCGCGCCAAACAACATCTTAACATCGACACTCTGGACTCTCCCCACCTTGAGACCGTGCAAGCATTTGCCATCCTGGGTGGCGTGTACCTCCAGTATGTGCAGTTGCCCAATCAGGCCAATTCCTTGATGGGTGTGACGCTCAGAGTGGCCACCATGTTGGGCTTGCATCGCGACTACAGCGAAGGTGTCGGCTCCGCAAAGGTCCAGACAGCGGCGTCCTCTATTGAGATGAGGCGGAGAATCTGGTGGTGCGCATTCATGGTTGATGCCTGGGCGGGCTATGTATTGGGACGGCCCAGCATGGGGCGAATGGGCCATGCAATCACGGCAAAGCCTCCTCAAGAGCCGATCGGAGAATCACCAAGCCTGCTGGCACTGGTGCAAGAAAATGTTCGGTTCTGCCTCATCAGCACAAGGATGGAAGACGCCCTTGCAATTTCTCCGCTGCTCGAGGAACATGAACGCCACGCCTTCGACGCCCTCTACATCGAATGGTACAAACATTCGTCAGTACAAGATCAACCAACCGAACCGGACCCAAACGAATCAGCTGGAGTTACTGTACTGAAAAACGTGATGAGGTGGCGCTACCTTCATCATCGAACCATCCTTCACCGTCCGGTCCTGTTGTGGTACGCAATGCGCAAGATTTCCCCGGATAAATTATCCCGCGAAAAGAAGTCTACTATTGAGCTCTGTCGCAAAATCTGCGCCGATCTTATCCACGATATTGCAACCACCTGGCGAGGTCAAGGACCATGTCAGATGTCGGGCTGGCATGCCGCTTGGCTCCTGTATCAGACAACAATGGTGCCCCTCCTTTCGCTTTACTCGGATTCATTCGACACGAGGGTTCTCACAAGCAGCCGACAGCAAGTCGAGACAGCAATCCAGGTGTTGAAAGATCTGCAGCCCTGGTCTACGGCAGCGAGGCGCTCGTCGGAGGTCATCACCCGGCTGTATGAAGCGAGTAAAAGGCACGCTCCATCACCCGAAGAACCTCGAGATGGTGGTCGTCCAAATGGTATGGCAAGTCTTGCGCCAGCCGCGAGTCATCCACCTCAACAGTCGTCAACGGGCGATTTCGGCTCTACATACATCGACGTTCCGTTTGCCAATCCCTACGGTGGTTCGCGAATTCTAAATCCAGCCAGCCAGGAGATGTTCATGGACAATATGTTTGACGGTTTAAAATGGGGCAATGGTTTGGACAGCCCGACCGGTGGGTCGCAAATGGTACATGGTTGGGATTTTGATCCCATGCAAAATTGGGCTGGTATTCCCCAAGCGGATGATGGCTTCGACCTTGGTTTTTCTGCCCACCTCGGCCATTTGGGCTTTGACGTGGGCACGCATACGCATACGCACACCAATAACCCTACGAACCACATGAGTGGTCTTTACGGAAATATAAACATGAACCAACGGCACCTATCGGGATAGCATATATTAGTTACGAAAAATTGAAGTGCCTTTTCTTCTTCGGCTTTCTTTATACTTGCTGATAGAGTCGAGTCACGCATCCGCATCTGCATCTGCAACCGCAACCGAAGGAGTGAAGTGAAGACATACACAAAACAAGTTTCACTGGCTCGGGTTTCAAATGATTCTCCACGTTCAGTATGGTCCTAGTACAGTGCAAATGCTCTTTGTACATACATACATACACCTTGACGCCAGGCCAACCAGATGTCCGACTCCGTTACTCCTTTGGCCGTGGCCATGGTCCTGTCCAAGTCGATCGATGGCCAACACATTTGCAACTGTGGCAGGACGGTTTCCACGCTGATGGAGACCCAAGTGCGTCACATAATAGTATCACCCAAGACCAAACATTCTTTGTGCTCCGAGATAGCCTCAGGGCGAGAGGTTGTGCACACATCATGGGCTCATTCCATTTTTTGCTCCAGCGACCATTCTATTCGACCAAATCGTATGCTTGCACGGTTGGATTTCCGTCTATCCAACTGTTGTTGACATCGACACACTTCACCGGTCAAGATCCAAACTCCCCCAATCTAGCACTTCTGGAGATAATTGCTCGGGACCAAGCCGATGCCTCCGACTCTCGTGCCCCTGCCGCTCTCTTTGACCTCTGCCTCCCACCATCCGTCGTCTTGCATCCTGAGCACGGCCAGGATGTCGCCCTTGCTGAAACTCAGTTCCTCGGGGATTGCGGCCGTGTAGCTGTACAGGGCACGAGCTAAGCCAAAGTTAGTCGCTCTAGCAGACTCAATTTTCGAGAAGGCATCAGACTTACCGTAGTGCAACACCTGTGGCTGTGAGGGCCGGTAGGGCATGGCGGCCAAGCTCTTGCTCCGCTCCCTCCTTAACTCGACGTCGGGCCCGCCCCGGTGCCTCGAACCACGTCCACCGAAACCCTGCGGCTGCTGGTAGGCATCACCGCCAAAACTAGAATTTGGTCTCGCCATGTCCTGACGGCCTCGACCGCTGCCGTTTCTGGGATCATCATATCTTGCCACATCCTGCGAGCTGAGCTGCATCTCCATCCCGCTGTCCTGCCTAGCTCCCTGGTTTGGGTAACGCTGCCGTCCCGCATATGGGTTGGGTGAGGCTGACCGTAACTGAGACCCAGTGTGACCTTGAGGACTTGAGCCTTGCTGCATCATAGCTGGGCCCGGGCTGCGAGCTCGCACCGGACTGTTCGTGAATGGGTTGATGGGTTGTGGGCTTGCAGCTCGGGGCAACATCCCCGGCGCTGGACTTCGCGAGCGTTGGTATCGACTCTGTGGTTGCGGACTGGCCGCTCTTGGGACCATACCGGGGGCCGGGCTCCTGGCCCGTTGCTGGTACTGACTTGGGGGCTGAGGACTGGCGGCTCTAATCATTCCTGGTCCCGGACTTCTTCTTCCATCTCTCGTCCCAGGTCGGGATTGTTGGCTACCTCGATGGTTTGAAGGCACTGGACCAGTGCCCCACGTTTCAGTCCGGTTCAGCATCTCTTTCTTGGTATGAGCAGGTTGTGGAACGCCTAGGGCACTCTGCGCTCTGCCACCACCACTTTCATATGCTGGCGGTGGGGTACCTCGTTGTGCTGCCATTCGTGCCTGTCCATCAGCACTGACAAAATCCGGTCGAGTAATGGGCTCCTGTTCAGGTGCTGGAGTGGCCACTCCGTGGAAACGATCAACGGCGACTCGCATGCTAGATTGTTTGGCCATCCCTGTCACGCCGTTGGAGCTTTGCTTGAGATCTGCCAGCGCCTGTGCAATCGGGTCGTGCATCATAGCATCGCCTGCAGCAGATGGCGGTGGGAGGAATTGACTGCGGCGATTCACAGCGCTTGCCCTGGGCGTAGAATGTTGCCCATCGGGGCTTGCCACATCGAAAACATTGTTGCCCACATTCAATTGGAAGCTCGCTCGTGGGTCAGCAGCATCTTCGCATTCGGGGGCCATGTCAACCGTGTTGCGGTTGAAGAAGCTCGGAGTTTGACGAGTTGGCGATTTCGTCGGACTGGATTGTGTGCTGGACACTGTGGGATTGAGACTAATCCTGCCCCTAGAAGACGCAACGGGGTTCCACGTACTCCGAGTAGGAGGGCTGCTGGTAGATTGGGAGTCGTGGTCCTTTCTCGACTTTCTGCGGAATGGGCTGTTGGAAAAAAACCCAGATCTCTTCTTCTGGACCGACTTGTCGACCGCTGTCATGCCAGGTAACTCGACGCCGTTGGTAGGTGCTGATTTGATTGGCGACGTGGCGCCTGACATGGGCTCAGCGCTGGTGAATGAACTCGGCACCGAATACTCGCTTTGACTGTCTCTGCTCTCGGGCCTCGTGTTTGAGGATAAGGCAGAGCCAGCCACGGATGCCGCATCCGCCCGACAAAACATGGTCATTCCGTCCGTGGGATACTGGTTGTGTGGCACTTGGGGCACGTCGCCGTGTTGACTGGGCGAGTAGTTCGGAGGGACGTGCGGGCCCGGTTGTTTGTAGTTGAGAGGCCTTGGACGCCCGCTGTTCGTGTTGGATGGCGTCCGAGCATCATCCTCATCCGGGCCCATTGGCTCTTCAGAGCGACGCTGAGGAGTGCCGTCACGAGTGCTTCTGGTTCCAGCATTGGAATGGGTCGGCGAAGAAGAGCGAAAGGCGGGGTTACTGGTGCGTGAGAACTGAGCAACCGAGTAGTTGTCATCTTCAGAGACCTCTGATTGACTGTCGACATCACCTCGACAGAAATTGATATACCGTGGAGGGTCCGGAATTTCCTGACCTGTGCCGCAGACCTTGATGAAGAGGGTGATGTCTTTTTCCACCTCACAACTTTCCAGCGCCAGTCGGACCTTCTCGCATGAGGCATCATCCGAGACGCACACTGTTGACGCGATATTTGCGAAGGCCCAAAGTGAAGATTTGGTAAAATCAATGCGTTCTTCCTCGAGATCCTGAAACTTGTCGCAGGCCGCCTTCCATTCCTTGTTCCAGCGACCGATGGTCTCTTCCAGCACCTTGACCGCCGCTTCATATTCGTTCGAGTTGCTAGCCATGTTGATTTGTGTCTTTTCCAGTTTGGCCTTGTTTTTGCGCTCCTCTTGCCCCATGACCATATGGCCTTGGGCCAGATATCCTTTGATTCTCAGGCAATCCTGTTCGTACTTGTCTCGAGCCTTGTTGACGTGGGCAGTCTGGGTTTGCTTTATCTTGAGAAGCCTCTCGATGCCATTCTGGATGATCTTGCGACGTTCCTTCATGCCTCCCGCAAACGCAGCCAGAGGCTCCTCCAGCTCGGATCTCATCTGTTGGGCTATCAGAGCATGTTGCTTTCCCATGGACTCGGTTTCTCCTCGGGCCACATCCAGGCTGGCCCTCAGTGTGCCTTGTTCAACGCTACCTAATGGCTTCCGCGACAGATTCAGGAGCTTTTTCGCATAGTCCTCCTCCAGGGCGGCGCGGGCGTTGTAGAAAGCTTTGAGTTCGTCGCAGGTCGTTTTCGCATTTTGCATTCGGCTCAGCAGAGGGTCGACACCCGCATCGTCTCGCCCCCAGAAGTTGTTTGAGACTGTTCTTTGATCAGCAAAGTCCCGGCCATCGGAGGTCATGAGACTTACAACTCAGAGGTACTGATGGGGGCGCGCCAACTTCGGAGGCGGCGCCTGGTGGCATTCTGCCAACGTGAACCTCGTTGCTTTGTTTGCCAGCGGGAGTTGGTGAGGGAGAATGCGAACTGCGGTGGTTGTGGTTGCCAGCAACTTTATCCAAGTGCAACTGCGTCGATGTGTCTGTGCGTGTAGGAGACATTCTGAAAAGGCCCGGATGGACTGGCATCGGTCCGGGTGATGGGTGATGGGTGACGGGTGACGAGGGGCAGGGGCTTAGGAGGCCCTAGGTCCGCGGTTTGTTTGGGTATGCGGGTTGACGGGACAACGGGACAACGGTGGACCAAGCCAGCCTTCTCCAAGTATACCGTGGATCAAGCAGACCACCTGCGCCTTTTCCCCTGATAATACGGCAGAGTACACATGCCACTGACCGTCAAACCTGGCCTCGTTTATCCTCTGCCACTCTGCCACTCCCTTCCGCTCGACCTCTACTCTGTAAAATGACAACTTCCCAACCATGTTCAGACAGCCTCCTCCGCCTGACAGTCACTTATCAATGGTGCGCCGCCAATGCGGACTTCCTGGGATATTGGATCGTCCCTATTGGCAAGGGAATCCCCGCCACGCGTGCCGAAAGGAGCTACAACTCCCCCCCTGCGTACTTCGTATTGTGCATGCGTATAGCGTATTGTATAGAAGCGTTCGCCGGGGGGTTCGTATACCATCCAATGCCTTCTCCAGTTTGCTTTTACGAGGTACGCGCACGTCGCTTGCACGGAGTACCTCACTCATACCAGATGAAGACGGACGTTGGGAACAGGACCCAGCCCAGGTATTTAATTCAAACCGAAGTGTCCTACCTGTTGCTGCCCCTCCCTCCTCCTCCTCCTCCTCTCTTCCAGTCACTCGCTTCACATACATTCATTTGGTTTCTTTTCCGGTCGTTGCGGCATCTAGTTAGCTCATTGTCTCGTTTTCACTCGTTTATACTCCTGTTCTATCCTCGCCCGGGTCAAGCCTCATGGTCCGGCTGAGAAGAGCCTCCCGCCTAGGAGGTGAGCCTCACGGAGACAGTGACGCTCCAGCATTTGCGACAACCGTTGTCCAGCAAACTCCTCTCATATCCTCTTCCGCTCCTTCTCCTTACTCTAAAAAAGCGCCCACCAAGACCAGAATTCAAGCCAACAAACAAGGAGGACGATCGGCCTGGCAACGATATTACACTTACGCTCGCCGACATACATGGCTGACTCCCCTGTTACTTGTCCTCATCATCCTCTCCGCTTACTTGGTTCATCCAACTGAATCAAATCCTCTCCATGCCGCCATCTTCTTGTCCTATCCTCTCCCCAAGACCAAGACCGAGACCGATGGCCCGACAATGTACGGAAAGGGTGTCAGAGATTTCGCTTTTGTCGCCTTCTACACTGTTGTTCTCTCCTTCGCTCGGGAATTCCTCATGCAGCGGGTGATATATCCCCTGGGACTGTATTGTGGCATCTGCAGTCGCAGCAAGATAGCGCGTTTTATGGAACAGTTGTATGCAGCCATGTATTTCAGCGTCTTCATCCCTCTCGGGCTCTACGTCATGTCGCGCTCGTCTGTCTGGTACTTCAACACCACCTCCATGTTCCAAGGATACCCGCATCGCGAACACGAGGGCCTGCTCAAGGCGTACTATTTGCTCCAAGCCAGTTATTGGGCCCAGCAGGCCGCTGTGCTGATACTGCAACTCGAGAAACCTAGGAAAGATTTCCGGGAGCTGGTGGCCCATCATATCATCACGCTCACCTTGATCTGGCTGAGCTACCGGTTCCATTTCATGCACATGGGCCTTGCGGTCTATATCAGCCATGATATCTCCGATTTCTTCCTCGCAGTGAGTCTAACCCTAGATCGCCAACTTATCTTAACTGATCGAATGTGTGTAGACTTCCAGAATCCTCAACTACCTCGATTCTGTCTTTGTCGGCCCCTTCTACGGCACCTTCGTTGTCGTTTGGATCTACACACGCCACTACATCAACCTCCGTATCCTCTGGGCCGTCCTGACCGAGTTCGCCACCGTCGGCCCCTACAAGTTGGATTGGGAGACCCAACAGTACAAATGCTGGATCAGTCAGGTCATCACTTTCGTGCTTCTCGCAGGCTTGCAAGCCCTGAATTTGTTTTGGCTGTTTTTAATCCTGCGAGTCCTCTGGAACTATGTTGCTACTCGTGTTCCGAGAGACGAGACTAGTGATACCGAGGAGGAGGAGGAGGAGGGACATCATGGCGGGTCCTCAGCGTGGGTGTCAAAATAGGTGGCGGGTTACTAGACAGTTTGTTCCCATTAACTGGACACTCCTCTAGGCAGGCCGTAGAGTATATGAGGAAGCTCAAAAGCTTACCTATTAGAGCTGAAGATTTGGTTCATACTGCTACTAAAGTGATTTATCGGACAAATCGCTTTTAATCATGTCCACCCTGAACCCCATCGTAAGGAGTTGAAAATGCAACTGCTCACGGGGACGGAGCAACCATTAAACTAAAACACCCATGTAGCGGCCTTGCTGAGGCCTTGACATCTCCTTGAGGCTCTGTGTCTTAATTCCTATCCGACACCTGCACTGCAGCGCCCTCTTTGATACCAGTTCTTCGTGGTCCAACATCGGTGACCTCGTTCGAACGCGCCAGCTAGTTGCAAAGTCTCTTATGCTTGTGAGGCTGGCACCGATAGCCCCGACAGAATCTGGCAATCGACCGATCTCCTCCGCGTCCCGGCGAGGTTGTAGCCGATCATCACTGGTGACACCGTTCGAGGGCGCCGGAGGCCGTACACATCAAGCGGGTTAAGACCACAATTTGGTCAGAGAGAACATACTAAGGGGTTGGCTTGGCCTTATGTGCTTGCAGAACGCCTCATCGTAGTTTGTGAAGTCCTCATGAAAGCGTCTGTGGGAGGACCACCATGGCCAGTTAATGCTTCTGATAGCAGTGGTCGAACATGGCAGACACTCCGAAGAGTTGTTTTTTGCAAGGGTCCAGGCCTGCCACCCTTGCCCATTGGTCTCTAGTAGAGAAAGACTACCTTTTCAGAAGTTGTTGTTGGAGGCGGTGTTGTTTTCTGGGGTCCTATTAGCCAGTATAGGTTGCGAAATGACGTCGCAATGCAAGAGGCTTAGATGGCGAAATTTGTAGACCTGTCCGACATGGTTGCCTATAGGAGGGTTGTATGTGTAGAAGTACTGTGCCTTCTCTGCTTGGACGGCTTTCATCATGACCGGCCTTTATTCATTCTCGACGAAAGAGTTCGCTAGCGGGCCAAAGAACGGCACTTCGAAATGATCCAGATTGTCCACGTCCCGGTATGCACGGAGAGCCAGGAAGCCGATCAATATTACGTCGAGGGCAAACAACATCCAGGATAAGACAGTGGACCAAGACAAGATCAGATGGAGGATGAAGATAACCGAAAAGAGCATGCTAGACTGCCACGCGTGGAAGCGCACATAGTCACTCTTGTGTTCAAAAATGAGAAGAAACACCCCCCCAGCAGGAGGAAGCAACAAGTATGCCAGCATGGCTTCGTAGTCAAGTCTCATGGGAAGGCTTGTTTCGAAGGCCCCGAGACTCTGCCCCCTCTCTTCTCTCGCGCTGGCAGATCTATTCGGGAACCCATCGTTTCCAAATGCAGTGGAGTGCGGATAAGGCCTGACATCAGAGCTTATACGAGTGGTTGACTCGGAAGCACGATGTCCCGAAGCTGGTGATCGGACACGCGGTGTCTCCAGCGATGTTCGGCCTTTGTTGGTAGGCGGAGGAGAAAGAGCACGCTCTCTATAGTGTATTTGTGAGTATTCAGAAACATATCTGTAGATGGCCATGCTTACAGCTCGGGGGATTCGTCTTGATAAGGCGCAAAGTTCATTGTTTATTCCGGCCGCGGTTTTAGGTCCCACGATGCATTGACGGAGACTCTGTGTATTTGACGTGTTGCTGGCGTCGGTCCGAAGAACCTGTCTTTCAGAGTGCAGGTAACATCTTTCGAGCCAAGGGAAGACCTTTGAGGCAAGCTGCAACCGGACAGAGTAGAAGGGTGCAGTCGAAATTGGGGGAAATGCAACAGAGAGCCTGCGCCGCCGCGTCGGGTTGGGGCTAAGGACACCTGGCTTGGCGCTTGCAGGTGTGCACCGCAGCCGCTTCCCAGCATCAAGAGCTCAGGGGCGAGCGAGCGAGCGACAGCTTGTGTTTTGGGCATGCCAAACTCGTCTGCCTTTGGTTCCGTAGGTTTCCATCCATGCCTCCTAGGTGGTCCCAGGCTGAAAATATGTTCTTGTTCTTTTAGCCCCGCCCCCGAGCGCCTCTTCCAGCAACACCTCTTCCTATTCCTGACGTTGATCTTCTGGAAGAACTCGTCCCTCGTTTACTAACAGTGTTGGTGTTGTTGCTGGAGCCGCCCATTTGCACATAGGAGGGCGTAGGTGCCTTTGTGCCTCTTGCAGTGGTACCAATTCTGCTCCCACTTCTGGCGGGCGCCTTTGCCTGTTTCGTTTGTGATTCTGCTTTACGCTTCTCGTCCGCTTCGGCTTGTCTTGCAGCTGCGAGCCTCTTCTCCTCCTCCTCCTCGATTTCTCGCCTGTCCGCTGCGCGTTGTTTCTCCGAGATCTCCTCTTCTATGTCTGCAATATCTTGACTTGCGCCCCTCCAGCTCGGGTCAAGGATCAGCCGCTGGTTATGTTCGGTCTGAGATAAAATTCGTGTCCATGTATTCAGCAGAGTAGATGCAGCATTGACAGTGTCGTTGACGTTCTGTTGGGTGATCAGCACTGCGCAGAGGTTCCATAGAATAGTTTCTTACCGTCATGTTATCTTTTGCTTTTCCCAGACTTTGGATCACTCCCTCAATTGCATCGTTGACTTGACGCACGCTTTCCAACTCACGGTGCAAATTTTCCTCGCGGGCTGACTGTTCTTCGTAGGTAGGTCGCGAGCTGTTGGGATATCTTGTCGATATTTTGGCAGATTCCGCGCTTGAGTCCAGTGGAACTTCATCGCCCGCTTCTTCCATACGAGTGCCATCGAAGCTCATGGTGCTGTAAGGCCTGTTGAAAGGATGCGTCTAGCTTTCAACCAAGTTCTATAGAGCAGTACAGAGTATGGAGTATGCCGTGCAAAGCGCAACAACGCAAAGTAAGACCGCAATTGGAAGCCAAAACACAACCACTTTACGCGTGGGGCAGAAAGTGGGCGCGTCTAGGTTGGAGCGCAGCTGGAGAGCCGCTCTGATTCGGCCCCAGCCACCGCAATGATTCTGAAATCCTGCCCAACCTCCATCCTCACCTCCATCCCCGAATGCTGCCCTTGCCTCTTCTGTCCTTGATATCCTCGGATTGCTCGTCAGTGATCTATGTCTCGGAGCCTACTTTGCGAAACCACAATTGTCTTTTTTGCGTAGTTTGGCCTATTGTGAGCATTGGTGTTCGACAGCGCTGAGGGGTCCGGCACAATACCTTGCTTCACTTCACTTCACTTCTGCAGAGCAACACAACATGGCTAGTACACCGCCCGCACAGATTACCTCCTCTCCAGGGACTCCTGATACACCTCTTCACGGCGCAGCCTACGACCGCGAAAATCATCGCGCTTTGCGACTCGCAACGCGCTCGAGCACGAGGATTGCATCACGAAAATTGGGTTCAACTCCCAGGTCACAGCGAAGAAGCCCTGGAGCGGAACTTCCAGTGACAACTCCAAGACCTTCACATAAGTCGTCCTCCGAAACTGCCTCTGGTCTTCACTCGCCGCAATTGACCCCAAAGAACAAGGCGCCGCGCCGAGTGCAGTTCATTTCACCTTCCTCTCCCGACCAGCATACTTCTAAGTCTAAGCAGCACGATCTGTCAAGTACACACCTGCAACCTCTCTCATCTTCCTCTACCACTTTATCCGAACCAATGCTGCCTACACCGGTCAAGACGCCCCAAAAGAAAATGCCGCCCAAGGTGGGCGGAGCTGCCAGGGCCCTCTTTCAAGACAATACACGTGATGTCCCTGCCTCTGCAGACCTCGAGTCGAGTCCCAGAAGAAGTCGAAGAACTAGACGGTACAATGGATACTCGCTCGAAAGCTTTAGTGCCGAAGATGATAGCGGTCGTGGCCAAATCCAAATCTTCACAGATTCTCGCGACAAGGTTCCACAAGTTGACAAGAGCGCCTCCAATCCTTTTGTGGCCCACACACTGGATGCAGGTGCCTCATCTGCTCGTAAGCTTGCAGGAACCGCCAAGCGACGCAAGATCTCCGGCCAGAATAAGCGGGATGCTCAAGTCGACGACGCCATCCGCAACGATGAAGGCATGGTTTATGTATTGTAAGCTTTGCAATTTTCCGTTTGGGAGCTCTCGCTAATTTGTTTCACAAGCCGCGGCAAGAAGGTTTACAGACGTTTCGACGACGGTGAAGATGTGGAAGAAGAGATCGATTCCGACGATCTTGGGTTTTTGGATCTCACTTCAAACCAGTCGAGTATGAAGCCGATGAAGACGCTCACCCGACGTTCCATAAGGCCAACGCGCTTGTTTCAAACCGAAGAACAGAAACGCGCACGTGAGGTGGAGAAGGAGGAGGAAGCTCTGACCGATATCGAGGGCAAGGACGACTCTGATGGCGAGCTTGCCAGTGACAGTAGAGACAGTTCTCTCCAGACTGCTCGCTTACTACGCTCCACAAAGAAAACCAACCCTGTCGCCTCGGATGAAGCTTACCTATCTGCCGCAGGCGTTCGTCAAACCAAGAGAGTCAAGCCGGCAAGTCCGTTTGATTCGTGGCGTCGTGTCAAATCTGGCATGCGCATGGCAGGAACCACGACAAAATCGAGGAAGCGAGCGGCCGACGAAGTCGAGCCTGGAAGTGCAGTCTCGAAGAAGTGGAAGGCTTGAGATGTGGTATGGCGGAGCTCGGGCTACTGGGGTCAAAGCAACCAAAGATTGCGCTGGAAAGCTCTTGAATGTATAAGACACAATCTTGGGTACAGCAATAATCTGATTCTGGTTGCCAGGGTGCAATGATGCCCCCGGTGACAGTGGAATAATCGAAATGCGCGTCGTCTTTCAGCGTGTGCATGGTGCTTGGAAGCCGTGGGGGGGTGGCAGGCTTTCGGTACTACTACTTGTATTATTTTCAAAAGAACAAGCTAACTCAGGTAGTAGCTGAGATGGGCGCTGAGCTGGCGTTCTGCTTGCCAGGTGTATAGATAAATACCTATGCTCTGCGTACGGAGTACTGGGCGCAATACAGATTCCGTATGTGTTTTTAATGCTTCACTCCTCTCTCGCCAGGCAATACGAGGAGATGTAGTCAACATAGCCGCACAGAACAACCACAGTAGGCACTTTGAGGGTTACCTATGTCGCATCTGCTGTATCAGGACATTGAAAGTGAAAGGAAGCCACTCAATGGACCATAGGAACGATGTTTCTAATGAGCACCACCTTTGTCCGGATACGGAGCACGGAGACTTAGGTCCCTGACCCTCGGTTTACGGAGGACTATTACTACTGCAGTGGTACAGAAGTGGAAGAGCGCTGGCACGTGACTGTCGCCAAGCCATGCTTCACCTGAAATCGCCTTCGCTCTCAAGTTTGTCGAGGCGAGAGCGTGGAGTCAACTCATTCACTTCTCGTTTGTTCATACATTTCACATCCATCAGCTTTCCCCTGCTGTTCTCACGCGTATCTTTCCCTGCTATCCCTGGACTAGCATCGGACGTGAAGCCCTGCCACGCGGTACAACCCGACTTTCACCAACGACAACACCTGCCTCCCTCAAGTTATGATCGCTTCCCATGAGCTTCGATAACCCCTCCTCCTTCGCGCAGTGGCAGTCTTCAATTGCTTCGTCTACAGACAAACAACCTCAGTCTAGACCGCCCAAGCCAGCTCAATCGCCTTGGGGACAGAATCCGTTCGCCTCCAGCATTAGGCGTGGACTCACCCCCCTTGCTACCTCGAACCTGACCTCGACTTCAGGCACGCGCAGGGAACAAACGCTCAGTGAAGCCGAACTCTACACTTCCTCATCCTCTCCAGCCTCCGGTAATTTTCCTCCTCTTGCCAGCTCACAACCTCGCTTTGGATCGCGGCGAGGAACACCACCTGGCTCGTCGCACTCGAATTCACCCATCACTACGCTTCAAGCTGGCGCCCTTCAGCTGCAAGCCTATCAACCGCGTTCTGTCACATCCCCCAGATCAAGAACAATTACTTCGTCTCAGGCATCAGCCACTGGCGCTGCTGGCACGTTTTCGCACTCAGGCCCTGGGGCCGGTGGTGGAGGAGTCTACAATAGGAGTGGTGCATATTCTCCTTCTTTGACAGGGCCCGGCGTCGGCTCACCGACAGGCCTAAGCTTTGAGCGCTCTCCTAGTATATCCTCCAACGTCAGTTCTGCCGCGACTGGTCCCTCCTCACTCTCCAAGATCTCAGCGACTCAGATTCTCCTGCTGCTTGATACTATCAGTGAAAGAGAGGGAAAGGCAAAGTGGGACAGTAAGGCCGAAAAGATTAGAAGACTACTTGATTCGAACGGGATGGAGGTCTTTGCACAATTCTTCAGGCGCTCTGTCATATTGAACGCTGCCGCCATTTTTTCAGGCGCCAAAGACTTTGATCAGGGAAGCTACAAGCTTCTGCGGCAAGAGTTGGACAAAGTGCTTTGGGATCCAGAGCAAGCCTACAAGATCTCGGAGGCCATTGACACGTCGAAAGAGGACTTGTTTCGAGACTTTGATTTGGTGACTTTTGTGCAGCACTTTTTTGTCGATACTCTGCCTCAGGTCATCCTGGCGATCGCCTTCACGAGATGTGCACGCAGTGATTTGAGGGCCAAGGCGGAGAATTTCCTGGCAGACTTCGGCCAGAACTCTCTCCGTATGCTTGCAGACAGCCGTGGAAATGCACAGGCATATTCTGCTGAGAATGTCTGCGCGGTCATCGAATATTACGCCTTGGCGGCTGGGACGAGGTCCCAGCAACAAAAGATTGACCTCTGGACGGCACTGTCTACCCGTTATGCTGGTGTCAAACCCGAACAGTTCGCAGCTGCCCATACATCCTCCCAGCTCCTAGGTATCGTCAACGACGCCCGAGAGTTAGCACGCGGGCTGCAGCGTCATGGGCCTAGATTGACCGCTTCCAAACAGGCCGCGCAAGAGTTTCTGGGTTCTTTGAACCCCACGACTGTCACCGAAGCCGAAGTAGCGAACGCCTTACTGTACCTCACGTTCACTCACAACCAGCAGTACGACTCGAGCAATTTTGTTTCTGCTCTCCTGACAAAACAGCTGGACTGGAATTTAGTCATCCAAGGATTCGATATTCCTGATCTACGGTTACGCCGTAACCTTTTCCCCACGCTCTTCAATGCCCTCCTACAAGTTGCATTGGAGCATCCGCAATTTGACATCCAGAAACTTTGGGGAGGTAGTTGGCAGAACTCCGACACTCAGATCTCTTTTCTTTGGAGTTTCCTCGCCTGTCCCAAGGAGATCCAACTGTCCAGGATCCCTGGCTTCCGACCGAGTTTGTCATTGGAAGACTTTCCCAATCTGCCGGCCGAGATGAGGATGCAGCTCGAGGTCGAAATGCAAGGCCCTTATGCATCTGCTGATGCTTGGCAGGCAATTGTTGATGTGGTACTGGGGCTGGGGCAAGGCGCAACACCTGACGGCGAGGACCGCCTCGACATATTGAGTGATGTCTACCAGAACCATACTGCCACCTTCTTGTTGTTCCTCGCCGGCATCGGTGCCAAACCTTGGACTCCGGATCAAGAGAAGTTCATCGCGGAGTCTTTCGGTCTGTTTCTCGAGAAACAGAGGCCAGATTACGGCCCAGTTCTGGAAACACTCGCGTCACGAAACCCCCAGTTCCTCTTTGACCTCTGTCACCTGGTCTTCCAGCTCGACCCACGGCAGACAGAAGTTGTGTATGAGCGAGCCGAAGAATTTGGCTGGACCGAGGATTTCCTCAAGCATTGGTCGAATCCTCTGGCCCTTGACGTCGCTTGCATTCGGCACAAAGTCCAACCGGGATTCGACTTGGACAGATACATCTCCGACGCTGGAGACGGTCAGTCAAACCTGGGAATGATTCTCTGTAAATACTTGCGCATCAAGGCCGATGACGAATTCCGTGTCCAGCGCGGCGAATCCCCCCCACAGTCCATACCCCTCAGTTTACGGACTGTACATACCCTTCTCGAGAAGCTAGAGGATCACCTCGACAATCGTGAACTAGTCGAGGCTGCACAGACTACTTGCCTGCAGACATACCCGCGACTGATGAACTACGGCGCCGGATTTGATGATGTTCTAGAAAAGAGCAGCGAAGAGAAAGGGAATAAGCTGCCCGAAGCCATTGACAAGCAGATGTCAGAACTGTTTGGTCGAATGTATCGTTCGGAACTGTCGATCCGCGACATGGTCAATGAGATGCGAAGGTACAAGACCTCAAGAGATCCGGACCAACAAGATCTTTTCTGCTGCATCGTCCATGGCTTATTCGATGAATACGTGTGCTATTACGAATATCCAGAAGATGCTTTGGAGAAGACAGCACTCCTTTTTGGCAGCATCATCAAGTACAAACTGTTGCCTTCTATCCCTCGGGACTTTGGCCTTGCCCTCATTCTCCGAGCCGTCCGTGAGAACGAGCCTGACAGCCTGATGCACCGGTTTGGCGTTGAGGCGCTGCTGCAGATCAGCGATCAATTAGCCGAATGGCCAGGACTTTGCAGTCTTCTGTTACAGGAACCTTCGCTCCAACACCCCGAAATTCTGCAGCGGGCAGAGGAAGGCCTACGAGCTCAGCAAGCCGCCAGCAACACCCCCGGCACCAACGGGGTTGGGAATGCTGTAACGGCAAATGGCGAAGAACATGCGAAAGCCGACACAGGCCGTGGGTTCCGAGCATTACACGCCGACCCTCCTCCTCTTAGTGCTCATTTCAGAGATCCAGATCAGAAGGTGCAAGAGAAGATCCTCTTTGTCATTAACAATCTCTCTAAGGACAACATGTCTAGCAAGTTGGCTACGTTGAAGGAGTCCTTTAGCCCGGAGCACTATCAGTGGTTTGCCTCATATCTGGTGGAACAGCGCGCCAGGCTGGAACCCAATAATCAGGAGATGTACTTCCAGCTCGTCAACATGCTGAACGACAATCTTCTCATGTCGGAGATCATACGAGAGACGTATGTCAGTATCGTCAAAATGATGAGTGCTGAGTCGACGATCAGTTCTGCTACAGAGAGAAGCCATCTGAAAAATCTTGGCGGCTGGCTTGGGTCCTTGACGCTGGCGCAAGACAAGCCGATCAAACACCGAAATGTCTACTTTGTCGACCTGCTGGTAGAAGGTTACGAAACCCAGAGATTGATACTGGTCATCCCCTTCACCTGCAAAGTCCTCGCCCAGGGCGCCGATTCCATGGTGTTCAAACCTCCGAATCCCTGGCTGATGGAGATCATTCATGTGTTGGTCGAACTGTACCATTTCGCCGAGCTCAAGCTCAACCTCAAATTTGAGATCGAAGTCCTTTGCAAGGACCTTAAGCTCGACTTCAAAAAGCTTGAGCCTGCAACAGTCATTCGGGATCGGCCACAGACGGACGACGAAATGACAAATGTTTCAGCGCTGCCTGATGGTCTGGAAACATTCGATGAGATGTCTTTGAATGGTGCGATCACGCGAGGCGTCCGCGAGCGTCTTACAGCGCCGGAGATCATGGCAACACTGCCGAATCTAGAGGAAGTGCTCAAGTACCCCCCTGCGTCCGGCTCACCCGTAGACCAAGCTATGGTCAAGAATATTATCTACCGCGCCTTCGACCAAGCCATTCAGGAGATCATTGCTCCAGTCGTTGAGCGGTCCATCACCATTGCCTCGATATCGACTAAGGAACTGGTGGCAAAAGATTATGCGCTAGAGCCTGATACCGAAAAGTACCGTACCGCCGCTATTCAGATGGTCAAGTCGCTGGCTGGTAGTCTCGCGCTCGTGACATGCAAAGAGCCACTTCGACTGAGTATTTCCAACTATATTCGCCGACCTGTTCAGGATGACCTGCCCGAGCATCTTCTTCCAGAAGGCGCGATCCTGATGTGCGTCAATGACAACTTGGACATTGCTTGTTCGTTCGTTGAACAAGCTGCTGAACAGCATGCAATTCCCGAGATCGAACGGGCGATTGAGGCCGACCTCGAAGAGCGTCGGCGCTTCAATGCGGAAGGAGGACATAGAGAGTTCATTCCATCAGGGACCAATCGTTGGTCTGCTTGGATCCCAGAGCCGTACAAACAGACCGTGGGTGGCCTGAACGATGCCCAGCGTGCAGTTTATGAGGAATTTGACCGTCGTGTTCATGGAATGAATGCGAATTATGTTTCTAACAGCGTGACTGATACCGCTGGGCGCCAGCTACCCGACATCTTGCAAGAGTCTTTGGCGATGCCAAATCTGTCTACCCCCGCCGATCAGCCCTCACTTCCCCATCAAAGTCCATTGGTCCAGCAGGAAAATCGCATGCTCTCAGCGATGCAGCAATCCCGTACCAATGGGTTTCCTGAGACACTGCCACCACATGAACGCATTTCTGTCCTCATTGAGGACATTCAAAAGGCGGCAAGGGCATCGCAGGCCAAGCGTCTCAAAGATTTGGAGAAGAACAGCTCTATTTTCCAGGATTTCAGGCAGATCCTCATTGTCCTGACGTCCTCTACTCGCCCCGCGGCCGACCTTCTAGCCAGGCAAATCGCCGAGAAGATTTGCAATATCTTTGTGTCGAAACCTCCCCAAGGTCCGCTTGAAGCCGAGGTTTTGGCATTCTTGCTTTCCAAACTATGTCAATTGTCCGAGCTCATCATTCGGGATGTTTTGAGATGGATGACTGCAAACGAGGACTTGTTGTTGGCAAGCTCTAACGTGGTGGTGGCACTAGTCACCGTCGGTTTAATGGAGTTTGCCAGGGTCGATGTCGCCATTGCTTCAATGTTGATGAGCAGAAATACCCATGGGCTTCAGGTCCTTGCGGACATGTTGGATCAGACACTCTTTATCGATGAGCCAACAGCTCTGAGGGCCGATTTTGCAAACAGTTTGATTGCAATGTCGGCGTGGCTGAAAGAGAAGCCTGACCTCCCCATCGCTTCAGAACTCGGTCAGAAACTAAGCGCCCACGGCATTCCTCAGCTCGTTAGCGTCGAGGTTAGTGACAAGGCCAAAGTCAAGCAGGAGCAAATGCATTACATCTTCGACGAATGGGTGGGCATCTTCGAAAACATCGGCGCCAATGAAGGGACATGTGCTGCATTCCTCAGGGAGTTGCATAAAGATCAGACAATCAACAGCACCGAAGATCTAACCGAGTTTCTACGACTGTGCGTGGATGCATGCATCGAGTGCTATGACCGGGAGGCGCAAAGTGTTCGCGGCAGTGTCGATGTTGCATTCTCGCAAGTAGATGCCCTGGCTCGCCTGGTGATCATGCTGGTCAAATTCCAGGCAGACACGAACGGTGCAGCCCGACTCAGCAGAGCCGCATACCTGGACACTGTCCTGACAATCCTCGTCCTCATCCTAAACCACCACCAGAACATGCGAGGTGTGGGTTTCCACCAGAGACTATTCAATCGGCTGTTCGCCAATATCCTATACGAGTACTCGGCGGCCCGGCTGGACGACACCGCAGACCACGCAGCATTGATGCTCGCTTTCGCCCAATGCTTCAAATCCCTCCAGCCGTCGTGGTTCCCCAGCTTTACCTATGGCTGGTACAGTCTGATTGTCCATCGAGTCTTCGTCTCCGGCATGCTCAGACCGAACAATCATGCCGGTTGGAACGCCTATCAAGAGCTTGTCGGTCTAATGCTCCTCTATATTTCAGAGTTGTCTAAGACAGAGGGCCTCGACCTCTTGAATCTCGACCTGTACAAGGGCACACTAAGAAACGTCTTGGTCTTGCTGCATGATTACCCTGAATTCCTTTGCGAAAACCACTCATATTTCTGCTCACGCATCTCCTACAGAATTCCGCAGCTAAGGAACCTGATCCTGACGGCCAAGCCCTCGGCGTATCATGATCTTCCTGACCCGATGACACCAGGTTTGAAAATTGAGCGCCTGGACGAGATGAAGAGACATCCGATTTTGGCGCATGATTATGACATACCCCTTGAACGTGAGCAGCTCAAGGATATCATTGCCGAAGTCCTGCACAAGACCGTTGATGTGGAAGTGGCCTTGAAAGTGATCAATGCAGCTCTGCAAGCCGAGCAACCTCAATCATCGGCACTGGCTCCGATCAAGAGCATCGAGTTCATCAACGCCCTGGTGCCGTACGTGGGCCAGGACGCCCTCAATAGCTCTCCCGGGCGATTCGAGCCCAGCTCGACGCAGGTTGTGCTCCTGACAAAGCTTGCCGCCAGTCTATCGTTGGAGAATCGGTACTTGCTTATCAACGCGATCGCGGATCAGGTTCGCTACCCTAACTCGCATACCGACTTCTTCTGCAAGCTTATGCTTCATTTATGGGGCTTGGGAACGATGGACGAGCAGCAACGGGAGGTTCGAGAACAGATCTGTCGAGTTGTTTACGAACGGCTCACGGTTGCTCGACCACATGTTTGGGGCATGACAATTCTATTCCTCGAGTTGCAGCAGAATGCAACGTACGGGTTTTGGGAGAGCGTGGCGCCCGACTCGAACATACAGCAACGTCTCCAACAAGCCATGAGGGCATCTCATTAGGCAAGAAAGACGAGCTTACAAGGGCTGATATATCGTGAGTCAGTGGGTAAAGGAACCGGAGAGTGGCAGAGGAGTCACGTAATAGGTCCATGGTTTTTATGCATATCTATTTCAGCAAGGGGAGGTGGGAGATGGCAGTTCCAGCCTCGCATTGGTTTGAACTATTTCTTTCTTGTACACTTGTTCTTCCAGACTTGTACGCTGGGGGGGCGCCTGAGTTGATGGCATTTGTGACCTCTGCTGTATCCTGCACATGATGGAGCGACGAAATCGCGACTGACACGGAATGCTGGAATATTCAGACCCACGGCCTTATATGTGAGCAGGATGGAGGACTCGGACATGGACATATTCACCGCATGAGGGACGATGGAGTTTTGATGGATGGGAGCACATCAGGCGAAAGAAAAAGTGCGAATTTATTCTTAATGCTGGACCTGGGTAGAAAACCACTACTTTTGTGAAGAAGCGGAACAGCGGGAGGAGTGAAACAAGGGCGAAAAGGTGAGAGGGGAGACATGCCCTTCGCCTACAAAACAAATGTTTTTGTGTACCATAGACAGCTTTTGAATGAACGAAGTCATGCCTCTTTGCACTTGAGTTTCTTTTTTGGTGTGCCGGGATGCAATCTACAGTCGATCAAGTACCCGGACCGTCGTTCGGACAAAGCTAATGGGGGACGTGCCATCGTTTGGCGTGTTGTCGTTGCCCGTTGCCGATTCTGACCTCGCTTGTCTCGTCCTGGGTCCTGAATCCTCGGCCTGTCCTGTCCATCCAAGCTGCGTTCTCGCTCCGAAGAGTGACACCACGGACACCAGGAGGGAGTTTGCCAGAGAAGGAGCCATCCAAGCACAACTGCGGCGATGGAAGAAGTGCTACCAGGTTGGTGTTGGCTTGAGGAGGGTGGTACCGAGACGCGACTCTTGCAAGACTCCGATGTAGCACAGACACAGCAAGGCTCACGGGGATGCTCAGCTCTGTCTGTAGCCGCGAGGAGGGATGCTTCATTCGTGGAGTGAGGAGTGAGGAGCATCTTGTGGACCATGCCCTGTGGTGGTGGTCAGTACAGAGTACAGAGGAAATAACTAATTACCTAGTAGTAGCGATCGAGATCCACCTGAGAGCGAGATGATGCTAATCAATGCAATCTCTTTGTGGGAGGCATCGATCGCGGCGCAGTTTAGAGTATGGATGACTTGCAGCCCTACGGAGACTACCTTAGGTACTAGGTAGAGTCCAGACAAAGGGGGCGCCCACCTCAGCTGGCGGCAAGCCCCCGACCCATTAATCATTATTAGCGCTGGAAAGTCTAAGGGGCTCGACCAGGCACCTAGCAGGCACCTAGCAGGGATGCTGTTTGTTAGTTGTTAGTTACATCAGGGCACTCCGGACGGCAGAGGGTACGAGTACAGTAGCCTACCGGTCAAAGCCCCAAAGCCCACCGGCAGAGCCCACCGGCAGAGCCCACTCACACTGCCAGACTCCAATGGCTCGCCTGGGTCGTGCGCCACCACTTTTCCTTGCTTGTGTGCTTGCAGCAACCAGTCGTGACATCACTGGCATCACACCTCGCGGTCATTGGCTGGCCGCCGTCAATGTTGTTGCCGTTGACCTCACTTGTGTCTTTTCTTTCCCCCAGGCCAGCTGAAGCAAGAGCAGTGGCACCTTCACTGCCCGTCCGATTCCAATTCCAGTGGCACTCCAGACGGCTAGTCGCAGCAGTAACCTGGCACTTACCTGGATCTGTCTACTCTGACAGGGTTTGCTTTCAAGCCTGACCCTCAGCCTTCGTCATACCCACCCGCGAACAGCCCTTCTCGTGGATCTGTCAAGCGACACGAGAGAACACTTCGTATAAAACACCTTGCTGCCTGTGGTCGAGGATTTTTGGTGGCTTCTCTCCTTCTAATCGCCGTGTTTGTTTCTCCACCAGTTCGCAATACCCTCTCAAGGACCTCACAACCTCGTGCCTCTCCCTCTTACCAGGGAAACCGAGCAAAGATGGAAGGCACTCTCACGCATGTGTTGTACCCTCGACAGGTTCGTCTCAATCAAGAGGCAAATAAATCATGATCAAGTTCGCTGACATTCGAATTAGTCTCAGGGCAGCAACCGAGGTGGTGGTTCGAACTCGCTTTCGGGCATCATCTCGACCCTGGTCCCAACACTGTTGATTGCTGCCATCGCCTTCACATGCTTCCTCATCTTCCGCACCCGATTCTCACGCGTGTACCGACCCCGAACGGATGAGCGCCTCCTGGATGAACAAGGACGCACTCCGCGCACTGATACCGGCTTTTTTGGCCTCGTGCGAAACCATTCGATCCTGCCGGACTCCCATGTCCTCCGCCATAATTCTCTGGACGGCTACCTTTGGCTTCGTTTTTTCAAACTTCTCATCTTCATCAGCTTTGTCGGCTGTTGTATCGTGTGGCCCGTTCTGTTTCCCGTGAATGCCACAGGCGGTGGTGGCCAAAAACAACTCGATCTCCTAAGCATGAGCAATGTCAAAAATCCAAACCGATACTACGCGCATGCCTTGGTGGCTTGGATCTTTCTCGGCTTCATTTTCCTCGTCATCGCTCGCGAGAGAATCAATTTCATTGGTTTGCGAAGAGCTTACTTTCTCTCTGCGGCGCATGCTCAGCGGCTTTCCTCCCGAACCATCCTGCTGCTGGGGCTGCCGCATGAGTACATGCAAGAAACTGCATTACGAGAACTGTTTGGCTCGAGTGTCCGCAAGATCTGGATGCCCACTGATTGCAAGACGCTAGAGAAAGACGTGAAGAACCGTCGCAAAGCTGCTCTGAAACTGGAAGGCGCTGAAATGAAACTGATCAAGGACGCCAACGCGCGTCATCTCAAGGCCGCAAAGAAGCAGTCAGCAGAGGCGACCACGACGAGCTCCGATCCTCTGCAGTGGATCGACGCTAAAAAGCGACCTTCTCACAGACTGAAGCCGCAATTGTGGAAGAAAGTTGATACTATTAATTGGTCTCGTGGCACCCTTTCGGAACTTAATCGATTCATCCAGGAGCAGCAGAACGAGCATCTTGATTTAAACCATACCCAGTTGCCGGCAGCTTTTATCGAATTTTCCACTCAGTCCGCTGCCCACTACGCTTTCCAATCCGTCGCTCGCGAGTCGAAGACCAAATTCACACCCCGTTATATCGGAGTACAACCCGAAGAAGTGGTCTGGAAGAATTTGAGCGTCAGTAACACGTCCCGCAAATCAAAGCTGCTCGTCGCAACAGTGGTGATCTGGTTGATGATTTTGTTCTGGACGATCCCTGTGGCAGTCGTCGGCGCAATTTCGAACATCAACTATCTGACCAACAAAGTCCATTTCCTGAGCTTCATCAACGACATTCCTAAGGTGATCCTGGGTGTGGTCACTGGTCTTCTCCCAGTTGTCCTGCTCGCAGTTTTGATGGCCCTGGTGCCCATATTTTGCGGGTTCCTGGCCAAACTCGCTGGTGAGCCCACTCTGTCGGCTATCGAGCTCAAAACTCAATCTTGGTATTTTGCCTTCCAAGTGGTCCAGGTGTTTTTGGTCACTACTTTCGCATCAGGTCAGTACCTTGGATATCATTATGCTACACCAGTCGGGATGAGCTAACAAAGTATAGGTGCGGCTGCCGTTGCTTCGCAGATTGTCCAGAATCCCGGGACAGCACCCACCTTGCTGGCGACCAATCTGCCAAAAGCATCCAACTTTTACATCAGCTACTTTATTCTGTTTGGTCTCATGCAATCCGGACTTCAGCTTCTCAACATTGTCCCGTTGTTAATGTACACGGTAGTTGGCAAACTTCTCGACAAGACTCCGCGCAAAAAGTACAACCGCTACATGAATATTCCGGGTCTGGGCTGGGGGTCTACCTATCCCAAATTCACTCTCCTGGGAGTCATTGCCATCACCTACTCTTGCATCTCTCCCCTGATCCTTGGTTTCGCCACCATCGGATTCTCCCTTCTGTATCTGATGTTCAGATACAATTTCCTCTTCGTTCTGGGCAACAAAACCGACATGAAAGGCGAGGCTTATGCCAGAGCATTGAAGCATTTGCTGACCGGTGTTTACATTTCTGCGTTGTGTCTCATTGGACTCTTCGCCATCGGCTGCAGCAAGAGCGCCAGCAGCGCAGGCCCCTTGGCAATCATGGTTGTGTTCTTGATCGTGCTTATTGTCGCACAAACCCTGCTCGACCGTGCCCTGGCACCCATGGAGCAGCATCTGCCTGTAGAGCTGTTGTCGGGGAACAAATACAGTACAATCCTTGTGGAGCAGGTTCTGGACGAGCACGAGTTGAAGCAAGAACACCTGGAGGCGGGCACGGCGGGCACTTCGAGCCGGGGAAATTCTGTGCCCAATGGTGGCAAGCTCGAAACTGATGCTCCTGCGCCACCAAAGAAGGAACCTTTCAATGCTTTGAGTCGCCGCCTCGAACCATTGGTCCACAGGTCCTACGAATCCAACAAAGCCATTGTTCCGCAGTCCGAATCTGATCCTTGGATTCCTGCATATACCTCGGAGGAATATGAACAGGCCTATCTCAACCCCGCCATCACGGACCCATCGCCTATCGTCTGGCTAGCCAGAGACAAGTGCGGCGTCAGTACACTGATGATTCAAGAAAATAGAGAGGCGGGGATTAAAAGCACGGATGAGCAGGCCGAACTCGACGACAAGAACAAGCTTGTCTGGCAGGAGGAGCGGGTCAGGGAGGCGCCTCTGTGGGAGAGACCAGTGAGATATTAAGCCATTGAATTGGTCACGGCAGCATTGCTATGGGTGTGAAACGATGGTAAACCATGGTCTTGCAGGAATGATACCCACGATGGATTAGCACGGCAACTCCCTTCCTTCTTCCTTCACCGGTGCTTGTTTGGGGTTTAGATGGAGTGTATTAAGTAGCTACCTAATGAGCAATTCATTGAGAATAAAGTGAGCAGAGCAGAGCAGAGCAGAATAGGTCACCGATGAGGTCAAAGTAGGTGAATGGTGCAAAATGCCAATGGTGCCAATACAAGATGGGTTACGTCATCTGCGAGTTGTGGTTTTGTGGTTCTGTGGTTCTCCCATCACATGTCTGGAGAGGTGCAGCAGCGTGTACGCATACTCCGTGCTGTATGTGTGTGCATAGACTGGAAGTCGACCCAGTGTTCGATATTCACCAAGGTAGCCATGCCGGGCCCTTCAGTCCGTTTTCTGATGTTGACATAATCTGGGGAGCTGACCTGACCTTGTTATCCCATCAACCAGTGTGTATCATGTTCAACTCTGTGGGATCATAAGGACTACCGAGTCGTGGCTGTCGAACCGCAGCCTGCACAGCCAGATGGACCTCAAGATGGCTGATTCCACCCACTCGGGGGATTGGGACCACGTCTCTCTGTTCCAACGTGCCGTCGTGAGTGTATCAGGCCATCAGTTTCTGCCTCGTGATTGACATGGCATTGCACAGACTTTGCTCCTCGCGCCCGTCCACCTCCTGACCTCACGCGTCGCAGTCAAAGCCTACCTCAGTACCCTTCTGCTCCTGACTACGTCGACCATTCTCATCGCCGTCTCATCCACCGCCTACGGGCTCTTCTACTACAACTACATCCCGCAGATCAACCTCGAACGCGTCGTCTACTTGCAATATGTTCCTGGTGCGCATCCTTACGCAACCACAGCCTTGGACGCATCCGCTTTGGTGTCGCAGCAAGCATACGATGTGGAATTGATTGTGAACATGCCCAGAACACCTACAAACCTAGAGGCCGGGAACTTCATGTTGGACTTGTCACTGCTTGGGCCGGGGATCAACGCGAAGAAGCTTCCGGACACTGTCACAGCCTGGCTGGCCAACCTCACCTCGGAGAATGTCTTATATCACTCCCGCCGGCCGGCCATCCTCCCGTACTCGTCTCCTATTCTGTCAATAAGCCACATGTTCTTACATTTGCCATGGCACTTGCTGAATATACGTGATCTCGACTCCTCTCGCTTGGTCGTGCCCATGTTCGAAATGCTGTCTTTTCCCCGAGGATCACGGTATATCCCGACGCACGCGAGACTGGAGCTTCAATCTAGCACCACGCTGCAGGTCTACGACGTTAAACTCGCCTTTCGGGCCAAGTTCCAGGGCCTGCGGTATCTGGTCTACAACTACCGCGTCACCGCGTTCGTTGTTTTCACAGCTACATTCTACACGCTCAGTGTCGCCACTATGGCTTTCGTCTGGGCGGTGGTATCCGCGTTCATATCATCCAGCAGAGAGCCAGCAAAGATCAAGCAGATAGGTGACGATCAAAATGGCCAGCTCAAGCCAGAACCAGAGTCCGCATCGGCTGCCAAAGTCAAGATGGAGGACGACCCCGACTCCTTTGCACACGGATTATCCTTGTCGAATATCTCGGAAACTGTAACACAATTTCCTACCCTTAGAGGACAGACTTCCCGGAGCTTTGTCGAAGGGAGCCCTGTCGTGGATCGCAAAGATGACAGGGACGAGGATGATGGTCTGACACGACCGATTGGCGCAGGGGAGGCTGCCGATGACGAAGAGGACGGTCGAGAATCTGAAGAAATACGCGGAAGACCATTCGAGGGGGACTCTGGCATCGGTACAAGTATGGAGAGCGAGCACACCTCGGGAGCTCTCTTTAGAAGGCGCAGCTCGAGGAACATTTCGCACAAGTGAACGAGTGTTTTGTCCACCTTCGATTTCTGTAATTCCGAATCTGAGCCTCCAAATCAGTTCGGAACCTAGGTCTCACAGAACTACTGCAAGTTGCCCTTCGCCTGTGTGAGGGTCGTCTCATTGGCGGCGGCGCAGTCTTCCCGTCCTCAGCGGTGTCTGCAGTTGTTGTTGAGTCTTTGGTGTTGCTTAGCATGATTGACGTTTGCATTGACACAGTATCTTTTCTAGCCGAGGCAATCCGCCCACGCCCCTCAGCATGGATCGATGTCGGTTTCCCGATTGCCGACTGCGTCTACAGGCCCAGGCTGGCATCTCGGATGCCTTCACTGGAACCTCCCTGGCCGAAGAAGAGGAGGTACTAATTGTCTCTAGACGCTGGCGAGGATATATGAGTTGCTTCAACAACCATGCCGTTCAATGCCCTCGGTCTCCCCCTCGAATACTGTTCTCGGGAGTACCGACTCCATGCCGGCCGTCCCGCTCCATTATGGATGCCCGCAGACCCAAGGGCAACACCCATGTCTAGATACCGGGAGCGCATCAATTCGAATTTCTCCGCCAGGCTGAAAGACTCCCAGGAGCTTCACCAGTGGACCGTACAACATCCTCACGAGTTCTGGATTGATCTGTACGAGTATTGCGGCATTGTCCCACAGCTTCCCAGCCACACTAGGCTCGCATACAACCCCCGGCTGGGACTTCGCGATGTGCCAGCCTTCTTTCCAGGCCTGAAGCTCAATTACGCAGAAAATGTGCTTGTCCCAAACACTAATGCGAATCCTTCTGCTGTGGCATTGGTCGGTCTGAGGGAGAAAGATCTCGGTCATCCAGAGAACGTCACCTGGTCCGAATTGACAGAGCTGGTGCGTGTGGCCAGATCGGCCTTGGCCCGTCAAGGCATCAAACAGAACCATGTCGTGGCAGCGCTCATGGCCAACTCCATTTGGACCATCGTCCTCTTTCTGGCCTGCGCCTCGATGGGTGCCATCTTCACCTCGGTGTCGCCAGACATGGGCATTGCCGGCTGTGTCGCCCGTTTCGCCCAAGTCTCTCCTCGAGTGCTCTTCGCTGAAGTTGATCTAGCAGTTCGAGGGCTGCGTCCGGCAATGATGGGGAAAGTGCTGGAGATTCTGCGATCGCTTCCCCCCAGTGTGGCACGGCCGCAGGTGGTGTTTGTGCCCACCGGCCAACGGCCACACTTGCAACAGAATCTGGACTATGTCAGGCCCCTCGGCGTCTCACTGCATACCTTCCTGCTCAAGTCGAGGCCATCCGATGCTTTGCGCTACACCCGGCTTCCCAGCGACCACCCTCTGGTCATCGTGTACTCGTCTGGCACGACAGGAGAACCCAAATGTATCGTCTCGCCTCACATTTCGATCCTGAACTACAAGAAGATCGCCCTTCTCCACAACTCCCTCGGTCCACACAGCACTGTCTTCCAGTACTCGTCGACCTCCTGGATCCTCTGGAACGTGATGAACGGTCACCTCTCCGTTGGTGCTAAAGTAATCTGCTACGACGGCGGAGCCCTCTACCCGGACCCTTCGACGCTTCTGCATATTTGTGACCAGTTCAAGGTAACGTACTGGGGCACTTCGCCGCGCTATCTGCTCGAACTCGAGCAATCTGGCATCCAGCCTTCCTCCTTCGACCTCTCAAACTTAGCCCTGGTCACCACCACCGGTGCCACCCTGACCGGTGAGCAATTCCACTGGTTCTACTCGGCCTTCCCACGCCGCATCCATCTTTCCTCTGTGGCTGGTGGTACAGAGATCGCTTCGTCCTGGGTCGCCACCGACCCCGCAGGGCCGGTCTACGCCAACGAAATGCAGATGTGGGCTCTGGGCCACCACTGTGACATTCTGGACCCCGACACGGCTGAGTCTATAGCCATGACGGGCCGACCAGGAGAGCTTGTGTGCCGGGCGCCGTTTCCCAGCATGCCGTGCAGATTCTGGGGCGACGTCGACCACAAGAAGTACCGCGCGGCGTATTTCGAAAAGTTCAAGCTCACAGATCCCGACATGAGCAAGCACAACTTCCTCGACGTCTGGGCCCAGCATGACTTCATCGTCATGAACCCGGTCACGCGCGGTGTCCAGATTCTCGGCCGTAGCGACGGTGTCCTGAACCCCTCGGGCATTCGCTTCGGCAGTAGCGAAGTCTACAACATCGTCGAGGGCCCGCAGTTCAACACCGTCTTTGCCGACACCCTGTGCGTCGGCCGCCGCCGCCCCATGGACCGAGACGAGACCGTCTTTCTGTTTGTCGTCATGGTCCCGGGCCACGAGGCTGGCTTTAACGACCACCTCGTCGCTAGGGTCAAGGCCGCCATCCGCCACGGCCTCTCTGCCCGACACGTGCCCAAATTTGTCCTCCCCGTCCGTGCCATCCCCTATACCGTCAACGGAAAGAAGGTCGAACTTGCCGTCAAGAAGCTCATCAGTGGCTTCGACGTCAAGCCCAGCAGCACTATCAGAAACCCAGAATGTCTCGACGAGTACCGCCCTTTCCGGGACTTGGAGAGAGTGGGAAGCGCCGAGAGGTTGTAGACTTGCAAAGGTTATCCAATGGAAGACAAACAAGCTAGATGCTAGACTACTCTAGGTGTCTACGTGGTAGAAGTTGGGCATATCATGAAACTCCACATCACGGGGATCGCTAACCGGGCTCTAGAGGATAGATGTAGCCGGCTTGTTTAGGCCAATAAACCAGGGAACCTTTCTCAATGCTGGCGCTGAAAAGAGATGGCCAAATAGATCGACTTGAATCTCAAACTACATGCCAACCCCATCATCACGAACAGTGGTCACATATCGGAATCCATATCATTAAAGGGCAACGTGTTCTCAAATTTGAGCTTCTGTCGTTTTAGTTCTTGTCCCATCTGAACTCGGGCAGCTTCAAAGCGAGACTGCTCAGGACCACACTGACACTGCTGGCAGCCATAGCCACACTTGCCCAGACAGGTCCCAGCCTCCAGCCTCCATGGTTATGCGTCGCACCAACCGGGAAGAAAACGCCTGCCGCAACGGGAACGAGGCATAGATTGTATATCGCGGCCCATGCAAAGTTGAGCTTTACTCTTAGGAAAACCCGATGGGCGAGTCTGGTAAGTGCTAGAATCGTACTCAAGTCGGAGTTAAGTAGAATAAAGGAAGCTGTGGTCACCGCGACGTCGGAGCCGGAGGAAAGGGCAATGGAAACATCCGCGGCCGAAAGAGCGGGAGTATCGTTTGTGCCGTCGCCGACAAATGCAACGATGCGGCGTTCATTTCTCTGCCGGCCGGCCTTGTCGAAAGGGGGGCCCTGCAACTGTTGAATGTAGGCAGCCTTGTCCTGGGGGAGCACGCCGGCACGAACGTTACAGGCAGGGATGCCAAGCTGAGCTGCGATGGCCAAAGCGGTCGTTTGGTTGTCTCCAGTACACATGTGGACATCAAGCTTCAATCTCCGCAAGGAATCAAGGACACTCGGGGCTTCGGTGCGGATAGGGTCCGCAACTGCGAAGAGCGCCAGTGGATGGAAGGAGGAGCTCAAAGCAGCAGCTTTCTCTGTGTCTTCGGGGAGTGACCTGATGGCAAAAACGGCGGTGGAGTGACCCAACGATTGGTGCCGCCGCAAGATGGGGGTCAGATAAAAGTCCTCATTGGAAACGAGGTTCGGGACTGTTTCAGCCTTCGCCGTAGGTGACTGAAGGAGCTTCTCATTTCCCAGAATAGCTTCAATTCGCCTGGTTGCAGAGGGGGCTTTCAAGTTGAAAATGCCCGCCATCCCTTGTCCTGGCGATTCCCTCACTTCAATTTGTTCAATCTGCAGGGTGTTGGAGTCTTGTTTGCAGTACTCTGCGATGGCCTTGGCTATCGGATGCGTGCTGGACTCTTCCAGGATGCGAGCAAGTGCCAGGACGATCTGCTCATTGACCATGTTCTCGTTGCTGATTGAAGGATGGCGAAGCATCTCGAAGTTGGTGACACGCATCTGACCTTCGGTCAACGTGCCAGTCTTGTCAAATACAATGGCGTCGATATTCGACGCTTCCTGGAAAGCTTCACCACCGCCCTGAACCAAGATGCCGTGTTTGGCGGCAAGCCCGCCTCCAACGAAAAGCGCTGTTGGGGCTGCCAGGCCAATGCCACAAGGGCACGCAACCACGAAGACAGCAATAGCAAACTCAACCGACCAAAATGGCCAGCCTCCCTGCGAGACATCAAGCCACGCTCGTGGAAGCTTTCCTGACTCGCCCAGACTTAACCAAATCACCCAGGTAGTGATCGCAAGGGCCGTTATTACAGGCACGAAATATCCCGTGAGGATATCGGCAATGCGTTCGACTGGTGCCCTTCTTGCTTGGCCCTCGCGCACCACATTAACGATCCGGTCCAACATAGAGGTACCGCCAACTTCGGTAACCTTGACCCTGACGGGATCCGACACATTGACAGATCCGGTGTAGACCTCTTCACCCTGGCTCTTCTTCACCGGTTTCGATTCTCCGGTAAGCGAGCTCTCGTCGAAGAGAAACGTGCCTTGCTGGTCAATCACACCATCAGTGGGTGGGGACGTGCCGTGAGGTATTTGAACAATATCGTCCACCTCCAGCTGATCAACGGGGATCCGTTGTATACTAGGGTGTGGTGTACTTTCGTCGCGGACCGATGACCGTCGATCTTCCACAAGCAGGGCGTCCGCAGGCCGTAATTTACTCAACATTGCAACAGCATCGCCGGTCTTGGCCTTGCTGTATGCTTCCAGAAACCGTCCGATAAGGATGAAAAAGGTAAGGAAGGTCACCGTGTCAAAGTACGTGTCGGATGATCTGCCGTGATCCATGGACGATGGTTTGGCGGTAGCATCCATGATGAGGACTGCCAAAGATGAGAAGTAGGCCACTGACGCGCCTGCACTGATCAAAAGATTCATGCTGCCAAAGCGATAGAAGCGCCGAAAGAAGGGCACTTTGCTCTTGGGCCTCCAAATGGACCTGATCTCTTTCAAAGCACGGACATGGAAAAGATCTGTGCCGTAGAACATGACCGGTGTAGTCAGGAAGAACAGCGCCCATTCCATCCGCATGGCATTTCCTGCAATAATCGGCTCTTCAAACCACTGTCTGGTAGAATTCGATTTGGGGACAAGGCTCATGTACACAACCCCGATGATGAAAGTGGGAATCGCAATCACGGCCGCAAATACTAGTCGACAGAGGATGTGCTTCTGTTCCCTGCGTTGCAATCGCCGTGACCGTTCCTCTAGAGTCGGGGGGTGATATACGCTTGCATTGAAAGCTTCATGGCCAGCACTGATGGCGGAGATGAAGCTCCTCACGGTGAACTCGGGAGGAGCAGGTCGGTACACAATGGTCATGATAGGATCCCGGAGTGTTGGCGACTGAGTGACGGTGAACATAGGGAGGCCATCTGCATTTGTGGCTGGGATTGCATTCTGTAGCGCAGACCTGATGTTGCCTGGACAATGCTCACAGTACATGCCATCAATCTTGATTCGTAGTGTTCGCTCGATCTCATTTGATCGGGGTGATCTGGAATCTCCCTCGACTTTCACAACGGTGCAGCCGTATCCCAAATCATCAATCTCTTGCAAAATAGCGCCAAGGTTATGTTCACCTTCAAAGCACACAATGCCGCGATTGCCGACAAGATCAATGTTGACCGAGCGCACAAATGGCAGTTCTTGGAGTCCTCGAGTGATCGTACCAACGCAGCTCCCACAAGTCATACCCTCGATGCTCAACATGACCTTGTACTCTTTGGCGACTTCGGTGGGCGAGTGCTTTCTTGGAGAGAGCATCGACACCTCGTCAAGTGTAGCTTCATAGCCCAGGTCGTCGATTGCCTCGACGATTCTGTCGCAGTTATCTTTCGGGGCCTTGAACACCACTGTCGCAGTGTTCGTCATAAGGCTGACATCTGCCGAGTCCACGAAGCCAAGATGGTTCAACTCTTTTGAGATTGTGCCACTGCAAGATGCGCAGGTCATGCCGCCAACTGAGATTGTCGCGGCGTACTGCAGAGCCTCCGCGTCGTGAGCAGTACCATCAATATTGATGGTAGCAAAATGCTTCTCGACGAGAGTGTCATCCGATACTACGGTGCCACTATCCCTAGATTTGTTCTTGGGCAAGCCTGGCCATCGAGAGTGTGCAAGTGCGGGCCATGGCCGCTTCCGTGTGGGTTCCCTGGCTCTTTTCTCTTGACATGCTTTGCAGTTTTGAATATGCTTGCGTTCAGCACGAGACATGCGCCATGTTGACCGCGGTACGGAGGACGAAGGGTCGTTCGGTGACACGTCGTGGTCGGAAATTTGAGTACCGTTTGGGTCGATGGTTGTGACATGTTGAACTTCGAAGGCAGCCTTCAACAGTTCCTTGACAATAAGTTCCTGAGTTTTGTCATGTGCGTGCTTGACTCGAATGGTGTGGTCGATCAGTGAAACATGAACTGAATGGATGGCAGGAACTTCACGTAGGACATCTTTGGCGTAGGAGACACAGGAAGGACAATGGATATTTGATACTAAGAATGTTGAGGTAAAAGCCATGGCTTTGCGAGATACAGGACGACTCTCGAATGTCACCTACCAACCCGATATAGGGGAATGGAAATGTGGAATCGGGGTACAGGGCGAGGAGGCAAGTGCTGTGTGACAATGAAGAGATATGAAGGAGCAGGGAGGAACTGAAGGGGACGAGAAAAGATGATCATTTGTACAGATCTTGGATGGCTGCGCAGTTTGTGCGTAAAGCCACCTCACCAATGCGAGTCCATTCGCAGCCATATGCACTGATAACAATCCAACATGGTAGTCGTTGTTGGTGGTTGACGACGCTGGGCTGCGCGACTTGTGCGTAGATTTGTAACCCCGAAGCGCGTCCCCAGTCACGTGCATCCGCCCGCGGAAGCCCTGGTCGAGCTTTCATCGGACCTCGCCATGGAAGCAGAGTCCTCCACGAAATCAAACCACCTGGCTGGAGTCCGCCGAGACAGATACTCGACGTCAATGGGCTTGTCCTATGAGTACTATCATAGCTTCCACCGAGAACAGCGATTCACGGTCCTTATCAAACTTCGTTAACCCGATGGAGGTTCCCTTGACGGACGCCTCTGATGCTCCTCCTTCGAACCCTACTGTGAACCCTACTGTATACCATGACGCCTCTCTCCCCAATACCAACAGTGTACCTGCCCCTCCTCCCCAGTATCCTTCAGACCCGATCTCTCATGCGCAACCGGGCCCCAGCAACGGACCTCGAAGGGGTTCGTTTCCGGACGTCCTTCCTCAAGGCCACACTTTACCTCAACCCATCAGCGCCTCCATTGGCCTGGTGACGCAGGACATGTCCAGTTCCATGCAAAGTGCACTTCCAAAGCCCGATCTAGGTCACCAAGACCCGCAAACTGACAGCGATCCTGATTTCCAGTCCTCAGGCGCGCGATCGAGCATGAGTGTTGCCCCGCGCTCTCTGAATGAAATGCCACAGGAAACTGAAGACTCGACAATCACAGTTGCGGACTTCCTGGATACCCAAGCTGGCCACATAAGCTCGACTGCATCTACACCATCTGTCACGCAGAGTGTAGCCTCTCACCGGAGCAAGCAGTACCTCCTTCCTAATGGCTCGGTAGTACCTGGGAAAGGTCTTGGACGAGGCAGACCCGGTCTCAAACGGGGACCTAGAACTCCAAAGTACCCGACTGGGGATGCAGTGTCGTCGCCGGCAGCCTCTATGATTGCGACGGTTGGCTCCTCAGAATCGGCCAATCCCCCGAGCAAGAAACGCAAGAGTGGCAACTCTGTCGGCTCGCTGATCAACGCGCAGGTGTCGACACTCGATTCTGTCACGACACCATCTCGAGAGTCGTCGGAAAATTACAACCCTACTGCCACACAGACACGATCTGGCCGACACAGCCATAGGCCGGTTTCACTCACAGACGCAACGGCCGCGAGCGCAAGCCCCTCAAGGAAAGGAAGCCGCGCGGACAGACCTACCAGCACTGCCTCTGCATCTCCCGCGACAGTCAAGACTCACCCCAAGATCAAGCGCCGGGTTTATCGTGGTCGCGAGCAGTTTGCGCTTTGCGAGCATTGTCTACGTGGCCACGGTCCACCAGTCAATGTGATCGTCTTCTGCGACGCATGCAACAAATGTTGGCACCAACGCTGTCATGATCCACCTATATCCAAGCAAACCGTTTCGGACACTAAGACTGAGTGGTTCTGCTCCGAATGCGACCGTATTTTGCATGGTACGAAGAAGGCCAAGAAAATGGCGAAACCAAGCGCTCAATCGACTTTGACCGTGCCTGTCACTAAACCAACGCTTGCCTACGACGGCCCGCTAGTCGGAGGCCGTCTACTGGATGCTGGACAGAAATCGGCTTACCTCAGTACCCTTCAGAAGGATGACTTGGTCTCACTCCTTTTAGAAGCTTCCAATTTAGCCCCTGATCTACCTATCTTCAAAAGACTTGTTCCGGTATCTCAGCCAATCGATTTTCCTCAGGCTCAGTTCACGTCGACCTACGTGACGCCAGCTTCCAAACCACCGATGTTTGCGGACAAGGATCCTCGAAATACCACTGACACCGTCGATGAAGGCTACGATGACTATTTCGAAGATCACTCTGCCCTGTACCCCAAAGCTGGGAACGGGGTTCAACTACCCCCAGAAAGCGAGGACTTACACATTCTGCTAGAGGGCAAAGATAGCAAAACCTTTAGCCACTGGGTCCGTGGGATGGGGGGGCAAGATTTCAGTGGAACCGGGAATGTTATGTCGTGAATACAGCATGGGATTACTTGGGCAGACTGTATGCTCTCAGGCCGCAACAAGAATCAATTCTTTACAATGTTCCGGAGAAAGACTGGATCGCGTGATGGAAAGCTTTGGCAATCAAGTATGGCACATGTTTTATCTTCTTGACCTTTCCCTCCTGTGTTGGTCTACCAGTGCGCTCTTCGTGGTTTGCCAGAGCTTGTGGATGTGTGTTTGCTGCCTCATATTTGTCTGGCCCGCAAACAATGGTCCAGTGAATATGAACGTGGCAGCCATCTTGTATTCCTTCAAGAGCAACCAGGTGAGACGGTACCTTATGCAGCGAGATGAGCAATATCTAAGCTGTACGGAAGGGTAAGTCTCTTCAAGGATGTAAGCAAGTGGTGAGATGGGAGTGGCAACCCGAAGAGTTGCCTTATGGTGCAGCTGGGTACATACTGTGCATATGTACAATCAGCCTGCGCACATCCCGCATCGACAAATAAATTCTCCTGCCTGCCAACTCACCGGGTACGAGCATGATCCTCCTGACCAAGTGAATTCTCAAAACTAGGCAACACTGCTGGCGGATTTGAGAAGCCGCGATTTTACACCTGCCTAGGTATTCTTTGTCTGCTTTTACTCTAGTTCATATCATCAACTTGAACGCGGTCTGACTCAAATCATCAACGCAGTATCACTTACATCATTAACTGCACAATGGCAATCATAAGAGCTCGTCTTTCTGCTTCTGCAGAGGCACAAGAGCTTCCAGTGCAGACTGCGAACACACTTGATCGAATTCCCCGTCCTTCACTCCCACTTACTGAAGACGGTCCCGGCACTCTTTCTTCCTTCGGTCCGCGACATGACAATGACAAGATCAATTACAAGCAGATTGAAATCCTACCCACCGCCGATGAAATCCTCGCTGTCAACCGCCCTGTTTACATGCCAAAGAAAGACTTGCGTACGCACAATTTCCTACCGATCGGGCCTACGAGACACCTGGATCTGCTATTCAGACAGCTACGATATGACAGCACCGAGAGCATAAGGGACATCTGCTATTCTGCAGCTCAGATCGCATTCCTTGGAACGACTCTTACAGGCCAAAGTCAATCTGACGACACCCAAGAACAAATTCGCCATGAGACGGTCGCTGGCAACCGGTATTTCCTCTACCGAGACGTTCGAGTTGAAGAGCTGCTTGCGCATGAAGCCAAGTCGATGCTCGTCCGTGTCAGCTATGATTGTCCGCCCTTCATGAGAGGTCGAAAGATGTACAACAGCCATCGATTTCAAGAAGGCATGCTCGTGGCTCTGATCAAGCTTGACCATATTACAAACCAGTTCTCTGTGGTTTTCTTAGAGGTCAACTTGTCCCAGACAACCTTTTCAATGGACAGCTTCAAAGGGGGTGGCAGACGGGCAGCTGTACAATTGGCTTTCCTCCCTTCGAGCAGATATGACGATGTCCTACAACTATGCCGCCATGCACTGGGTCTTTGTCAGCAGTGTGAACTGTTCCTCGTCGAATTCCCGAAAGTTCTCTTCGCTGGATTCTATAATTGCCTCAAACGTTTACAAGAGATGGAAGACACGGATTTCGCATTCCGTCAATACGTTGCACCAGATATGCCAATGGATGAGGCGTTGCTCGCAATGGAACGTAACCTCGCCGCTGGAGGCCCTTCGATGATACCATGCCCCCCTCCAGTTTATGCAGACTCGCCCACATTCACTTACAACCTCGGTAAAATCGTTCCACCCACTAGCCGGATTGCATCGATGTCGCTCCAAGATCTATCACACGATATATCTCTCACACGGCTCAAACAAGAGACAAGTTTGGATGATGGCCAGGTGACGGCGCTAAGAGACTGCCTGACACGAGAGTTTGCATTGACACAAGGGCCTCCAGGTTGCGGAAAGACCTATCTGGGCGTGCAGCTGGCCAAAACACTCCTCGAATCGCGACCTAGGCCAAAGCCCGTACTGTTGGTATGCCTCACGAACCACGCACTTGACAGTTTTCTAGCTGATCTCCGTGATGCCGGGGTTTCCTCGCTGCTTCGCATCGGATCTGGCAGCAAAGTTGAATGGACAAAATCCATCAACATTCAGAATTGTAGACGCAAAGTTCGACTGCGCAAGGAGGATTCCATGGCGATGGCTACTTTTATAAAGCGGAGAAAGGAGACGTTTACCGAGCTGGATTCGTTATGCAAAGGTAATCTCAGTTTTCTTTCACATGTTTTCTACTCAGGCAACTGATCCCCACTAGGACTTTCATCCCAGTATCACACTGGAATTGTCTCGTGGCAGTACGTCCAAGAGATCTTGTCCGCTCGCTATCCCCAGATATACGCCCAGCTGTCAACAAACGCACCGTCTTCACATGCAAAGGCTTTCACCTTTGAATATTGGTCGGGTGGAGGAGACCTGGAAAACATCCGCAACTTACACGTCGAGCTCGCCTTGAGACTTGCAGAAGGGTCTATGCGCCACGGCAAGTCTCCCCCCGATGAGGTACAGGACATCCTTTTGGACATAATTTACTATGCTCGCTTGCAAAGCTCCAAGGCTGGAGATGGCAGCATTTGGGATTTGAGTCTGCAAAACCGTCAGCAGCTGCTTCAGAGATGGGAAGCTGAAGTTGATCGAGAACACATGGCCGTCAAAGTGGCTGACCTGCATTTCGAGCTTGGAGAGTATGCCCGAGATATTAAGCGCATCAACAACAGTCGCGACCTCAAGATCATGGCAACGCATGATATCATTGGCATGACCACAACAGCATGTGCAGCGCGGTGGGAGCTTCTCCGTTCTATAGAAGTCGAGACTCTCATCTGTGAGGAAGCCGCCGAGGTCATGGAGGCTCATACCCTGTGCTCCTTACTCCCAACTCTCCAGCATGCCATCTTCATTGGCGATCCACTGCAACTGCGGCCGGAAGCTACCGAACCCACCCTCAGCATTGAGAATCGTGTCGGAACAGATTATCGACTGGACGAATCATTGCTGGAGCGTCTGATGTTCCCCCGCGACCCCTCTGCATGGGCGATGCCCACAAGTCACCTGAATGTTCAACGCCGTATGCACCCCGAAATTGCGGACCTTGCCCGTCTCACATATCCGTACCTCAAAGATCATGTTTCGACCCTCTCCAGGACTCCATCCTACGGCTTCGAGCACAGAATGTTCTGGTGGGATCACCGAGTTCCCGAACTTGCCTGTGACGATTTGAAATCGCACGTTAACTTGCACGAAGTTGAGATGGTGGCAAGCCTCGTTGAATACCTGCTCCGCAATGGCGCATACTCCCAAGGTGAAATTGCGGTCCTGACCCCGTACTCTGGCCAACTGGCCCAACTGCACGAGCGGTTATCCATCACATGTGACATATGGCTCAGTGACAAGGACAGAGAAGCGTTACTTGACGAAGAGTTGCTTGCTCTGGGCGAAGAAGGTAGAGCAACCAAAGATGAAGTCGCCATCTCTGACATGCTAAGAGTTTCCACCGTCGACAATTTCCAAGGCGAGGAAGCAAAGATTATTGTGCTCAGCACTGTGCGGAGTGGAGGTCAGGCCGGTTTCCTCAAAATCACGAACCGAATTAACGTCGCTTGCAGCCGGGCTAGGAACGGGTTCTACATCATCGGTAATTCCCAGACCCTGTCCCAAGTCCCAATGTGGAGGCGGGTCATCTCAACCTTCAACGGTAAGATAGGTGCATCGATCATGACACGCTGCAACGCTCATCCCGAACACCACCACGCCGTTCAAGAACCCAAGGACTTTTCAGACGTGACGGAATGTCCCGCCATTTGTGGCCAAATCCTTGATTGTGGCCACAGATGTGAAGCGAAATGTCATCCACCAGCACTCCACTCACGCTTGACATGTCAAAAGAAGTGCAACAAGACCTTCCCCTGCGGGCATAGGTGTTCCAAAATCTGCTATCAGACTTGTGGAAAATGCCAGCTCTTTGTCGACGATATCATACTCGACTGTGGCCATCCAGGACAAGCTCTGTGTTCCGGAACGTCAAAATGCAAGGCCATTTTGTCGAGTAGATCATTGGACTGTGGCCATATAGTTGATATACTTTGTGGCGAGGATCCTGCAGCTAAACTTGTCTGCGAAAGACCATGTGTCCACCCTCTTCCATGCGGCCATATTTGTACTGGAAAGTGCGGCCAATGTCGGAAGAAGCATCAAGTGTGCTTGAAGATCTGTGATAGACCCAAAAACTGCGGTCATTTATGCAAGGAGACTTGCCATTTCGGAAAACCGTGCCCCAGGTCGTGTCTCGAAGCATGTCCAGAGCGATGTGATCATGGCCCCTGTCGGAACCGTTGTCAAGATGTCTGTGATCCCTGCCTCAGGCCGGCTGTTCCTGGTTGTGACCATGAACGACCTTCGAAGATGTTGTGTTGTCTACCAAATCCGATCCCGTCATGTTCTCATCCCTGCCCAGAAGGTTGGTCCGAATCCCCTGAGGAGGTTGATAACAAGCTAACGAACGATTGACAGTGTTGGAATGTGGACATCTATGCCCTTCACTCCACGGAGAGATCTGCCCTCCCGCCAGCCTCTGCCCCAAATGCATGCAATCCCCACAGCTAGGGATCCCGATGCTCTATCTGCCTCAATGTGGCCACTTGGTATCTCTAGCGCAATTGGATCGAATCAACCTGACAGCCATTCACGGGCGAGGAGCAGACGGCTTCAAGATCTGCCTCGCCGATATCCAAGAACCGAAATGCACCTGTGGGGTATCATGTCCTGCCACCCGCCGGTATATGCTCGAGTCAAAGCTCGTGAGTTTCCCAAACACGTTGGATCGTCTCGTGGCAAAGATGGGTAGGAAGATACAGCGCTACACCAGGACGATCGAAGTGACCAAGAATGGCCTAGACGAGAACTTGGATTCGTTCGTTGACGATATTAGACCGAATCCATTGGCGGCCAAACAGAACACTGCGCACCTGATTCGACGATACCGAGATATACTGAAGTTGCAAAAGGAGATCGCCAAATTTCGGGATGAGGTGGTTGATCCAACTCAACGTTGCCTAGCCGAACTGCACGACATTTTCCCTAGCATCATCGGATCTTACAAGTTGATGTTCCGTCTTCATTTTGACGTCCTGGAGTATCGTGTCATCAATGTGCGGATTGTCGATACTCTCAAGCTTTCGGACTACCTGCTCCAACTTCACGACTCTTCTTACGGGGTACAGCGGCAGGGCTTGAAGATGCTGGAGTTCGCAAACAAGGAATCTACTGCTTGCGTAGGGTATTGCGAGGATGCCCTCGATGATCCAGTTGTCAAGTCCGGTCCATGTATCGAAAGCGAGATACGACTGCTACAGATCCGCTTCCGACTCCTTGCGAAATCCACGCAGTCCAAACTTTCTGAACTCCGGGCCGAGGCGCAGTTGGAGCCTCAATCTGCAGACGACAGCAGGCTCAGGGCTAGCCTCGATGCAGTAATTGATATCTGTCGCCGATTACCTACCACGCATGACGGGTTTCTGGACACTGTCCATGAGTTTGCCAAAGCACTTGGACAAGAAGGCTCCAGCGATTTCCGGACGGTTCCAAACGTCAAGAACGACACTGTCCGCAAAATCGAGAAATCGTGGGGAATGCACGAAGTCGGCTTCTTGACAACTTGCGGAGAGTCTCATCTGTACTCGGCGAAAACCTTTCCAGAAGGCTGCCCAGATTGTGGTAAGTCAGTAACCGCCATGGATGACGTCTACCGGCAAAGTTCCAAGTATCTGTTTGAGAAACAATTCCTTGCTGCCATGAACGCAGGGGATAGCAAGCCTACGAAGGCCACTGCCAACAATACCACAACGTCGACCAATGCATGTGAGACTTCTGCATCCCAAGAGATTATTGTTCAAAATGCTGTGATCACGGAACGGAGCAGGGCTGTGACTTCGGAAGAAAGGGTTCTGACAGCTGTGCCCACAATCAAGCCCGGCAATGTGAACGAGTTTGGAGTTGCCAACTTGTGTGTCGATGACTGTGACAATGCAACGAAGAACATTTCCAAGGAAGCTGCTCAGAAAGCTGGGCATGAGCAGTCCCAGGTAGACAACAAAGAGGGATCGATCAAAGACTTGACGAACGAAGAAAAGTTCCTCATAGCAATGCGCGGAATCGGAAAGAAATGAAGTGATGGTGGCTTGCGGTAGCCAAGAAGAGGAGTTGGCTCGTGGGGACTCATCGACTGAAGATGTACTGTATGTAGTTGAACTGAGTATGCCAGGCTGAAAGGCACCTCAACCAGGGCGGCCGTGACTGGAGAGGTACAGTAGATGGTATCTGAAGCCATACCTCCCGTAACATACTCCTGCGACTGTTTGGTCTCTGTGTTAGGTATGTACAGTAGTTTCTGAGGCTACTGGGGTGAAGGCCATTCAAGGCGGAGACACCGAGGCTGGAGGTTTAGGGGCGTCAGGTCGGAGCAACTCCGGGGTCCAGCACAGGACAGCACCAGCAGTCAGTTTCCCCGGACTGATATGATGCCTCTCCATCTCCACCTTTCCAGTCTTCAGTATCCGTGGAAAAGAAGGTCAGGTCGCGGGGCAGACAGCCAGATTGGGGCTTAGGCTCCAAGGAGACCGAGCTGCTTGGGCTTGGTGGGCTTGGGCTAAGGGTCGGCAGGGTCAACTGTACCTTGGACCGTATAAAATGAGATTTATGTATATTTCGATTTCTGACTGCTTGCTTTATCCATGCGTCCTGTCCCTGACCCGACAAGCTCTTTGATCAGATACCAAACTTGAAATTCTACAGAAAACTTAACCAGGCCTTCTAAATCTAAATCTAACCCGCCAGGCCAGTTCCAGTTCTGTTCTCTCTCCGTCGGTCCCGCCCGCCCATCACCACCACACCACCACACCTAGCATACCACCATGGCTCTGTCGCTGGAAGCCCAGATCCAGCAACTGCTCGATACCCAAGCCATTCGAGACATTTCGGCCCTCTATAACCGCTACGCCGACGCGGCCGACGGGGACAAGTTTGCCGCCCTCTGGACCGAAGACGGCGAGTTCGAAATCGTGGGCGACAAGGTCTACCGCGGACGAGAGGAGATTGCCTTTGCCTGTCGCGCGGCCACCGAAGTGTTGCACTTCGCGGTCGATTCGCAGGTTAAGATCGACGGCGACAAGGCCGAACAGGCCTCGAAGCTGCTGCTCTGCCACCTGGCCCCCGACCACAAGACACTGGAGTTTGCCTGCACCACCACCATCACCGACCGCTTCGTCAAGCAGGAGGGCAAGTGGTTCATCAAGCACCGCAAGTCACATACCGACCTCGAATTCCCGGTGGCAATCAAGGCCATGGGGCTGGTGCGTTGAGGGGGATCAGCGTGGGATTCGTGGATGCCGCATGTACTACTGTACTCGGTAGAACATACATTGCGAGCCGTCCGGACTAGCTATCTAGGTTCTAGATAGAGGGCACAGGCCATATGAGTCTAAGTACGGAGTATAGTCGAAAGATTGATCCAGGTCTGGTTGTTGTGTCCCCGCCCTCAGCCCTCCCCCGTGATTTGGTCCGAGCACATTTCCGTGGAAAACCGGCAAACCTCTCCCCGGCCCCGGATTTAGGCCCCTGAGCCCCTGAGTTGTGCTGTATTGTAACCATTGCTCCACCACCACCACCAGCGCCACCCACGGTCAAGCTGACTCCGTAGATTGGGGTTGTACTGTAGGTCTGAGTACCGTCCAGTAAATAGCCGGTCTCTGATTAGAGCCTAATGGCCACAGAGTGATACCGAGCACCTGGAGCCCGGAGAGGCTTCGGCCATGCCATGCCATACAATTCCTCCCTCTCCACCCCGAAGTTCCTCGGAATCTGGGCAAGGCTGCTTCTTCTCCTGACTATGAATTAATTATGCAATGACGGAGTGAGTGAGTAGACCAGGTCTCGTTTCCTCCTGTCACATGCGTGATATATCGTATCTTGTGCTGTTTCTCTTCCCAAGTTCCTAATCACTCTTGCAGGAAAGAGTATTCTTTCTCCATTGATCGTCGACCGTAGCGCTACCCTTGACGAATCGATCCCTGTACCGGGGTCACCACAGATCACAGATGGGTTCAGCCTCAGCCTTCCCCCCTCTTGGAGGGACACGGCTGTTCTCGCCTGTGAACATCGGCGCCTTGAGGTTGCAGCACCGGGTCGTAATGGCTCCGCTGGGTCGGCTCAGGGCCGACAGGCTGAGAGACGGAGTGTACACGGCGAACTCACTGAATGCCGAGTACTATGGCCAGAGGGCGTCGAAAGGAGGCTTGCAGTTGACGGAATCGACTCCCATATCACGACGGGTGAGTACAGAGAGTCCTGTTGTGGGCGGCAAAGGCAACCGAAGCCGAACGAGGCTCTGATTCTTATACATACTGTGATGAATTCTAGGCCGCCGGATATCCAGGCATCGCGGGGATCTTCACCCCGGAACAAGTCGAAGCGTTCAAGCCCGTTACCGAAGCCGTCCACGCCAAAGGCGGATTCATCTTTTGTCAGCTCTGGCACGCCGGAAGGGCGTCCATCCCAGACTATCTGGATGGAGAGACTCCCGTCAGTTCGAGCGCGGTGGCCCTGCCCGGAAGTTTCGTTGGGCCTGGGCCCAAAGAGTACCCGGCAGTGGTGCCGAAGGCGTTGACGCAGCCTGAAATCGACGACATCGTCCAGGACTTCGCGGCGGCGGCGAAGCGAGCTATCGCGGCAGGCTTCGATGGCGTCGAGATCCATGGGTATGTATATTCCCCGGACTTCTGTGTGAAATCAAACCCACCGTCCATTCATATCCATTCATCCCTTTGTTCAACCCCGCCGCCCCCTTGAACACCGACTGACAAGAATGCCTGCCCTAGAGCCAACGGATACCTGATCGAGCAATTCCTGCACGACAACATCAACCAGAGAACCGACCAGTACGGAGGCAACATCCAGAACCGCTGCCGGTTTCCGCTGGAGGTTCTCCGGGCCGTGACATCGGCCGTGGGCAGTGAGCGAACCGGCATCCGCCTGAGCCCGTTCAACTACTTCCACGGCACCCGCGACAGTGACCCCATGGGACACTGGGCCTACCTATGCGAGCAGATCGTGGCTCTGCCTCGGTCGAACCGGCCGGCCTACGTCAACAGCATCCAGCCGCAGTTCGACGAGATGCTCTCCGAGGAAGCCAAGATGAAGGCGCTGGCCGCGTCGGCATCCACCAGTACCACGGCCAGTACCAGCGCCAGTGCCAGCCTTCTGGCCTCGGCCTCGGCCAAGCAGGACACCTCGACCTATTCCCTGACCCCCTTCCGACGCATCCTGCAACGCGGAGACATCAAGTTCCTCGCCGCCGGGAACTACAACCGGGACAACGCGCTGCCCACCATCGAAAACGACGAAGCCGACGGCGTCATCTTTGGCCGACATTTCATCGCAAATCCCGATCTGCCACGCCGCCTGGCCGAGGGCTTGCCCTTGAACCCCTATGATCGCTCCACCTTCTACGGCGCCAATCCGCCCTCCAAGGGCTACACCGACTACCCGTTCTGGTCGAGCGACTTGGCATCTTCGCCGTCCCTCTCCGCCAGCGCTTGATTAGGACCAATTCCGTACAGAGGTACCCTTCCTGCTAGCCCGGCAGGCGTTGTCGTCGCATGCAGAGAATAGGGTCGGTGGCCTCCATGTCATATCATGTGCTTGGGGACGAGCGACCTCGGAGACTGAGATCAAAGCTAAGCAAATCAAGGAAACGAGAATGGGAATGGGAAAGAAAGTGGAGGGGAGAGCTTGAAGAGCGCCCCTCCATGTTGCTGTTGAATTTGCACCTGTCTCAGAGTCACGGTCTGGGAAAGATCGGCATCTTCGGATTGTATGGGACAAGGTGGTGTATATTTGCTTGGACTTGCCAAAGTCCGTTTCTTCGATAGATTTTAGTAAGGGTGTAGCCAATTGACAAACATTCTGGCCCAACTTCCTGTACAACCTGCCGCGAACTCCTTGTCCGCGTCGTCCTTTGGCGAGCCAAAGAATCCCAGGGACAGCCAACACTGAAGCAGTGTACCGGAATACCACCGATAGGTAGGCAGCTCGTTACAACCTACTAGAAAGGATACTCAGTGGCCCAGGGTCGCTTAGGGTCTTTCCTCGAGGGCTTGCGACTTTCCAAGTCACGGCGGAAAGTGGTGACCAGTTCCATACCCCGGGTAGCGCTTTTATAGGTCTGAGACATTTCGGATAGACCATGTACACAGGTGAGGAGGTGGTCCTGGGACTGCTTCTGGTTGGGCCCGGACAGCATGCAGCTGTCGTAAGCGTGGATGAGACCAGCCGTGACCACGATGTGAACGATGGTGAGGTGGACGTAACGTAAACTGCATTGGCGGCGAAATTTGACCAAGAGGCTGCAAATGGCGGAGGCCGAGTTCCTGCATATCTCGCCGTGGTCGGCCGGGTCGAAGGATCGGGTGCCTGAAATGAACGGCCGATGCAATAGGACAAGGACGTGGTAGTACTGCATGCTGTGGGCGTGCATCAGTTGGAGCTCAATTACGGGGGTGAAGAGTCTCGACTCACTGAAGCTGCAAGACAGAAGGGAGGTATATCCGCGGCTGCAACTCGTCTTGTGTCTCACAACCATCCACCTGCATGGTAGGGGGTAACGACTCTCGCCACTGCTGCAGGTCGCTGGTCATGCCTTGAAGAAAAGAATCCAGGCTGGGAAGCCGATCTGGATGTTCGTTATATCTAGACCTGGGTCAGCATGTTTCCATCAGACGAGGACCGGGCTGGACTGACAGGATATCTCCAATCTTTCCCATGATGGCGATCAGTCGGTAGGAGTATATAGGCACACTGCCGGCGACAATGTGGTCGATTTCGGGTGGCAGTTCCGGAAAGTCGGGGACAACCTCACGGCAGTCCCATCGTGGCATATCTATGATGGCCGGCTCTCGAATGATCTTTCCAAGTTTATTCATCACCGACGGTCGGCCGGCGTACGAGCTCCACAATCTGATCCGCGGTTAGCATGATAGTATGCCGACGTCAGGTCAGCATAGACGCGGGGAAACTCACATGTTGACCGAGTAGGTGGACCAGAAGATCTGTCTGTATATCGTCTGCACGGCTTGGACGGATGATTCCATAAAGTGCAGCTTGTGGTCGACTTCGAGGTCCAGATGCAGGCCCAGATCCATGATCAAATGCACACCCATGCCGGAGTATAACCATCCTACAGACATCAGCGCCTGGCCTTGCCGGGAAAAGACGTGGGAGAAACTAACCTCTCGAGTCACGACCACTGGCGGCTTCATGCGCAGAAAGCACTGACAGAGCCTGCAGGGTTGCCAGAGTCGGGCTATCCATTTCAATCTCAATCAACGTCATGGCGCGACTGGCGAAGAATTCCGAAGCCACCCCTTGGATGCCGGGGGCAGGTCTCGAGCTAAAACAAGCCCCGACCGACAAGCTGACCGTGACAATCCCATTCATTAGAAAGCCGAACTCAGAGCTAAGAAACAGTGACGGGGATGGGGACGCGGACGCTTACATGGCGTTTTGCAACGTTGGCGAATATAGCCAGGTGTCGTCGCCAGAGTCGTAGCTTTCCTTCTCACTGAGGTAAACCTTTTCCGTCACTTCGTTGTTGGATGGATTCTGCCAGAGGAAGAACAGTCTTGTCAGGTATCTCTCATAGTCGACATCAACTGTCCATTGCAGACCCGCTCGGCTGAGCGCAGCATCGCCATGGGTGCGCACAGTCCGGATGTTGGGTTGGAACAAGGAAAGTGACTGATTCTGGATGAGGTGAAGGTTGCTGGTGGCGCCGTAATACCGTAGTTTCCCATCTCCGGTCAGCGTGAGCTTCCCCAAGCGACTGGTCAGAAGGCGATTACTCTCATCCCGAGACGCTGGTGGTTCATTCAAGGAGTGCTGCTGATATGAAGGATACGGCATGCCCAACTGTAGTAACGAAGACGAAGAAGCGCCGTCCGTCCCGGCTGCCTGTGCTGACGGTGTCCGGACGTTGAAGGTTGGGAGAGTTTGAACATCGCCTGCGGGGTTGGCAAAACCCTCGCCTGTGTCTTCTACACCGAAATCAAAGTCATCACCCGCCGGTGGTACTTGACTGTACTGGTTACTCGAACCACGGTCATGTTCGCCGGAATTTTGGACAATTGGCACCCAGTAATCAACGTCAGCAGCCTGAGGGTCTGGTTCTTGATGCGAGAGCAAAGCGGACACGGACACGGGCGCTGGCACCGGCACTGGCACCGGCACCGGTACTGGCGCCGACGCCGACTCTCTTGGTCCTTCGCCGCTACCATCCTGGAGGGCGGTTGGCGACGACTGATTTCTCCGTGACTCCCCCGGTGCAATGGTTCGCGGTGGCGTGGTTTCGTACAACGGCAGAGTCGCTTGCTGTTCAGACGCCTCGAGTCCCGCGGTTTGCGACTGACGCACCGCCATGGCTTTGGCCATCGACGAGGTTCTATCACACCCACAAGATCAGCGTCGGTATGTTTCACGCGAGGTTGGATACTTACCTCCGTCTGTCATCGCCGAAGACGCATGCCGTGCTGTACAGTTGACAGTTGGTGCAACTCGGTCGCTGTTGGTCACACTGGCCAGGTCAAGAAATCAGGTCAGCTCTTTTCCCCTCCTTCAAGGCATAGGTAAGCGCAAGTGGCGGCCAAATGGCCCAGTCAACCGTACCCTGGTCTTCCTTTTCCGGCAGGAAATACAGGCCGTCGTATTGTGGCGCCGGGGGCCAGGCAGCCTCGACGTGGTGGTTCTTTGGCTCATGCTAAACCGGAGCAGCCTATTCAGATGAATATGAGGTCGCTTTAGAGGTTACGGTGATGCTGCCGCCACAGCAACTGGAACCTGACCTAGGATGACAGCTGCCAGTGATGTGATGAGCGAGGCACTGGAGGTACAGATTACGGATTACGCAGTACTGGAGAAATCCTTGGCTGAGCGCAGGCGGGGTGTTCACGTGCCTGCAGTCTTGGGGGCAGCTGCGGGGGCCAGTTTGGAGGCAGGTACGGAGTACGGAGTACAGGGAGGTACTTACTTAGGTAAGTACCCAACCTAGATACCAGGTACAACACAAGAGAATCTGCACTCCGTAGGTACTGCAGTCTCTCGGTCCCCTCAGCAGAGCCGAATCGGAGAGCCCAGAGCCCAGAGCTCAGAGCCCTTTCAGTGCACTGTCAACATGCTCTCAGGCTTCTTCAGGCAGTGGACGCATACCCCGTACTTCGTACTCCATGGCCCTCAGGCCTGACATCCGACATGTTGGGCACAACTCCACAGGCCCTTGCGGGGGATGCATTATTCTTGCTGCGCCAGACTGCCGGGCTGAGGGTTATGTTTCTGCTCAGCGGCAAGCTCCGGCCATACTGTCCCATGCAGTGTATCACATGCACGTAGTGATACGGAAAAAACGGCAGCGTGGCTTGCGGGGCCAAATGGAGGGAGGGAGACTGAAGAGTCATGGCCCCGGAATTGCAGCCTGTTTTAGGAGCCAGTGCCCAATAGTCCGGGGGATAGTACGGAGTAGGATGGAGTAGTACGCGTACTATACTCTGGGGGTTTCCATGGAAGCTGACCCAGAGCTCAGTCCCATTGGTGACTTGGATTTCCGTGGAAATGGGAAATGAAGCGGACCTCCACTTGACACTTCTCGGCGTTCCTGGTTTATCACCGGTTGAAACCCGAGGGTCGTTGTTGGCCCAGTTCTCGACGTCGGCATCAACCCCATGATAAGGCTAGCATCATCGACCCTTGTCTTGGATTCACTACCAGTGGCAAATGGCGCCAGATGTGTTCTACTGACCTGCAATGCCCCCCAGGCTTGCCGACATCGTAGCTGAGGAGCAACCCTTGCCCTCCCTCTGCCCGCATTGCCGTATTCCCTCCCGCCTTCGCCCATCCCTTTTCTTTCATACGTGCTTGTGGGGGAGTCCGGAACCTATGGAGAAGGCTGTCTTCAGTAGTCTTTAGTATTATTCCTAAGTCCCAAGTGTTCTGTTTAGATAGTCGTGCCGTCAACGAGCCTTGTCCTCCGTGCGGGATGCCAGATCGATCTTTCCAAATCCCTCCTTGAACCTTGCCCTTGGTCATTTGTACGCTCCTTATTATCCCAGAATCTCTCCGGAAAACCAGTCCCGTTAAAATGTCCGCCGTGGTCGCCGACGAAAGCATGGAAGAATCTCTTGCCAAGATAGCTTGTGTCCTCTGCAGGAAACGGAAGATCAAATGCAGTAGGACGATGCCCCAGTGTAATGCCTGCCATCATAGCCGCCAGACTTGCACCTATCTTGCACGCGTCTGCAAGCCCGGTCCGAAGATCGGAAGCTCTCAGGGTCGCCAGAAGAGAAAACTCGGCGCGGTGTCGCCGTCGGATGACCAGAGTCAAACCTACAATCCCGCCCCCGAAAGGGCTGGGAATTACGCGACACAAGGCCAAACCGACAACTCCTGCTCGGGGTCAAAAAGGATATCACCAGGTCCTTCTGTCTCGACCCAAGCTTCCAAGGAAATCCAAAGCCTTTCGTTCAGAATCCACCCCTCACACGACTTCTGTTCACCAGAACACCTGACTCACAGATCCCCGGCGAGCCAGCACTCGGGCAATGAAGAGGTCTCTCTGGACCTGTGCTGCCAGTCACTCGGTATGGACCTTGTTACCGTGACCAGGCTGTAAGTGTCCTTAGTCTTGTCATAGAACGCCCTTAGAAACCATTTCCCCCGCTGACTTCTCAACAGCATCGACCAATTTTTCGAAAGCTTCACGTCTTTCCAGCTGTTCCGGGAGAGCAAGTTCCCGGAAAAGCTGAAGAGCATTCCAACCCACAAACAGCTCACCGCGTTGGTGGCCGCCATGTGTACATTCGCCCTCCATTCAGATAGTCCGTCTAGTACTCAAGACTTGTCCCAACAGATTTGGGTCAATGGCCAGAGAGACCAAAGGCCCACCTCTCGATGTTGTGCCGTAGCATTGAAGGCGATAGATGAGGCAGTCTGCGAGTCCCAGGACGAACCTCTGACACTGCCGCTCCTCCAAGCCCTGATATTGATGACCCACTGGCTTCTTATCAGGGAAGTCCGGGGAAGGGCATGGAGATACCTGGGACTCTGCGTCAGGACTGCCTATGAGCTGAACTTCCACCTCATCGATGCTGGTAGGATATCAATCAAAAGCGTCCCCGGCCCTGTTTGGTGCGAGGACGAGGAGAAACGGCGCGCCTGGTGGGCAATATGGGAGATGGACGTGTTTGCCAGTGTCGTTCGCCGCTGTCCTACCGCGATCGACTGGAGTCAAAATGAAACGTTCTTGCCGTCCGAAGACAGGCATTGGATTCGTGGTGAGCCTCAGGAAAGCTGTGTGCTCCATATCAGCCCAGTGTCCAGGTGGAAGTTCCTGGAAAAGACCGGAAACCAGTCACCAAAGGCCTGGTTTATCGTCGTCAACTCACTCATGAAGGACGCTCAGGGGATTTCCAGTCCCACCAGCGTCGACGGCGCGTCGACAGCGACCCAGAACACCAGCTTGAGGGAGACGCGGATCCAGTTGTCAACGGTTTCCAACTCCCTCCGGTGTACCACCATGGCATTGCCTGCGGGTCTCAAGTATCACCAGCAATACCTCAGTTTTGCCATCACAGGAGTCAAGGGAGATGCGGCCAAAAGACGACGGCTCTTGCACAACTCAATCTACGGCATTCGCCTCATGATAGAATTGACCAAGATGATGATTTACAAATATTATATCTTCCATGGAGACAGCCAGTTGGGCCATCACTCGGTCCAAGTCAAGGCCGGCGCAAAATCCCAGCCCGAGTGGTTCGACCTGGCCGGTGGGGTGGCAGAAGACCGTGTTTTCGAGAAGTATTTCGAAGCTGCAGACGAGGTCGTTGCTCTGGTATCTCGCAGCAGTGACGTCCAATGTCGCTACGTAAACCCTTACCTGGCGAACACGATTTGGCTCGCTGCCGCCGTCCAGATCATCCATCGTGCGCTGGCGCAAACAAACTCGGAGAGGGAGCTGATCAATTCGAACTTCGAGCTATTGTCTTTGACATATAACCAGTTTGTCAGCTTTTGGGGCATGTCAGACACTCTGCAGAAGAACCTTGAAGCCATCGAAGAGGAAGTGGAGAGCATGCAAAACACCCGCCCAAAGTACACGAGTTATCATCAACCTCTGAGCAAAGTGAACTTCTACGGAAACGCCTCCTCAAGCCCCAATAAGCCTGAATTCAACTCCCTGCAAGACCACATCCATTTATTGTCTCACTCTGGCCGAACTTCTCAAGCTGGTAAGCTCCTATGTTTTTCTGCAAGAGAAGCAGAAGCTAATGGTGTAGCACCAGAAATTGCACGGAGGTCATCTCTCTTGCCTAACATGCCGGGGGCGAACTTGGGCCAGCCGCAGCAGCCAGCGGAGAGCCAGCATCAAGTACAGGCCCAGGGCGCTGCCATCGCTGCCACCGCTGTTACGGTCGCCTCAATATTCAATGACGAGCAAGAAGCAATGAAACTCGATAACAACAATAACGCCGACATGTTCAGCGGAAGTCTGAGCGTCAAGGACCACCCGCAAAGTGAGCACGCAGACCAGTTGCTCACCTTCAAGGTGCCGTCTCTAGACCTGTCATCTGAAATCTCAATAGACGGTCATGAGTCCCCCTTTACCGCGCTATTGCCGCCGGAAGCTATACCTTCAGACAGCCAGCCTTGTAATGCAGACGACTCCTTGCTGTATTTTGACGATATGGACCAGAGCGCGGCAACACCACCCGATTTTTACGATTCGCTTTGCTCGACGAGGGATTTCAACTTTGGTGGAGCTGCAGACCTTTTCACCGGTCTACAAGGAGTACTTAGTACGTCACGCTACCTATAAGGTCTCAAGCTGGCTTGTAGATAGGGTTGTAGTTGGTTTCTTAGGGAGGAAAACATTCAATTATAGATTTTGACGCCTTTTATGGTTGAACCAGTCCTGTCATGCCTATACAACTCGCTAGCGACCGAAAAACATACAGGCTTCAGCCGTGAGAGTCAAAGAGTCTGCTACAAATTCCCCCTCAAGAATGCTAGCCTGCACTCCACCAATTCACATCGTGAGCTTGTGGAACGAGTTCGTAGAAACCACTTCCGAGAGTTCTCTAGATCCTTTTTAAAGGCCTTTAAGGCTATGCGTGTCCCTTTATGCTGCCGTTTTCTCACCGGCAGTCTCAATCTGAGATTCTGCAACCTTGTCTTGATTCTGCTCGCTGTCGTTGTCGCCAATGACATCCCGGAAGTGAACCTCCACGACGTCGCCGAATTTTTCACCGATTTCCTCGAGTGCGAGTCCATTTGTCTGGAAGGCACAGTCAGCATGATGATGTCCAGGCCCGTTTCAATCAATGACAAGAACGTACCTCTGGGAAGACAAAGAAGATGTAGACGATGGCGACGACGCAGAGACCCAAGAAGACGAAATAGTACTTGTAGCCAATCGTGGCGAAAGCCTGAGAAGCCGGGGAGCTAGTTGCGATGGCCACCGCATAGTAGGCACAGTAGGCGATGGAAGAGCCTTTCGAGCGTAAATGAGTAGGCCAGATCTCTGGAATGTAGCAATATGTGGTGTTGTCGATGAACGATGCCCAGAAGAAGACATATGCGTAGAAGATTCCCGTGGCGGCATTGAGTCCTGCTTTGTTTGTCGTTCCGAGGTAGTACTTCTGGAGGAGTGCCTCGATCACGAGCACCGCACCGACGAGGAAGCCGCCGATCACTATTCAGAGTCAGCACCCCATCGCCACATAAGACAGAGGCAACGGATGACGGATGACTTACAGAGGAGGGGTCGTCGACCAAGTCTGTCAAGCAGGAAGCCGTTGATAAAGGATCCGACTCCTGAGGTGAAGACCCATACCACCGACAGCCCGAGCTGAATAGTCTGGCCGTAACCAAGACCACCGAAGATGAGGGGGGTAAGGTTTGCAATCACCAGAACGCCAGATCCAATGTTCAAAAGCCAGATCATGATGGAGCAGATGGCTCGCTTTCGGAGCGACGGCGTGGCAAAGATATGCCAGTAGCTGGTCGACTCGCTCTGTTTAATCTTGGGTCAGCGCTCTCGTCTTGCCAGAGTAGTGGGCGATCACCTACGCTCTCGGCTTCTATCTGCGCCCTGATCAGCGCCATTTCCGCTTGTACCACTCTTTCGCCGTGGCCATCTGTGCCGACATGGAGGGTCCGGAGCGTCTCGAGCGCTTCCTCGTGACGTTCTTTCTCCTGTAATGAAAATGAAGATTAGTCTCAATGAGCAACCTTCGTATGGGGATGGATTTATGTCAACCTACCACAAGCCATCGTGGCGACTCCGGGATCAGAAACAAAGAGAGCAGAAGCAAGATGGAAAAGAAGGTGAAGATGACGAATTGAAGACGCCATTGATATGGATGATCGATAAAGTTCAACCCCAAGGCAATCGAACTCGACATGGTGTACGCAACATTGATTCCGACGCCGTGGGTGCCGGTGAGGGCACCTCGAGTGTGAAGTGGCGAGATCTCGCTCATGTAGGTTGGGCAATTGGACGTCAGAATGCCCGCACCGATTCCTGAGACGATGCGGAAAAGGATGAACATGGCAACGTGGACACTGCCGGCCATCAAGGCACCCGACACGATGAGAAGGATGGCGGCAAGGGCGGTGGTCTTCTTGCGGCCATACCGCGGTGAGATCCAACCTTGGAGCAGAGAGCCGATAAAGGCGCCTCCGAGGAAGCTGCAGCGCAGAGTCGTTAGCAGGGTCGGACAACGAACAAGAGGAGTGTGCTGGATGGACTCGGTCACTCACCCGCCCAAGATGCCTCCGATGACGGCGTCGGCATCGCTGCCGCTGAGGAACTTGTTGATGAAAGAGGTCTGAGCGAGACTCCCTGTGACCACATTGTTGGCGTAGCCGAACATGAAGCTGCCGAAGCCGGCAATCAAGATGAAGGTGATGTTCTTCCCCGTGGTCCGGGGTTTGATGTAGTCATCCTCACCGGCGACATGAGGAGTCGCCTGACTTGTGTGATGCATCTTGGGAGTGTCCAGAACTGAAGCGCAGGTTGTTGCTAGGATGATGGGACGGCCCCGCAAGATACCAGTCGGCTGATACTTATATACAGGTAGGAATCAGGGTGAGTGCCCCTGACTCCACGTGGATGGGTGTGGGAGGCCCAATCTGGGGTTATGGGCCGGAATGCACAGAATTGTACACGGAACACTGGGAAGCCACAACACTCACTAGCTTTGGCAACAAGCACGCTGTGGTCCTCGGCATTTGGCGGACTGTCCTCGAAACCCTGTTGCTAATCTGTTTTTTTCCAAAGCTGGGGTGGTGGTGGGTGGTGGGAGTTGGAGTAGGCGAAGCGGATTCCGGGGAACCAGGATTCACCCTACATTACGTCCGCCCTGTCCGTCTCCACTGTGTCCCGTGGACTCGACAACTCCCCGGAAATACAAAATGAAGGAAGGCATGGACCCAGTTGATCCGGCTGAGTCTGCGCTCTCGGCCTACCAGAGATGCTGTCTTGTGCCCACCTTACCTACCTGTATCATGCCGCCCGATTGGGCATCTTGCCACGCAGAGCCTCTGAAGGAAACAAAGTCAGTACAAATTTGATATGATTTATTCCACCTCCTCGTCCTTGCCCTTTTTCACACCCTGGCGGAAAGCAACACCGTGGTTTTACAGCAACATCAGAAGGCAACATGAGTCTTAACTTCATCCCAGGCAGCCCGGTGGTGGTGGCTGCCATTGTCATCGCCATCTTCTCCGGCCTTTATCGATTACTCCAGGTTGGGAGGCGTGATCCGCGCATGCCGCCTGGCCCTCCTACTCTTCCGGTCCTGGGAAATATCCATCAGATCCCACGCACAGGTTTATTCAAGCAGTACGCTCCCATCACACTCACCTCACTCTCAGTCCCCGCCAAAGAGTCAGTGAGCTTCTTCTGACCAGATGGACTTCTAGATTCCGAGAGTGGGCCAAGCAATATGGCTCGGTGTATTCCCTGAAGATGGGGCCGGCCAACGTGATTGTCCTTTGCGACCGAAGGGCGGTGCACGATCTTTTGGACAAGAAGAGCAAGATTTACTCGGATCGCCCTGAGTCGTACGTCGGAGACTTGCTGAGCCATGGCGATCACATTGTCGTCGCCTCTGCAACCGCTGAGTGGAGAGAGAAGCGGAAGGTGGTTGCTCACAACTTCTCTCCTAAGATGCTCGATGAGAAGCACTTCAAAGTGCAGGAAGCCGAGTAAGTTGAACTGTCTGCTCTCCCGCACAACCCGGATTTGTGTCTATGCTGACCACCACTTCCTGTCCAGAGCCACCGTCTTGATGGAGAACTTGCTCGACGACCCGGAGGATTTCGTCAAGCTCGTCAGAAGATACACTGCTTCTGCTGCCAGCTGTATTGTATTTGGACAACGGGCGGACAAGTACGAGGACTTCTGGGGTCATGTAAGTGTGCATTCTGTCTTGTGAATCGACCAAAACTGATCTTGTTAAGACCGTGTACGAAGTCATGGAACACGTGAGTCCTTACCCCATGTTATGTGTCTAACCCAAAAATATACTCATGGTCTGGTTAGTTTTCCTCCGTCATGGAGCCAGGTTCAAGCCCGCCGGTCGAGATCTTCCCCGTTTTGAAATGGATTCCAGAAAGTATGGCACTGTGGAAGAGACGAGCTATGGATGCCCGCCGAAGCATGGATGCTGCGTGGGGTGAGGCCAGGGCACGGGTCGAGGCCCGCCGAGCCAAAGGAATCCAGCGAGACTGTATCATCGACCATCTTTTGGACGAGTACAACGAGAAAGGCTGGCCATTTTCGCAGCACGCTTTCAACAATCTCATGGGTGAGTTGGTAGAAGGCGCGGCAGACACCACGGCATCACAGATTTGCACTCTCATCATGGCTTTTGCGCTCCATCCCGAAGTCCAGGTGAAAGCACGCAAGGAAATCGACGCAGTCTGCGGAACCGACAGATCCCCGCGCTGGACCGACTTTGCCGAGATACCCTACGTGAATGCCATTGTCAAGGAAGGGATGCGATGGCGTCCTACGTAAGTTATGACCCCCGTCGATGCTATACAAGTCCTGGCTAATTGGGATTCACAGCTCCCCGACCGCAATTCCCCATCTCCTGAAACAAGGTAAGAACATCCCTCCTAATCAACGGTAATGTGACTAAGTGATGTGATGTAGATGATTGGTATAATGGCATGCTATTTCCCAAGGGGTCGATCATCTACCTGGCATCTTGGGCAATCCATCACGACGAGAACATCTACAAGGGCGAAGACGACTTCAATCCTGACCGCTATATTGGCTACACCCGGCTTGCCAACGACTATGCTGGCAGCCCCGATTGGGAACATAGGGATCATTTTGGCTATGGAGCAGGGCGGCGAATCTGCCCCGGCATTCATCTCGCGGAGCGGAACATGTGGCGGATTGCGGCGAAATTGCTCTGGGCTTTCGAATTCTCTCAGGCTATTGATCCACAAACTCAGCAGCCCATACCTATCGACACTCATGCCTACACCCCAGGGACTGCCCAATTTCCGTTGCCGTTCCAGGTCCAGATCAAGCCACGGAGCCAAGAACATATTCAGCGGATCATCAGCGAGAAGAACAACGCCCTCGATTTCTTGACCCTGTATCGCTAGATAAAGGGAGTGCATAGAGGGAGTGTAGATTTAGATTTGGGAGTACATAGCAAGAATCGTCCTAGAGAATCCCCGCTACCATCCCATGCTAATTTAGGTTCAACTCGCCTAACTGTGCATGACTACGGAGTACATAATGATAAGGCCGAAATATGCTATGTACGGCCGCTCTGGTTCCGCGGAATCATAACTGAGTTCTGGGTTCTGGATTCTGGACTAGAGATCACTCCAAGTGGGATGCCCCCGCAGCCGGGGTCCCCATGACCGGTGCTTGGACCATGAACAGGAATCCGTGGAAATAATATTGCCTTGGTTTATACAAGTGCCCCCAAGCGAGAACACTAGGAAAATTTTCGGTGCATATACCAAGCACCGAGAGACTCGGAGGATTGGCGAGCGGGCCCTTTCACTTACGCTTATACCCCAGACGGAGTTATGGGGGCCCTGTCACCCAAATGGCAATTCCGGGTCGTTGCACTGTGAGAGAAGTGATAAAAGCTGTTCCGGGGATCCCAAAGTATACGTATCTTAGCCCTAGCACCATTGGAATTGAATTGAAGTTGAAGTCGAAAGAAAGCAATCATCCCAATCTTCAACATGGTCTACACGTTTCCGGGCAGGTTCGATGGGAAGGTCGTTGCTATTACTGGGGGCGCCTCAGGCATCGGCGCTGCCCTGACGAAGCGCTACATCGCTGAAGGAGCAAAGGTCTTGGTGGCCGACATGTGCGATGAGGCCAAAGGCCAGGGATTCATCGCACAATTCCCTCCCGAGCAGGTCTATTTCCACCATGCCGACATCTCCGACCCGGCTCAAGCAACCAGCGTCGTCACCAAGACCATCGAGCACTTCGGCGACCTGGACATTGTCCACAACAATGCCGGATATCCCGCCTATGGACAAATCCCCGACATGTCGGTCGACGACTGGGCCCGTGTCTTCCAGGTTGGAGTGGACGCTCCTTTCCACATCTTCCGAGCTGCCATCCCCGAGATGAAGAAGCATACGGAGAAGAAGACACGTGGAGTCTTCGTCAACACGATTTCCTCGGCTGGTATCTACGGAGACGAAGGTCTGGGCTGCTACGGCGCTGCAAAGGCCGCCCTGGCCAACCTCACTCACTCTATGGCTGCGGATCACGCTCTAGATGGAATTCGAATCAACGCCGTCGCACCAGGCTGGACGAGGACTCCGATGACTGCTGCGCTCAGTGAAACTCCCGAGATCTTCGAGCACGTCGCCAGCGCCGTGCCCATGCATCGACCTGGTGAACCCGAGGAGCTCGCCGCTGTGCTGATGTTTCTGGCGTCGGAAGATGCGTCATATGTGACGGGTGCAGGTGAGTCCAGTACTATATCCTATCGAGTTGTTCGAAGCTTTTTGTACTTGTAGTATCTGACAAACCATCTCCATCTGTCTAGTGTGGAATGTGGATGGAGGACTGCTGTCTATCAGTCGAATGCCGGCTTTACACAAAATTCAAACAGTGAGTCTTTCCGTGTCCAGGTCTGGATATCTATAATCCATGCTTACAGAGGACAATAGAAAGGATACCCTGCCGGGGAGAAGAAACGGTAGAGAGGGATTGAAACCTTAGGACATGTCACTACCGCGCATTGTTGGTGGCATCACTGATCAGGAGATTGAAGGTGTCTAGTCCAGGTTTTAGTCGATATCTCTGACGGTCTATCTGTGTAGCTTACCCGATGCCTGAAGTATTACAGGAAATGTAGTGAACCACGCAAGTCAATGACTGCAAGCTAGACCTGTGTCATAATGTCAGTGTCGCCATTTGAGCTTTTCAGTGAGATTTTTCTCAGTAAAGAAAGCGGCAATGGGGCGTCAATCTGGTATAGGTCAGGACTAGTCGTATGAGCATGCAGGAGCCGAAATAATCGATGGAAATCCCTTGACTTCGAGAAAATCCTTGGTTGTACACTTGACCAGGCTTGACCCTTGCATTTTCACTGCAATAGATTGTGTTCATTTGATATCCTGGACCTCCAGGAGTCCTGTCAACGAGGAGCTGGTCAACTACATGAGCTTCCTGTCCATAGGTAAGATGCGAGTGTAACTAATTCGATCACTCGGACCCGTTCCGGCAGTCCGTAAGTATTTTGGCTATATACTGTACTTGCACCTGCTAAGGTGGCCCAGTAGTTAAATGAAGTCCACCATCAACAGTCAATGTGATTCCTGTCACATATGAAGCCCTAGGAGAAGACAACCAAGCCACCGCATTGCCGACATCCTTGGGGTCCCCGTGGCGTTTCAAGGCAGTTTTGGACACATACTTGTCATCGGCGGACTCGAGGGTCGGGTTGATGGTGTGTCCTGGTGCAACCATGTTGAGCCTGATAGCCTTTGCGCCGTAGTCAAATGCATCCGTTATGGTCAATCCCAGGACGCCCCCTTTGGTGGCGGAATATAGCGTCAATCCTCCCAATGGGCTGGTAGATGATAGACTACCCACGTTCACGATGCTCCCTCGTCCCAGCCCGGGGAGGGATTCTTGCTTCAGCATTTGTCTGAGCGCTGCTCGCTGGCATAAGAAGATCTAGGGTTCAAGATGAAATGCGTCAACTCAGAGTCCCTCAAAAGGAGGAAGAGCAGAAGAAGGCTTGGAAGGTCAGTACCCCTCGTAGATTGACTGTGTAGGATTTCTCGTAATCATCTTCGTCAAGGGCCGTGACCGGCTGCACAGCATGCTCGTAATCAGCAATATTGGCGGCGAAATCGACACGGCCAAAATTGTCAACCGCCCGAGCATAGAAGGCGTCCACAGAGGCTTCATCGCTGATGTCCAGATTCACGATTTCGACCTGTGCATTCGGTTGTTCGCGCTTGATGATGCTGCGGGTTTCCTCGAGCTCTGACAGAGACGCGTCCCCAAGCACGAGTTTAGAACAACCATCTCGTGAGAAACATAACGAGGTTGCTCGACCAATTCCTTCTTCCGTCAGTTGCGAAGCCACTGGTTGGGGTGTCGTTCTAGTGACTTGCCTGAGGCAGCGCCGGTGATTACGGCCACTCCGCCTTGTAGAGTGTCGGACATGTTGGAGTATTTTGGATGGTTTCCAAGAGGTTGAATGGTGTCAAAGGTTGAAACAAATACGAACTCTGCTACCACCGGCATGACCTCGAGAATGGTCCAGCATGGGCACGTACGACCTGAGAGCTTGGGGCCCCACAACTCGCTTCGGGCGGCCGGACTTCGGGGTAAAGACTGTCACAGCAATCATGAGTGAGACGCTCTCCATTTTATCCGCGGACATGACCTGATCCAATGATTTAATGGTCCGTGCCCGAACCAGCTGCAAAACACCCCGGAACGAGAGCATGCCATCTGACCCCGGGGCTTACGCTTAGTATCTTGGGGGTTGAGTTGGGATTCTGGCCTAAAGAACCCTTACTACTCGTTGTCAATAACAAGTACAGTAAATTGATCTATACGCAACGACGGTAGGACCATAGCACCGCCGATACCGAAACCGAACGACCAGAAGGATCAATTTGCAATCATGGACCCTATCATTGCTGCCGGTGTAGCACTGGTCACCGGTTCAGGCTCCGGTATGGTTCATTCCCTTCAGTGTTGAGTGGCAAGGTCTTCTCGCCGCTCGGTTTCCAGTTCTGCTGGCTAAAGACGGTGCAGGCATCGGGCAGGAGATTGCCCTCGGATTCGCGCGCAATGGCTGTCGAAAGTTCTTCCTGGCGGATATCGTGACTCCCGGCCTGGAAACAACCAAGAGTTTGATCGAGCAGATCCAGCCCGAAGCCAAAGTGGTCACACACAAGGCGGACGTCAGTAACGACTCCTCCGTCCAGGAAATGATAGATACGTGCATCAAGGAGTTTGGCCGTCTCGACTTTGCGTGCAACAATGCCGGAATCGCCATGGGCAACACGTTAAGTGTCGATGTGCCCGTCGCCACGTTTGACCGAGTCCACAACGTCAATCTGAAAGGAGTAAGACAGCTCTCGCCTCGAGCATGGTGCTAGAGCTGACCGTGCCACTCGCAAAGATCTTTCTCTGTCACAAGTATGAAATCGCAGCCATGCTCAAACAGGAACCTCTGGCGGTACCAGGGGTACGAAAAGCCAGTCGCGGCTCTATTGTCAACACCGCATCTATGGCCTCGCATTCGGCAGTGTCACTAATCGCCCCCTACACAAGCTCCAAACACGGGGTGCTCACCATCACCCGCGAAGATGCCCGGCAATTCGGCAAGGACGGAATTCGCATCAACTGTGTCAGTCCCGGATATGTCGACACCCCCTTACTCCGTGGTTCAGGTCATGGAGGTGAATACGTCCGAGCAGCTGAAGAAGGCTCGCCCATGAAACGCCTGGTTGACCCGGCCGAAGTAGCAGATGGCGTGGTCTTCCTATCGGGATCTGCTGCTTCAGCTATCACGGGGGTTAGTCTACCGGTGGACGGGGGCGCACTGTTGTACCATATGCCTTAAAAGTCGTATGAAGGCATACCGGTGTGGCATTCGTAGAGATGGTTGATTTTAGAGTCAGCATTTCGAACCTAGGAACCAGTTCCCAAAATTCAATTGACACAAGGGCTTGTACTAAGTAGCGTCTTGAGATGTTTTCAGTACTGGCAGACCTGTCAGATGAGGTTGAGAAATTACTGTAGATGAAGCTAACATCCCTGGGAGTAAATAAAAGCGTGGCCACGGACCTGATTCTAGCTATTATTTGTGGCTGTGAACAGCTTCGAATCTATCAAGTAACTCTGGATCATCAACCGATCTAGTATGATATATCGACCTACCTACCTTCTATACCCTTCACAACATAGCATCGGCTAGACGATTGGCCATCGCCTCCGCTGTAGAGATGACCTCAGTTAAGGACCTAGCTATTGTGTCTGGTCGATGCCTGACTAGCCCGTATCTTACAAATTACGTCTGGTCTCTCTTCAACTCCTAAATCGGTCTAAAACATCTGCTGTCTTTACTGTGTACTAATGCAAACCTAGGTACAACCATATGACTCACAAGGTAGTCCAGGCACTCTGCCAAGGAATGTAGGGCTATGTTGCGCAACAAAGTATTTAGTCTAACACGTCCCCAGATCTTGTTGAAGAAAGAAAAGTCATCCGTCCAGTTCACCCGCTAAGCAGAAGTTAGCACTTAGCCACATGCCTAATTGCGTGCTACCCGGGCTGGTTTGCCCAAAACTTCAGGGTGGACTTGATTAGCGCTCACCGCTGAAGGCTTAGGAGGCTAAGGCCCGGGGGCCAAGGGGCCTAGGGCTCCCCCGGGCACCAGCGATGACCTCGCCCTTACTGGACGCTGCTTGATCTACTCCGTAGAAACAAGCAGCCACCATCTACAACAAGCAAGTATAAGCTTCGTCGCCTTCTTCCACCATATCACAATGTAGGTCTATGCGCTGAATCTGAATCCGAATTTGAAATGGTCATCCTGCACATCAGCGCCTCCTACATAAGATGGTAGAATCACACATCGTCCTTCTCCATCACGATGTCGAGCTTCCGAGAGCACCTTCCTTTCCTGGCTGCACAAGCCAAGAAAGCACCGGAAGATTACGAGAGCTGGGGCCAATCCGCTGACTTTCTTCTTCCTGTCTTATCTGGATCAAGCCACAGTTATGCAACACTAGGTCCAAGGTCCCGGAGGAGGAACGGAGAGAGTCCTTCCAACCACGGCTCACTATTGAAAGACAACTGTGGGCACAGCACGTTCCAAGAGAGTCTCAACACCCGACAGCTACAGTATCTTGAAAGTGTGGTAGCGGCTTCATTGCAATGACCATAATTCACGATGTCGCTACAAGGACGCTGCATCAAGAACACTGTTTTGGCCACACAAGGACTTGGTGACGAGGTGGCGCCATGCCACAGACAACGTCCACTTGCCCTGGCAGCTGAAGAGGTCGGCCATCTTCCTCGATACAGAACGAATCGACTTGAATTCTGACACGTAATCTGGGCGAACGATCAACCTGGTGATGTGGAATTGGGTTGCTTCCCCCACGATCACGCCATCAGCCAGGTTGATGGCTCAAGATTTACATCCTGCTCCCCGCATGTAACAGCACTCGCTACAATTACATCACGGCAGTGAGCTCGTTACAGGCTATATAACCCCCTCTGTTATCTTTCTTCCGAGCCTTCTTGTCTCTTCGTCATCAGACAAGCGACCCTGATTACCTGGAAGGCCTCTTGACAATAATGGACAAAGTAGGAGTGCTTGAAGCCTTTCCGTCCAGCAACGAGAAACATGCCTCCGGGGAAATTCGACATCGACCACAGCGAAGAAAATGGTGGCAGATTGGCGGCAAAGACATCAGCTATGTTTCGGTCGACGACGGTCTTGAACAGAGGTCGGAAACCTCGTCCGAGCATGACGGTTCGGGCCTCATCAAGAACGTCCACAATGTCTTCGAAGCCCCAGAGGCGGTGAACATCTACAAGCCGATCAAAGGATTTGAAGGCAGTCATCGTTTCGATCCGTCAGCCACATGGACCCCAGAGGAAGAAAAGGTCCTGGTGCGGCGGGTATGTGGTGTCCAACACACACGGAAATGGACTTCGCTAACCAGAATTTATGCAGCTCGATTGGATCATCGCCCTCCCGGCCTGTGTTATGTTCTTCGCGCTGCAGCTTGATCGTGGCAACATGCCCCAGGCTCTTTCTGATAACATGTTGGGTAAGTTGACGTGGCTATTGACCGGACGGAAGCTGACCAGGTGGAAGCTGATCTCCACATGAACACCAACGACTACAACAATGGCATGACCATATTCTACTGCTCGTTTCTGTTCGCCGAACTTCCCTCCCAGCTCATCAGCAAGAAACTCGGTCCCGATACCTGGATTCCCATTCAAATGGTGGCCTGGAGTGCCGTGGCCGCGTCGCAGGCGGCTCTCACAGGCCGAACCAGCTTCTATATCTGCCGTTTCCTGCTGGGGGTGATCGAAGGCGGATTCATCCCCGACACCATTTTATATCTGTCATACTTTTTCAAGAACGCCGAGCTCCCCAGGCGGCTGTCGTGGTTCTGGACCTCTTACCAATCTACCCAAGTGGTCGGGGCTTTTCTCGCCTACGGCATCCTTCACCTGAGAGGCAAGGGCGGGTTGGGGGCAGGTTGGCGCTATCTCTTCTTGATCGAAGGCCTTATCACGGGCTTGATTGGAATCTTCACCTGGCTCTACCTCCCGGCGTCACCCACTCAGACCGCTCGGCATGGCATCAAAGGCCTCCTACGACCCCGGAACGGATGGTTCACGGAGAGAGAAGAGGTCATCATGGTCACCCGCATTCTCCGTGACGACCCGAATAAGTCGACCATGCACAATCGTCAAGGTATCAGCTGGAAACTGTTCAAGGAAGCCCTCAGTGACTATGACATGTGGCCCATCTACATTATTGGTCTTTCCTGGACCATTCCGCCCACGCCGCCGCAAGCCTACATCACCCTGACATGTAAGGCCCTGGGCTTCAACACTTTCGAGACCAACTTGTTGACCATTCCGGCCTACGTGCTGTTCATCCTGCAGCTGCTCTTCTGGACTTGGGTGTCGGAAAAGATCAACCAGCGTATTGTGATCGGCTTGATCTCCCAGATCTGGTGTCTTCCTCTCCTCATTGCCCTGGTTGCCCTGCCACCTCACTTCCACGGATCCAACTGGGCGAAATGGGCTCTTTCCACTCTCCTCGTCGGTTATCCCTACGCCCATGCTGTCCTTGTGGCTCTCACCTCGCGGAATGCCGGGTCAGTCCGGACCAGGACGGTTGGCTCGTCGCTGTACAACATGGCGGTCCAGGCCTCTAACGTCTTCGCGTCCCAAATCTACCGAAACGACGACAAGCCGTATTACTATACCGGCAACAAGGCTCTACTAGGCATCGTTGCCTGGAACATTGTGGCCTTTATCGCCGCCAAAATCTACTATGTCGTGCAAAACAACCGTCGCGACCGAATCTGGGAGTCGATGACCCGGGAACAGAGAGTACACTATTTGGCCACCACCGCCGACCAGGGGAACAAGAGGTTAGACTTTAGATTTGCTTCGTGAGCGCGAGATGGAACTGAGATATGATGGACGCTGTGGTCCCAGGTTGCGGCGCAGTCGTCACCTAACTAAGATATATGTCATAAGCACATGGGGGAGGATTTGGTCAAAATCGTGGTATCGTTTAAGATTTCAAAGATGGTGACGAGCAAGAAAGACCCGAGGAGACTTTGGATGGCTGTGCCGGTCAGCTGAAAAGTTCTTAGGGCTTATCTCGCAGGGCATGATGATTGCAACAGTCGAGATCAAGTCAGCATGCACCTGCCCATGAAGATTAGTGGTTCTTAAATCGCGACTGCCTTCCAGAAAACGAGACTTCTAGTCATGACTCTACCTACAGGTTTTTGTATCACAGTCAATCAAAACAATATTTTCCAATCATGATATCAGCATATATGAGGCACTTGTACTGAGTTCTGATAGCTACTGTTACTAGTATTATTGCTTGTTGTTTGCAATAATGTCGTGAGTTTGAAACCAGCATTTTCCCTCCTCCGTAATGATATTGACATCAGCTCTTTAGGTCCAGCACAACCAATCCTCCTGCGACTCCTATTGCTATTGTTCCCGAGTCCTCCCATCCAGCGAATGTTGAGACCACCTTTGACGCTGCCATATACCGGCCAATAGATCCCAGAGACTCCCATCACTGGGCAATACATATCACCTCCACCGCGGCACCCTCCACCAAGTGTGCGATAAGATCGGCGGCCGAGGTTACTATGTAGCCAGCGAATGCTGAGGCGTGCGGCCGAGCCACGCCGGACTCTACCTAAGGCGTATTCGTGTCTGTCGTATCCGCATGCTGTACCTGCAAAGAATTCGGAAGCTGATACAACGCTGGTCAGTGAATAATGTGTCGTCGAGATGGAACTCCCGGCGATGGGTTGTTGAGATTGTGGTTTGGTTGCGTAATGCTGGCATTTTGCTGGTTGGTAGGCGGGCGCTTCGTCGCCTTCTGAGGAGGAGAGAGTATTGGCAGTGAATTGTACTCTGGATTATTCTTTGGCACATCATTCTGAGATTTGATAGCACCGATGGCAGCGATCAATAGTCCATTGGACATAGATTGTCCAGTTTATTGCTGTACCTCAGTGTTTCTCGGCTTCCGCATGTTTTGGTTCAGGAATTCGGCGATGTCATCCACACCTTGAGGCTCATTGATCCAATGACCCCCGTCCTGATATTCGTGCCATTGGGTGTCCAATTTAAAATGCTGCATGAGGATATCCCGCATTCGCCTTCCATTCTCGATGGGGACAAGGCCATCATCGATAGAGTGGCCGAGAAAGATGGGAGTCAACCGGAGAAGCTGCGCCAGTGACTCTTCTCGGGGTTGTTGACCAAAGTAAATCTTCTGAACTGCGCTGAAAAGCTGGTCGTCATTGACAATAGATGCTGTAAGATTGTCTACCGAGTTCGCAAAGGGCATCCAGCTACATAGGCCAATTAGGCCAGCGAAGTTTTGACCATCAGCGAAGAAGGTGGAGAGCGCCGTGGCAAATCCCTGGCTGATTCCCCCCAGGAAGATGTTTTGTCGGGGCACAAGAGCCTCTTTAGCTCTTATCACTTCTAGGAGGCTAGCAATACTTTGCTTCAACCCTTCTGCTTGGATTTCAACTCGCTCCTCGGGGTCTTCGACTGACCATATGTCGAACCATTGAGACATGGTGGTATCGAATCGCTTCGACTCAGAAGTCGGTGCTGTAGGGAAGACCCATTTGATGCCTGGGAACAAATCTGGAAGCGTGCGTGGTTGCCCCGCAGGCTCGGACGCCTCACTCTCGAAGAACTCGTCCGCAAATGCTTGGCTATTGCTGTCTCGACCATGGAGAAAGATGACGGTATGGGTGTGTTTTCCCATCGCTTGTTGGGTAGTCATATGCATGTTGACGAAATGTAATATCAAGGGAAGTAGTGTGTTAATTTTAAACGATGGGAAATGGAGGGTTTGAAGATCAAAGAACAAGAAAAATTTCTAACAGAACATCCGGAGCCATATATAATTACACAACAACTTGGCGAGGTCCTAAGCGAAGAAAACACACTTCTATATCACCAGTTTGGTTGAACCAGACTGAACTCGAGTAACCGTCGATCCCAAAAGTCTCTTTCCCACCTAACCAGTCAACCCTTTGCTTTAGTATCAGGCAATTACGTTGATTTGGGCGCGAAGGTTATTACTCAATCCAGTTTTCCCTCTTCATCATCTCCCTAGTCCACTCGTCCAACCTCTCTGCAAGTTGTCCATCCTTCGCAGCACCGCTCTGCCACCGTGGCTCACCAAAGCGCCGGAAAATCTCGAAATACGTGCCGCTCTGCTCCGCCTTCATATCTTGACTCGCCGCACAGAACAAACTGGTCCACGACCCCTTATCTGCGGGCCATAGCAATCCAAACCAGCGTAAGACCGAGAAAACACTCATAATTCCCGATCCCGACTCCCCCACCGACGTGGCGAGGTTCGTCTCGACCAGACCCGGATGCACAGATGAAACCCAGATCTCGCCATTTCTGCTCCGCGCACTGGGAGAGCCGGGGCCGTACGTCTTGTGCAGGGTTTTGGTGTGTAGAATATTGGCGAGCTTGCTCTGTCCGTACCGCGACCACGGGCCGCCATCCTTGAGCGATAGGTCTTTGAAATTGATGCCACCCTTGGGTGCGCCCAGGTGGCCCGATGAACTGAGGTTGACGATGCGCACGCTGCCTGGAGGAAGGCCCTTGGCGGTACGTAGCATCAGAGGAAGCAGGTGTTCCGTCAAAACCCAGTGCGCGAGGTAGTTGGTCTGCCACTGGGCCTCGTGGCCATCTTTGGTCATTTGGAAAGGCGTCGCCATAATGCCTGCGTTGTTGACCAGCCCATGTAGGGCTGTTTCGAGGGCGAGGAAATGATTGGCAGCCGCAACGACGCTGGTGAGGTCCATGAGGTCCATTTGCAGAAGGTCGATGTTGGCTGAAGGGTGCATTTTCTTGATGCTGGCGATCGCTGCTGTGCCCTTCTCTAGGGATCTGGCGACCATGTAAACGTGGGCGCCATGTTCTGCTAGGTGGGACACAGTGTAGTAGCCTCTGTGGTTTGGCGAGATCAGTCATTTTGGCTTTTGGCGAGAGGGGAGAGGTGAGACTTACATGCCGGAGTTCCCACCTGTCACTATGAATACTTTGCCCTGGAGATTAGGGAGAGTGTCGGGATGAAAAGTCATGTTCAAATGAATACTTGAGTCAATGTGTGTAGCATCGAAATCAAGGAATTACCACGATCTTTATAATATTGCTGTACTTGCATCTTGGATGTCAATCCGCGCATTAGAGGTGGTGAGCAGGCTGCATGACCCTTGGACATGTAGAAGAAGTGGACCAATGGGAGATCAGCGAGGAGTGAGCAGGCTGCATGATGCTAGAACTACTCAGGCTAGATGATAGAGTAGTGTCCAATATTGTCTACCATCATAGCAACCGCTGTCTGTCTGCGCCACACGGAGATATTAGTTTCTCCGTTCCGAATGTCAGACCCGCCATTGTGAGCAGACTGCATCAACCGCCTTGTCCAACCTGGAGAAACTTGTATCATTCATCACCAATCTCATTATCATCATCGCCGTAATTCCAACGCCAGCATCATCATGATGAGTTTATATCAGCCTGTGAACTCAACCGCCCCACGAGTCCAACTCGCGTCCATGCCACAATTGGCCGAGGTACGTACCAGGCCCCATACCAACACCAAACCGACATGACCTGCTCACCACGTCCAGGCGATAAGTAGGGAAGACGACTGGACTGGGACCAAGGACGCCGCAGTACGCAGACGGGTACAGACTAGACTCAACACAAGGGCATACCGTAAGTAAGGCCATATCTTCTCTTGCGTCCCAATCAGGAGCCAGGACCGGTCCGATCAAGAGGTACCCAATCGTCGAAACTAACAGTCCAGTAGGAAAACGCAAAGCCCTAGCAAAAAAAGCCGAAGTATCCAGTGCCACAGCTGGGACACTAATCAAACCAGAAGCTCTGGTGGAGTGCTGGGATATTGAGCAGCAGTCCGTGTCCATCGTCCCAGCATCCCGTATTCAGCAACTCTACAATGCAAGAAACCCATTGCTGCCAGATAAATCTAGAAAACAGCAGTTCAAAATGGTGTTTCCCCTCTGTCCAGACCACCTTATCATACTGCTCCAATTCAACGCCCTCCGGGCCCTGGCCGTCAACCGTACTCTAATATCAGGAATCCTCGTCACACCGCTCGACTGTGCTGAGGAAGTGATCCATATTATCCCCTACCCTACCAAGCCTGAACTGGTCCCCTCGACACTCCTGCCCACCACCCTTCAACAAACGGTACCACACGGCGACTGGATCGACTTATTCCCGTGTCCCGTCGGACGAGACCACCTGATCCGAGCCATCGGTACCTTCGACGAAGACGAGCTGTGGGCCGACTGCATCGGTGGGCTGTACGAGGGCTTTCCCGACGACGAGGTTAAACGACGTGGCATGATTGCGTGGTCGCCGCCCTGGGACATCGCAGGGTGGGAGATGTCGGAAGGGTTTCTAAGGAAATGGGGGTGGTTGATTGGCGATTTGCCCGGGGCTTTGAAGGCAACAAATCAGTGGCGGATAGAGAGAGGCGAGGAGCCATTTGTTCATGAAACTGTGTGACATTTATGTTGCCCGGCCACCTTTTCGTTATTGGCCGAGCTCGATGTTCAAGCCACTGGGTAGCATATCCCCGCACGGTCAAATTTGTGGGAGTATATATTCGGAACTCAGATATGACCTTGGGGGCGAAGTCTCAGTCGAGGTAATCATAGCCCTACCGATATGTTGATGCTTTGGTGAGCTATAGTTAGGACTGCTCTCACGTTATTCCAGCATCCATACTGGTGAACTAAGACAGGATTGGCAATGTTATTACGTTATGAAGCCTTGTCCAGGGTTGTCTCATGGCATCAAACCGTCAAGAGATAATGCTGGCTGCGTATTAGATTAGCTCCTAAGGAGAACTCAAAGATATTGTCAGGAGATGACAGTGAGGAAGGTTGTACCAGGACAAAATCCGTTGTAATCAACAAGAGTAACGGGGCAGTTTTCTGTTGGAGGACGGCGTGTTGATGTATGGCTCCAGTCGCACCTGAGAGGATTCACCGCTAGATAGGCAATACATCTAGAACTTCGAGGTCTAAGAAACATAGGGGTGAAGAGTTCCTTATTCTCTGTCATACAGTAGACCTAAGCCCGGGGGATGCTCGCTGATATTTGACACGATGTTGGATTTGATCAAGCCAAGATGGTGGTGGCCACTAGCTATGAATGAAGAAGATCGTTCTACACTTGATTCACCGCTAATTACGTGAACTGTAAATGGTGCCATAGGCACGTAATACAGCCCAATGTGGGGTTGTGGAACTAGGAGCAACAGTTCAAACCACAGGGATGTTGCCTTGTAAGGAGAGACAGTGACGGCAATCTACAATGCAACTTTCTAGCTACTTGCTTGACGCCAGACGTAAAGAAAGAGGCAGACATAGAGGCGGATACATTGTACTTTAAGAGCATGCGTGAGTATATCTGATAGCATTTCGAGAGCTGAGGCTGTCGCTCTATTTGGCTTCCGCGCTCGTTGCTGCGACAGTAAGCGTGGGATGGCGTTGTGATCGCCCCCCGGCGGGTGGACCTCGTCTCCAGGATCGCAGCCCCCCTAATGGAGTGGCGCCCTATTGATATGCCATCGTCGAGCTGTATCGAGCTGTAGTGTCTTACCGGTCTTTCCGGCATAAGATTCAGAGCGGTTTATGCTGCCTCTGAGCGTCAAGTATTAAAAGTAAGCAGGTTGCCGGTCACCGACTATCTTTCTTATGGTATTCTCTATACTCCCTAAAGCAGATTGCTTTACAGGCCTCCCTGATATAAAATCCCTGAAACTAGATTATCAGTTAGGCTTCTACTGTAGTGTGTATTCCTATAAGAATCAAGATGTCTAAGTAAGCTTAGCGTGCTGTTGTTATCAACTTAGCTGGGATTGCAACATTCTATACTATGCGCCTATTCGATCAGCTCTGCAAAAGCAAATAATAGTCTGGCTGCAAGGGTCGCGCAACAAACCGCCACTATGCCGCCAGAACACTTGAGGCCGGCCAGGGCACGACAAATTGAACAGGCTAATGAGCGCAAGAGAGTACAAATTGAGTGCGCGGTTTGGCACCTCGAAGTCGGCAAAACCCGATACCAGCTTACTATAAAGCCTTGCTGAAGGTGCGATTAGTGAACATAGGGCCAGGCTCTTCTCGCTCAGTTTACTTTAATTCCCACATTCAGACCATGCCTACCGACTCCTTGTCAGCCGCCGTCGTAGTGTCGTCGGGCAAAGATGAAATCACCGAGAAAACCACAGGGGCGGTCTCACCCGCCACGGAAGTGAAATCCTTGGATTCTCGAAATCTGACCATAGTACCTCGGGGAGATGCTGGGTCAGTACCAGACCTAGACCTAGGTCAGGTCACCGGTGTCGACGATGATGCCGTTCTTGACGCGCGACGGGCTTTCACAGCTGAAGAGGAAAAGCGACTGATCCGACGAATAGATTGGCGTCTTCTTCCTTTGTTGTCCATCTTGTATATGGTCAAGACTATTGATGCTGCGAACGTAGGTCTGACCTTCCATCCGGACTTGGAAATATCAAGAGCTCTCTCAGAATAGATGGAATACTTATATCACTTAATCTGTGCAGGTGTCTAATGCGCGTATTATGGGCCGAGGCACCCCTTACAACATCATGACCGAGCTTGGTATAAGCTCGAATCAGTACAACTTTGTCACCACTGCATACTACGTAAGTTGAGGGTGTAACCTATCCGTAGAGCCCGTGAGGCCTAACTCGATTCCAGGTTCCGTACATTCTTGCCGAAACGCCTTCGAACCTCGTGTTGAAATACTTCCGGCCTTCGGTGTGGCAAGCACGAATATCAGTGAGTAATCAGTCTAATAAACCATGGCGGCCCGTAGCGTCGCCCTCCGTCAGCGTCATTGTCCAAAAACGGTGTGTAGCGTCGACGGGTCGGTCTCCACCCGCGTAGCGCGAGCTTTCGGTGTGTAGCGTGAATCTATGATCCTGGATCGCGTTAACGCGTCGCCTCGTTCACACGGAGAATCGTGGTAAACCAGTAGTCGTAGTGATTCCCCGTCACAATGACATAGGAAGCGGCATCGTCATCCCCGGCGACGACTTCACCGTGAGAATCTTATGAACGATCGAACACCCAGAATCACCATGTCTCCGGCACGGCTCAAGGACCTCGGTCTCGTCGTCACCCCCGAAGCCGCGCTCGTCTGTCAAACGTGTCGCCACGCGCTCCCAGCTCAACCGGCCGCCGTTCGACGGCACCTCCGTCAGACTCACCTCCTCGACCGTGATGGCCAGACCGGCCTCGACGAACTCGCGTCCCGGACCTTGACCGACATCGCGCACCTGCAGCCACGCTCGGACGAGTCGCCCGAGGACCCGCTGCTCCGAACGGCGCCTGGCTTTGTCTGTCTCCACTGTCCCGAGCGGACGAGTAGCGAACAGCTCTTGTGGCGGCACCTCTCGACTCGGCATCAGATCGCGCGGGTGGACGCCGTCAACCAGCGAGACTATCGACCATGCCTCCTGCAATAGTGGGCGGTCTCGGGATCCACGGCGCGTCGAGCATGGATCGTCTCGCCCGCGTCCGATCGGACCGCCGTGGCGGGGGCGAAGCGTAAAGCCAGCTACCACTATGGCCAGCGACGCCGCACGAAGAAGGTGACGGTGGTCGCCCCCGCTCGCCAGCGAGCCCTCCTGGCCCAGGTCGCGCTCCCGGCGGCCTTGTTGACCAGCCATGAGCGAGAACGACGACGACTTCTTCCGTCGTCCGACCTCTCGCCGGCTCGGGTGCCCCATCAACTCGACCAGATCGTAGCAACGACGCCATGGCTGCAACGGACGGCCTGGATCGAGCTATTCGGTCGCGCCCCGCGAGACGTGCTGGCCACGATGACCCAGTATCCCGGTCGGGCGTCTCGCACGGACGGTCTTGACTTGGGCACCGTCGACGGCCGAGAATTCCGGATCCCGGGTGAGGTAGAGGGTCGAATCCATCTCGCTCTTGACGCGACCGACCGCGTCTTTGATCATTGTGAAGAGACCGTTCGCACTTCCGGATGATGAATATTACACTGGCTTAAGAGCAGTCGAAGCGACCAGGTGTACAAACGGCCGTTCCAACTCGTCAGCCAGGCCACCTCGACCGAGAAGTATCGACGGATGTGGAAGCGAGGTCTCGCGCTTTGCCTCCGATGGGCTCACTTGCCGCCTTGACGACGGAGCCAGCTTCACCCAATCGTGTTTCAACCCGAACAACAAAATCTTCTTTCGAGGATCTGGGAGATCCTCGAATCGTCTTCTCAGCCGACACACGCTCACCCCGACATCGACGATGGTGATGTCGAGAGTGACTCCGAGAGCGAGTACGAGAACGACGGCTTCGATGAGAGCGACGAGGAAAGCGACGAGGAGAGCGATACCAGAAGTGACATCGACAAGGAGGATTCACTCACGACCGACTCGGCGCCACTTTCTCCGTTGGCTTCGACACCTTCATTCCTCGACGACCCGCTCACTCGACTGATTTACCAATTTAATCTCTCTCTGTGCATGGACGAATTCCACGACGGTCAGCCCGCTTCCAGCCCGTTCATCGTCCTCACCGGGATCTTCGGCCTCACGCCCAAGGGCGATGGCTATTAATATGCTCGAACCTACACCCCTCAGATCTCGGCCTTTATCTACCTGCAACGTCTCCTCTTTCTCCAGCACTCGCGAGACACGACGCCGAATCCGTCACAACAGCTCACGATCTTTCAGCAGATTCGACGACGATACATGTGTCTAGGATGCCCGACGCCTCTCGGGGAGCACATTAGTCTGCTGCAGTACGGTCGACAGCTCCTGCGTGCCGAGGGTCCGACCTTTCAAATGTGGTGGAGTGACGACAACCAAACCCTCCGCTTCCAAGAGCATTCACTGCACGTGAATCAGTTCCGTCAGTTTGCTCGATCTCTCCTGGACCTGGCCCGAGAGAAGTGTGACGGTCTCATGTACTCGTGGACACCACCGGTGGCCCTCCACCAGATCCACGACACGATGAGCCAGACCACTCCCGGCTACTCGTTCGTCCAAGATCCTCACAACGGTCTTCAGACGGGCTTCTTGGACCTCTCGACGCGGGCGTACTACCGCAGTCCGACCCCGGTCTTCCACGGCGAGCAGTGGGCCAAGCCGACGGCGATGCAGTACCTTAAGGACCACGAAGATTTTCTCGCCTTACTGTACCAGTTGCTTTTCGTCTGGGGTGGTCAAAGTCCGCGCCCGAAGGAGTTGAGGTCGCTCGAGATGGTTAATGGGCCCGCCACGTCCCGCGGCTTCTTCATCCACAACGGCGCCATGGTATACATCACCCGCTACCATAAAGCCCAGCGATCTACGGGCCACCAATTCCACGTGGCTCGCTTCCTCCCGGAGCCCATCGGCCATCTCGTGTTTTACTACCTGGTATACATTCGACCGTACGTGGACATGCTTCTCCGTCAGTGCTTTGGTCAATCGCAACCCATGCCCTACCTCTTCACCTCGAACCCCATCGTCGCCC